GGTACATAGGGATGTCCCACTATTAGTAAAAGATGTAACAATCATATTGTATAAGCTCTAATTATAAAAACAGTGACTAGAATACTGTAAATAAGTGCCTTATTTGCACTTTATATATGGTAAAATATTTATAGAAAGCAGGATATTCCATATCAAGTATTGTGTATGCATTTGTAATGTTATAAAGACTATATTACTATTGGTAGCATGTACAACAACTTCATTAGCTTATATAACAACTAAGACAGGTCAAACAACAATGTTTATTCTCGTGTTTTAAAATCAATTTTACATTTTCTGACATAATGTTCAGACTAACATGATATAATCTTTGGCAGATAGTATGTATCATAGCTATACTACAACTTTCACTAAATGTCTCAAGAAATAGAACAACTCAGTCTACTAATATACTAGCAAAGGAGATATATTCTTGTCATGTCTCCTATCATATACTGTATTTAAATAAAAAAAGAAAGACATTTGACCTAAGACTTCAGTCAAGTTACACTCAGAAATGCATTCACTGGATGACACCTTTATATTATGGGATGTCCCTTTATGTGATGGGATATTCCATGTAAGGACTTGTCACTCTTAAACCTTAATTCAACTGTTAGTATAAATCTCTAGATAATTATAGTAGTTTAATAGAAACTTCAGGCTAAAGAAGAGACTAAATATCTGTGAATCTTAAAATCACATCTTAAGATGTCCTTAAAATGGGAGATCTCACCTTATATAATATGCAAATAAAGTGCTTGTTTATATCACTATAGTCAATGTTTTTATAATTAAGGCTTAGATAATATGATAGTGGAATAAAGTATAAAAAACTACATGTACAATAGCCTGAAAATATCTCCTTTACTAATAGTGAGAAATCCCTATGTACCCCTGGCTCCATGGGACAACCAGTAATACTGAGATATAAATATCAATGCCCTAGTACTATAGAACATCCCATATGATAATTGTGTCATTGAACCTGCCTTTGCCCTGCCTTTGCTCTGGGTAATTCCATATAATGCCCTGGGACATATATTAGTACCATGGTCTGTCTGACACCTGAGAGGCTCTTCGCTACTACACAATATAGATTATGTTGAAGCTAAGAGCTAGGTCGGAAAAGTACCCTGAAGTGTTTTAAATAAGATAATATAAAAATTTAATGTAAGATTGAATAATATATTCTGAATCTACATGCTATCTTCTCTATAGTCTCATATTTAAAAGGTGTTAAAATGAAACACTAGAGATAGAACATAGAGTGAATTTATGAGACATCCTAAAGTTGGACTGTTCCTATTATACTGGGACCTTTTATAGTTATATCATTTAAAAGATGTAAAATGTCTCTTTACCTTAAAATTTATAAGAGATCTATTAGTATATTCATGTCTGAAAAAGAGCTATATACTAATGTTATAATTATCAAAAATAAAGCTAAGATATGATGTCTCCACACTGAAATGTCCCATGTTAACACCTAGCACTGTGTAACATGTGACAATATACAGGGAAGCCCATGGGATAAGAGAAAACTATGGGACAAAACTGGTTCATTTTCTGTTCCCAAGTTTCAAAATATACTTCTCGGCTCTGAGACAAGTCAGGCCTAGGACTCTCCCAAGATTAGACCAGGACTTTAAAAAAAGGACCTGAGAGACTATGCCAAAAGAGCCTTTTAAATACAATCCTTTAGTAATTAAGTTCAACCTAAGAGGCTGAGTTGAGAGGTACCCTGAAGTGCATATTTATACTAATCTGCACTTTGCACAGTGAGCTCTTTCGTAGCATACACAAGATATCAGTGAAGCTGAAATAGGCTAAAACAAAAAGGAGACTGAACTGGCAGTACAGATAGGCATGTATAAGGTGAAGGAGTCCTCAAAGCTGGTTTCACTGCTCCTATAAGGCCTAAAACAGCATTCAGGACCAATGCTAAGTCCAAGATCTGTGAAATGGAAGAAGGGACAGATATTGTGAGAGTGGCATGATCAGAAGAATGGAGAGCAGCTTGAAGTTGGATGAGATTAAAAGACTGTGTATTTGAAGGAGCTTGCATAGTGGATCTAACCATTGTAAATGATGAAACACCACTCTTTCATGAGGAATGGAGTAAGAGGATAGCAGACACTATCATCACTGCATTAGCAAAAGATAACTGTTTTTCTTTGAACATATTTAAACTTTTCATCTTAAAATTCTTAATTATAGTGAATAGTTTTCAATAAAAATGATTTTGAGACCTTGAAAGACTATAGCTTAAAGGCCTTATGTCCTTATTTTCTTATTTAGAACCCAAAAGTTGGCTAAGTTATCAGATAAGAAAGTGTTATCTTTTGCTGATGCTGAGTATGTACATGTAGCCATTGTCATCAGCATTTACCCATTTCACTTTGAGTATGAGATGAATGTGTGTGAGCTTTTAGTTCAAGTCAGACATCGAAGTTTTGCTAGTAACTTCTCCATCATTATTCTCACCTTTATCATTACTTCTTTAGCTACCACAACTTACCAGTTAGCTTAATCACAACATGATAGTTCAGTACAATAGCAACAGGCTTTCATAAGGTGCAGGTGCAACCTCATCATCAGGGGGAGGTAACAGGCTGAGCCACTGACATTGATGTAGTACTGTAGGTGCAAGGCAAAAATAAAATCTTGACCCTGCTTATCTCATGTGTCTCAGATTGGAAACTGACTTTGAGGTCTTATTGTGGCAATGCAAAATCGAAAGTTGTGTTTCTGCATATTTTTGCACACTGCTGTAAAAGAATATAGCTTAGAGGCCTGATGTTCTTATTGTCTTATTTAAGACACCCAAAAGTTGGCTAAGTTATGAGATAAGAAAGTGTGATCTTTTAATAACTTGTCATTGCTTTACAATAATTTTGCTAGATTTTAAATTTTTAATATCTGGTTGTGTCCTTGTTTTAATGATATTACCTGATACCGTCATATATGAACAATAGTTCCCTACAATCTATTAAGTGTCCAGATAGCTATGTGATTATCAACTGTAACTCAGCAGATTTCAATTAATTTATATCTGTACTATCTTGTAAGCTGGGTCTTCTTGTTAAGGAGAGCTTCATGACAGCAACTTCGAGCTCCCATAATATTACAGTAAGGATCCTGGATCACATCAACAGACTCCTCCAAAGAATTCTGTTCCCAGTGTGTACTGCAAAATCAAACACTCCTTAAAGGCAGTGTGACAAAGATGTTGATGAGAGGGCCGAGGTGCAGAAGTGAGGGCAGTGAACCCCAATATCGACCATAGGAACGCACACAGACAACAAGCCAGATACAGTTATTTGCATATGAAACTGCAGTCCTCGGTCCACAGCAACTTGTTTGTCTCAGACAAATGTTACCTTTTAAGGTGCTGCTGGATGGTAGAATGTGACAGGAGATGTCACACTTGCGATGTGTGCTGCCACTTCATCTGTCACACCTGCAACTTCAACGACAACAAGCTCGCATGTATCTATGAGATAGTCAGTGTATTCAGGTGCTGCAGCTTCTTTCATTCTCAATTAGTTTTCTACTGCAGAGCCCAGGTTGTGTTCATGGCTACTCAGCACAGAGAAGGCCCAAAATATCTGTTGCTTTACTCTCATGTCCAATGACACATTAGTTTCCACAGAACTCTGTGAGCCCTGAGTCGCATCTGAACTCACCTTCCATCACTTGGACAATGGTTTACAAACATATAAAAAGGGTAAGCTAGAGCCATCATGTCATCGCCCTTCTTCCTTATCCATGGCTCATCCATTCCAGCCTTCCTCACAGAGCAGCTCTCAGACGGCGCCACGCACTTACAAGTTTGTGGAGCAGCACTTTGCCCCCTCTTTGAACAAGGAGAATAATTCTGACCAGTGCACCACCACCTTGGCAGCCCGTCCTCATCACTCAGATTAACAAATCTCTCATTCTGTATGACTAGATGGTGCAGTCAATCCTCCACAGTATTACCATAGCCATGATGAGATTAACACCGTTGTCACATACCAAAAGTGTTTGGCTTGTGAACACATAACCACCGGTGTAGTGCTTGACGAAGAAGTCATGTGACCAAGACAAAACTTGAGATTGTTGGCCAAGCATGTCACCTGATGCTAGGAAAGTTATCGGCCAGGCACATCGTTTAGGACACACGCACTTGGTAAGCCCTGCACACAGTTGTAGGCACCTGGATAGGAAGACAACGAAGACTCGGAAAGCTCTGCACACAGTTGTAGGCACCCAGATAAGAAGACGAAGAAGACTCGGAAAGCCCTGCACTGGTTGTAGGCCTCATATAAGAAAACCCATTAAGTCCTGCACTGGTTGTAGGCATCATATCAGAAGACAGAATGCAAGCCCTTGCACACAGTTGCTAGGCATCCCCCCCTACACTCCCCCATCTGTATTGTGCAGACTACCATCCCGACTTCAGGCAACGAATCACACATATAGCTTAGGTGTCCTCAATCCACTATCATAAATTTGATATCAACGAACAACTGTGATAGCTCAGCATACTTTCTCTTTTGCCATGCCCGGTGAACCACAGTGAAGTACCACTCACTTGACCTGGAGTCAAAAGCTCCTCCGGCCAAGGCCCATGTGTACCCCGAGTCAACACCGTGCACAAGGCGTATAAATACTGGCCTATCCCCGATGTTCTGGCCCCACCTGCACGGGCACAAGCACCCTCACTGTTGGGTACTTTCTGCTTCAACAGTGCCACTTTGACAAATTCTGCTGGTGTTACTCATCGACAACATGTTGATGGAGCACTGAATCATTCCATCGATGCACGTCAGATACCTCTCCCCTGAGAGGCTCCGGCTCCTACCATTGCTCTTGCCCCTATTGATCATGTGCATCCTGAGAACCCCGAACATGTCACGGAGGCTGCTATTAACCCTGCTCTTCAAGCTGTCAATCCTGCACACAGTGCAACTGCTGCTGGTGATGTTCCTGTGCCAACTGCTCTCACTCACGCTATGCAGTTGAGCTGTAAGTCCTACTACTGTATCTTTATGTGTTTGCTCACAATGTTTGCAGTGTTTGACCCTAAAGGTCATCTCGTTTCAGCAACAATGCTGTTCAATATATATGAGAAGGTGGCTGTGCCACATTCCAGCAAGCTAGTGCTTCAGATGAAGAAGGACAAGAGTACAAAGTGCTGCAACATCAAGCTCGATGACTTGACTTTGCATAGCACATTCATCGCAGCATTTCTGACTATCCACGACATTACTAACCAATATGTTGTGAATGTTCAGCAAAGGCCTGCCTTCAAAATGTGATGGACAGGCTCCAAGTAAGTTTTTGTAAACTGTCTTGATATCACGTAGCTGACATACTTAATGACAGCGGCAGCAAGGCCACAGCTCCGACAATTGAAACTGATGATGAATTCAAGATGACACTTACTGCCCTTCTCAAGCATAAGAACTGCAGTGTCAGTGTTAAGTTTAATGTTACAATGATGGACCAGTTTAGGCATCACAAACATGTGAGTTGTGTGTCGGGTCACCAGTCTGTTCATTGCACTAACCCCATTAAAGGTCATTGATCTTGACAGTGAAGCTGCAGATAATGAGCTGATGCATGGCATGAAGGTGAGACTTATGCAGTAGTGTCTGTATTGCATCTCACACTTTCCTAGGTTCCTTGTCTTGATCAATTCAGTGATGAGATGCAGCTCCATGGAGACATCATTCTTGAGCTCAAGCAGAAGTGGGCCCGTCAGGAACACCGAGGTGAACACGGTAATCCAGGCCACTGCTACGTTGATCCGACCAGTCAGCATCTTAGATTGAACAATCTCAAGCTCAAGACTTGGGCCCGCGCAATTGTAAGGACTGTTTTTTTAGTCCGGCAAACACAACCCTAATAAGCACACAGGCTGTGCACAGCTGTGGAAACAGTGATCTGCCAAATGAACTGGGCTTCAATATTCAATATGACAGCCACCTTACTGCAGCCAAAGCACGTGATCATATGGGTCCGCAACCACTCAGTGCAGGTCCCCTCCTCCCTACCGCATCACAGGATCTGAGTGCCATGCTCATGATGGCAGTGATGCCTTTACTTGTCAGTCTCATTGAATGCCAGGCCCCTGCAGCATCATCAGCATCCTCTGTTCCATGCTATTCTCATCCTTCTATACTTTCCAACACACCTCTTCCGAACTTCAGCAAAGAGCTCAGGTGCTGCCTCCGTGACTTTCAAACAGTGACTGGGATCAACATACTTCACCTGGAGGAGTCTCTGAAAGTGAAGGCTATTACTCCAGTCATGATCCGAGATATGCCTGTCCCGCATCTCTGTGAGCTCTCAGGGGCACTTAAGGGCCACATGTGGCAGTTCCAAAGGTTTTTGCAAGAAGTGGTGTGAGTACGTGAAGGATTGGTGAAGTGTTATGGACTAATTCACACTCGTTATGAGTATATATGCAATGAGCTGACATTCCTTTTGAGATCCATTTCCATAGAGCAAACTAATGGCTACTAGTACATAGACATTGTGTAGTGTGGCTAAGTAATACTGCAGCCTACTACGAGTATCCACAGTTAATAATCCATTCTATAGCATTCTCGGGCATGATCAAAAGACATGCTTGCTGAATCAACCATGAACGAACATCTGCATTGATGGCTGCAGCTTCGTGGCGACAAAGCCAGGCCTTAAGTGAATGGAATGCTTGTTCAATAGGATTCATATCAGGTGAGTACGGAGGCAGATAGATGAGTTTGACACCTGAACAAGCATTATAAGGCCATGCGAAGAACTGCCAAATACCCAGGCTTGCTTACTGCACTCATCTTCAATAATCTGTCTCACGTCCTCATCATGATGAATTGTGCAGTTGTCAAGCACAATGACACTTCGGGGCCCAGAATATGGAGTAAGTTTTGGAGCCTGATAAGTAGAAACAGTCAGTCTAAAGTCTCCCGCACGGAAATGATGCATACCAGATCTTTGATGACAAACTTGATGAAGCGCTCCTTCATCACAGAACCTTCAAAAATGTCGAGGGCTATGATCCCATCCAATGAAAGAGCAGGCAGTACAGAATATCGCTGCCCATGGATGAATGTTGTGCGATGAACACAAGCATGTCCGATCCCAGACCAACCCTCCCTTCATTGATTTGTCACATCATCTACACTCAACTCATCCAGTCATACAAAATATTCCACAGGTATGTTACCGTACGCTGCTGCCAAGTAGTGCGAAGGTGTTCATCACATTTCAGTGCCTCTTTTGCAATCTTCTTGTGACTAAGCGATAGACGATGCAGAGCACGGGATAATGTGGAGATCGTTGCATCTGTATCATGAGCACGTAGAAGATGTTCCTGTAGTTCATCAAGATACAGTGTTGGGTCTGCTTGGAGGAGGCCAACTAGATAGTTGACATCCCTCATATCAAGATCACGAGGAAGGCCCCTTGGTGTCGCAAATGGGTTGTGAACCACTCCATAGTCACGGTGATAATGAAGGATATCCCATACAGTCCATTCAGAGCATCCAGCAAGTTGTGTGATCTCAGAGATTTCTCTTCCATCCTGCCACCAGAGGACAATGCGCTCTCGCAATTCCTGGGAGAGGTGAGGACTCATCAGAGTGTGACAGGTCACAATTCTACACTGTATAAGGCAATATTTGTCCGGGACAAGCAAGTTACTGTGGACCGAGGACTGCAGTTTCATATGCAAACGACTGTAGACTAGGCCAAAGAACGGATTTACTGCATATTGCCCTTCAATTGTCTCACTAAGAAGTCTGCAATCTCATCGAATAGGCCGCCCGGTCCACCGTATTTATCGTCGGCGTCCTTCTGGTAATCTAGCGAGTGCTCCTCACCGGCAATTACTTTCATAATCACGTCCACGCCAGCCTCCTGCAGCAGCGCATGCATATGCTCTGACTCGTGCACTAGGACAGCCGAATCTGCCTCGCCGTGCACGAGAAAACACGGCGGCCAACCGCGCATCACCCCGAACTGGGGAAGTAGCACTCGCTCACGGGGAGAGAGGACCCCGCAGACGTCGTCGAACTGCATGCGCCGAAGCTCACGCGCGTCGTGCGGCGTGTCTGCGACTGTCTCACGGAGAACGGCGCTGAGGCTCGGCTGGTGGATCCCCGCGTAGTAGTCGAGGTACACGCCGAGCTGCAGGTAGAGCCGTCCGAGCAGCATGCGAGAGTTCGCGGGGTAGCCGGGGATCGTGTACGTCTGTGGGTGGTAGGCGAGCGGGGAGTCGGCAGTCGGCGACAGGCGCTCCGACGAGGGGTAGAGATACTCAGAGAACTGGGATGGGTCGAGCAGTTCGCGGCCGCGGAAGAAGACCTCGCTCTTCGGGGTGAAGTACTGCGAAGTCTAGGAGACGCATCGAGAGGATACTGAAACTGGACGAGAATGGTACATACCAGGAAATTACCACCCATGCCATACATGGAGAGCACCGCATTGGGTTTCGGGGACGCGTGCATCGCGGCAAGATAGGCACACAGGCCACCGGAACTGCTGCCAGCGACAGCGATGGATGCGGAATCGACGAGAATGAACGGATGCTCGTTGTAACGCAGACGTAACTGAGGATTGATGTCGACCGAGAGAAAGCGAAAGACGTCCTGGACGTCGGCAAGGATGTCGTGTCCGGTGGCTGGAGGCATCAGTCTGTAATCGACAGTAACAAAGGCACACGCAGCAGCAGTGATCCGTCCTTGAAGACGGGCCTCGTCAGCGAGCTACACAGCGTGTGCAGACGTATACACACTCTGCAGCCAGGCGGGGAACCAGCTCTGCCTGTTTCCTACCGTCAGAGCACCGCCGTGGAAGTACACAAGGGCCGGGATGTGGATGTCTTCAGCCGAGGAAGCGTTGAAGGCAGATACGGGGGGAAGGTAGAAGTCCATGGAGAGGTCGATGCCTTGGACATGCTTGTATACGAAGGTGAAGGACTGTGGGGAAGATGACGACATGAAAGATTTGCGGCGACGCGGACGGGTTGCAGCTAGCCCACCTCTGGAGAGAGACTGGGACTACGAGACGCGTGATGTTGGGTCACGCACAACTAGGTCACGCCTCGACGCGTCGCGTCCCACGAGCGCTCTTGTCACAACGAGGTGCTTGAACCCACGGTCGACCTGGTCCGCATCTGCGGCTTGCACAATGACCACCGAAGTCCTGCGTAACCAAGTTATGGCCAAATGGCGCACTGCGTTTGCTCGCATAAACCGTGGCGAGCCAGGCATCGCCGGCATGCTCGAGTTCAGCCAGGTGAGTGGTTGTCTGTGCGATGATTGTATTTATGAATGGTTTGGCAGGCTTGGGATCTAGCCACAGGATTTCTCTACCCCCGCGATATATCAGATTTAACCCCTCCGAAGGACTACAGTAAGTCTCTTTACGCGATTCGGAATCAGTGTGCTTTATGCAAACGCAGTCTCGTGGTCGAGACATGCATTATGTCAAAGCATCCTTCGATATCTTGAGCAAGTCGAAGATGCTCCCTTTGTTGCTGGAGAATTTCCTTGGTGCGTCTCCGTGAAACGCCGGCACGTACGGTATTCATTCGTGTGCATCAGAGGACATGCGGAAACAACAGTATCTCATAACGCGCGAGGTCCAGCATATCATGTCACAGTATGAAGTGTGTCCCTCCACTCTCACTTGTTTTACGGAATGCTCAGAAGATACAGGAATCAGGTGATACACTGCACATCGCCCAGATGGTCTTTCGACTCGTCGACTGGTACAATGCCTGGTCACCTATCCCAGAGTGAGTGCCCTCTTCTATTCTCTTTTCGCACCTATCCATCTCCGTTATCACTAGGCTCGGCGTCACTATCCTCTCAATATACACCCTCACCTTCCAGACGCACGTCTTCTCCGTTCTCCCACCCTCCTTCTCTCGCGGATTCAAGGACCTCATTGTCTCAACTGTCGCACTCTCACATTCTTCCATCCCACCGTCCTGGCTCTCCATCCTTCCACCATCTCCGAGTGCTGTGCGGCCGGACTTCCCGCTATGGACCGCCTTCGAACAGTTGGGTCTTCTCGACCGGTACGAGTCACTCATCTCCAGTGTGTGCTACGAGCACATCGAAGAGCACATCCTTGAGACATGTGCGGGAAAATGGGGGGAACCGATGTTGCATGCGCTCCGGGAGTGGATGGCGGAGAAGATCGTGCCGTGGATGCTTATGCCGTACGCGAGGGGTGCCAGAAACAGTTAGTCAATGTTGAGTTCTGCGCATGGTCAAATTGACGATCTCCCCATAGCCGATGAGGCACGATCGATGTTACAGGGCGTCGGTTCGCGCTTCGATTTTCACGTCTGCAAGACTTTGAGTGACCTACGGTAGGCGCATCTCTCACGTTCCCATTCTTCTTGTCTGACCCCGACGCAGAACGAGAGAAATCTTCGACATCATCATCGATTACCCGGACTCCCTGGCCGCGTTGCAAGACCTGAAGGTATGCGCTTCCGCCACTGTTCTCCATCAACGTTCTCTGGACTAACCAATACGTGCAGGAATGTCTCCAGCGTGTGGACCAGCGTGCACACCTAGTGCAGACCTTGCGCAAAGCGTGAGTTTGCCGCCTTCCATCGCTGACCTTCCCTGACATGCATTCCGTAGCAACAAGAAACGGCTCCTCCATCCGGGTGCAGATACGAAGGACATCCTGATGCAATACGTGTCCATCATTCGCTGCCTGCGCATCATCGACCCGCCCGGCGTGCTGCTCTTTAAAGTCGCCGACCCTATACGGCGGTATCTGAGGTGCGTTTTATTTGCCATCGTCCTTGTTCAACTTGATCTGACTTTGTGGCCTGGCCTCTATCGTCAGAGAGCGCCCTGACACGATCCGCTGCATCGTCGCCAGCCTGGTCGGCGATGGCGAGAGCGGTGATTCGCTCGTAGACGAGAACGAGCCGATCCAACCCCTGCAGCAGATGCAAGTAGACGACTACTCCGACCCCAACTGGGAGCCTGAGCCCATCGACGCGGGACCAGGTAAGACTCATATGCCTACGAGGTGGTTCAGTCCAGAACTTCTAGTTTACAGACTTCCGGACGAACAAGCCCGGCGACGTGATCAGCACGCTCGTGAGCATCTACGACTCCAAGGACCTCTTCGTCAAGGAGCTGCAGGTCCTCCTCGCGCAGCGCCTGCTCGCGATCACCGACGGGAATTTTGAACGCGAGGTATGTTTTAATTCCTGCCATGCCCTCTCACTCATCGCAGTATTATCTTGCTAATACTCCACTACAACGCCCCGCAGCGGCGTAATATCGAGATCCTGAAGATCCGCTTTGGCGAGGCAGCACTGCAAGTATGCGAGGTGATGCTACGAGACATGACGGACTCGAAGCGGATCGATCAGCATGTGCAGTCGCAGGAGAACGTGAGCGGTCCCCATTTCTTCTCGCAGTTGTCTTCTTATTTTTATTGACCCCCCTCTCAGGTGGTAATGCACCCGACGATCATCTCGCGCCATTTCTGGCCGCCGCTCCAGGCGGGCAAGTTCGTCATGCCGGGGCAGTTCAAACAGTACGTCACCCGCTCCCACGCTGAGCTTGCCACGGACACTTACACTAGCTCAGGCTTCAGGACGCCTACGCTCAGGAATTCCACGCGTTCAAGCCGGACAAGAAGCTGCGCTGGCTCCCGCACCTCGGGACGGTGCACCTCGAGCTTGCGCTCGAAGACCGCACCGTCGAGGCAGACGTGCCCCCGCTCGAGGCCGCGTTCATCGAGCTGTTTGCGGGGAAAGGTATGCGGTTACGTGTGCGTGGCGCACATTCGCTCATACAAGCGTGGCAGAAACGTGGACCCTGGACGAGCTGATCGCCCGCGTGGGGAGCATCGACCGCACGTCTGCGCTTAGGGCGCTCACGACGTGGGTCGACTTGGGCGTCATCAAGGAGACCGAACACAGCACGTATTACCTGCTCGAGGTCGCAGACGTCAGTGCTGGCAAGGCTTCAACCTCCAAGCCAGGTACGGGATCAGCAATTTATGCGATCCGTTCTCTCTCTGACATTGTGTTCACAGCGGTGGTCATCGAAGACTTTCCCGCCATTGTGACCGTCCAGCAGCAACAGGCGGAGCAGATGAAGGTCTTCTGGAAGGTCCGTGCCCGCAGCCGTATTTCCCATATCGCTCCTCTCATATACATGTCGGTAGTTCATTGAAGGCATGCTGACGAACCTCGGTTCGCTTCCCCTCGCCCGAATTCAGACCATGCTCAAGATCGCGCCGGGTTACGACCGGACGATCGAGCAGCTCAGTCTGTTCATGGAGGCTGCTAGGAGAGAAGGGCTCGTCACTGTGAAGGACGGCATGTGGAAGCTCAGTCCTCGTACGTAGTTATTTAATTGATGTGTAGAGAGTATCTTGTACTCGTGTATTTACTCATGGCATGTGTTGTCTCATGGACATGTGTACAATTAAATAAGTTGATGGACTCCATCAAGTAAATTGCAATTGGGATCCCGAGCACTGAACAGGGAGGGCCTCAGCTTTTACTTCGTTACAGGTCTAGAGCTCGATAAGCCAGTCTTGTATGTGTACGTCGCGAATCGTGTCTTCCAAAGCGTCATGCTTCGAAATGGAGCAACTTGAGGCAGCTACTCAGAATAAGTATATCGGGAAAATCTATCATTACACGCGCTCACTGAGTCTAAGAGCTAGTTAAAGTGAAAACTAGAGCAGAACAATGTCCCGGTCAGTAGGTGTCGTATCCGCCGCCATCAGTACACATTGATCTACAACTAGTACTTCTCCTTGAGCCCCATCTCTGATTCCGCACCCGCACCCGCCTCGTTATCTACGACAGGTAAAGACTCCTCTTGCGCAACAAGTGCGGAATCTGCCTTGTGGGCAGTGTGCTCAGCCACCAACTCCACTACAGGCTCATTGACAATCTTCACCTGCACCGCAGGCTCTACCTCACCTTCCGCCAAGGGTCCAGCCTTGGGCTCCACGACCAGCTTGGCGTGCGGTTCTATAACCAGCTTGGTGTCCTCTTCCGCAGGCTCATATTCTGGTTCAACCTTCTCTGCGCGTGTAAGGTTAAACTTCGCCTCGACTGCTGGCTCCGACTCCACCTCTACAGGTTTAACCTCGGCCTCCACAGTAGGGCGAAACCTTTCTTCCACGGCAGACCCTGCCTTTGCTTCCGCTGCAGGCTCAGCTTTTGTTTGCACCGCAGCCTCGGGTTTGGCCTTCGCTGCAGGCACGGCCTTGGACTCCACTGCAAGCGTCTCGCTGCTGACGCCTGTGTTCGAACGCATCTTATCTGCGATGACAGGCTCTTTCTCACCAGTGGACAGCGCCTCCGACTTCTCTCTCTCTAGTGCCTTTTCCTCCTCCTGAGTGTTCAAAACGTGCTCGATCTTGGTCGTGATCTCCTCGATCTCCTTCTCAAGTTCCTTCTCCTCTTTCTCCTCCGGCACTGCGGCGGGTGCTACCGCGGGCTTCTCCGGCGGGTACTCGACACTTGCGGCGGTCTCATCCCAGAGCTTCTCGAGTTCGCGTTCCCATCCGAGCCCCCGCGCGATGTCCCGCACAACGTCGTCGCACTTGCCGAGACAGAGCACGTCGTCCGGCCTGCTCCCGAAGTCTCCAACGGAGTCGAGGTTCACAAGTACTCGCGGGCATGAATCGGGAATCATTGTGGCGAGAGACGCGAACGGCTGCACGGTCAGCGAGGTCCCGATTACGAAGAGCAGGTCCGCAGTCCGGAGCTTCGGGATTGACGCGTGGAAGGAGTCCGGGAGCTGTGACGGACAACATCAGTAATCAGCATTCGCTGGCTGTGTCTGTTTCAACGAAAGAGCAAACAGGCAACTAACGCACCGCTTCTCCGAAGAAAACGATGTCGGGTTTGATGAGCCCGCCGCAGACGTCGCAGTGCGCGATTTTGCCCGTCAGTAGGCACTCGCGCATCTCGTCGTCGTCGAACGCGACGTGACAATTGATGCAGTGCTGGTTCGCGAAGCTGCCGTGCGCCTCGATGAGCAGGCGGCCGGGGACGCCCGCACGGCGCTCTAGCGTGTCAATGTTCTGCGTGAAGCACATGCGGAGTAACGAGTGCTCGTGAAGGAGGCGCACGAAAGAGTGCGTGATGGTGGGGCGGAAGTGCCCTGGGAGGAGCTCTTTTGCGAGGGTGTAGACTGTTTAGACCGGGTCGATACAGTAGCGCACGAAGTAGAATGTTTGGTCGGACGTACAGGGGACAGGGTTCTCCCGGAAAAAGCTGATGTCGAAGACGGCTTCGGGGAACGGGAGGTTGAGCCTCGCAAGGTTCGACTGTACGAGTGAGCATGAGCGACCTCGGCTGACAACGCCACATCGTACATTATGGTACTCACATATAGACCTTCACATCATCCAAAAATGCTCTTGAGATACTTCAAAGCAAGAGAAGTAGAGCGTTTCGCCTACGTACCTGTTCCTGGGGATCTGAAATCAGGGATTCCAGCGGATGTGCTTGCGCCTGTAACGAGGCCACCTTCAGCACGCAACGCATTGGCAGCACACCGAAGACTCACCAGCACCAGCCTTTCATATATGACTATGCGTTAGCGCACGATATGCATCATGGTGTCAAGCTCGCGGACTTACCATAACAAATACATTCTTGCACCGGTCAGACTGCATGTACTTGACCAGCGAGGGTATGTCTCGCGCCTCGAGGACGTCCGGGGGGCCCTCATACTTGATATATGACTCCTGTGCACCCATAAGTACGATGGTCTGCTGTGGGTGTCGATGTGGTGTAAAGTCAAGGATAGTTGATCATTGCAGTGCCCAGGATCCTGTTTGGCGTTCTCGAGTGCGATGACCTCAGTCAGCTGGAATTGAGCCCGGGGCCGTTCGACAAGGTTCGATGCCCATGGTGCTGTCCAGACCGGCGCCCATAGTGCAAAGGCAGGACACACAATTCGAGATCGCTCAATGTGAACGGTCACAGCACGGCGGAAGTATATATGCACGTTTCTATGGATCTTCAATGGACGAGAATTATCAGAGTACATACAAGTCCGGGCCATACTCTCACTCATGTGCCGAGCCGTCAGAGGCTGGTAATCATGCATTCGCTGGCACCTCCCAATCCTTCAGCCACGCTGTAACGAACTCAATCATCTCCCTGTGAACTTTCTCGATCTCAGGAGGCTCGTCAGCGATATTGCGAAGGCCGTATTCGTCGTAGTGATGCACGCCGTCTGTAAATCAGGAGGCGTGACCAGGTCAGGAATCGACGCAAAGACGCTAAACAGTGCAATATGACACACTGGGGATGAGCTTGAATGGCCGCAGAATTGTGTCATTCCTGTCGGGTGCATATTCGCTGTGGGGCGTGTCGGGCCTCCAGGGATCGACTTCGCCATCGATGATCGCAAGTCGGTCTGCGGCGATGGTGAAATCGCCCAAGACGTTGACTGCTGTGACGTTGGGGAATTGAGGAATGATGAAGTGTTCACCCGGTAGGAAAGCCTTCGAGTAGGAAAGTGTGGTAGATACGCCACTCAGTGAGTTGTGTGCTACAGCAGTGCATGTGCATAGCAGCATACCTGTTCACAAATCTTCGACTCGTACTCGAGCGTCAGAAGGCGGGAGATGATGCGTCTATGTCCTTTCGGAGGTGTCGTCTGGAAGAGTGTGAGTGATGTAGCAGGAATTACTGGAACACTGCTCACTGAGAAGTAACCCCATTCTGTGCAAACTTGGAACACCCAAAGGCGCCAAATCTCACTCAAGTCCGTGTCCTGGAACTTGACATCATCATACGTTCCAAAGCACTGCCAGGGAAAACATCAGCTCCCGCTGGGAATATTGGATAAAGTCAATTGCCTGTTCTACAGAAGCGTCCTCCGGGCATTTCGATACGTAGTTCTGCAAACCAGTTTGATAAGCGGGCTGCCGTAGAGGAAACGTCCAGTATCACCTGTTTGATGTAGTTTGCATAGTTGTAGACTACCAACGGAATGTTCAGTCCAACGGGAAGTGCCACAGTTTTGCTGGCCTCATCGTACACGATCTCATTTGAGATCAAGAGCGGCTTGCTCAACGCAGCACAAAATTCGTCAAATCGTGTGCTACCCACTTGAGGGTCCCAATTTTTCGCCTGCCAGGATCCTAGAGGGCTCTGGAACAGCATATAAGCACACATACTACACGAAGTGCCGGAACTTGCACCTCAAGCAACGAGACGAAATCCTCATCGTGTTCCAAACCAGCGAGACCGAATAAGCTCTTGAGGGCATCTTTCAAAAGGGGGACGGTGAGAATTACATCAATAGCCTCGATGGCCTGCTCGAGATTGAGAGAGCACTGCGGGTCCGCAGCGCGACGGATGATCTCCATGTATTCCCAATTTTCCAGACTTGCATGTGTAACACCTTCATAACAGTTGGAAGTGAGATATGCTAAGAGAGAGAATGAATAATACCTACCGCTTGATGCTATGGCACCGTATACCAGATTGGGGTACAGAATCTTCATATGGGCAGCGCGTGCACCCGCATAGGATCCCTATGGGCAGGTTAAGATAAAACGTGAGCTATCAAGGATGGAATATGATGAGACGGACACCGTAGTAGATCCAGGGAGTGCCAGGGGCTGTGAGATCCTGATCAATACCAGGAAATTCGACGTTCGCCATGAAATTCGCAGAGTCCGCGGCCGATTGATCATTGTTGAGCCACCTTCAATCTTGATTAAAACGACATCGGTCTGCGTCCGGTCAAGATACTCACCTCAAGGAATCTGTAGAGAGGTTGGATACAGCTAGAGATTCACCTGTCCATTTGTCGGGTATAAATGGTGGAAACGGGGGTCAAATGTATCAATTATTGCCTACCATAGTATCTTTACATAGCATGTCCATAAACACACCCTAGTCCCTGGAGGCGATGAGACCCACCTGTGCTCCAAGATGACACCTACACCTCCAGTCGCGTTGGCCAGAATCTCTACGATGCCAGTATCGAGGAAGGGTAACCTATCTTCACCCGAGGTCTCACCCCCATCCAGCACGATAACAGGGCCCTTGGATCCGGGACGATAATGACGGGTGTTGATCCAATAGCGCTGCTGGAAGGTATACGAGCTGTTGGAAAAGTGGTCGAGCGGCTGGGTAAACCAGTGCGCTGGGAACTTGCCAGTGGACGGAGCTGCTAGGGGCTGCTGTTCTAGGAGGCCCTGAGCAACGTGCAGAGGGGCAGTCCTGTCGAGCTTGCGCGCTGCCTCGGCAACGTCGAGCTTCCAGAGGTTCACACCCTGTGGACCCAACACCCGTACGAGATCCGAGTCGGTTGCGAATCCATACAAAGGGACTAGCAAGAAGAGTAGAACACACGAGAGGCTCCTCATGGCGGGACAGACGTACGCGCCGGGCTGGATATCGTACTGCCGAATTCAAGGCGGTGTGAAGTAACAGAATTTGGTGTGGAACACTTGCCAGTGCAGCCTCCCACCACCGTGACGTAGATTCCGTGACGCGTTTTGACGCGTCGCGTCGTCGTCACGCGGCACTTTACTTTCCCGGAGACTCCCTTCACATTGAGATTCTTGCGAAGTCCCCTGCTTCCATACCTGTTCATGAAGACAAAGATTGGGATGCCCGTGTACATGATGCGGAAGCTCTGTTCCGTTGGGCTCCACCAGAGCTTAGGCTAACGGCCCGACGCCTGCTCAAAGTCAAGAGCATCACTGGAAGCAACTTTCTTTCACAAGCATGTGAGCGACCAGCTTGCCCTCGTCAGAAGACTGCCCTCTCTTTTGAGTAATCTGGAGAATGTCGTGGACGATGTGTTGGCGAAGATCAAGGAGAGCCACATATTACTTCCACCTACCAAGAACGATTTTTTCATCCCGGAGGAAGGACGCAGAAGCAACGATTTGAACCTGAACAATGATATGCGCAGAGGTCCACAAGTGGCGGAATTTTACTCCAGGACGACCGCTGCGTACTGTCTATCTGTGGCCTCCACTTCCATCCCACCAGTCCGTATTGGAGATCTCTCTTCTTATGGACCCAAATAAACTGTTTTTGGCCGTGCGCCGTTGCTGAGGGACAACTTGTTGTCAGCAGAGTGGCCGCTGACTTGATGAGTCGGACCGATACTCAAGGGATGGATGACAATGATCTCCGCTACATGGAGTCTATCGACCCTTCCATCAAAGCCTCTCTCCTTCGAGTCGGAAAGCGCTTCCCAAATATAATCGTCTGGTGAATAAAAAGTTAGAATGATTTTCTGGAGGGAGTCATGTCAGCCACCTCATGCTTCAGCAACAAAACAAATTCCTGTGGTGTCGTTGCTCTGGAGTTCCCGGCAAGAATCACAGAGATCAGGCAGTTCCAACCGGGCCCGATGCTGTGGACACTCCCTGAATGATACCCAGTGCCCAGAGTTTGCCAATGTACCTGCACTTTTCAGGTTTCCTCTTCGGACCTGGAGATGACCTCCCAGGCGGACTCTCCCTGGAAGTATCGCTGCCCAGTGCGAATGATCTATCGGGACCCGCGCGGTAGAAAAAGGAAACGTGAAGGATCGCCTGAGGCCACTACAACTTTCAGCCAGAGCGCCTCTGAAGGAGCGTACGAAGACGAGCCATACTCTGACAGGACTGGGAGGGATGACGATAGCCCAAATCATGGAGGTTCGTTCACGACATATTGTCATAATTAGCCTCACAGGCTTGGAGCGAAGCTGTGAAGCATGACGCTAATTTCGTCGTCTTGCACTCTGGTAGCCACGAATACTTATGTATTCGTCACCGGAACGCAAACATTGTTTATCTCGAATCTTGTGCATGTCCCTACTTGCCAGGAGCCTGGACACGGCAAAATCCACATTAGGCTGTACATCGCTGGTGTTAAGGACGCGATGAATCGTGCCGCTCTGCTTGATGCAGTGGACTCCCAAGAGCATCTCGCTTCTGGAAGTGGTGATAATCATCTTTTGGGTAACGAGGATACCGATCCAAGTGTTGATGAAAGGTCAAGAACACCACCTAGAGGACCTCACCGTGATGCATTTGTGAGCTTTGTTGGACTTAATAACTTCGTTGTTTTTTGCCATAATTTTATCTGATAGTTCTTCCAATAAATTGAGCAATATCACGTTGCTTTGGTACATCTCCATTACGGCATATACGACTCTGCGGTTCCTGCTACAATTCATCCGGTTGAATCTCGATTCGATAGAATCCTGCTCTTCTCCTTTTCGAGAGGCATCTTCCCTCCCGTCCGGGTGTTTTCAAATGGTTCTTACGTCCCACATCGCGGAGGGCGGGACTGGGACTGTCCTCGGCGGCTAGTGCGGATGATGGACAGCACTCAATCCATGACGTGGTGATCACACTCTCGTTCGAAGAGGAGCAATCTCGTCTCCGGAACGAGTACATGATGTATCGACATCTGATCAACAAACGCGTTCTAAGTTGCATCTGTCTTACGTTTGTTTGAAGAGAGAGAAGACAAGTCTTTGGCGTTAGTTTTATCGCACGCTGGGGTGTCCCTGCGACACAGCAATGAGCCTATAACACCTTCTACCCGGTTAGTTGTTCGGTTCAAGTTGTCAGTGCAATGGATGTCAAAGGTAATCTTAAGATTATGTAGTCTGATAAGCAGCATAAATTTATAAGAGCTTATAGTATAAAGGCAATGATCTAATAGTTTAGAGGTGACAGTCTTATTACACAAAGGTGATAGTCTTAACAGCAGTATATTTGCTTCAAGTTCTAATAAAAGTAGATAGTCATTATTCACTTGACACATTTTTTCATCTGCCACCATCTCTTATCTAAGAATTAATAAATAGCAAAAGTCAACTTAGCTTTATATAGTACTAGGGTTTAAAAGAAATTGGCGTAGATTTTGAAGGTTTTTATAGTTTTATAGTCTAGAGGTGATAGTCTTACAGTCTGTATATCGTAAAATAACATACTTCAGATAGAATAAGCCTTGTAAGTTAAACATGTAGCCTACTTCTGCATCTTAAAAAGAAAGACAGGAGAGGCAGTGAAAAATGGAACCTGATGCGAGTCAGGAACACTAGCAGAGGTGGATGGTGATGAAACAGGAACAAGACTTCATTGTGTATAAGTAGAAGTAACAATGCACAAGAGATCTAAACATACCTTTATTATGTATATTTAGAAGTAAGGAAAATGCAACAAAGAACATTTGGACATGAGTGTAATCATAGAGCAAGTAACTACAAACAGTTTAGTGCATGTGATCATTGTAAGTATGCGGTGTGCTTACACTCTTCCCCATCATATTTTCTTCATCTCTGAGCCTCACAAACATCGAGAGCAGTGCAGTTGAGTAATTCATATCGGGAAAGCCATTAATCACCTTCTACATCACATCCTTTCCATTGGATGAGATATTGGAAGCTGCATTCTTGGCAGTGTTCATTAAGGATTCTGTTAATTTCTCACTCTTCAGTGCCAACTTCTGTGATGATAGGACTGAGGCAATCAGGTTGGTGCATGCAGAAGAGGAGGAGATCGTTTGGCCAATAATGCTCAAGTTGGGATGAGTGAAATGTGGGAATGACCTTCATAGTTTCTGGGAGTTGTAGTGTGTAATGGGAAGTTTTGGGGTACACTGCAGTAATTTGATAAGGGCCATCAAATATCGGTATGAATTTTGCCACATGTGTATTGCCACATTGCATGTAATCATGCCTGCGATGCAATGTAGATAATAGAACCTTATCACAAATGGCAAAGTGAGGATTGGAGTCACAATGGACATTTGCAGTGTCAGCCTGACCAACCTTTCCTGCAAGAAGATTGTCTTGAGATTTGAGGGAGTTGACTTCAATACAACGGATGAGATCAGCCACAGTGGTAGCATTGAGTTCAGAGGTCTGCAAAGCAATGGAGAAGACATCAGCATGGAAAAGAGGGGGAATAATTCATGGAGAACATCTCATGCACAGCTGGAAGTTTTATAGTTTAAAGGTGATAGTCTTATAGTGTAAAGGTGAGAGTCTTATAGTGTAAAGGTGATAGTCTTATAGTGTAAAAGTGATAGTCTTACAGTCTGTATATTGCAAAATAACATGCTTCAGATAGAATAAGCCTTGTAAGTTAAACATGTAGCCTACTTCTGCATCCAAAAAAAGGCAAAAGAGGCAGTAACTAACTTGTTGAGGCGTAGTATGAAGTGAGATTCTAAGGAGAAAATGTCACCATTATAAAGATGAGCTAAGCAGGTTATAAACTAAGATATAAAAGTAAGGTAATTATAATACTTGTATTTGCATGTCCCTAGGTCACAGTAATCACTGTGGCTACTAATAACTATAAATAAAACTCAAAATCTCACTTCAGAGTATCCTGCTAGATAGATGAGAAATGCGAGATGAGAGAATAAGACTTAAGAACAATGAAGTTTACAATCACTTTATAGCAGAGCTAGGTTTAGCATCATGAAATTATAGTATATTGACTTTGTGTTTAATTGTGACAGTGAACAGAACTCAAAAGAAAATGTTTTTAATTAGCAGCATAAAAGCTTGTATGAAAAAACTATAAGCACTTACACATGCAGACTATAAGCACTCACCTAATTGAGCTACAAGTACTTATACTTGAAGTAAGTAAAACAGACTATATAATCTTAAGATTAACAATGTTTACTATTGGTCAGTCGCAAATGGCGTGATTATTGACCTTAGTTGGTAGGACTGCTTTCTTGGACCGCTTGGACGCCATTCATAACGCTGATGTCTTGCACGGTGATCTGCGGTCGGAGAATTTACTCGTAGACGATGAGTCAGGTCAAGTAACGATCATAGACTTCGACCAGTCGGAGTTCGTCTCTTCCAAGAGGATGAAGCGGAGAGAGCGGAACCAGTTGGTCAGTATCTCGACAAGTACGCCGCAGACCATGACAGATCTTAGGCTGTTTTGACTTCCTTTCAATGCGTCTCCGTGGAATACTCTCCCCTTTGCCGTGTCTTCTGCCCTTCTCTTTGGTTACCTTCAATGTCTCCTGTTATCCTTACGTGGATAATTTGGCTTTCTATATTGCGTCCATAGAACACGCCTGTTGTTGTCTGTCATTCTTCTTCTGGGCTTCTTATGTACATCACGCTCTTCGTACCGTACGTAATGGATTGAGGGGGGGTAGCTACATGGAGCGTGCATCATCACGTTGATAAGATACCGATCTATCGATACATGTAAGAAGGGCACAAAATACAGATCGTGAAAGTGTACCGATACAAAACAAAACAACGAAGTGGCCGGTTATAGACATCAAAGACATACAGATGTGGCTCATGGTACAGCATGTGGTTGAGAACTTATCCTCGGGAACGGTGTGTTCGGACACTGCGTGAGGAAGGTCGATATCATGGGTTTATCGAAGAGTGGGATAACTCACCGACTGCTCGATATCGGCCACACCCTTGCCTAAAGGATAGGCTGGCGCACGGTCCCACACCCGCGAAGACGGGATGACTGGCGAGCAGTCAACCAGATTCCGGTAGCCTTGATTGGCGAGCTTCATCATCGCGTCACTGAACGACGCGCGCATCCGGTCCTGGTCACCTGTCGTGAAGCGGATAGGCACATGCCGATGCTCAGTTTACAGTGTTTGGTGAATTTGTGATGCGGCTCACCAATGAGAGACTGCCACGCGCATGCAGTCTTCGGATGTCGCGCTATCGCAGCGTCCGAAGTGAGTCGGAATTCGCTTTTAAGAGGCGACTTCACCTCGGCTGGGCTTCGTCCTCTACCCGGGTATCCAGTTCCTCTTAGAAGTATCTGATCCATAGAATTCTCAGTATATACAACGATAAACGATCAATAAATTTAATGCTCACCTCTAGATAGTATTGTGAGTCGAAGACTCTGGGCGTGGTGTCAAAGGGTGTATTCGAAATGGTAGGATCGATCGTCTTCTGCGTGCCTACCGAATGAGCAGCCAGAAGTGCGACCGTGTCCTCTGCGGTAAAGCCGGCATCCTCCATCCGAGCCAGAACCCTCTCCACAGGATCCGTCGGCGCTGGAATCAAATTCGGAGGCGCAGGGGCAACCGCTGGGGGACGCCTGGTATAAAAGGGAAGCCGCGGGCTACCAGGACAGTTGGAGAGCGCGACAGCCCCGGCAAATTGGATCCTGGCCGGGCTCGTCAGTCCGGAATCGCCACCTACATAATAGCAGGGACGCACATATCGCCATAGCTCACATTGTGGGCGTCAGCGAAGTGCTTTAACGCGTACACCGTGTCTTCCAGACCAGCATTGGCAGCTGTGTGACTTTCATGAGAGTCAACGGCTATCAAGAGAATCTGCTGACTTACGATCGGCTAATTCAACACTGGCAAATTGAATAATACTGCCATCTGACATGCACATCTGTCACACCAGTAAAAAGAGAAATTAAATGAGATTCACCTGCCCCTCCCCCTCTGCATAGAAAAGAAATGGGGGTAGCATCAGATGACGGAACATGCACAGAATCACTGAGATATTACCCAAACATGCCGGCAGCCTGGAGAGCCGCTGAACGACCAATGCCGTCATGGAAGGTGAGGCGAATTGCCTCACTTGCCTGGTCTTCACAGAGTCCCCCACCGAATCTGTCCCAGAACTGATGTGATGTGGTCGTCGAAACACCTAGCATCACCGGACTTACAGGTTTGCTTGCAAATCACCGAGCACCTGCGGTGTAGTCCTATAAAATTACATTATGTCTCGCATAATCTGAATATTGCATACATTCGCCCATGTGTTGCACTAATTAACACGAACTTCATGTGAGCATGTTCCGGCCGTCGACCGGCGTGGATCCACTTACTTCTAAATTTGCCACGATACTCGGATCAGACTGGTACCCTATATCATGTAGTGCGCACGGAGGCAAAGAAGTCCATATTCATGTCAGACTGACAAGGGAATGAACCACAACACGGCCTACGCACCTGTGCAAACTTTCACAGCAAAACCTAATATTATTAGTATAGAGGGTCTCAAGCATGGCATTATGGCTATCAAGCAATGCGATGTGAGAGACTAGTCTAGGAGATGTATGAATAACGATTACAGAAGAGTTTGTAAGAAAGGATTGTATACTACCGCGTCCAACACCATGAAGTTGGGCGTCTTGGCACGTGACACGCGTTGGTACAAATGAGGTTGAGGGCCGGCTTTTTCGCGTCGCTCTCGGGTCAGCCGCTCCCACTTTGCTTCCACCTCACCTTCCGCCGCTGTGAGCACCATCCTTTTCCATCCATTCCCTCTCCATCTCCGCCATGCCAGACCGCCATTATTCCAAGTTTATCCCCCCCAGTCTTTCTATGAGCGAGCTCATTTGTCAAAAGCTTGACAACGACGCGACGGACCTCCTCATAGACAAATGGCTCGAACGACCCCACCGCCCCGATGCCTACTACGACTGGTTCCAGCGAGTCCGCGAGCGCAAGCACGCTGCGCATGCAGATGCTAGGAGAGAGCAGATCATTCTCTGGACCAAGGGAGGCTTCGTGCCCGAGCACATCTTCACCCGCACCGTCGATACTGGACGTCTGATCCCTCTCGACCGCACATGGGTCACCCACGTCTACCACCACCGCTCGATGTCGAGATTAAATATGATGCCCGTGGTCTTCAGCATGGTATGTTCGTCTTACGAGTGAGCCTGTCTGTTATCTTCATTCATGCCCCAGCTGCCCGAACTTATGCTCCTGCGCGGAATGCATGATCGAGGCTGCGACGACGTCTATGTCATCGTAACGGATCTCAAGCGCAACGAGATGGATCAAGTTACAGACTATTTCAAGTATGTATGCCAGAACGCCGCGGGCGGGGCATGCAAGCCCAGTGTTGAGCAGAAGATCAACCATGACCGTCAGTGCTCAGCGTGCGCGCCCCTCCATGACCCTCTGACCCTCACGTAGACATGCGTCTCACCCACACTCTCGACCGCCTCCGCCGCACTCCGTGCTTCCCCCAGCTTGACCTTACCTTGCGCGCTATCCTTCACGAAAAGCGACCACCATTCATTGTCCTCTTCTCTCACCAGACGATGTCATACTCCCAGATCCTCTTCGCCAACTCCATGTTCGTCCCCTCGAAGGAGATGTACTACGACTTCCCGAGCGGCTGCCCCAATCCAGGCTGTACAGACAATTGCTGCGAGCTAATCAGGTTCCCGAAGAAGGGACTGGACACTGCTGCGGTGCTCTGCGACAAAAGGAAGGTCCGGTATCGCTACGGCCGACGGGTGAAGGCCAAGGAGATGTGCAACTGGATCGACTGCCAAGTGTGCTTCTCCGATGACTCGGGTCACGGAGTCCACGCCGAAGGCGAAGGGAGCATTGTGAGCAGCGAGGGGAGCGAGGGAAGCGTAGACGAGATCAGCGCGCCGAAGTTCGCGGGCTTTGTCTGCAGCAGGTGCAAGCACGTAAGGTACTGCTCCTCGGAGCACCAGAAGCTGGATTGGGAGGAGCACAAGAGGGTCTGTGTGAAAGCCTCGTAGGTTGAAAACAATATGAGACTTGAACATCTCCTTGGATCGTCGGAATCTCGCCGTCGCAAACGTACCGTTTCGGATGGCTCCCCAGTATTTTAGACACGAGGTAACATTATCTTTTCCATATTCATGACAAAAAAATGTACTTCACGGGGCCACAGCCCTGCGTAACGCTGCGTACGAAAGTACTATATTGTTCAGGGCCCAGTTGCGTCGTGGTGTTCCTCACATCCAGTCACATCTGCACTTCCTCAAGTCATCGGTGATCATCCTCTCTCCACATGAAAATGCATGCACAGCCGTGCGACGCAGATATATGACGGAGTCCGAGGCCCTCTCGTCCTGTGGTTCTCCGAGTCGGTCTCAGCAGTGATGTCACCGCGGGAGCCCAGCATGTTCCAGCTCATCATCTCCCAGCTTTTCCTCCGACCGTCATGTCTATCCGCTATCTCACAGCTAAGCTTGCCCAGCAAGTAAATTCTACACCTCCAGGAGGTTCTGCGGGAACTCACTCTTCGTACCGTTCGACAGATCGATGAGGAACTCATGAGTACGACCGGAGCGTTCAGCCTCGATCAGCTCATGGAGCTCGCCGGTCTCGCGTGCGCGCAGACCCTTGCGACAGTGTATAGCAGGGAGAAATACCCGCGGGTGCTTGTGTGTTGTGGTCCGGGGAATCAGGGCGGTGATGGGCTTGTTGCTGCTAGGCATCTTGGTGAGGGTGCATTCCATCAGGCGGACCCTGTGTTCTTATACGAGTCGTGGAGGCATGTTTGGATATAAGGCAACAATCTGGATGCCTAAGGTAAGTGGCGTTGGATGTCGTGTGTGGTACCCTGAATTCATAATTTGACCTGTCCAGCCGGGATCTAAGGAGATCTACCAGGTGTGCATTTGTCCACCTCATTAAGGCCGCACGGCCTACGTATTCACTCGAAATCTGTCTTTCCTATAGCGGTTGAAAGCACAATGCGACAACATGAAGATCCAGACCTTGGCGCCCTCCTCAGACACCGATAGCTTGCGCGACGCCCTCGCCCGTTCAGACGTCGTCCTGGACGCAATCTTCGGCTTCTCTTTCAAGCCGCCCGTCCGTGCGCCCTTTGACACCGCCCTCCCTCTCATCTCTTCTTCCGGGCTGCCCATCGTCTCGGTGGATATTCCGTCGGGTTGGGACGTCGAGAAGGGCAATGCCGAGGGGGTCGGGCTCAACCCTGACGTCCTCATCAGTTTGACTGCTCCGAAGGAGGGAGTACGGCACTTTGCTGGCAAGCACTTCCTGGGAGGCAGGTTCGTGACAAAGTGAGTGCCAATCACGCAGTGAGCCGGTAGTTTCGTGCTGACGTAGGTCATGGTCTTAGGGCTATGGAGGAGAAATTCTCCTTGAGCCTCCCAGCGTATCCTGGGTTCTCGCAGATCGTGGAGCTGCCTCGCGCTGAAAGCCCGCAGAAGTTATGAATGGGATGCGTAGAATGAATGACGGAAGCGTTGTGGATGTATTAGTACGTTAGTTTCGTTAATCTCATAGACCCTAATGAGTCTAAAGCGAAACATCTGGGTGTTCAACTTGAACTTCTACAACACGCACCGTCTGGACTGTGTAGGAGGGACGCGAATCTATTCGTCAGCCCGGCGACGCTCCAGAGCCTCGGTTGATCACTGAATTCTGTAGCTTGGAGAGACGCGGTGTATGCGCGGCAGACTGAACTGTGGTGGATATTTGTCAAAGTTTGGTGAATTCAGTGAGTGCGTCGACGTGACGTTCAGTCAATTCGGATGCCGTAAGGCCCGGAACCTGAGGCTGAGTTCCCGCGTCGCGGCAACGCGCCGTGGCACGTGCGCTCGAAGTACTTGGTTCAAGATATTCTTCGCGAGCACCGCCGGTACTCTCGCGTCGTCAGATTTTAGATACATGGTCTTCACTGCCCTGAGGGCTTTTGCGTGCGCAGGTTCCACCCACTGCATGTCCTGATACCTACGACCGCCCTCTTCCTGCAGTCTATAGCAGTCTCGTTACAACATACGCACCTTGCGGGGTGCATCTTCCGAGTCTCCAACTGTTGTTTGGGAATTAACAGCATGGGATCTATTTTATCTGCGTGAGCATGTCATACGGAAAGATTTGTGATTTGGCAAAGTTGCTCACGCATACGGCCAACTTGAACAGGTGCTATGCCCGCGTCGCGTTCTCACCGACATGTTGCTCGAAGTCCGCAGTTGGAGCGCAACTTAGAGATGCGGTGAGCCCACTTCGTGCGTATCAGCGTTGTCTGAACCAGCACCCCATAGGAATCTGCCTTCGATAATCTTTCAGAGGAGCAACTGATATCTTTCCTTGAAAAATATGACTTCTTCAACGGCCAGAGGGTCGGGTTACCGCGACCCCTCTCGCCATCTCCTTTGTGGCGCATCACATCAGATACTGTAGTCAAGCGCCTGTATGCTCAGACCGCACAGGAGCCATATATCATGGCACTTGTTGCTTCCTGCACATCCATCCCGGTGCCGAAGGTTCGAGGCTATGTGTCTTGGCAAGGATCCATTTGGCTCTTCATGGAACACGTAGAAGGCGATGATCTTGAAAGCTTTTGGCCGTCTCTCAGCATGTTGCGGAGGCTTAGCATAGCTTGGACGCTGCGCAGCTACATACGACAGCTCCGAGCTGTCGCGTTACCTGACCTGAACGCGCCGGGTCCCTTCGACGGCTCCGGAAAGTCTATACGCTGCAACGGCCATTGCTTCACAGAGATCGGTGCTGGCCCATTCGCATCGTACGCCGAGATGTCCGCATGGTTCGCCAGGAAGCGCTGGATCGCCGTCGAGCTAGAATGGCGGAGGGTCCGCCGCGGCGCATCTTCCGCACCCAACAAGCCCCATTTCGACGACAGCATGCCCCTCGTCCTCGTGCATGGCGATATCAGTCTGCGCAACGTCCGCGTGGGCAAAGACGGGGTGATTTGGCTGCTGGATTGGGGCTTCGCCGGCGCGTACCCGCCGTGGTTCGAGTACGCGGGTATCGTGGCGTATGATATCAGCCCAGTGCGGGGTGTCCCACGGTCGTGGCTATGGCTCGCACTGCTGGTCGCTGGCTGGTATAAACCACAGCAGTCATTCATACATGAGATCAGCATTGCTTTGGCCAACTACCGTATTGACGGGCCTTAACCTTGTCGCGCACTTCAAAGAACAGATGCGAGCTCGGTGTTTCTGATTCGTATGCGCTCCGGAATTACTGAGGCCGTCTAACAATTGTAACAACTTACTTGATAGCATGATGCACTGCTCTGCTTTGCGAGCAAACCATTACTTATTCCCTTGCTTGGGGCACCACGAGTACTACGTACTTAGTGACTCAGAGAAACGCGATCGTGGTAGTGACTCGAAACTCGGAGAAGGCATACAATAAGTTGCACTTCCCACAAAGAAACAGTTATCGGACAACAACTTTCAGCTTCGAGCCGTCGAATGAGGGTCGAAATATATAGCAGAGAAGAAATTTAGAACACGAGTAAGGTTTCCAGGCCACGTGCCCGCCACAGACGCGACGCGACGCGCGTCTTTTCCAACTCAGCGCACTATTCACAACCCAAAATGTCTCGCACCCAAATCGCCACACTCGAAAAATTATGTGGAAGGCAGGAGACTTTCACTAAATCCGAGGCTCTCTTTCACTCAGCCGTCGCCAAGACCGGTCCAGGATCGGGATACTCCCTCGGTGACGCGTCCGTGGGTCTGCCTGCTATATGTGCATACATCGCGTCGCTAGAGTGCGCACACTATCTTCTCACCTCATGTTATTGACTGACGCGAAGATGTTCAGGTTAGGCAACGGCGACGTGTCCGAAAAGGTAGCACAAACCGCATCTTGCGTAACCGTCAAGCAATTCAAAACCGCTGTCCAAACCGTCCGTGCTGCACTTGCTGCTGCCGCCGCACCGAGTCAAGAATTGGAGACCGCGCTCTCCTACGATTCCCTCATGCGGAAGTACCACGTTGGCAGGAAACGCTTCGTGCACGACTGTCTTTGCGATGTCGAGAAAGCTCTTGTCGCGAGTCGAGAGCTGCCCCCCGACCTACACCCTCCATGTGATGCTGTTACTGTTGCTGTGTTCTACTGGACGTGTGCTGTAGTCTTGAAAGTGCGTCGCATCTTCTTTAACTTGTGCCTTATCTCATGCCAGCTCGCGCCTGTAGATGAAAAGGAAGAACATCCAGCCGGAGGTAGTCTTGCGAGAGCGCGGGCTCGTGCGGGATGACTACGACGAGATCATTGACATCCTCCAGACCTCATGCCAAGACGTTGCGCTCAAGGTCGACGCTAAAGTGGCCGAGCTGCGAAAAGAGGTTCCAACGCCCACTGCCGGCCCATCCGCGTCCACATCTTCTGCCACCGCCACACCCAACGTCTCGCCCACCAAGTCACCGACCAAGTCCGCACTGAAGACCAGACCCCTCGACGCGTCACCGACGAAGACCCCCACGCACAAGCGCAAGGTGGCGTTCCACGACCTCGCCACGGACGAGGACCAGAGCGTGCTCGAAACACCCACGAAGAAGCGCCGCACCTCCCCAGCGAAACCGGTTCTTCCTCAACTCTCTGTCTTGCCAGTGCCTGTGTCCACACGCCCGAGCCGTTCCCCGACGAAGCGCGGCCCGTTTCCCGACAGCGCGACGTCCTCGTCACGAGCCATGCTCAACCCCCTGCAAACCTCAGAAGAAGACCTCGATCGCTCGCAGCAGCCCGCGTTCCCTCTCGTCGCATCTGCTGACTTCTCCGGCCAGGGCCCTTCCACTCCCCGCCGCCGGGCGCCCCAGACGCCAACCAGCGCCCGCCGTGCCAGCTCAAACGGTTTAGAGACCCCAACCAGCGTCAGCCGCATGGGGAGACAAGCTCCACGCCTAGAGATCTTAGACGAGCCTCCCCGACCGCGATTCCGACCGGTGTATCTTGATCATAGACAGTGGGTCTCGCGAGATCCGCGAATCGAGCGGGAGTGGAGGCTGGTGGAGGAGTTCAGACGCAGCCTAGTTGTGAGTAATCGTGCGGAAGTTGGTGCGTGAAGCTGGGTTCATGAAGCCCTCGTGTGTATTCTCTTATGCGTTCTTCGGTTGTGGACTAAATTGGCGGAGCAAGGTTTTACATGTGTAGAGATGTGGCGGTATAGGCTGGGATCCTTAGATTTATTTTTCATTAGAAGCAAATGTATACCAATCAAGCAGTTGTTGAGATCACCATTGGAAGTAGGTGTGATGAAAACAAAAAGTATTGTCATACAGAGCACGAACAATTGAAGGGATGCAAGCGCGACTGTTGTCGCTTCATGGGTATCCAACGCCTGTGTTTTCAGTTCTTCTTTGCTCTCGCGCTGGCTTGAGCCGAGCGCAGGGAGCTCGCAATGTGCCCGTATGAGTCAACCATCAGCCACAGCGGAATGATAACCCATCTGACACGTAGGTCAGCAGCAGATAAATTGTGAAGGGTGAAGGGACTTACAGGATATTCATGAACTGGAGTTGCGGTTAAAATGTGAGCGCCGAAGTTGTGTACATGGAGGAGTCCAGTTACTTACTACAAGGTACACCCAGAGGGACAGCGCGTTCGACGTGTCCAAGTTCGGACTTCCGGTCAGCCACTCCGGGCAGAATGTCATCCATCTGTAACATTCAGTCAATGACGCAGGAATCACGGGCGAAGGAGAGACAGACCCTCCGTAGATCTCCGCCGTGCACAGCACAATGATCCAGTAGTGCCTTGCAGGGTCGTCCTGCACTAGCAGCTTGACGATGTAGCAGCACCTGTGAATGCAGTAAGAGTGAGTGAACGTAAGTTGTAGGAGTAGGAGTACGCACAGGGGACCAGCACCGAGTACGGTCAGTATCTCGAGCGAGACAACAGTGGGGTCTGAGAAACCCCAGCGAGCGTCTGCACGAGCATACTCCTTCCCTGGGGTCATCATCATCAGCACACAGAAGTCATGGCATGCCGTGCGCACGAAACACTACAGAGTACTCACACAGCTCGGCGAACGGGCCGACGCTCGTATTGACCTGGCGTCCAAACACCGACAGGTAGAGGAACGAGCCCTCAAACGAGAAATGTATCATCGCATCGAACGCCTACATTGTCCTCAGCGTCGCACATCCAATACCATCTGCCGAATAACTAGTGGGATAGACGGACCAGCCAGATATACGTCGCGCGGTCCTGCCACTTGGCATTTTGGGGGAGAAGGGCCTTCGAAGTGGTGTATGCGACGAGGCCGACGACAGCGACAAAGGCCAATGAGTACGCTGAGGTCGCGGTGAAGATGGGGGGCGTGGCGGACGGCGCTGACATGGTTGTCGGTGGAGGACGTGGGAGATGAACAGTAGCCTCAAGCTCGTACGACTCGGAGGCACGCGACGCGACACGCGTCTATGCTAGCTAGCATCATCACACGAGAACCCTTGGCTGCCATATTTCTGTCAACGCAAAGTTGACGCAAAGTATCCTAGAAGGACACGCTGTAGGTCTGATCCCGGATTGTCGGCGTACATATGTAGTTCCTGCGCGTGTGTTTGGAGAGTATACTGTCGATGGGTCGGATTCGATTGGCGCCCCGTGGGCGCTTGGTCACGTCACACCCTGATTTCAAAATACGTCAACTGGAGGCTTCCGTGAGTAAGTAACACTGCTTGTAATTTTTCTGTTACACTCTAAGAAACTACTCTAATGGGTAATGCAATGTGGACTTAAAATTCGGCGCTAACGGCAGCCTACCATTGGTCGCTCTCTCCCCTCTGAACAAGCACGGACAGTCGAAAGCGGCGGTGCCACACTTGAGTGCTCTGGTAGTCATTGTTAGACTGTGCGTCGCTGTCGCCGACGTTGCGCGGACGGTGTGCTGTCCGCGCTCAGCGGCGCCTGTGGACACGCGCTCCCGGTGGCCTACGAACTCTCTAACGTGCCTTGTAATTGCAAACAAGGCTGGTAACAACCTGTTTACTCATTGCTTGCGGCACTGGCTCCGGTTGCAGGGCTGGCGGGAGAAGCCCTCAGCCGTGACGTGACGAGGGGCGCCGGTAGGGCGCCAATCGAATCCGACCCATCGACCATGCCCTCTGTGTTTGGAGTCTCCAGTCGAGAATGGCATAAGATGCGGCCGATCGCGAAACGATCTCTGGAGATCTGGATGAGATGCGCCTGCGGCTGCTCGATCAGATGATGATACCGACTCATACATCTGCACTGGTTCAACTCTACTTTGACCCACTATCTCCAAGTTCTAAATGTTGTTCAGGGGTGACCTAGTTCATTGCCCCAGTCTGGGAGAGTTGGAGATTGTGCACGACCACCTATTAGGTAAGTTCCCAGTAGTAAGATGAGCGCGACCTCAAGTTGTTTATCACTGCAACTGACGCAAGCATTCCAAACTCTCAGTCATAGATGACAAGGGCTATGTGAGCCATGTCGTACCATCAGGTTCCAAGGTAGCCCTGCAAATCATCGAGAACGCGTCGGATCCGCCCATAGTTATTCCTCGGGGCAGCTTCCTCCTCCCCACGTTCTGCGATCTTCATCTGCACGCTCCCCAGTTTCTGTACCAGGGAACAGGCCTGCATCTCCCACTGATGCAATGGCTGGACGAGTATGCGTTCAAGGCAGAAGAGAGCCTCGACGGTGATCCCGATCTGGCTATGAGGGTGTACACGCGGCTTGCGGCTCGACTGATAGAGAACGGTACGGGAGCGGTCCTCCTGTTCGGTACCATCAAAGAAGAGACAAAGTGAGTGTATCTAGGATTCAGACCCTTGAATTAAGCTATGTTCGCTCGTGGAGCACCTGACGATCAGTTTGATCCTGGCCGAGGTAATGCAAACAGCCGGCATTCGCGCATTCGTAGGAAAGCTCTCGATGGACGTTTCGTCTCGATCATCATATGTCGAAGAGTCGGCAGACGCTGCACTCTCTTCCGCACGCTCATTTACGGAAAAATGCCTTGAACTAGTGAATAGATTGCCCGAGCACGATCGTCTCATCGCACCAGTACTCACACCGCGCTTCGTTCCTACATGCACCGACGCGCTCCTGAAGGGCCTAGGCGACCTCTCAGAAAGCAGAGGCCTTCGCATCCAGAGCCACATGGCGGAGGCCCTCGAGCAGGTGCAACTGGTCAAGAGCGACCGCGGGATTGACGACATCGAAGTCTTCTCCAGAGTAAGCCAATCGACTATTTAATTCGCTCATAGCAAAGCTCACATTGGTCTTAGAGCAACCTTTTAACACCGCGGACCGTGCAGGCGCATTGCACGTTCCTCGACCCACCGTCACTTGCCCGCGTCGCAGAGTGCGGCACTGCCGTAGCACACTGCCCGCAGTCCAACGCGTACTTCTCCGCCGAGCCCTTCCCCCTTCGCGAGGCGCTGCACCTCGGGGTGAAGGTGGGGCTTGGGTCCGACATCGCCGGTGGGTACAGTATTGACATCATGGACTGCATGCGACGAGCGGTCGCGGTCTCGCGGATGCGCGAGGGCGCCCGAGTGATGGGCCACACTACAATGAAGCTCAACGATGGCAGTGGCGAACTCGCAAATCTGTCTGTGGACTGGAAGGAGACGCTGTATCTGGCTACCAGTGGAGGAGCAATTGCGCTGGGCTTGCCTTCAGGAAGCAATACGTTTACCGTCGGCGCACCTTTTGACGCGCAATGCAGTGAGCGTCGTTCATATTATCGTGACGAACATCTAATTTATCCTTGGGTTCGCAGTCCACCTCTTTGAGAAGGACACAGGGACCGGTATAGGTCCATTGGACTTCTTCCATGAGCACGCAGAACCTTTGGACGAAGTAGAATTGACGAATGACATGATTGAAAAATGGTGGTGTATCGGAGACGTGCGGAATCGGGGGAAAACGTGGGTGCAAGGTAGGCGTGTAGCAATGCGATGATATCTGGATATGTTTGTCTACCCTTGAACCCCTTTACAAATGACTTTATCCAGTGTTATCATGCCATCGTATGGATGTTTTGATGACTCCCGCCCAGAAAACTACTTGCAGCTGGCCATCAACTTATCTCTGAGGCAACCAGAGGAGCAGGACCCACCGAAAAATCAATGGGCAGCGATGTATCAGGAAGATTGCTCTAGATCCCTTGAGATTAATTCCTTCCAGGATGGAAGACCTACGACACTCGGTAGCTCCTGCCAAAGCTTATACCGTGCTATTATCACGTCCTGGCCAAATGCTCGTTGACACGGCATACAGAGGTTGGGGTCCTCAGCTAATTCATCCACAGCTTGCACCATGTAATGAAAGGGGCCAGTCCTTATCATCCAACCGCGGGACAACCTCGACGCTAATCTGGAAAATGCCTTTGTACACATGGTAGGGTCACCTTTACAGTAGCTAGATGCCGTGCGCTGGCCGCACACACGGCGGATAAAATCCAGCAAAAGATCTAATCGATGTTGAAACATCAGGGTGTAGTCCTGCATCTGGCGAGCAGAGAGGTCGGACGATGGTCGCGATGGGTGCTGCACTTTCAGTTTGGCGTGGTCACCTCGCAAGATATCGTGAAGGGGGTACAGCGAGAGGAAATATAATGCCGACGGCACGACGACGCTGACGTTGGTTTCGTGAGCGAGATTGAGAACGTGCAGAGGATGGACGTATGGATACGTCAGGCCATCGACCTCGGGTGACTTTATCGCGAGTTCAAGCATGAGGTCGTGACCTCGGAGGGTGTGACTCCATGTCTGGGAGAGGTGGTGGATAGCTTGTGTGCGCATGTGCGCAATGAAGTATTTCGTCGCGAGACGTAGGATGCCGGCAAGGTAGAAGAAGTCTTCGACACAGTTATTCTGGAATGAACTGACATTAGGAAGTCAAGCCTGCACACCTCGAGGACACTGCTAGCGATTGAGACAATACTCACGCCCCGTCATACAGCGCCTTGATAAGGCTACTCAGTTCGACCGGTAGATCATACATCCGCACGACTTGACAATTATCTAGGGTTTCGACGTCCGTCTGGGAGGGTGAGGGCATTTCAAACATGGACTGGAATATCTCCGAGTGCCGCGCGAGGACTCCGCGATGCACCTTGAACGCGACTGGAGGTTTGTCTGTGAGCAGAACGAGATTTCCGTCGTCGAACCATGGTTCGCCCTGCTCATGTCGCTGGGGAGAGATGTTGTTCATGTGCAAGTGACAACTGAGCTATAACCACTGGCAGATCGTCGGCCAGCGCTCGGCGAAGGCTCGGCGAAACATGGACTCAGAGAGACTACAGTCGTTCTCTACTAATATCCTACGCTGTGTAGCTCCCGCCGTGCGATGGACACTCCGCGTTCGCGCAGGCCGTCGCGAGTAGGAACACCAATTACAGGCCCTTCGCCGTCACGGCTCGCCCCTCCAGTCATCCGACCAGCACCTTCGGTGTCCCCGTATAGAGTCTACAGTCGTGGTTCATCTGCATTGCAGACCCCAGTCTCTGCTTCTCCACCCGACGATGCTGTGTCGCATGGGGTACACGAGGCTGTCTCTAGCTCTTCCTCTTCCTGCCTGACTGTTGACATGAGCGAGGGAATCCTCGTTCAGGAATCTGAGGTTGAGGCGGAGACGGCTGATGCGGAGCGGGTGGATGCGACTGGTCATGTCGAGTCTCGCGCGGGAGACGAAGAATCGAAGAAGAATTTACGGGAAACGTTGAGGCAGACATTGAACAAGAAAGAATCTCGCAGTGGTGAGTGTCTGATGCCGTCCGGGATGTACGCAGCATGTGAAGCCCCTTCAGACCTGTCGTCACGACCGCCAAGACGGAAGGGGAAGGCCGTCGACATATCGGAGGTACCTCTTACAGGTATGGTCCTCTTGTGTTGATTCTCAGTGGTTTTGATCAAATCCTGGGTGTTATGCAGTGGACATTTATCCTCCACGGCAGTATTTTGTTCTGACCGATGCTGGCAAACCCGTCTTCATCAGGTAAGCCATATTCTGTTATTATATGTCTGTTGGTATGTTAACTTCTGCTAACATCGACTGTGACAGCCGGAGAGAAGACGACGATTCTGAAAGCTTCACATCTACCATCGGAATTATGCAAGCACTCGTGTCTGTCTTCCTTGATGACGGCGACAAGATACGCTGCATTAATGCTGGAAATACACGCATAACGTTCCTGCTCCGTCCGCCGCTATACTACGTCTGTGTGTCTTCCTGGGGAGAGCCTGAATCTGTGGTGGGTGTCTGTTCCTGTGCTATGTGTTCTCATAAACCGGAAGAGTGTTCGCGGCTGATGTTTGCAAAGAAAGACACGTTTCCATTTAGAATATCTGCACCTGCAAATTCTGAGCGTCATATCGGCAGAGCAATTGCGGCGGATGTTTGAACGTCGGACAAATTTTGACTTGCGGCGCCTCCTAAGCGGTATGTAGAATACTGATTGTGCGCTACGCGATAATGCTGACTCGTGCATATTTTAAGGTGCGGAGCCACTTCTTTTCTCGCTTTTGGCAAGAATGGAGTGGGACCTCGCAATGAGCACGTCCTCCTTGCACTCGCTCAGGCTTGATCCTGCCTTACGGAAGAGCATAGCTGATGTCTTAGTGCCTACATCGAAGATCAAAGTATGTCACGTTCTCAGAGAAATCGAGGGTCTTTGTATCTAATATCCTATAAGGACATGCTATACGTCATCCTGGTCGCCCAAGAGCGAGTCATCACACTTGTCAGGCCCAAGAAACACTCCATTCATCCCGCTGGTTTGTCGAATATGATCAAGTGCATCCGTTCCGACTAATTGAACCGCGTATCTAGACCTTCACATACTCATTAATACGATACATTCACCATCGATCCTCAATTCATCAGCCTCCGCTTCCTGGCTACCAGTGTGCCTCCCGAAGTTTAATCCTGCTGCGTTCGTAAACGCATACGTGACATTTCTCCGGAGAGAGAACGAAGTCAGCACTCCGAAAGCCCCAGAGGGCTCTGAAAACGGCACACCGACGGAAGGGGGCCACCGGGCTGGCAGTGCCAGTAGTAGCATTACAGACATACCATCACCAGAGGAGCCCGTCCCACATATAGGCCTGGTTTGTGTGTCTGGAGGCGCGGATTTCGAGGTCGTGCGACATTGGTGCGACACCGTCACCCAAGTATGTGCTCTGCTGCTGTCTTTGTATCATTATCTGATGACAAGCCTGCCGCAAGCGAATGGAGCGAGAGAAGCTCTTGTCGACCCTCACTGAGGCCATCAACTCTGGTGAAACCGATTACTCCGTAGCAGACTTGGGCATACCGGGCTTGCGCCACTTCGTCTACAAGTCGAGATCCCATGTGCAGGTGACGATGTCACAATTTGACGATCCTTATGATGATGCGAACGAGAAGCGACGGTGAGCCGACCCACCACCGGAGTGCTCACTCAACGCTCATCACCCTCTTCCCTCAGACTCATAACTCTGTATCAAACACTGTACGACGCGATCCACGCCAAGTCGGGCCAAGAAAGCACGCTGAAATTGCAGTATCTACGCACTGAGAGGGAAAGTGTGATGGGCTGGGTGAGTCCGCCCGATAAGTGTCGCTGTCGCCGTGCATTGCTGATCGCCCCTGGCTCCGGCAGATAACACAGCCCTTCGAGCTCTACCTGGCTTTGTCTCCCCGCCTGCCGAAAAGCGCCGCGGTGGGCGCTGCTAATGCCGTCGCACGGTGGGTCGCGAAAGAGGAGAAACGACTGTTTTTGAGGGACGCACCTGTTTTCTGATTTATTGTTGTCTCTGCTGTATAGCTTGTTTTGACGGACGGACAAGGAGTTTTTTTAAACACGCATCGAATTAGTTCTATTGATGTCGTCGTTCGTTTCATAAGTGGGACTGATTGAGCCTTTGCTGCGATACCTCATTGTCCGCGCCGAAGCTGATTCTATCGTATCTGAGGCACCGGATCATCTTGCGGAGATGTGCATGCATTATACTCTGTGTCCTGATGTACAAGGTGCTGCTGTTCCGCGTTAACAGAAGCTTCGCGGCGAAGTTTCTGCAAAACCGATTCGTGATCCGCAGGTCTGACCACACACCTACCAGTAGCAGAACTGGGAACATTCTGCCCTTAGGCTGTACGCGCATAATAATCGTATGCAGGCTGCGGTGACTGGGACGCGGTGGAAAGGATTCTGTAGAGGAGTCATACAGACCGTATACGGATATGCGGTCCCGGCAGCTTGGAGTCGCGTGCGCGAGGAAACAAGACGATGCATCGGGGAGCAGTGCGCAGAAATCTCAGCTCGACAAATATTTCATCGGGCTTCGTGCGTTCTAGTTCCTCGTGGCGAGGCGTGGGTTGTAGCCGGCAGATGCCTGCGAGGCACTGACAATGGCCTCTACAACAGCCCTATAGTGTGCATGGCGCCAGCTTTATCAAAGCCTGCGGACCGCATACCATCGCGAGTAGCATAACGCCCTTTGGTGACACAAGCCCTCGTCGGTGGCTCGCCGTTCCGTTGACAAGATTTCCCACCCAGAGCATAAGGTGGGCCATAGCAGCGTCGAGTACCAATAGCGCGTAAGAAATATCCAATCGGACCTAACAAAGCGGCTGCGTGTGCCGGAACTAGTATCTGGTGGTCAGTGACAGCATCGCTCGTGGAGCTCAGACACACATAAAGGAAGCCTCTGGGACCATATCCAGCAGAAACGCGCCAAAATTTAAAAGAACCCCCTGCCTGGGAATATTCAGAGTAGTGAGTGCGGAGGGGGGGCCGTGGCGCGCACCTCCGCGGAGATTGGTGTGATAATCAGTGGCGGAGAAGGCGTCAGCGCCGCACTCCCTGAGCATGCCAATGGGCTGGCTTTCAAGTGTACACTATGAAGCGTGCCCGAGTGCATTCCCATCATCAGAGTAGTGTAAATGAGCGGCTCCCGCATCCTCGAAGCGCGTGGTGGTGCGCAGCGTGTACCTGGAATGGTAGAGCGTATGTGTGGCTGGATACGCTGCGTGAGCGGTGCACTCAGGTCCACAAAATGGGGGACAGATATGCGTGAAAGATAAAGAATCACAGTTGCGTCAAAGCAAAACATTTTCGTTATAGCTGAGGACACGAAATTAAAGCGTGGGGCCCAGGACATTGACACTCAAGCAACACTGGCAGAAAATACAAACAAGACGTACCTTGTGCGACCGTCAAAATTGCACCTCGGAATCTTTCAGAGCATGGTAAATCGCAATATAAAAGATGTCATCGAGAATTTAGCATTGGCGCCAACACTGCCACCCCATACACCCCTCACCGTAAGGTAATCTTCGATTTTCCGGCGGCTTATGTGCAGGCCTGTGCAACTATGCAAAAACTGACCTCGAACCATTGTACCGTCAAAGACCTTCGTGGCGGAGAGGACAGAAAATCCGACCGAGCTCGCAGAGCCGCCACGCGGGTGTATGGTGCACAACTGTTTCGTGCAAGACTCTTGGTCTCCCAGTGTCGGCTCTTGAGTAAAAGAGATTACTGGGCATAGCATGGCGTACGGGACCTTGGCAGCTTTGCGTCATGGCTGCGGAGTCTGCCGGATAACTGGGGTGATAGACACGATGGCTGTACAGAAGATAGGTAATTCACCTACTGCACTCATCCGGATACCGTCACTTCTATGAACGTGTCCGGGGGTTGCACCACGACCAGAGCTATCAGGGAGAATCAGCGCGCAGTAAGTAAGAGATACTTCGCCAGGAATGGCAAGTCCTGTCTTCGTGACCATCGGCCACGTGCACGTGCACTCATATCTGCTGTTTGCGTCAACATTTCTGCTGTGTTCACCGGCTGTCTACGGTCTCCATGTCGCAACATCTGAGCGCACGGATCGCAGCGCTTGCGCCAACGCTCTGCCGCACGTTCCAGAACAAGGCCGCGCTGCGGCCAATACCTGCGCCGCGAGGTAGCCGGCATTCCTTGTCTTCCTGGATGCATAGCTGACTGCATATGCTTGGACGGACAGGCTCGATTGCGACGGCGGGGGACTTCTTGAAGAGGATTGGGCGGTCCGCGGACACGAAGCTGACGGTGGAGTCGTGGGACGACCTATGGAAGTTTGACGGACCGCAACTGAAGAAGTTGGGGCTGGCGGTGCGCGATCGTAGGTGAGCGTCCGAGCCTGTTCCTGCTCATTCGTACCCCATCTATTTCTGTTATTCCAATGGTGGAGACTGGCGGGCGAGAACGGTGCGTTGACGGATTCGTTGTGCAGGTACATTATGTGGAGCTTGGAGAAGTACCGTCAGGGCGAGGATCCGGCGGAGTTTGCACACCCTCCAAAACCGAAGAAAAAGATTCGTGGGTACGCGTCACTTCGGTCCTGCGAGTGCAGCACCAGCACACTTACTCACGTCTTTCTAGGTGGGGTCCAGCTGTGCAGAACGGGAAGCGGATACGTTCTCGGAGACACCGGTAGATTGCTTACAGTTTTCCGTGTTCGCTTTGTTGTCACGCGAATACATGAGCGCGCGTGCGCAGCAGTTGACGAACTCGTGTGCGTTTGTTGATCGACAGAAGTGAGTCAGTGGTGCTTTGACGATTTGGTAACCAAGGCGTGCTTTAGATGTTGCCTCGTGTATTGTCTGGGTGAGTTGCAGTGCTTTGTCTCCTGCACATATATAATCCCCTTCCTTCAGCCCATCGCCCCCACAACCCTCCGTCAGCTCTTTGCACCCGCATCTGCAACAACTTCCAAACATCGAATGCTCCTGTACTACACCAAGTTCCGCACTTCGGTGTGGGCCCGCAAACGACAAAATGGTATAATCCAGCACCCTCGGAGAAACTTATTCACTACCGCAGACCCTTGGGTGTGTCTTTCAAAAACCTCCGATACGGGGAATCGAACCCCGAGCTACCGCGGACCCATTTCTGAAAGGCGGTAATGTTAGCCGTTACACCATATCGGATGGTGGAGTTAGATATTAACTCAGCCATCTTTCAGAGACAGGTGCATGGTAGGAAGTGAGCCGATATCCCCGATTAACTGCTGGTTGGAACTCACTCACTTTCAGAGGAAACAGTTGTGGTGGGTGATGGGATGGCGATGAAGTAAGACAGGGACGAGTGGCGGGAAGGTTGATGTGGAGGATTTCGTGGATAAGAGTTTCCGGGGGTCAGGGCAAGGCGATCTCGAGATCTGCGCGCACCTGCAATTTCTTGGTGAATTGTGCAGAGGGCTCCGAGTACGATGTTCACTATGGCGCTGCCACTGTGCACAGGTGCGTTTAAAGCACCTCTAGTCCACTCCCCCCATCCTCCCACCCCGCCCACATCCCTCACCCGCCAACATGGACTCAACCTTTTCCCTTCCCCACAGGTGCCGACCGGCGTCCACCTCCAGGGATGCCGCTCTGGCAAGGGCACCCTTTCTTCCCGCTGACCCCCGTGCGTCCTGGCTCGGTTCCTACCCGTCGGGAGGTGTGCCCTCGTCTTCTGTTCTGAGTCCGACCGGTGGTCTCTTGCGCAATGCGGCGTCCTTCCCTTCCTCGATGCGCCTTCCGTTCGTCTCTTTGTCCCCTTGGCATATACACTTGCACTTACACGTACCAGGTCGCAGCAGGATGCTCTCGGACTCGATCAAGGTACCTCGTTTAATGGCGACTTCGACCTCTGTGCAACCACTGCCCCTCTAACGGACTTCCTCCCCGCTGACTTCGGACTCGACGCCTCGTCTGCTCTGTCTACTCAGCGGCAGCAGCATACCCTGTATGTCGATCCGACGCTCCTCGTTCCGCCAATTTTCGCTCCCGCACCCGTCCGCGCACTCACCCGAATGCAAACCCAAGCGCGTCTGGACGCGTTTCTCCAGGACGCCGTAGGTGAGCACGATACGGTGGAAGCGAACGCTCCCGCGTTCACTCCCCGGGCGTGTCCTCCTTCGCGTCGGAGTCTGCGGGTAGCCACCGCCAAGAAGAGCCGCCAGTCGCCAGGGCCCATCACACCTCTCGCGCCGCCGCCGTATCTAGAGACGGCCGCGTACAGGTCAACCTGCGGGTCGACATCGAGCGCCTCGAACAGCGGAGCGTCCCCTTCGCCCGCGTTGTCACGATCTTCCTCCTCTGTAGAGGGTGCTGTGCGCCAGTATACGCGCCGAAACAAGCAGGTCGCCGGACCTGTGGTGTGTCCCGACGAGGGATCGACCGTGTGCCCCATGTGCAGCAAGAAGAGCTCGCGGTTGCACGATGTCGCGCGGCACATGGAGACCCACAAAGGGAAGATTGAGGGCATGTGCGGCGGAGTGTCCTGGGAGGAGGCACTCTGCCTCGGGGTCGACATCACCAAGGGCCCAACTTTGGTCGACGAGGGTCTTGCGTACTACGGTGGATGCAAGAAGGTATTCAGCAGGGCGGACGCACTGCAGCGGCACTTGAAGTACACAAAAGACGGGTGCGTGGGGAGTGTTGGAACCCCATACAACCTCTCCCTTAGAAAAACCTGCCGTCGACAGCGACTGCATTGCCGCTAACACAAGCCTGCCCCTGACCGTTACAGATGCTGACGATCCTCATCCCAGATCACGTAGCTTTTATCTCTTCATCCTCTCCCCATCTCATTGCATCTTCTTATCTCTCACTTATGTGTGATCCCCCACTCCACGCCTTACGCAAACACACGGACACTTGCGCTCACTGACCACCTACACATCTAAGTAGCCTACCAGGTACCCCCACCTTGTAGCGTTCACACACATCGCTCCATCTGCATACCACGAACATCATATCCAGCTGACCCTGTCTATACCCGTGACAGTACGATACCCAGCCACAACCATATATCGAGCAGTCTACACTCACCTCGTACAGGAAATACCATCTTCACAGTGATCGGCGCTCACAATTCATTAGCGTCGGTCAATGTCATGTGTAGGCATTTCGCCCATACCTAAGCACGGATGTGGGTGGACCACTGTGCTAGCAATCGGCACGTAGTAAGTGATACATGGTAAGACGAAGCGCAAGAGATGCGATGTGGCTCAGAGACCGGATCGCGAAATGGAAGAACTCCACTGACAAAAACATCTAATCGGTGCTGGAACGACTAGAAACTGCGACACGGAAGATGCTACGCGACTTCGTCGTGCAGGATGACATATTCGCGCGTCGACTCCCCGAATTTTATTACTAGAAATTCAAAGTCAGTGCGGGACAAGCGCACAGAATGAACGACGCACCATCGCCGGGCTGCAGCTCATAATACCGCGATGTTGGTATAGTCTCATCGTTTACGTGCGTGCCATTCGTAGACTCAAGGTCAATGATGAATGGTCTGGAACGCGAACAGTGAGATGGGAGAGAAGGAAAGGAAGGGAGATACCAACTTTACGACGCCTTTGGAGTCACCAAGCTCGTTCTTCTCGTGCACCTGTCTGACTGAGGAGGGAGGTCAGCGCGAACCATAAGGGAAAAATGGGCCATACTTACACTGGATAGCTGCGTGCTGCTTCGAGCACGACGGGTGGTCCACCGCCACATCCGCGATGGAGCGATCCCGCCCAATGAGGTACGCGCTCTGGCGGTGAATGTGCAGCAAATCTACAGCCGGCAGTCAGTACCGGAAAATTTAAACATGAGCACAGAGCGACGCACCGACTTGCTCCTTCCCCTTGAACACGTACAGCCGCCAGCCGACGACGGGCTTGCGCGCCTCGGGCGGCTCGTGATACTTGAGCACCGTGCTCGTCCCGTCCCCATGCTTGATTGTCTTCGTCGCGGCTGCAAGTAGTCCGGAGGGTGCGAAGTTCGGTTTTGCCTTGTCCTCGGGCGAGTCCTCCCGAGATGGGTGTGACCTCGAGCGCGGTCGCGACGAGCGTGCGCGCGGGGAGGCGGAGCGACGCGAAGGGCCTGCTCGTGGGCCATCCCTTTCGTTCTCCCTGTCCCTGTCCCTGTCCCTCACCTTCATTCGATCCTTGTCTCGGTCTCTGTCGCGTTCTCTGTCTCGTTCCCTCTCTCGTTCTCTGTCTCGTTCCCTCTCTCGTTCTCTGTCTCGTTCCCCCTCTCGTTCTCGGTCTCGTTCCCTCTCTCGTTCTCTGACTCGTTCCCTCTCTTTGTCCATGTCGCGCTCACGTTCGCGTTGCCTCTCCCCGCCGTCTCCCCGGATCCTGTAGTCGCGCTCTGCATTCCAATCTCTCCGGGAGTAATTGTCATCTTTCCGTCGGCCGTATGTTGACCTCGAGTCTGGGTCCGTGCCTCGGTCTCTTCCATGGTTGTCACTGCGGTCTCTGTAGCGCGGGCGGTCGTCTTGTCTGTTGCTCCTGGTGTAACCGCGCTCGTCGTCATCCGAGCGACGTAGTGGTGGTGAATCCTTTGCCATTAGATGCGTTGCAAGACTGAGTTACTTCTAAAGCAGTCAACCCCGCGATGAACTAGGGTCGAAACTGGGTTTATAATTATAATTAGCTATGATGTTATTTCATAGTCTTTCGGATATGGTTTAACGGCTAACATTATCGCGTCTCATTACTGAGGATCTCCACGCTACGCGATATCTCGGGGTTCGATTCCCCGTGTCCGAAATTTTGCGGTTTACATTTCTGCTCAAGGCTGTAGCTGGGAGGATGGTGTTTTGAGTACTACGAGAAGGCACCACAGTTTCTGTCTGTCACACGCAGCAGATAATGAAATTCATAGGCTCCCTTTTTACCTACAGAAAAAGTTAGGTACAAAAGAGAGTGCCAATCCAAATACCCTGGTAGGGGCCAAGATGATCGACAATATTGCCATCCAGGATGTTTGGGACAGATAAGTCTGTGCACTGTTCATCCGTGCCGTCATCATCGCCGGGGCAGGACACCGCGTCGTCGGGTGCAATAATGTGCACCTCTCCATGTGGGTGCAGGAAACCCAAAAAGCGGCCGGGTACGATGGGTACGATATCCAACTCATTATTTACACGAGTGTAATCAGGAACCTGCATGATTCACCTGTGAGATCGTGAACAATAAAATCATGCGTGCCTACCATCGAGTCAAAGTATGTCGCATACGCGGAATTACCCACGCGAGGCGTCCCGTAGGTGATTGATTTAATGTGGATACTCGAGGGGAGTTGCAAGGTCAGGTACAGCGCATCAAGCTGGGCAAGGGCACCACCTAGCGAGTGTCCGACCTACCGTGGTATTTATAAAGAGATTGTCATAGGTATTCAGCGAACACTCACAGTGATGACATTGGTAGCGCTGTACTGCTGTATGAGAGAATTCGTCTCCGTCAGGATCGTTGTGGCCGTTTGGGCTTGCTCGTTCGCGAAACCACTGTGGACCCATATATCCGAGGAGACACCAGGGAACAGAGAACTGTCGAGATTCTCTGTGATAATGTCAGCATCTGTAAGATCTGACAAGCTTTGGAACTCATATGAGTAACAGATAACGTCTGATACAGGTACATAGAACGTACAATTGAGTGGGATCAGTTCCCTCGTGGGCAACTACGACTGCGTTTTCCTGAGGCCAATACCCAACATAGTCTATTGAAATTATATTTGTCAGAAAAAAAAACTCAACAGACGAATAGGCCTACACAACTGCAAGGCATTGCCGTCGCCTCCGGTGAGTGAGACTTCAAATCCTGGAACAGCGGCGCACGCTTCTGCATAGGGGAGACCATTAATGTCGGAACAGACGCTAGTAAGATAGTAAGTATCCACCACCACATTGCCAACCGGTAACGATGTCAGAGGGACAGTAAGCCGCTCTCGCGAACTCCGTATAGGGAGCGAAATCTGCAAGCTGTGAGGAGGTCAGAGTGGTGACCTCACGACGCTCGAGGGCTGCAGGCTCTTCTGAAAATGAGACTGGGACAGGGAAGGCGAATACGCTGGCAATGCCAGACAGCGAGGTAAGGATCGTGAAAAAGAGAGACATGGAGGCTGGTTTCGGTCTCAAGCAGAAGGTAGATTGTACGGGGGTGCAATCTCAACGAACGACTACGGATATATCGCACAGACCTTTGATGAGAGGGAATAAGCACCTAGAACCGATGCTTGTGCGCCATATTTTATGTGCGTGGGTATATTGTATTGCTGTCGCGTATGGCGAGACTCGTCCGAGACCAGGAAAATCACGCGCAACTCTCAGCCAAGTAGGGAAATATGAAGATCAAGAAGGTGGCATGGCAGCGTATCCTCGTGGTGACGCTCATGTGGATGACCTAGTGAGTGCAAGTCAGATCAAACAAGCCTGACAACGTACAACCTCACATTAATCGCAGTGCACGAGTGACGTGCGAAATCTCTACGATGGCGGAGCCGCATGAGGATTTAAGGTAGATGGGATCCCTCAGACGAGGTACTGCGGTCAGCTGGCCCATTTCAGCGTGGTCGACGATGAGAAGACGCGTCCGAGTGCCTTGTCGCGAGATGGTCGTGACCACTAGCTGAACGTTAAATTTCAATAGTCCGCGCGACACGCGTGCTGCGAGATCGAGATTGGCTCTCTGACGCCAGTGGCACTCGTTCAAGATCGTCATTATGAACGTGAGGCATCAACCTGTACGACGGATTGACAACGAATAATAAGTAAGCACTTCAAGTTTACCGCGCACCGATTTCTACACCAGACTTGCAGACACACTGCTACTCTGATCTACCACACGGATATGCCATGATTCATGATCAATCGCGCCTACCTGATATGGAAAGCGTCGACACACTACACCAATCTTAGGATTTGGACTACCCCTTTGCCAACCGGGCTATCATCTGATAGTCACCTGTGAAGAACTTCCGTACATTAGCATAAGCCGTGCATTTACAGGCACCAGTGATACAACTGAATCATGGGCTCACCACACCTCATGACCACACATATCCAGCGACTTGACCGTCATATGATTCACATTTAAGAGGTTGAGACTCCTTAAAGAAATCTATCAGAATGCACTTTGTATCTGTGAAGTGTCCATTACTGTGTTTAGTATGCCAACCTTCATATCGAAAGTTACCAAGCCTTGTCGTTCAGACTATGGGAGGTCGCTGCACTTTGTGAGGAGCGAACTGCAGAGGTCAATGTCGATGTTCAACATTGATCTCTCCAACCCCTTTCATAGCGATACCAGTAAATGACCTTCTGAATATGCAGAGTGGAGGCTTATTTCGTCTGTACTGCGGATGGTCCACTTGCATTGAGCGTGTCAGTTTGTTACAAAAATGATATGAATATACTCACGGTCAGACTGGTTTGTTGGCCATACCTTCGAAGCTTCATGGCCTGAACGTAGAATGGACACGATGACCACTGCGGATGACATAGAGCTGTGAGCACAGAAGCGACTCGAACAGCAAGGAGATGATCCAGTGCCAGAGATGCAGTCAAGAAAATGCCGTAGTGCGCTCAAAGTCGAAGTATGTAGCTTCATCGCTCTCACATTTACAGCGTCCTCTATCCCTTTACGGGGGCCATCGTTGATCCTCTAGATGTGTTACGAATTTCACATGGGCACACCAGTATTCGCGATGGGAAACATGGTACAGAGTGGAAGAGGTGTCGACTTCCCTGGACTTCCCCTTGAGAGACACACCTTTAGGACTTCCGGAGCCGCGAAGAACTGTCGAAGATCTAATGAGGATCCCCAGCAATGTTATCTGATCATGAATACTAGAGTTAAACTGTGAGAAAGTCAGACACCATGAGAGTAAAGTTGACAAAGACGTGCCTGAAGATGTCCACTATACAAATAAATGAGATATTTCAGACGCTTGCACTGTACACGAAGGTCAGCCGTTGGACTGGTGCAAATAGGTAGCGACAGATTGGGTCGAGACCAGGCTTGCAACTAAACAATAGCCTCGCATTGTGTTTTACGGCACGTCCACAGCGGGCCTGGGATCTACCACAAGTGGTCGAGATAAGCCAGGAAACAGAAGCAGGGCCTCCGCAATTATCGCTTCTGTGTCGCTGTTACCCCCAGCCAGTCATAGAGATATCCACTATGAGAGTGAACAAGAACGTGTTTTGCATGTTGCGAAGATTCTCTGTTTCTTCCCATATACTCTAAATCACGAATATGAACGCTCCAGGGTCAGAGAGAGGCCAGTGTTCAGGCAATGAACGTAAAGAATGCATCTATGCAAAAGAAGAGTGCAAATTTGACTTCGGTGGAACTTCTTCCCACCGGACATCTTCGTTATTGTGTCAGGCCATCGGTCGTGTAGGTACACAGCGACCAGCCATCAGAGTCTCGTATCAGAGCTGATAGAAGTCTAGACGGCGACTACTCTATTGCGAGCATTTCAGACACTTGAGTGGTCAACTAGGTGGAGGCTGACAGAAGAAAAGTCCGAGGCTATACTAGTAGTTCCTCCGAAGAGAACTGGAGCGCTGCATCGATAAGTCTCGGCGAGAGGTCGGGTGTTTCTCTCTTCCAATAGCATTGATGATTAGGCCAATTCTAGCAATCGTTGAACCTACTCCACTTCAGAGTGGGGAGCCGGGACGTCCGGTGTAGACAACTGACCTACGCGCAGAGTCGGCGACAGCAACTTACAATGGTTTGAAGGTGACCTTTGAAAAACGCATGGACCTATGTATATCATCTGTTCACAGGGGGGTCCAGGTATTGCGATAGAAAGACGAAGCAGACGGCCATCACTTTGGATATGTTGCAGGATCCCCAAAAGCACTCTCAACCGCCGGCACGTTGGAATCTGATTGGTCCTCCGTGATTGCTTCTACTGCACTCCGCTTCCGAAATTGGAAGTACGCTTCTTTACATAAATCCAATCAATGCATTATATTATATCGACCAAGAGCAATGGCGGGTCCCCCGTCCACCTCCTCTGTTCACTTTCCTGTTGGTTGCACCACCCTCTCGTCTGGACAGCGAAGTAAATTCAGATTCGTGTTCTCTTCCGGCATCAAGTGACAGATTCACAACTCTCTGCAGCTCCAGAGAACATCTAGGTTTCAGCGTATCCGATCTCAGCACCCGCCCGAACCCCGGCTGCTATTGTATTAACTAGACTCATTGGTCGCGACTTCTGGTAACGTATATTTATATGTCCAGTGGTCATTCTCTCCCTGCACTGGTCAACGAACACCCGGGCGGCCGCAGGTCTGCCCTAGGGCCCACACGATACGCCCATGAACAAGGTGTTACGCGGATCACGAACACCGAGGCGGACGCAACCGCAGACTCTGGTCCCGACAGCTCACCAGGCCTCGGGCTATTCGACCATCATCGCGCGGGGAATATACCGCGCTCACTTCCTACCGGTGTCTCTACCACTACAAGCGTTCTGGTGTACCACCCACAGCCTAGATGGGCAAATTTACCGTCGGACGATGTTTCTGGATTTCAAGCAGCATTGGCTGGTGATCGATACGAGTCGGAAGTTGCCTCCGATACATCATCCAACTTCCCGCTACCTTCGGTGGACAGCAGGATGAACAATACTGGCAGTGCACCAAACCGTGAACCCAAGACTCGCCACGAGAAAAGCCGTATCCAGCTGGCACCTGATCAGCCTCTCACCACCCAAGGAAAGCCTCGTACGAGGGTGTATGTTGCATGTATTCAATGGCGAGTGATCGCATTCCTTCTATATTTTATTTTCTTACCAGTTACTCGGATGATGCAGTCGGGCTCGGAAGATCCGTTGTGATGGAGCAAAACCACTTTGCCATAATTGTGGCCGTCGCCCGGATGGGGATAGTCAATGTTCATACGACCCCGTGCCCAAACGGCGGGGTCCAGACAAAACTCCTGGAGGTCGCCATCGTGGTGGAGGTCAGGAAGGGGCAGGGAGCCAGTCCCACAGGCGAACTCGAAGACGTGTCGAGGAACTAAGAACCTCTGACATGGAAAGACAGAGGAGCACATCTTTAGACGAATCTAAGCAGGACGTAGAACATGAATTGACTATACCCGGTATTCAGCTACTATTTCCCGTTCCTCATACCTTACGAGGTGCGAGTTCATCTTCGTCTGGCTCCTTCCACGAGCAACCGTGTGACGGTAGACAACCGACACGGCAGGTGCGTCCCATGCTGCGTCGATATTTTGAATTTAAGTAAACTCATATGTTCCTTGTTTCGCAGTCCAAACACGACTTCGCACCCAACCTGCAGGAATATGTGGAAGCTGCAGCTCATTCTTCTCATGCCAGTCAAACTACACCGCCGAGCAATTCTCGTTCTGAGGAAAAGGATGCGAGGTCGTCGGAGACTGGCATTGGGGCAGAGCCATCCCTTCAACATTCTCGGAAGACCTGGTGGGATGCTCTGATAAACTTATATTCGCTTCCGTCCGACCACCTGCATGGCCATCCTACTCCTAATTCGCCAACCCTACGAGATGCCACGGTCCAACATATAACGGGTGACCTCCGCTTCTTATTTCGTGTCTCCACACATTGGTTGTCCTTCCTCCATGCCCCGCGTTTCTTCGCCCGATTCCAGGACGGAAGAAGTAGGGCGCAACTGCAACCTAGCTTGCTGCTGGGTGCTCTGGCGGTTGCCGCACTGTTGCGTTGCTCTGAACCCGGACAGGCTTCACAACGGAAGGAAAGGGCGATAAGATTGCGCGATGAAGCTCAAAGTGCTCTGGAGGCAAGTCTAAGTGCACGATGGGTCGACCAGAGCCTGGTACAGGCGAGCTGTGTACGTGGTCAAATTTTTCGTTCACTGATTACTCCTGACAGGTAGGCAGATTTTAGCGATCTTCGAATTTTGCGCGCATCCCCTTCACAGCATGGCACGAGTACGATCATCGCTAACCATGCTTGACTCACTCATCCGCTATCTCTCTCTGACTTCTCTGGATGCGGGCGATCCTCGTGTCGTTACATTCCCTCCTCGATCTGCACCGACGTACCCTTCGCTCTCGGAGAATTCCCGGCCACATGACTACACAGGCGGCAAAGTTTCCCCCCACAACTCCGACCTGTCGATCAGGGACTGTCTATGTTCGACATATACACTAGGCCATCGTTGGCCTGGTTCAATGGAGTTGACACCATTGTGGGCCGAAACACCCACCTGGATCGGTGATTGGTCTGAGGACGATATTCGAAAAGAAGAGTGCAGAAGATTGGTCTGGTGCAGTGTAATGTTGGCTGCTGGGTATAGCAATTATATGGATGCCCTCGAGGACGGACCAGTGTTAGATCTTTTCGTCACGGATCCTGCCAATGTAAGTTATAACCAATAAGCGTCATACATACCAATTATTCACTAGACCCTGATTGCGACAGTTTGCCTTGCTTTTGCCAGGTGAATCCCTATCTCGATCAAATTCCATTTGGTTGAGAGAGAGCGCCTGGGCATTATATGCACGGTCGATGCTTTTATGGAACAGCTGCATGCGCATGCGCGGTAATCCGGCCTTCAGTGACGTCGATAAGGCTCAATTTGCGGTAGCAGCATGGCTTGAGATCGATACTATTGAAGAGGCGCTGAGTACGCACACCTGCAATGTCGAGAGGACACACCTATTTGTGGGTCGTGAATACTTACTCAAGTGAGTTCCAAAGTTTCGCCTCTCATGGTTCATAGTTCCATTATTTTCGCCAGCTCCCGCGCGTGCATATTCAGCGAGCTCGAGCGGTACATACCGCAGTCAATAGAGTGAGTTTCCTCGGAGAAGTAGCATCCTGACCTACCACTGAAATTCGCTGTGACGTGCAGGAACGCCAACGTGGTGAAACGTAAAAAGACTGAGGAGTGGTGTTCGTATTTCATTACTTTGTTAGCGAATTTTCTCATACATTTCGTAGTCACATACCAGGCTTCCATGGCAAACCGGATTGTAAACGGATTGCATGCCGTTACTGGTCAACCGACTAGCAATCTATCTGAATGTCCATTCTACCTCTTCTGGTTTATGTCACAAGTTGCAAGGTTAGCGACTTCATTACTTGATCTATTCACTTCACTTACTCTCTTTTTCGTTGTGTGAAAGAATGCTGACACTGTACGGGAGCGATAGCTCACTGTCCGTCGCTTTAGATGCATCTTCGGCCTTGTTTTCATTAGTCGACTACCTAATGGCGCTATGGCCCTGTCCAGGTAAGTGAAATTGTCGGTTCGTGCGTGCGTAGCAACTTGACGATCAACTGTCCCCTCTGTAGGACAACGCAGAGCATGCGAAAGACTTCGGTGCAGGTTCTCCAGTGCGCGTAGCAGAGCCGTTCAGGATGGGTTCAATTCTAGTTCACCTTCAGGGATTCCGTGGCTTCCCGTTTGACTTGCACATATGTAGAGGCGAAGCGTATCGCGTCTGTGCCATACATACTTCCACATTCAAGTTTGCGACACGAATTATGAATTTTGTCTTGGTGGCGCACCCGGCCCCCATGCCGATCATGATGCCCGGTCCGATGTATTGGATTGTTTGGATGCGTGGCATATGGCAATATTGACTTCGAGCCACGCCACACTCACTTCTATCTGCTCGCACGGAACCTGGAATTTGTATCTATATCTTTCATCTGCGACGTTCTAGTCTACTTCTATCTGTTATCACTTGGAAGACTGGTCCATGTCGGAAGAGCCGTCATCGGGTAGCTCTCTGGAGATACGATCTTTTCCCGCCATGTTGCAATCTGACTTCATCGAACTTCCTGCAGCTACCACTGCGACCTTGAAGCGTAGGGCCTCACTCACGTTCGAAGGCATGCAAGACGACTCCAGCAGGAAGCGACTGAAGGAAGATACTGACAACGGTGGTCGTGAACTGCCACATGTTATCGACGGCGAAGCACTCGCGAACGACCTCGAGCAAGAGTTGCAATGTGGTTGCTGTTCCGCTCTAGTCTATCGACCAGTGTTGGTCTCGCCGTGTCAGCATTTCTTTTGTGGAAGGTAAATCTCGACGTGAACACTGCGAGGTGGACTTGCACTTACCCATACCCAACCTGAAGTTGCTGCGTCCTATGGATACGCGTGAGTTACGTTTCGGTCTTCACAGCACTGAATCGTGGATGCGCTTAAGCTTCTTCACGTAGAATGGGGGCACAAACTGTCCAGTGTGTCGAAGTACCTCAACGATAGTGACTCCTTCCCGTACTCTTCAGAAGATGGTAGATCTCCTACTCCGCGCTGCTCCATTGAAAGTTAGACCCGTGGGCGAGCGGATGCAAGCCGACGATGTCTATCGGGCAGGAGAAACTCTTCGAGTATGATGACCCCTGATCTGTGAGACGCGACAGCGCACTAATAATACCCCTGCTTAAGATTCCTACCCCTCGCCAGGCTTCACCGGAACCGGTTATAGCTGCGCGCAACAGCAACTACATTCATCCATGTCCGCACTGTATTGCTGGAAATACATGGGGATGGAGGTGTCCTCAACCCATCGCCGATCCGGAGGCAGATCCTGATAATGCTTGGCAAATCGAGGATGGTCCACCTCCTGGTCATGCATTTTGTGGCAACTGGTAATACTCCTGTCGTCTTTTCTATTAAGTGACTCATTCTCCTTAGTGAGAGTATCGTTGCTCTTCAAGCCCCCACCACGACAAGATGTGATCTATGTCAAGTATCATTTTGCGGCATAGGTATACCTGGACGTTGTGTAGCTGCGCCTCTGCAATCCCAGCATCCCCATGCAATGTCTGACCTGGGCGATTTACTTCAAAGCATCGAAGTGTATGACAACTTCGACAACAACGCTGTCGAAGTGGACATTATGGTCGATTACTTGACTGCCAAGGGATTGACACCTAGGAACATTTACAGCGAGGTACGTCTTTCAATCGAAACCACTTATGATGGTGATTCATTCTGTCGTGGTTATTAGATCGTTACATATGTGCAGAGCCAACCAAGACAATTCGCTCCTTTAATCGAGAACGGCCTTTTCATGGACGTGCACGGTGTCAATGGCGGCGAGGATCCCGATCCCAGTGCTCCTCGTCACAGGATATGTCGACTTTGCGCGACCGAGATCTTGCTGTGGGGTCTGCGAGATTGGTGGATCAGAGAGAGGAAGAAAGGTCACTTAGACGAGTACGTGATGAAGCGACCAGATTGCCCTGATGGAAGAAACTGCGAAAATCAGAAAGATAACGGTGAGCATTGGATGGTGACTGACCAGCATTTCAATATTGATTGATTCTCAATTCAACAGCTCACGCCAAAGAATGTGAGTTTATCTTCCCACATGCTGTTCTGCGTTTCTAAATCCATGCTTGTAGTTAATCACATTATCATGCCTATCGATCCTCTCCCTGAGGTAGAGGATCCAAGTGGCTCTCAACCAAGAAATAGCCTTTCTATAGCACCCACAACTGCCGATGAACCAACATCCGCAAGTTCAGGGTCCCGACACGAATTTATTTTGCAATCTTCTGGCGACGTTCTTGGCCCATCTTCGCAAGATCTCCGTGACGAGGTGGAGGCGCTGTTGTGACTTCCCTGGAATTTAGTTCTCTACTTGGCTCAAGACCCCTTCGGATTGCTGCAAAGTTAGTGTTATCCTTCCTATTTCTTAGGAGACGAGTCTGTTCCTCGAGTATTAGCACGCGTCACATTAATATGCACGATATGTTCAATCTGGAATATCCACAGGTGCTGATCATGAGTATGGATTTTCGGCGACTATTCCTCAAGGCAACATTACATGCAAGCTTTGCGAATTTTATAACGGGTAACGAACACTAACAGAGCACCGAATACGCGAGCGAAACCAGATAACGAAGGGGCAATATGTCTGTGAATTACAAGAACAACTGCTCGCCAACATCAACCGCGCATAGCAAAACCACCACCGAACATGCCACTGTTCATGATCAACACATCCTCCACTGTAGGCTGTTTGGAAGAGTGTTTCTCCCGATACCTCTCGAGTGCGAGTGTCTCAGCTCGCCGCCTGACCGCTTCCTTCTTCGTCCTTTTCTCTTCAGCCTTAGCCAGACTGAGACTGAGAGCAGAAGCACTAAATTCCTGGTAAAGGCTATGCTTGCCCTTGGCCTTGTTTTTGGCATCCTTGTCTGATCGAGAGAAAAGCCGGGTAAGAGCGCCTGCGCCATGGACCAAGGAAGACTGGTGCATGGTTGGATGGCTTTCTAAACTGGTCTCTGAGACGCATGCTGTCGGAGGCAGATTCGGGTATTCAGAAATGGAGTCTTCATTGTGATTCCAACTTGGCCCATCTGAGTCGGTGGCCACAATCTCATGGCCCAACTCATCCTGCGATACCATGGGCGATGAAACTATGCCGGTGCGGACGAAGGGATCGTCAGAATCAGGTGGAACTCCTTCATCTTCGGGCACTCGGTTTTCCTGGATGGCATCGAGGTGACTTGGCCTCGCGGGTGCTGTGGGAGGTACGAAAAGGGGCGACATTGAAGAAGTAGGACTGATAGGCGGAGAACGATGGAACGAAGATGTTCGGCTGAGACTAGGGGTAGACAAGGAACTGAACGAAACCGAAGACGACAAAGACGGGGTATCGCTGTCCCGCTGTGACATCCTTCGAGGGGTCCGAGGAAGGTGGAAGGCAATATGAGTGCCAAGGGTTGGGGAGAGAAGCGCCGAGTCACCAAAACCAGAGTAGTGTCCGTCAGATTCTGCATCCGTTGGACTGCATACATAGCTTGTGGACGGCGTGCAGCTGGACGTGGAGAGTGATAAGGAATCAGACGAGGTCCTGTAGCTGGATCTCTTGTTCGATCTCGCGTCAGATGCCATGCTAGAACTTGCGACAGATCTAGAGTCAACATCCTGTGCTCCAGTAACGAGGTCGCTGGGAGCGATCACAGGCGACATGATCTCAGCAACAGCGCGCAGTTCCTCATCAGTAGACAAAGAGATCATGCTGAACGGGCGGCTGCTGTATGACGTCTTTTCGCCTCGGGATGTAGATGCTTCGGCCGATGATGGTGGTCCAACTCCCTGACCCGGATACACGGTCGACGTATCTGACAGTGAAGTATCTGTCGAGTGACCTGTATTGTGAGATTGTGCGTAAGGAAAATCCTTCTCACGGAGCATGACCGGAAAGGACTAACCAGGGCGGCTGGGGCCCCAGGACCGACTACGACAAGACCTAGGCGCCACGACCTCCGACATGGCGCGGGGACGACCTGTTATCAATGGGACAGGATCGGATGCCTTCGCAGGCAATTTTTGAGTCTTAAAGCCTGCGCGATATTAGCTCTCCAACATTTACATAGTAAACAAAGCCCACCATTCATATACCCCTGTCCCGAATTTCCACCGCGACCATCAGATGGCCCGCGCAAGTACGATGCATCTGACAAACCACGGGGCCGCGCAGCAGAATTTTCAGGGGGACCACCGCCCTTTGGTCCATGCCTGTCACCACCATTGTTCGAATCATGATGTCGGTCACCTGAACCGCCTTCTCTGTCCGACCGTGAGCGTCCTCCAGTTGGACGTTTCTGACTGTACGCCTGCGACACGGGTAAATGTCAAGTTCTGCAGTCAACACGAAACACTTACCATCACCACACGCAGTGCTCTGAGATGATCAACGGATCGTCAACACTGGTGTGAGGACAGATAAGCGACACTGACCGAATTTGCAGGCTTCGACAGTTACAGAGTGTGGAAACGCCATAGATGCCTACAGACGTTGCATAGCTCAACGCTCGGTGCATGGCATGTTTCACCAAGTCCTGCAGATGCGGCAGCTGGTACGTGCTCGACAGCAACAACAGCTGGCTCAGCACAGCCGGCGCATGTTGTACCGGTGTGATGAGAGCCGTCGTGTAGAAATACTGCACCAGCGCCAGAGTAACGGGGTAAGGTTCAGAAAGGTGGAACGCGCGAGGAGTGAGACGGGGATCCGGCCGTAGCTCCTCCTTGTCCGAGATACCTCGTAGATCTGGCACTGGTACATGCTGGGCAATCGAGGGCATCATCTCCGTGGTCTGTGTGGCGGCTATGGCAAACAACTTCCGCTGCTCCTTGAACCAAGGCCAGCGATCCTCGAGCATTTTACGTGAGCAAGCGATCCTCCGATCGTCATCGCATACTATCTCGAAGTCAGTCAGCACACCTTCCTCGAGAGCAGCCAGACCCAGTTCCTGCATAGGAATTTCGAGCCTCAGAGCAGGAGGTTGATAAATGCCAAAGGCCTCCAGATCTATGCACGTCACATGATCCCAGCTCAGGAGACGTCGGTTATAATCCTCGACGATACTGCCATGCCTGTTACCGAACACCATGAACTTATTCATGGCAGGCCATAGGCACCCACGAAACCACGATCCCGAGGCGAGAGCGCTGCCAGGGTCAATTCGCGACCAATTCATATTGATCAGATCCAAGGCCCAGATCGAAAACGATTGGTATTGCTGTGAAAGATAGGTTCCAGCGACGATAAAAAACGTCCCGAGGATAGCGCCGGTAGGAAAACGAAGGCCCGGAGGGAAGTAGGTCCCCGACATCGCAGCAGAACGATCAGAAACGGCGAAGTCATAGTCAGGCAACGGTGTGAACACCTCCAATTCTCGCTGCACATCAGTGAACTGTAGAGAATGGAGGTCTCAAAAAGTTGCATATAAAGGCGTGATGGAATGACGCACGTTGTAATTACTGAAAAGGAATATATCACAAGGATAATCGTCAGTAGGGGAAGCCGAATAGGGTAGATGAATGAGTGAATCGGGTTGTGTGATGGGAGCAGTTGAAGAGGGCGTCTTGTTGGTTTTGAAACGAGCGCCAGGCGGTCCGAGCTTCGATGATAGAGACTCGCCAGCCTGCATCTCCTCCTGTGGTAGGCGAACGCGCATATCTGCTGTAACGGCTACACTGCGATAGGTACCACAATGCCGCGAGTAGTCGCGCCGCTGGACCCAGGATTTCGCGACGAGATCATAGATGTAGACGTCGTCTAGCCACACGTTGGCGAGATCCTGGCCTCCAATGATAAACAGGCGATCCCCCGTAACAGAGGACAGGTGAGCGTAGCGTGCATTCGGCACGAAGGTCGGATCTCCCACCGTAGAGGGCGAAGGCAGCCAATGTCCACTCGAAAGATCGAAGAGACGGACATCGTTCAGCACACAGAGATCTTCGGGGTTGTCAGACTGGGGCTTGATAGCCATCCCACCGAAAATGATGAGGTGGTTGTTCCCTGATCAACGCGTCAGCTCTGCACGGCCGTAAAACGCGACATGATTTTACACGTATCTGCACTATGAAAATAGCGCGCCTGTGGGATGTCATCTTCAGGATCCTGTACCAGTCTCTCCCAATTGAAAGACTCCAGGTCGAACATGTAGATGTCCGATACCATGCGTCGTTCCTGGACCAATCGTCCGCCCTGCCATAGGCGGTGAGCCTACCCCGGCAACGCGGCTGAAGTGGCGGGGTGCTTACATAGAGATACATCTTCGAGCCTACGACAGTCGTTGACGCGCCCTGGGTACGAAAAATCAGCTCGCTAAGGTCTTGCGACATATCTTCACAGCGTACAACAAGCTTGGGCGGCACATCTCCAGTAGTCCTGCGGCAGAAGGCAGTCAGGTCAGATATAGGGTACATCACCACACGCTTCGAACACGGAGAAGCGTCAGGACGGGAGGTATTTCGAGCAGGGAGCGAGGGAGGGGGTGTACCGGGGAGCAATAATACCGTTTTGTTGAACTTTATGTGTACATGACTCTCGAGTCTTCTGCAGCGCTCAGCAACCCGATATACGGAGTTCAAACTCGATCTATTTGCGTGGGAATCTCCCCAGAATGTCCTGTCACCGTCACAATTGTTCGTACCTTCTTTGCACCGTCACAGTATTGAACTCCAAATATGTGATCTTCCCATTGCTATTACCACACCTGCTAATTGCCTCTTTGCAGTCTAAGGGTGATCTAGCACTACTCACGATATCGACTATGCATCGGCTCAAATCTCTGCGGCAGGCTACTATTCGGGAAGGTGACCTTCCTGATCGCAATCTATTAGGTCTGTTGTTTCGCCATACTTCAATCACAGTTACCAATGACCATTCGGGAATGCCCCAGCGGGGTGGAATGCTCGCGCTCCGCCCAGGTTTCTAGATCATCATCAGTGCATCAGCAATGTGCCTAGCGTCGAAGGAGAGGGTGACGTACCCCTTCTCCGCGTCAAGTTGTCTTGTGTTGTACAGCTCCTCTTCTTTCTGCGGTCTAAGGGCGGGAACCGGAGTATTTTCCCAAACGCGACCGGCGCCGATCGCGATGATATGCTAGGGCATTGGGGGAGCGCCTGTATGTGATTTCTACGAATTAACGGGAAACAACCCCCTGAGCGCTTAATACCTCTATGTCCAAAGCGACGCCCGCACGCTAGGGTTTGATGACGCGGTGTCCTGCGTCGGTACTACCCCCGACAGAATTCTTGCACGCGTGGTTATGTGAATTCGGTCGTTACCGCACAAAGCCCGACGAAATTATTACCAGAACGGGGTTGGTGGTTTCGAAGGCTGCATGGTTCTGACCGGTCACATTAATAACCACTTCGCAGCGCTGATGGCCTGGGCGACTAGTACTGTGGGCACACTAAAGGCCAGAGAAACAGTAGACCAACCAACATGCTGTCGTACGATTTGGCCGCCTACCGCTTCGTGTGCTTGACGGAACATATTGACTTGCGACCAGTCGGATCCGCTGCAAAGGTCGAACTTGGCCTCGTGTGTTTACTCCACCTCTGCGACAGATGATACTTCTTACCTCAGATGGCAGCGCCAATGGCTAAACCCGGTTGGAACCCGCTGCATCGTGTTCTGTCAGGGCATGGACGACTCCAATGTGACGGAAGTGAAGACACCTTCGCCCAGAAATTCCAGTAGTCACTTCATGTCCGGGACTGGACGTAAGCACGCCTTGATGGCTATTCATATAGTTATAGTAGTACTTGCATGCTTGTGTCGAATAACATATCGGTTCATATCTGTGCATAACAGCCTGGTTACCCTCATACTTCCTCCGATTGAGTGTTGCCTGCTGGAGTCGATGAGCGACAACGTAGGAACTTGCGCCGCGGAATAACGGAACGAGTGCGGGGCAATCTCCGATCGAGAACTGCACACATGGTCGACCGAGTGATGACTCGATGTCTTCCACTTTCCCTTCACTCGCAGCCCGTCGTCTTCAAATACTTTCTTCTCAGCTGAAGCCCCCTCATCCAAAAGTGTCCTCGGCTTCCCACCAACTCTCCATGTCGTCTCTCATCTCACAGCCGACCGCAGACAAGCTGCAAGTCACCCAGCACGAGCAGTATGTCTCGCCCGAGTCGCTCACCCCATCTACCATCGCGCCCTCGCCGCTCGACCAATTCCGCACCTGGTTCACCCAGGTGCAAGGCGTTGTCTGCGAGCCAGAGGCGATGACCCTCTCCACGGCTTCCGCCTCTGGTATCCCGTCGTCACGCATCGTCCTCTTCAAGCAGCTCGACCACCGCGGCTTCGTGTTCTACACTAACTACACCTCGCGCAAGTCACGGGAGCTGCTCGAGAACCCGCATGCCTCGATTGTGTTTTACTGGCGCGAGGTGCACAAGCAGGTGCGCATCGTCGGCCGGGTCGAGAAGGTCAGCCTGGAGGAGAGCGCGGAGTACTACCGTTCGCGGCCGGTGGGCAGCCAGTTGGGTGCGTGGGCGAGCAGACAGAGTACAGTGGTCGGCGAAGGAGATCTCCAGGCCCGCCTTGAGAAGATCAAGGAGCTTTTCTGTGCGGAGGATGGGCAGGCCGATGTGCCTCTGCCCGACTTTTGGGGTGGATGGAGAGTAATACCAGAGTGCGCTTTTTCTCTTCTTTGTATTCAATGTATCCGTCTACTGATAACGTCTCAGTGAGGTCGAGTTCTGGCTGGGGAAGCCCTGCCGTCTCCATGACCGCATACGATACTTGCGTGTCGAAGGATCTTCAGACGACGCACCTCAATGGAGGATCGATAGATTATCCCCGTGATTCCAACCTCTTCGGCGGTTTCTTGCACCTGCTCGACACACACTGGACAACAGGTAGAAGAGGTAGAACTAGAGACTAGCTAGAGGATGATAGTATAGTGCATACCCTACTACAAAAACAAAGTCCATCCAATAATTGAACATGTACAATGATTATCACATTACCTACGCCATACATCAATACCATGTCATCCAGCTGCTGTCCTGGAACTCTGCGCCGATCCATCCCGCGTTGCACGCGGCCTGCGAGCTCGGAGAGTCATTCCGGTGCATTCCCACAGGTGCGACGTGCTCATGGACCGTGCGCTCCGCGGACGTGCTGAACGTCTGCGAGGTGCTCGTGGTCTGTAGCGGGCCTAACGAGTTGTGCGGGGGCAGGAGCGGGTCAAGCGCGCTCAGCCCTTCTTTCGTCGACTGCTCGAAGCAGCGCCGCAACAGTGGGTGCGCATGCTCGAACGGGCTCGCGTCGCCGTCGAGGAACATAAGCTCGTTGCCAGCTCCTGTGTTCGCCAAAATCCCTGTGCGTCGCGCGATTACGCAGATCTCGTCCTCGAAGCAACCAGCGCCCTGCAGACCGTTACGCCAGTTCATGTACGCGATGCGACTCCGAGGGATGATCGTGTCGAGGAGCGGCTATACGACAACCTATTTCAGGAATATTCGTCTCTCCAAGAATTCTAGCAACTTACAGTTGCCTTCACAACAGTGGGACAGCGGCTCTTGACTTCGGAGAATAGCTTCATGATATTGTCAAGTTCAACGAGTGCGTGAGGCGTTAACGAGTTCGAAGGTGAACGGGAAACAAGCACGCAAAGTGCGACCTGAAACACACGAATCAGCGAATTAAAGTTTCACCCGGCCATAGCTGTCAGACTCACTGCAGCAGACAGGCAGTTGTGCCACAGCATGGTGATGCGTAGGCTAAGATCAGGCTCCCATTTGTAACATGTGCACACAGTCCATACTACGTTGCACACGCTCGTATAAGTAGCGAGGACCGAAGGCGCGTACTTGTGCTTCATCGTGAAGCCTTCCTCGGCATTCAGCGCTTGCAAGAAGTAGCACCTGTGCAGGTTCAGCAGCGCTTATCGGTACAACAATCGAGTCAGCTGAAATACGTGTGCAATGAAAATAGGACACAAACCTGTCTCGCGTGCGGAGAATGTCAATGCCTGCTGCAAGCCCGCGGGATGATTGGGTATAAACCCGTCGTCGTCTACCATTCGCAGTATGGGCGGAATCACAAAATCGCGGATCTTCCAATCGAGCTGCAAAATGTCGATATATGGCGGAGGCTGGGTGGCGATGACTGACTCCAGCACTGGGGCCATGCATTGGACGGTGAATATGTCTCGCCAAGCATTATCTGAGGGAACGATGTGAGAAGGAGCAAAATAAAATAAAAACATGACTCTGGCGAGAACCAGAAAACATACAGCTTGCCGTGATACTCGTGGATGGTGAATCATTCTCCAGGCTGTACATCGGCCGCTTCGCGTCTACGTGCTGAATGCATATCGATGGTGGTCGTCTCAGCATTAGCGCCTGGTAGAGGCGGGAACGTGAGTGATCCGTGTGCACCGGCATAGGACATGGACAACTCACCAAGCGAACATCGACACTCATCATATTCCACAGTAGAGTCTTCCGTCTATCGAGTTCCTCAGGAATCATCTTCAGGCGAACACCGTCGCGATCTGGTACACATAAAATCAGAAAGGGAGCCGGATGCTAAAAATCATCACACGCACGGAGGCCGAGCTGCGGGACTACAAGTCAATGACGGACTTCGACAACCAATTGAAATAACACTCACACCTTGCGCCAACTTTGCAAGGAGACCCTGCGAGGATACATCAGGATTTTATTATGAGCCGTGCGATTGGCGACATACCATAATACCCCATGCATGTTCGATGGACTTCTTGTGATATGAGAACATCAACAAATACCAGACCATGAAGAACTGTCAAGGGGTCATTGGAGCTCTCTTGTCGTGGATGGCTGACGAAACAGACCAGGGAATTGATGGCGTCAAAACTAGGGTCGTCGATGACCATGGTCTCACACATCGCTGCTCGCGCCAGCTGGTGATATCTCTCAGCGTCGTGCCGAGCTCGATCTTGGTCTTCCTTCAGGTCCACCATAGTCCCGATGGCCAGAATCATGAGGAAGAGGCTGAGGCGATGAGGAAGGAGAGCTTGTAGGGGCGCATTGTACACGCTGTGAAGTAAGTTGGGTATGAAGCTTTCACTCGCATCTGGACTGTAGCTGTGACGGCAGGTGGGGATTGTGAGTGAAAACTGAACACATGTGCTTGGAAACTTACTGCCAAAACGCATTCTGCTGTGCTTGTGAGCAAATTCGCTGTGCTTCCATCGGCGGAGGAAGCATTTCGCGCAGGCGTTGTCGTAAGGAAGGGTCGAATTCGGAATCTGTCGAGGGCGACACGGGGAACGCATGGCTTAGCCGCGCAATGTCCTCGGGTATGTCATTACGGAGCGGCATTGCAGGCATGGGGTAAGTGTAAGGACACTTGATGAAGAGATTCCGTGTTAGTCGGACACAATATTCGGATAATCAAATGCGCACGTCTGTCACAATTTCTGTTGGGGCAGACGATGAGCCTGCAGCAGGTTGCTCATCCTCGTCCCCTGTATGATTATCGCTCGCAGATGTGGTGGGCATTCCACTCCGATCAATTCCAAATAATTCGGGTGATCTCTTGATCAGCAACAATTCTGGACGTAGCAGAGGGTGAACTTCAGGCGAGTATTGTGCATGCATGCTCTGCAGAGCATCCTCTAAATTGCGGATGCGTTCGCTCATTGCTTTGATTTTCTCGTGCAACTGCTCCGTGTTAGCGAGAATAAATCTACGTTACGGATCGTCAGTCATAAATCCGCATTTCAGGGAATGCCAGCTCTCACCTGCTGCCCTTTCCTCCTGTGAGAGAGCCCTCAGGGCATATCTCAGCACAGCCTCTCTTGCAGCAGGACTGACAGGGGAATACACGGTCGCACTGTAGGACGGTATGAGGGCCAGCCGTCAGCTCCGATGATTTCGGACGTACCTTCAGCTTCAACCTGGCGGCGAACGATGTGAGTACATCCAGTCCTCCTAGCAGCCCGCTAAGCCACGGATTCACCTTCTGCATTCACCACAAGATAGTGGTTTCTTTCTGTTCTTCTTCGCAGCTGCTTCCGATGCAGGATCTGTCTCTGGGTGCAATGGGGAGGACGCCGTCGGAAAACTATACGGATGCAGGGCATCGTCAGCCGCACTATCATGACGAGGTCTTTTGTATGGACGAGGGACACCCTGGCTATCGTCGAAGTCAGGAGGCGCAGCCATGGCGAGATGAGAGACAGAGAGCATCGCGGTACGAGAGTAAGAAGAGGTCGTTAGTGCTGCCGGCGGTGGTGGCACCCGCGACCGACGGGAGCCGAGACGCCCAAGTGACCCGTTAGTTACATAATCCGGGATTCATGCCGTTCCGAACTCAGACTCTCAGCGTCCCTGTTTAACGATCCGCGACACTGCCCGGGGCGCCGAAGAATCTCACGGTGGTAAATCAGTCACCAACATTGTAGACTGTAGTGCTGGAGCTCTACCGCGGTATTCCCCGCAATCTCTCCGTCTCTCGGACTCTGCACGCTATCCTGTTGGTGCAGTTGACCAGCCTTCTCCCGAGATCGGGTTTCAGTCGTACCCTCGCAAGTGACGTAACAGCGGGACAACACCGAGGACCGAGTCGGACTCGGAAATCGAGTTTGAAAGACTTTTTCGTTCTGCGTGTTTTCTGCCAGTCACTCGTCTTGTAAGCAGAAGGCGTCGTGGCATTGGGCCTCACCAAATGGGAGACCCTGAGTCGGGATAAGTACTTGCCTCAATTTCCGTTCGTTCGGACGCGACGCGCGTAACGCGTGCGGGTTTACATCTATTTGTTGCCGGTCTTCTCGGACTTTCTGAGTCCACGCTCATCAGTCAACCAGTCGAAAGGTCACACGTCTTTCGTCGATAAACCCGACTCACCTGTGTGGTATGCCATCTCGAACCCCTCCCGCCGGCCTCTTGCGCAGCATCATCAATCCTTCCGTAGTCTCAGCACAAACACGACGACGATTACCCTTAAGTGCACGCCGAAATGCTTCAGACAAACCATCTCAATCATGGGCTGAGCTGAACTCACCTGTGGACCCTCGTCCATCGTGGGGATCCACAGTCATGAAAGTAGCCAACGTCGCAATAATCCCAAGTACGTCACATAGTGCCTCGTCGGGGCTATTCTGTTGAACGCGCTGGCAATCTCTTAGTGATCATACTATATGCCACCTTCGTGGCTGACTTTGGCGAGCGAGAACATGTTTTCATGCCGGTAAGCTGCCTTGAACGTCAGATTCGCTAACGTGTTTCTAACTATCTGCAGGCAAGAAGGTGGTTGGACGGGCAGAAAGCCGCGTTCTTCTCATTGACACCTGCTGAGCGCGAAGCAGCGACGGTGCTGAACGACACGCAGCAAGGTGATAGCCCGCACACATCGGAGCGCCAGTGAAGAGAGACTAACACGCTGTAAGTCGCCATTGATTCTCTTCTCACAGCACTTCATCGCTTTCTTACAACCCTCAGACCTCCTTTAGCTTGTGGTGAGCTCGTTTTGTCAAGCGGAGCGTCACGAGCTGGCACACCGAGTGATCCTATAACTCACGGCCAACCGGTCTCACGGATTCCATTCTACGGCCACGGCCATCGTATTACTGTATTGTGATGCTCATGATCAGAAATAGCAGTTGCGATGTCAGTTGTAGACTCCGAGGTTCGCGAAATTTTACCTTGGAACGGCCTGGAGGCGGTCTTTTCATTGCAAAGACAGCACGCGATCTGCTGTCCGTCTCGTACTCTTTTATTAATTTGCGCTTGGATTACAGTAGTACCAGCTGTATCTTCCGATGAGTACATGGTGCGTGCCGCAGTCCTCAATGCCATTAATAAGATTTAGAGCCTGAGGCCGTTCTGATTTGAGCGCTAGACCTCGGTAAACGCCGAACGAATCAAGAAGCTTCTCGCTGATGTCATGGATTTCGCAGTCTCTACGCCCTTCCATTATTCCGCTGCAGCGCCTTGGACAACGGCGCTACACCATCAATGGATCCTGTAAGTTCCGAAAGTTGGGAGGATTTATGAAGTCCAATGCAAGTATAGCCGTTGAATATGCGGGACGATATCCGGGCGTTTACTAATAAGCTGCAAATGGTATTCTGAATTAGGCCTCATGCGAAACATACCTTTGGGGCGACTATTTTTCTGGTATCCTGCGCAGTAGAGCGGGCCCAACACAGCCATACGAGAGTCATTCACTCATCCTGATTGGACAGCACTGGTCCAATCCTCCAACGATCAAATCTTACCCATTTTCACCTGATATCGAGTTTCCTCAACAAACTTGGGTTAGCCTCCTGTCTACCTGCGACCCTCCAGATGCCTCTAGCCTCCAGTATCCATCATCCTGTCTCTCCACCCGTGGGGCAGTTCCACGCCGGCCAATGAAATATCACGGTACACTTCGGGCGGGCACTCGGAAGGACGCGGGTGAGCTTTAAAGGAGGGCATATATAACCACTCAGGGTGCTAACACAAGTTCAACAATTAGACAGCTATGCTCAGAACGACCGTCTTGCAACCATCCTCTCACTTGCTAGTGCGTCGTGGGCTGCTCGTGCAGACCGTCAGTCGGGCGCCACGCCGCACCTTCGTGTCGGGCTTGGCTCGCATGAGCCCTACGGCTCTAGACAGCAAGTCTGCCGACGCTAAGGCCGCGGCCGGGGTCGAGGGCGCCCATAGAAGTGAGTTGATTGCGCGTTTTGCGTTCAGGATGGCGTGATGCTCAGACCTCCCCGCAGAGGACGTTCCCCAGACTGGTGCATTGATCAAGCACGACGCAGTCAGCACCGTGCCTCAAGAGGTTCGCGGAGACTGGGTACTCTTTCATCCGGTGTATACCCCAGAGGAACTTCGATCTGTTCAGGTTAGTACGTCATTTGTACGGTTGAGAGCGATGATCGAAGAACATGTCGTCAGATCATGCATAGGGAAGCGAAGACTCTTTCCGACAAAGTCGCTGCCACTTTCGTGCATCTGTTACGGTGCGTTGGCCTTAGTTATAGAGATAATAATTGGGAAGCGTGCTAAGCTATGATGTTCCCCTTTATAGATGGAGCTTTGACATTGCGTCGGGCTACAAGCACAAGCCCATTCCGCCCAATTCTGCCATGACTCTAGAAGAATTGAGAAAGCGCGGCTACATTATGGACGAGCGTGGCTGGCTGAGAGTAGGTCATTTCATTTCATTGGCATCTTGCCGTTGAACTAACCCATACCTTGCTCTCTCTAGCGTATCCTCTTCTTGGAGAGTATCGCTGCTGTACCGGGCATGGTAGCTGCAACCCTCCGTCACCTCAGGAGTCTTCGTCTTATGGTGTGTAAAACTTCCCGCTTTATCTCACAGTCCTCCCTTGACGTTGTGTCGCAGAGACGAGATTCGGGTTGGATTCATACCCTTCTGGAAGAAGCAGAGAACGAGCGTATGCATCTCATGTAAGTCCACAGTATCGCACCTTTGGATGACCATTCACGTCCTATGTCAGGACATTTATGACATTGCGCAAGCCCTCCATCTGGTTCCGCGCTATGGTCCTCGGTGCCCAGGGTGTTTTCTACAATGCGTTCTGTACGTCGTCCATCCGTATCGTGCTAGAAAGATTCTGATATTACGCAGTTTTGTGTTACATGATCTCGCCCAAGACGTGTCATCGTTTCGTGGGGCACCTCGAAGAGGAAGCAGTGGTTACATAGTGAGTACTTCATACATATCTCCCCCGTTCCTTCTGACACATCGTCACAGTACTCGTTGCATCCAGGAAATTGAAGCCAATCGTCTGCCGGGATGGTTTGTCCACTTGCTTGTCCTTTGTCCGCCATCTAACAATACTGCAGGACGAACCTCCCAGCGCCTGAGATCTCGAAGGATTATTGGCGTCTAGAGCCCGACGCCAAGATCATCGATGTGATCTATGCAGTGAGGAGCGACGAGAGTACGCACCGATTCGTAAACCACAGCTTGGCCAACTTGAACCACGGGTCGGATGTGAACCCCTTCGCACTCCGTGAGCCCGATATGTTCGTGAAGGCCACCAAGCTTGAGTGAGTGCTTTCTCCGCTTTCTGAGGTTGCCATTTCTGACTGCTCTTTGGTAGGTTCAAGCGAGACGAGGCGGAGCACTACGTCCAGGAATCACACAAGCTCATTGAAGAAGCTCGAGAGCCGAAGTAAATTGTCGACTTCTACGCCACATTCATTTTTACTTTCGCCTTCATCTCGCCGCATGACTCGCATTACACCCCACTCCATTACACCGTTGTAATACTAAGTTATCTGGTACTAATCATGAAGAAACGTGCATGTGTAGGAGCATGGATTTTCCGTCGACATTGGTACCGTAGCATATCTAGCAGATTTGTCAATAATCCTGCAATATAGCCTCTGTCTGTATCTCTACTCAGCACTTGTTGTATGTTCTTCCCCGAACTTGTCGGCGAACAGGCGGTGCGCCATGCATATTGGACCTACAACTCTGAAGGCGAGTACTGGCAGCGAGGTAAGTGGATCTAGATTTGGAAGCGATGACGCGCATCACGCTTGTTGAATGCCACACTTCAAATTCAACTCAACTACATACCAACCACTCGACGAGTCGCATCCTTTCCCATTGGCTTTTTTACTATTATTATCTGATGAGTCATGGCCTCTCCAACATCCATACCACCTCCCATCACAATTACTCCGACATTGGAAGCTGTAACGCGGTCTGACCTGCACGAGCATCGTCGAAGATTCATTGGGCCACTGCCTGAGCGAGCCCTTTCAGCTGAGCTCAAATCTAAGGGGAAGCGGAAGAGGGCATGCAGGAAGTCTATCACTACCAGCGCAAACGGCTCTGAGACCAGTGACGACGACTCGGACTCCAGTCTCCACGACGCGATCCACCACCATGCGTTCCAGTTCTTCGTCGGGCACGGAGGGAGGAGAGAGGACTGGGACGAGGACAAGGAAAGGCACATTCGCGCGGAGATGGTACAGCGGTGGAGGGAGAGCGAGTGGGGAAAGGTGCGCAGCGAGCACAAGGACTCTGCAAGACCCGCTACGCAGTGGATTGGAACCTCTTTTGATATCGGAGTCTTCCTAGGCATGAACATCCTCGCAGACAGCCCTCCGCAGCAAGTTGCCAGCCCAGTTGCTGAGGCCGCATCCTCCCGGCGTGCGGCTCCTTCTGCCGGTCCAGAAACGTTCGTGACGGCTCCATCTTGCTTCAGTGCCGCTAGAACACCTCAGAGTGGAAGGCTGCCATCTCTAGTTGCTGGTGAAAGCAGTCAAGGTTACAACAATGCGTCATCATCGGGGAAGCAACTACTCAATTACAGCAAGTTGGCTGGACCAAACAGTGCCAACTCCTCCACTCCATTGCTACGATCTTCTCTTGATGTGCGACAAGAACGACCTGGTCAAATCCCTTTCGAGGTATGTCTGGGTTGGATTTTGTTTTCTCTTATGACCCCACTGACATGAGGTGCACCAAAGGAAACAAATGTCTCGTCTCTAAACAAGGGAAAAGCGAGAATGGTTCATTATTCCGAAGTATCCGCGGATGAACGTCCAATATCTCCACTGAAAGTTCTTGCTCGGAGTGGAGAAGCTGTACAGGATTCAAGTGCCGGCGCTGCTGAACAAGCTACTGCAGAGAATCAAGTCGAATGGGGAGAAGTCATCATGAGAGGTGGCTAGTACCAACTCATCAATTATCCAATGACTTCTGATACTCGCTTGCAGATCGGATGTTTGTCCGAATGTGCTATTCAGAACAACCACTCCCCTCGCCCAATTTTGACGAATCGCATCATCGTACAACAAGGAATTTGGAGAACGAGCGATGGATCGAGTACATCGTCGCTTGGCGAAAGGACAGACTGGAGTTGTACAAGGACCATGTGCGTGCTTGTTACGCAAGACTCTACTTGAGCGGCTCTACTGACGGACCCCGCTTCGCACAGTTTACCCCTGGCAAGGACTGGCTACTTGGTCGTAAAGAGCTAAATTACGTCATTCCTCTAGGCTCCCCTCAAACACGGCTGTCTCTATATTCTTTCGTTGATTCAACGTTCTGTCTTCTCTGTCCGCCAACGTCGCCGCACAGCGACACGAAACGGCTTCGGCATCTCCTTGGGACAAAGGGAGGCACTAACATTTTTATCTTCAAGCATAAAAGCCGCACCAGGGCAATTGACTGGATATGGAAGCTCTGGTATGGTTCTAGCCTTGTTTGCCCATGCGTATCAATGTTGAAAAGTGTGACAGGCGACATCTGGGAGGTCGGCTGCCTCCGTATGTCGATATACGGTGCCCAGCTATAGATACCCACATCAGTATTGATATACCCCACTACGACGGCGCGGACATCGCTGCAGCTTATACAGTGTTCAATAAGCAGAACATAATCAGCCTATGTGAGCACAGGCTGAAAACCGTGCACGAATATAAGACCTTAATCGAGGATAAGTTAGCGGAAGGGGCCAGGATGGAGATGGCATGGCGGTTTGAGACAAGCCTGGATTGGGTGTGGCAGCTAGACGACGTGCAGGGGAAGCCACGAGAATGGGCTGTACTGTGCGGCTTAGCTTTGAAGCAGGTCAGCGCATTGACGTAGCCTCCCAGCATCGATTGACATATGTGCAGTCTAGGAGAGCATCGCATCTGGAGATCCGCCTGAAGGAGCATTTACCTTCCCACCTGCATCTTAATGACGGCACTCGTTTGGACGAACCACCTGCGGTGGAGGGCTACCTGGAACGCGTCAAGCCGAATTCACAGCTTAGGCAGGCCGTGTACCTCACGACCCACGGTGGCTATCTGTTTGCAGTTAATCGGTCACATGCGAATCATCCTCTGCCCCGCGATCTTACTCTGAATCGGTACGGAATCGATGACGTCGACGCTATCCGCAGGGCAGAAGTGCAGCGAGGAATGAGACAGGTACTTCATACTACCGGTATGACGGATCTGAGGGGCATCGTAGCTGTGCGAAGGGCATTTCAGCTAGTGCCCCAGCATGCCGCTGCACCTGAAAGCGAGGCAGCGAGTTGGGAGGACACGGGCGACTTCTGGCAGGATGTGGGGAGATCAGAAAGTGATGAGGAGGATGCTGGCGGAGACGAAGGTATGGCGAACGCCCATGACAAGTCTACGTTGCGGATGAGGAGATCCTTCGAGCTGCTCATGATGACGGGACACGTCGTCAGATTTGAGGTACTTGCTTTCGAATATTCTCTTCTCTCATTTGTTGATTGCACAATTTCCAGGCATACTCTTGCCAGACAGCGCTGGAGTGGATCGTGCGCCTTCGTCCGCTTGTCTCGTACTGGAAGAAACGACACAAGGTAGACGCGCGCCAGGAGATGGACATAAGCCACTTCAGCACAGGACGCGAGCGTATCACACCGAAGAGACGCATCGATGAGAATGAAGACTCTCCGCCAGAGCCTATCCCCGATCCAGACACCTCCTTACCGGAACTCGGCTCTTTCTTCAACTGGTGCGTCCTGGAAGGTTGCCGTCCTCTCCTCAAGTGCGGCAAGATTTATGCGCGCCAAGGTCTGCGGGGACAGTACCTGTAAGTAATTCATCTTCTGGTTTCCCGCAGAGTGACCGAGAAATCAGTGCGGCTGCAGACACATGCAACTCGTCCTCATCTCGGGCAACCTCGTTCAGTATCGCATCACGGGCAGACCGTCGCTGCATCATCGCAAACACAAGGTAATCAGCCTTCTGGACGCGTACGTGTGCTCTGGCTACCTCGCTGCACAATACCTGCCGGACGGTCAATACGACCCCAACACGCCGCCAGCCGCTCGACGTTATCAAGACGGGCTGGAGGCAGATGACTCAGAGGAAGATACCCTATTCCTGGTGTGGTATCGGAAATCTGGGAGAACCGACACGCTGAGCCCCGGTGGGCCTGCTGCCGAAGTACCCCCGCTGTCTGGTAAGAGAAAGCTGGAGATATTTCGGACTAGGAGCAAGCTGGAGAGGGACGCTTGGGTGTGGGCCATCAACTCGGCGATCGAGAAGGTCGTGCGAGCTTCTCAGACTTGGGAGGATAGATTGAGGGAGGCAGGTCAACTACTGAAGCCTTAATTAGGTGTTCACCAGCCTTAACTTGATCAGATTCTGGATGGAGATATGTGTTACGTGTGTACTGTGAGCATGAACTGTCGCCATCCTGTATGCAAACATGCAGGTAAAATGAACGAGTGCAATGATAAACAGCGACACCCGCTCCGTGAAGACGTTGATCTGCGGCAGCCGGTGCACGTGTAGCCACGAGCGCACTGAATGTCGTAGTTCCTCGAGCTCTACGAGTCGCCGAAATTATTGTTTTGGCTTCTTGGCTAACATCCGTGACGTCAGCCTGAGCAGTTCCTGGGTGAACCGTGCGACATACCGCCATATTTACTTCGCGAGGACGTCCTGTTCACCACAGGCCCAAAGTCAAGCGCTCCTCGGACCACCTTATACCTGACAAAATATACCGCTTGAATCTCTACTCCACGATTTCAACGAGTATGGGTACGTACCGCACACCTGGAAGATCCTGTGTACGACCACCCCTTACCAGGACCACATTATGCTCCTGCAGACGATGCCCTTCTCCAGGGAGATATGCCTGAATTGTCTTGCCCGTGTTCAGCCTCACACGGCAGACCTTCCGCTTGGCAGAGTTAGGCTTCTTCGGCTTCAGGACATAGATGCTGGTGACGACGCCCTTCTTTTGCGTGTTCCCGAAAAGCAGCGGCGACTTTGGTGGTCTGACTTTTTTGGGAGCTTTCCGTCTAGTCGCCTGGTTGAGCGTGACGGCGGCCGGGTGGGAAGGGTGGAAGAGACGGGATTGGAGGGACACAGTGGGATTTCGCCAGACGTGGAGAAGTGAGGACGACCACAGCCGGTGCACCTGGGTGAGCGGGGAGGACCAATGTCGGTGCGCTTGGCCGGCGAACCGCAGGAATGACAACATTTCGTTCGACAATGTGAACTTGACGTCGAGTGCTGGTACTGTCCGCGTCTTGACCGGCCCTAGAGCAAGTCACGAGACCAGATAATGCAGAGCAGACTTCAGTGATTTGACGCGTTTGTCGCCGCCGCCGCCACCCGCCGCATATCGCCTGTTATGCCTGTCGCTGGCTCATCGCGTCGTACAAACAATGCCCGTAGAAGAGACCTTTCTGACGGCATCGAGGAAGAGGACTCGCGTCGACCTGAACGGGAGGACGTAGACGACGGCGAGGACAGCGACGACGATCAGCCACGGCGTCGCGCTAAAGCGGTGAAGAAGGAGAAAAAGCCAAATATTCATGTAGAAGATGATAAGGAAGAGGACGATGGGGAAGAACAATTCGAGGATCCGTTGAAGAACTTCAGCGACCAGCCACTGGGAAAGGCACAAGCTGTCAAGCTCGTTGGGATGGCCAGCGACTGGTCTATGACGCGGCAAGCTGTCCGTGGTGGCACAATTAATCTCATCACGGATGTGGCCAGTTCCGTGGCTGAATTTGGGGAAGGTGAAAAGAGCCAGAAGGTGAGTCAAGTAGAGGCCTCCTGTTGTCAGCTACGCTACTGACAAAGACCGTTTAACAGGTCCTGTCGGATCTCGACACTACAATGAGAGAGCTTATTGATGCAGACAGTGAATTAACTGCTCAGGAGATTGTGCTGAATGAGATCAATCAGAAAGTGAATCTGAAGGAAGACATTGTAAGCTTTTAGTCTCCCTAGTTGTGAAATGAGGTCATTGACATCTTTTCAGACTGATGTAGTTGAACGCTACGAGCGAGAGATGAAAAACAAGCTCAATGCCTACAAGAATAAGACCACACGACAGAAGTACGCAAAGAACGACGACTACGTCAAGTTCAAATCGTCGATCTATGTAGGTCTTGGTAGTGTCTTTGACCTGAAACGCTGACGCTGGTGTTCACAGGAAGTGCAAAATCCGGACACGGCGATGCCACCGCTCACAGACATGATTCCTCGAGGTACGTTGACTACCCTACACGCCTCGTAGCGTTCTATACTCATGTCGTCGTAGAGGACGGTGACGATAGTGACGATGATGACGATGTGCAAGTCGGCGGTATAACGCAGGACTACAGATGTCCGTTGACGCTGACGATCCTTGTCAATCCTCTGACCTCGTACGAATCTATGTACTTGCATATTTATAAAAGCCCTCACACGTTACCAGTATGGTCTGCCATCACTCGTTCTCTGCAGATGCCATTCAAGAATTCCTGGGTCCGAGCCACACAACGACGAAGAAGTGCCCCGCTTCGGGATGCAACAAGTATATTTGCCTGAATGACTTGAAAGATGACAAGGAGCTTGCAAAGAAGGCGAAGGATGCGGCGAGGCGAGAGAGAATGAGGGAGGACGATAGTGACGAGGAAGACGTTGTGGAGTAAGGTGCATGCATGCACTGAATTTATTCTCGAGGGCCGAAAGCTGAGGCCCTCTGATTGCTACGTAGAATATGAATATCTGACTGTATAGCAATAAAAGCATCAGTTTACTTGAGAATGAGCGGTTGGATGACAGACGTAAATGGCTACATGGTTTAGACGTTTACACTAGAATACACCGCTAAAACTACAAGCGAGCAATTCTGCATGGATCCTCCAGGGTTCCCAGTCGAGAGCAGAGCTTCACAAGGGCGACGTATAAATACAGCGCAATCGGGGACAGGCCCGCATTGCCTGGCTGATAAAATTTAAAGAAAATTGGAATGTTCAAATAATTACGAGGAAGGGGCGGATCTGAGCGGTAGGTGAGTATATCGGGAATCCACAGATCCATATGGTCCTCACGAGGTAAAAGGATCTATGCCCACAAATTCAATGTCGAGAACTGCAGGTTGCCCCCCCTCGACTTGGGCACGAAAATGGCACCTAGCCAGGTCGCTGAAGGTGTGGCCACAATTGTCATCTTTGGAGAATGATTAGTAGCGAAGTCGGGACGTACCTCCACAGACATCCGATACCTCCGTCGCGACCAGGCCAGCAGAATTCATAGCTCCCAGCATCTGTCCGTACGTCCCGGCGTACAAGGCGCCAGATGCGGCGTTGCGAGGGGCAACCTTTATTGCAGCTTGGCGCTGGGAAATGGCCTCGCCCAACGCGTCGTGCTTCTCCACAGGAGAGGACGTCATCCCCGCCGCGGTGACGGCATCAGCGATCGCGCGCTTCATATCCCAGAGCTCTCTCGGCGAGAGTCTTCGCGGCCTGCGACGCTCGGACGAGTTCTGGTGCCCGAACCGGATGAGAAGGTTGTGGCCACCGCTCTGTTTCGCGCGGGGAAATGGTTTGGGCGGGGGAGGTGGTGGGAGGTCGGAGATCCTGCTTGCGCTTGTGGTCGCGGAGGACGTCGTGGTGCTCGAGGTCCAGGAGGAGCGGGACCAACGGGACTTAGGAGGGGCGAACTTGATGTTGGAAAATTCCACGACATAGGGGACGCCCTCCGGAGTGGCGCGAAATTTCACGTTAGACAACATCGAGATGATTAGACAAATGACGGTGAGGTTGCGATGAGGAGAGCCAGCCACAAAGCGAGGGTAGCAAGCAAGGAGAGACGATGTCAAAGGAGAGTTGAACTTATAGTACAAAGCACGCAGAGCCGAGTTTATCGCTTTGTGGCGATCACGTTGTTATGTGGCCACAGGAGCCACAATCTGGACATAAACGTTACATTCTCAATGCGGCCCGGTCAGCCTACAGCACAGTGAAAAACAGTACTCAGACAGGGGATTTCACTCCGCACGGTACTGATAAGCCAACGAATGAACACAGCAGTCCAGTTCCACAAGCAGGAATGTACGGCAGTGACGTCTCTGCGTTCTTGCTTTCGATCAGTGCTAACCTCGAAGCCCAATAATGCTAAAGCAAAGATTATTTGCAGAACATAGAGCACACGAGACCCGCTTGGTCCTTCCGTGGGCTTACGCTGCAAGTAGTCAGTTGCATGATGATGATAAGCGGAAGTGACAGTTCAGTCGCTGCACGCAGGTCGACGATACAACTTACAGGGGAAGTGTGGTTGCTTGACCTAAATATGCCGACTCAAGCCAGACCTTTTCTTTCGTTAACTACGAGCACGATGGGAGGATGTGATATGAACAGCAAAAAAAAGGAGTTTATCCAGAGCAGTCGAGTTGAACAACGATCACCAAAGCGGGAATGTTCGCGGGAGTCGGAAGTTACCGACAGTACAGCACGTGATTAAGCCTTAATCTAGGGTTAGGATTGGCCGATGGGCTCTCCGGAAAGTGACTCTGATATCGGCCTCGACCAAGCTCGAGCTGTCTATCTACGCGCCATCGCGTCGACATCAATATAACTCTCTGTATCACACCACCATGTCTGCACCAGTGAAGAATGTAGTCGTCTTGGGTGCTGGCGTGGTTGGCCTCACCATTGCATATGTTTTAGCTACTAGCCCAGAGGCAGAGTCGTACAAGATCAAGATTGTTGCACGCGACATGCCAGAGGACCTCGACTCGCAGGCATTCGCCAGCCCATGGGCTGTTCGTTCCTCAGCAGAGATAATGCGTGCAGATTACTGATAACAATCTGATCAGGGAGCCAACTGGTCACCCATGAGAGGATTCAACAAGGACACGTTACGCAGGGAGATCGCCACATTGTAAGCGTCGAGATTCTCCATCATTTTTGCTTCGTATCGTAAGACACAACAAATTGTAGCAACAAGTTCTGGGACATGATCCCGACCGGGCTTACACGAGTGAGCTCAAGCAGTATCTCATGCTCAGGCTGTCGTACTAATCACGTTCACCCAGGCGCTCCCCTCGCGAGTCTACTACGACGACGACTCTGACCTCGCCAACTTGTGGTACAAGACTCTTGTGCGAGACGTCAGTATTCCCTCGTGAATCGAACGAGGCTATGCTTTCAACGTCGCCTGCAGTTCCGCGTGCTCGAGCCCAGCGAAGTACCCAAAGGCGCGAAGGGGGGCGTCAGCTTCAAGACCTTCTCTGTCAACCCCGAGGTGTACCTCCCGTGGCTGAAGCAGCAGCTGCAACAACGCGGTGTGGAGTTCATCCGTAAGAGGATGCACAGTCTCGGCCAGGCAGCTGCCATCGTGGGTGCTGGCGGCGTGCTGGTGAATGCCACAGCTCTTGGTTAGTCTACATGCTCCCCGAGCATATACTGCCACATAGTCACCTAACGGAGTGGTTTAACGTGCAGGTGCCAGGTCGTTGATCGGTGTAGAGGATAAGGATGTTTATCCAATCCGCGGCCAGACGATTATTGTCAACGCACCGGCTGTCGACGAATTCCTTTCCTTCCCACTCGGTGAGGGTAGTGTCATACCTACGAAACTTATCTGACATAGCTGTTCTCATTGTAGGGAGGCCATCGGCGGACGGTGATGCCACCTACATAATTCCGCGCCCCTCCCCGACGGGGCACGTCCTCCTCGGCGGGACCTACCAGGAAGGCAGCTGGGACACGTCCCTCGACTTCTCATCGGCCCAGGGAATCTTCGAGCGCTGCGCAGCGCTCGCACCCGCCCTCAGAGACAAGGAGACGCGCATCCTCAGCCACAATGTCGGCCTACGCCCCGCACGCAAGAACGGCGCGCGCATCGAGGTAGAGTGGCTCGATGGGTCGCACAAGAGCGAGCTGCTGCCAGCGTCGGCTGGCCCGGACGGTCGTGTGTTAATCGTGCATGCTTATGGCTTCGGGTGAGTTGGCTTGTGTTAGATGATGGGTAACCACAATTGACTCGCTGTCCAGACCGGCAGGATACCAGAATTCGTGGGGAGCTGCGGAGGAAGTTGTCGCTTTGATCAAAGGCAATTTCAGTAAGCTGTGAGGGGCGGGGACGGATACATGAAGTAGAATCTAAGCTGTGGAGGGTACAACAATGTAGATGACATCCCCCGTACTCAGACTATACCGCGACCAAATCATCATTATTGCATCAATTTCCCAACTTCCGCGCTATATTCCCTCACTGCATCTTCTCCACAGCGATTTTTACCTGCGCATCTTCCACCAAACCCCGCAGAACCTCCATTGCTTCCTCCGCCTTCGCCTCAGGAACAAAAATGTGGTCGTGGAAGAACGCGCTCACGACATTGGTTGCCATGCCCTTGCGGCGGCACAACACAGCCGTGATCGTCGCGAGGAACCCGACGGCTTCCAGGCTGGAGTGCACCTGCAGCGTGATCATGCGCGAGGGAAAGTGCACGTCCGTGAGCCCGTGCGCCTCCGCGGTGGCACGCGTCGTGATGACGGTTGTGCCTTCAGACTCGGCGAAGGTCAACGTCGTCGGCAGCATCGCGGGGGGCTGCACCGAAGGCGGGAAGGTGAGGAAGACGTAGGTGTCTGGCTGAAGGACCGGCTGCATGGTCGCGAGCAGTGCGGTCAGGTTTGTTTCGCCGACGGAGGGAGCCATAGTCAAAGATCGTGTACGGCGAGCGTTGGTTCTATTCTGAGGAAGAATGCGAGAAATGCTAGTGTCTTATATATATACGAGTGCGGGTTCTCTCCGAACTGCATGCAGAGGAAATAGCGTCCGATATGCTCAATCACTGAAAGCTGTTCTCGCTCGGCGCTGAGCGGAGAAAAGACTCTGGCAGAAAAATATGAGGCTCTTGTTGTTAACGCCTGGTGGATGATCTGCGCAATCGAAATGTCCCAAGATGTGATAGCAGAGTAGATGCGACTCATTCTCCGAGAGTGGCGATAATGAGTCACGCATGCGTGACAAAGGTGTGACATACGCGACTGGCGCTTGATCTCCGTCTTGCCTCTAGAACTGTCTCCGTGTGCCCATACCAGTTCTCCCTAGGTAACCCCCTTCAGTGAACAGTCGATAATGCTTCCCTCAATACAAGCACGGACGTTTTCACCTCTGCTCTCTTTCGTCTTGCGCCCCCGGACGCTAGCAACACATGCCACCGCTGTCCCCACGACATACCCAGGCACTCCGCCCGTCCAAGCACACTCAAAAAAGGCCGCAGTCTCATCTGCATCGACCAACGAGGGAGGCGCCCTCAGACCACATCTGAACATTCCGGTGAATCCGAACCACGGGCTATATGGGTTCTTCCGTCGGACGGAAAAGGACGGTGTCGTGTCGTATGAGACGGTGGAGCAAAACAATGCCCTCACCACAAATACAGGTCCGTGTCGCATTCTCTCTCGGGCTGCTCTCTTACTGACATCTTAATTTGTGATGTTGTCTATGAATGGCTGTTTTCGTGATTTTCTGACTGACCAGGTCGCTCGTGGACCGCGGCGGAGCTGCGTCTCAAGAGCTTCAAAGACCTGCATACGCTGTGGTATGTGCTCCTGCGGGAGCGGAACTTACTCGCTTCGCAAGCGGAGGAGGCGAGGCGACATGGGATTACGGTAGGAGTACTCAATGTGAAGCAGAAATCTCTACGGGTATGTCCGACACGCCGCCCAACCGTCACATCTGATTATCCGTACTAACGACCTCCGTTGCACCACTCCAGTGCCGCAAAAGCATGGCCCGCATCAAGTACGTGATCAACGAGCGACGGCTGGCGTATGAGGGCGCGGTCGGGGCGCTGAGAGAGCAGCGTGAGAAGGAACTGGCGGCACTGCGGGAGGAGCGAGTGGCTGAGGAGCGGGCGGAGGCTGCTGCTGCACAGGCAGCAGCGAAGGCGGCGGATAAGGAGAGTAGACAGGATGCAGGGCAGGCGCAGTCCGCGGCGAACCTCGCTGCGCAGGGCTTGTTTGAAACCGCACCGCAGAACGAGGGACAGGCGAAGCGACCGTAGAAGTTTGTCTGCAGAGTATCTGGGTATCCATGTCATTTGGGGTCGCGTCCGATTTGCCGCAAGCTGTGTTCAAGCCAGTCTAACACCTGAGAATCAGGCTGAGGGGCTCCTGCTGGTACCCGCTGTCTGTCCCTTGTCTTGCTGGCTCCACCGCAGCATCTCTTCGCTCACCCAGCAATCCCGCACCTTGCTATCTTCGTACACATCCAACTGCCTCCGCCCGCGCCGTAGCATGTGCTCAATTGCAGAGACGTCTCTCGGTGACATGGCAGAGGCTTGGGTCTTGAAACTGTAGCGAACGAATAGCAGGAACTTGGGGCGCACTCGTGGTGGTTTGGTATTCACCATGCGGAGAGCACTGTATGCGGATGATTCAGCGCTGTGAGATCGACAGTTAAGGCCGAAGGCGTACCGTCTGTAGAGAGCAAGCACTTCCTTCTGAAGACCGGAGCGGCGAAGAGACATCTTTCCTGCGGTGATAACAACTGTCTAGGCAAACAAGCTGGGAAGGACGGCTGGTCAGTGGTGGAATATTATGGAAGGAATCGCTTGACATGGTCGGTCGACCTGAGCCGACGCGGGCAGACGCGTCGAGTAGTCTCGTGATTGTGGCGAACTTGTTCCGCCCTTTTCTCTTGCGGTCAGCAGCCAGAGACTCTGGTGCATTCTCCCACATCCGTTATCGATCGTTTCCCGTGGATTTACGATGCTGGGACATTTACGTGCTGGTGCGCGAGCCGCACCCAAGTCCTCCACCCTGACCACAGCTTCGTCGTTCAGTCGCACTAAACGTCGAAAAATGACTAGCGGCACATCTGCTGGTGTCGAAGGAGGGATCGGTGACCCAGCCAAATACTGTAGCGACTTCGTCCGCCAGCGCGACTATGAGGCGTTCCTGACATCTCAATTCTACCCGCGCGAGCTACGGGATCACTACCTTGCCCTGAGGGCGTTTTACGTGCGTATGATCAGTGCTGTTGCTTAGGTTTCCGTGTAACTGAGAATGCGTTGCAGGTGGAACTTGCGACAGTGCAAGAAGCTGTGTCCAAACCGATGATCGGGAAGATGAGGATGCAATTTTGGAGAGACGCTGTGAAGGCCATGTCCGACGTGCGTCTCACTTACGCTGTTTTCCTCCATACCTCCCCGAACATGTCTACTGGTGAATCTCTACTGACCATGGATGTCCCGTAGGGCAGACCGCCGAGGCACCCCATTGCGCTTGCGCTGCATGACGCGTCGGATAAGACGAATTTATCAGCATACCACTTGAAGAGAATCATCGATGCCAGGGTACGGTCCACATGGATCGTCTCCAGAATTTTGGTTGACACATCATCCTAGGACGCCGAACTAGACACTCCCACGCACCTGACCCTTGATTCCCTGACAGCGCATGCCGAGGCCACATCGTCGACATTCCTTTATCTTCTCCTGTCCCTCCTGTCACTATCCTCTTCGTCTGCGCTCTCTCATGCCGCCTCCCATCTCGGCGTTTCGCAGGGAATCTTCACGCTCCTCCGCGCTATGCCGTATCACACGGCACAAGGGCGGATGGTCATACCCGCGGAGATGACCGCGCGCCATGGCGTCAGCCAAGAGGAAGTATTTAGGAAAGGTGGGAACGCGAAGGGCATTGAAGATGCGGTGTTCGAATTTGCGACAGTAGCTAATGATCATCTAACCACCGCGCTCGAAATGTTTAAGGAGGAAGGGATGGGAGGGAAGGTGCCGGTAAGAGCGAGGCCAGTGTTTCTTAGTGGGGTACGTCTCGCGGGCCGTTACGGATGTGTATGGGAGACGATGACCTTGTCGTACAGATCCCGACGAGAATATACCTCGAGCGTCTGCAGGAAGTCAACTTTGACGCGTTCCACCCGAGCTTGCGTCTCCGCGACTGGAAGGTGCCTTGGAAAGTCTGGAGTAGTTATTACAAGGGCACATTCTAGTAGAACACTTCAGCCATATGTCCAAAACTTTTGTTACACTGCCGTTTCGTTGTTGCTTGAGAGAAAGCACACCCGCCACAAAGGCCTCGTTCAGAAAAAGTTAGAGGTCCGCCTCTACCGCCGCTTGGGCAGGACCGCTCGTGTGGCAGATCTCAACATTCTTATCCCATCCTCCTTAGCACACCGGCTTCTCCCTTCCACGACGTCCATCTCCCGAGCCCCCCGCCGTCGTGGTCTCTACTGGTGGCCTGGTTTTGTAAGTTCTAACACCGGTGCGGACTTCGTGCATCGCAGGCACCATGCAGCACCTTTGCGGTATGTCTCGTCATGACGTGCGGCTGAACCACCCGACTCACTCTATGTGGCTCCGACCGCCCTCTCAGACGAGATCATACAGATTATCTTGAATGAGCTCGAGAATCCGACGAACTTTAGTCTTATTTCAAAGCGGTTCTACCAGTTCACGCAGGATCCGTATGTCCGCGCATCGTATTTCCTCGCCCGCTATGGCCGGATACAGGCGCTTTACTGGGCTCTGGGGAGAGGCAAACTAATGAACGAGAAGGTCATCGATGTACGCGTTTCACCTGGGGTATCATGCCTGAAGTGACGTGGAGCCTGATCACTCCCGCCTCAGATACTGATATCCAGCGGCGCGCACCTCTCGCGCTATCTCGCGCAATGTGCCATTCATCACTACTTCCGTACCCAAGTTGGGTTCATCAAGACCCCATGGGTCCGTAGCATCTCGTTCCCGGTCTTCTCCCATTTCATGGCTGTGGCCGCGCGCATGTACGGCGACATACCCACCGGCAAGGGTGACGATGACGCTTCCATATTCGCGGCGCTGTTGAAGCAGAACAGATTCACCACGGACGTTCGGGCGGGCAAATGGGAGATGCTGAAAGATGTGCTGGAAAAGTATAAGGTGCGTGGCGCGTTCCGTGGCGCGTTTCTGCACCAATTCACGCGTGGGTCATCTCCTAGTTTATCCCCTTCTGCAATAAGGTATGTGGATGATGTGATACCATCTGCAGTGACTATATGTGCCTTCTCCAGGATCCCATGATGGCCCAATTTCCTCTCGTGCTGGCGATCGAGCCACGTCTTCTAACTTACGCACGCACTAATGGCTTTTACATGGATCGCAAGGTCAGTGCATTCCCTTATCATTCATGGCATCAACAATCTATAAACACTACTTGCACCTAGTACCGTAATTTCGTCTTCCGCAAGATGTTCGAGAAACCAGCAGTTGCTTACGAGGGCCGTGCGGACGAGATCATTCAGAATGTCCGCGAGTTATCGCGTCTAGATCCTGCGTATGTCATATTTCCTATCATATTCTTCGTGTTTGCTGGGCAAATGACTTATGGCTTTGGATGCTTTAGCATGTTCCTAAGCAGAACGGTAGCTGCCGAAATTTGTATGGAGGCGGGGACGAACGATCAGGCCTATGCAGCACTGAAGAGACTTGATAAAGAAAGAGAGTTGAAGTATGATTTACGGTTCGTACCTGTCATTGTGTCCCCATTGAAACCGGTTGACGCCTGCCTGGTAGTTCTGTCGTTGGAGAACTTATAAAGGTAGCAAAATAAATGTTGCAGAATTTAACCCTAACTGATGTCTTTTCCAGCTGTTCATAAATACTCGTTCGATCTCGAATCCGTACACATTCCTTGTCCTCCGCGAATTGCACCGTGACTACCCTTCGCAAGACCCTACCGTCCGTCTCGTTTTGCTGCTCATAATCTTCCACTCCGAGTCTATACCGCTCTCACCATCACCCATATCTCGCCCCACGACGACCCCCCTGCTTCGTGCGTACGTCTCGGCTTGCAAGGAAAAGGTGCAGAGCATGGGCTTAAGCCCAGTGACGCGGTGTGACCTAGTCGACGTTCTTGTAAATAAGTTCGTCCCCGATCGTTTCTGGGGTGTTCTGGAGTATGGCCGCGTCGTGTTAGGTTTGGAACAAAAGGAGGAAGAGGAGCTGCTGCAGGACGTCGCTCTCAAGTGTCTGGAGATCAGCTGCAAGGGGAAGATGCTCAAGAGGCTCGTCGAATCACATCCTTTCCTGTCTGATGTGATCGCCTCCCACGTGTTGCACAACTTCCGCATAGACCTCGACGACTTGCCTCCGTCTGAAGACGAGAATGCTTGCCACGAGTTCGAGGCAAGGCTCTGCAGAGACTTTGTGACTGTTAGGCGCAGTGGAAGCTTTGCAGAGGCTGCAGTTGAAGGGACAGGTTCTGCCCAAGTAGTGGAAGATGTACAGGGCCAGCACCAAGATACTGCTGAGGGTAACGACGATGATGACAGCGACATTGTTGAGATGCCCGATCCCCCGGATGACGGAGACGACGACGATCTCGTACGTTCCACCCGCTTCTTGTTGTGGGGTTGTACTTTGGCTCTTATCTTTACATCAACAGGGTCCTGTTGGTCAAGACACTTTGACTTCCATGATCAGGAAGGATGAAATGGCACCTATGCGGCGCCGCCGATTTTATGAAATGGTCACGAACTATCACGATGGTCTAGGCAGGTTACCCTACCCAGCAGGTGAATTACTGGTTTTCAACCTTTGGATCTGACGTTCTGACCGCTATGTAGATTACCAGCAGGTGGGGCGATGGATTCGCACCCATTACGGTCATCGCAGTGCAGTCAGCGCCGTGTTCATGATGCATGCTATCTTGAATGAAAACACTGTTGTGAGTCCGCCTTCATGCAAGCATGGCAGTATTATAGAATGTTACTGAACATTCTCAGGTGCTTCAGCCGTACCTTTACTCAGAGAACTTCGACATGGCCAATCGCGTTCCCGTAACGCTCAAGCAGTTCAAGATGCTCGGGCGGCTTGGTCGGTCGCCGGTAAGGGCTACTGCTGAAGTTCAACACTTCGGCTGGCTGACGTTGCTTCGATAGTCTACCGCTCTGTATGACGACATCGAGGCCGGCATCGAGTTTTACTTTGGCGAGGAAGATTACTTGACTCCGGATGAGCTCAGCGGCAACACTACTCCGCCCCGCAAGGCGCGAAGTCACAAGGTAAAAGTCAAGGCTGAGAACAGTGGTGGATCGAGTACGCAGATGGTGAATGTTGCACCTCGTGCGGTTCCTTCATCGTCCAGGCTTCCGAGCAGTCCCCGAGGAAAGAATAGGCCACGCCGTAGTGCAGCGAGTACTGTATGCTATGTGGTTCCGGATAGCGACGACGAAGGTATCGTCGAGGGGAGGGTTGATGAGCATGTGAAGAAGCGTAGAGTGGAGTCAAACCTGCAGCGGTGGATCAAGCACTTGTCTGTATTACTGAAGGAGGAACAGAAGAAGGTGAGCTCGTGTAGTCTTGCAGACGGATATGGCCCTTAGACTACCATTCAGTATAAAGAAAAGAAGAAACGCGAACAAGCTGCAGCACAACCCGGTACCAAAGTGCGCGTGCTGAAGGTGTGTTATTCACGTGCTTGTTGCGTCAAGGGATCTAAGCGTTATCTGCAGAGCGAATTCTTCAAGTCGCTGTCGTATAATCTGCCTCGTCTGCGCAAGGCCGACAAGCTGAAACGCCAGCAGCTTTATGGCGCGGATGTTCCTGACGAAGATTACAGTGAAGGCGAGGAAGACGAGTATCATTATCGGACTACCCGATCCAAGCGTCGCAAGGTCGATACCGAGGACTGAGCCGATTGTTTGTTTCCTGCATTTTCCGGATCGTTTTTCTTATCCCCACCCACATCCAGAAATAACGTCCCATTCTGATTGCATTCATTCATCATAGCTCCATCAATCACTCTCGAAGCGCAGTAATCCTCTTTTCCAGTGCAGCCTACCTTACTTTATTCATGTATCGTTGTTCGGATCGAATGCATGTTGCATCTTTCGTCGTGGCTTCCGACTACTCCCCGGCCGTCACAGCGAACTATATATCCGTGCAAGGTACGTCTCATCAGGTGCGTTAACTATCGGCGTATAGTGGGCGTGGGGCTTCGGACCGACTGATCCAAGAATCAATTTCCTTCGGCCAATACTTACATTGCAATGGTCACTGCTACACTTTGCAGCTCTTATCAGTGAATGAAATCCATCCAGCTCCAGGCATGATATATGGATGTCCCAGGAACTATTGGTGAGTCCTGCAAATTCAATCTCTACTTATTCTATACCCGCTTTACTCGCCACCTCCACATCGATTGATCTTCCTCGTCTAAATCCACCAGGCTACCAGCGCAATCAACGTTTTTCTGCACTTGCGTTTTGCTTCGTCGTGCGAGTCTCAGGCAAATCTCGCTCAACCAAGTACGGACAAATCTCTCTGCAAGAACCATGATAAATTTGCAAGTGTTTTGACCTTTTCTCATATGCCATTCCCCAGTTCCCCTTGGCCTTACGGACAGATGCCAGATATCTTCCCGTGTTGTCCTAGGTTTTCGTTCGGTTGCAAGATTCGGCTTAACATATACAATCGCGCTGGTGTATCCCCTTTCCTTCTCATCAACCGCCGTCAGCTCGAAAGTGACTGCGGCGCCACTGATTGTTCTACCGTTCTGTTCAGTCGGTCTGGAATCGCCGCCAGAGGTCAGCGAAAGACTGGCTTTCGTGATTCGTCGAGATGCACCAAGCCACCCTTCCTGACAAATGATCTACGTACCTCCATAGATGAAGCTGTTTCAGGACGCAGGACGTCGCATTCGTGCCGCAGTAGGTACATACATTGCAAGTTTACTTCACATTTGAGATATATGCGCAGTTCATATCATATCAACGATAGGATGACAGCCACATCCACGGATTACTGGCGTGGGCACTTTGTCGTGTTCGACGTCAGTGGTTATCTCTGGCACGCGAGTTCATGGAATTGACATCAGCACTGAGCTCAGAGATTCGGCGATGCCGCCGAAGTGTGCCCAAACAATTCCTTAATGAACGCCTCAGAGTTGGGCGGGCGTCCGAGGAATTCCTGTAGGTTCAAGGTCAACGCGAATACCGTTACGGCTCAATGAAAATATGGCGAACCTCAAGTGATACGAGCTCTTCCCTACTCCCTCCAGGTTGCAGGATCTTTTCACGGTAGCGCTGACCAAGTGCGGGATCGAGGGGGCCCTTCTTGAACACTGTTGCATACATGTCCGAAGCGAACACGAGAGAGTACGTGTACCTGTTGACCGCAATAGAATTACTTCTTCAGTTCACTCGGAAGGTAGGAAAACCTGCCCGTAGTATCCTGCGTCGTAACCGCTTGCAATGTGGTTGAAGGTGGCCTGACCAGTCGTAGGCTTCCCTCCCTTGACGAGAGATATCGACTCTCGGAGCTTATTCCACAGTTCGGTCTCATCCGATGAGGCTGTGTATACGAAGGCAAGTACCGCTCAGTATCGCACATCGGCATGAATGATGCAAGGATGCTGCGTACTCTTCGCAGTGTGCACCTTGATGTCGAAATTTGCGAAGAAGAGCTGACGGAGGTAAAACAGCCCCACGTTGACATAACGGCTGAAGAACGCACTGTCAGGCGCAGAACGTCCACAGGAACAAAAATCCCACCTCTTAATGATCTTGTCGATCAACTCAGGAGAGAGCGGCTGCTGCGTCTCGTAATGGCGAGACATTCGCTTAAGTACTTCAGGCTCGAAGCACCTATTTTTACCGGTGATCAATTATATCGCAATGTGAAACCATAAGGCTGACACACCAGTTCTCGAGCATCTGGGATGGTGCTTCCACAAAGTCTCTTGCGACACTGCAAAATAGCCGCAACATTTGACACCCTTCCGAGATCAGAGATATTAAGGATCTGTACCTGGTACCATGGAACCGCGAATACTTCGTCCGGCTCAGGAGCCCGTGGAATACATGTCCCATTTCGTGGAAGAACGTGACCACATCGTCGTGGCGCATCAATGCTGGCTTCTGTGGTGTCGGCTTCGCGAGATTCGCAACCATCGCGGCGAGTGGGTAGCTTCGCTTGCCATCTGGGCGCTGGTACCCTGGGAGGAGAGGCCAGACGGCTGCATGCGAGTACTTCGAGGCTGCATGATACGAGTATGTCAACGCAAAAATTTACGAGGAAGGGAAACGCGCATACCGCGAGGAAAGAGGTCCAAGTAGCAGAAGCCGATAAACCCGGATTCATCCTTCGCATCATTCTCCCAGACTGAGAACTGCTGCACCTCTGAAACAATAAGAAGCAAGGTCATAATGAGGAGGATCACGATCAAGTCGAAACGCATACCAGGGTGCCACGTCTCCCCCTTCATTTCTACGAAGTGCACGCCAAGGAGACTTTGATAAATTTCCAGAATCGCAGGCACGACGAATGACACAGGGAAGTACTCCTTCACAAGCTGGTCGTCTAGGTCTAGCGAGCGCTCGATGAACTTGCGGTCGTAGTACGAGTAGTCCCACACGTAGAATTCGCCATCGAACGGGTAGCCCTTCTCTGCGTGCTCTTCCTGTTTCAGTGCGAGAAGCACTTCGCGGTCCTTGAGTCCTACGGGGCGCAGTTTCTGCTCTAGATCGGCGAGGAACTGCCGACATCCCAGCAGCTGAGCTCAGATATTTCGGTACGCAGAGGAAGCCTTACATCAATGACGCCGCGAGAGTTCTTCACCATCTTTACCTCAGTGATGTAGTCTGCCCAATTGTCATACCCAAGAAGCGCAGCAATCTGACGGCGGAGCTCCAAGGCCTTGCTCAGAATTGGTGCGTTAACGTCCAGTCGGCCCTCACGGCGCTCATACGCGATCCTTCGCGTCTCTGGATTCTCTGCAAATTTGAACTATGAAGACAAAGGTCATAATATCTCCGCTCATTATAAGAGCGGAGACTTACGACGGGAAAGATGTCTGGCGTCTTGAATGTCACATCGTACAGTTCCTTATCTCCTTCGGTGCGCTTTGTGTAACCAGAGACCACATCGGCCGGAACGCCCTTCAGTTCTTCCAGAGTGAATGATACGAAGCCCTACGTTATGCCCAATTGTCGGACTCATCAGAAGGGAAAAGCTACCGTCTCAGAGACAACGCACGTTTTCCTCGTTGAAATTTCTCTATCCTCATGCTCTCAGTAACGCGACTATATACAAGCAAGTCACGCAACATGCTTACACTGAACTGAAGACATGTCTGAGATAGCTCCTTCTGCAACCGCATCAGCTCATCGCGTTCCTTGTCCGGTAAAGCCAATCCAGAGCGCCTCCCGTCCAGAATCATCTTCTCCACCAGACGAATTTCTTCAGGACTCAGCTTGACGTTTGATTCCTTGATGTTCTTCTCTGCGGCCAACTTGGCCTGGAATACGTCCAATCGCATAGACGCGTCAACCCCGTAGTCCCGAACCATGACCTCCGCGTCATTGGAGGCATCACGCAACTCTTTCGAGGGAGACACGTTCTGGTAGAATGAGAGCGGTTCGACGATTGAATCAATCTGGGCTTCTCCTTGGGCAAGGGCAGCCTAGCAAGCACATGAGTCCTGGAGAAATAGGAGCAACGCGGGATAGAACTTACGAACACCTAAAAACCACCATCACAGAGGATGCGGAGGGTCAAGCCAAACAACAAAGGAGGAAATACTGAAGTGCATACGGATGTGAAGTTGCAGTCAGCAGGTGTCAGAGCACCAATCCTATCGTTCAGCTCACGATCGCGAGCGATGGCCTCTTTGGTGAGGGCCAGCACATCTGCGGCGGAATGGGTCCACGTCGGGGGAGCCTGAGGTGGGTTCAGAGACGCCATGGTGGTTGTGGTAGAAGGAGAGAACAACCCAGAAAGTGTGGACTGCGATCGATATATCCATCGAGAAGGCGCCGTGACCATATGCGCGTGCGGCATGCGTGCGGGTCCAGAACACAGCTTGAATACGCCGAAGACTGCCAGTGCCCCCACCCCCACATGCACTGCCAAGCGAGACACAGACCTCCGTGGTGCCAGCATGGCACATGCCCGAGTAGAAATCGACATGCTGAAGTCCGGGACCCGGCAGATTCTGAATAGAAAGCGGCCTGTTTACGCTTCCGCAGCGACTGCGTAAACTGCTTCCGCCCACAACACGCCCAGAGGAATTGAAACCCGCTCGACTGGTAAGGCAGCAGATGGAGATGGTGAAGAAGGATCAACTCATGACCCGCTCAATTACGCGAACTTAGCACCCGCGCGATGGTCTCACGCGTCTAGCGCACAATGCACAGAGTGGTCGTAGTGGATGACTTCCCGTAAGCGATTTAGCGGATAGCAGCCGGTTTCTAAACATTTAGAACCCTTCGGCTGACCTCGGCAGCCCGTTTAGTCCCTGACAACCTTCCTGAAATAGATATTTTATTTGTCGGAGATGATTTATGACTAAGCTGCCGAACCGGCACAAGGTTTTGGAATTAGGAAAGAACTTCCTGAACACCTCTAAATGGCTTAAGCGAGCATTTAGAACTGGTTTAGAGGCCAAATTTAGGATCCACTCTGAGGTGGATTCTAAACTTTAGCCGCGCTAAATGCTTGCTAAATGCGCTAAACGCGCTGAATGCGCGCGCACCCTGCCTTCGTCGCTGTATCCCGTGTCCTCCCCGACTTCATCACACATATGTTGGTGCTATTATACAAATCTTTTGCGCGCCAGCCTGGCTAGACAATTTTCGGGCCTGCAGAGGCTGGAGGAATGTAAGTTATTGACATCGGGAGCGGGAGACCACGCGGAGCATGTTGGCAGAACCAGGGTGAGTGCCATATTCATTTCTCGTCTTCCATCGCTGTGCTTAGTGTATTGCAATGCCACTGTAACTGCCTTCCTATCCATCTGGCACATCTGTCATCATCCTGGAGTGCAAGTACAATAGTGACAGACTCACAGCAAATGCTGAGCACCAACACAGATCCAGACACCAACTGTAATGTTTCCTTTGTCGAACATTGTGTATGCTGATGATTTTCTCTTTGTCTCTATAGTCATGCTAATTTGTCGCTCAACCCCAGATATCTCTGCTGTACCCTGACCGAAGGCTTGGCACTAGTTACCTCATGTGAGTACCATCTATGAACAGCCTGAGACCACACCTCCACATTCTCACAGCATTTTTAATTGCATACACTCCTCAAGAGGCTTGGCCCCATTTCCGCAATCATGAATGTACTCGTCAGTAAACTTGCACTGTCACGTGATCGCGCGTTCTGAACTCCGTGAAGTGTGTTCGTGGTTTAAAGTAGTGGCGGTCGTGCAGAGGTGTGCGAAGAGTATATATGTGCTCTACTGTAAGTTCTCAATTAACCTGCACTTGACATGGATGGAGTGTGACTTCGTGCTCTCAGGGCTCCCTCTGCATTCTGTAAGGCTCGGTGCACTGAGTGCACACTCAGACTTGTTGGTCTCAAGTGTTCATGATTCACTGTACCTCCATATGATTGAAGCAGCAGCTGTAGTCTTGCATTTCTACCTAGTTCTGACAGTCTGATGTGAACGAGCCAAGCCCGCGTGCCGCATGCATTCCAATCCCACCGTACTCGCTGAGCACCCGGAGTGCTGAGTCAGCGAGTAAGTCTAGTAGCCCATTTCCAATTTAGGGAAATTTGGATGACAAATTGTCGGAGTTAAATATTTCGAAGCCAGAGTTAGCTTTAGAAGACCCTGCTAACCGCTAAATCCCTTACGGGAAGTCATCCAGTACGTATACGCCGCATACAGTTCTCCACCCGCCTTGAACAACAAGAAATTTCTGGGGCCCTGCGCGTTATCTTTCGAACGCACGTTGCTACTGAAACAGAGGTGTAATTTTACCCTCTGTGCTGGACACTTACCAGAGGACACTTGGCTTGTCCCAGTTGAGGCTTGGCCCACGACTCCGCTCGACTCTCACTCGCAACTGTGTGAAGGACTCGGTACTTGCCACAAGTGCGCACAGTAAAACATTGCCGTGGAAGGTTAAGAAACTGAGGGGTATGTAAGGACCGCTCCTTTTCCTTTCCACTGCTAGCACAACATTAAAGTCGAGCAGCCCAGCAACGCTAGACTAACTTTATGTTATGAGGTTATAAGTGAAATGGTATAAATCTAGCTACTGGGTCAACTCACTAGCGCATACCATCAGAGACTTTGAACTGTTTTCTTTTCTCGCAACCATTTCTTGGCCAGCCTGCGAGAAACGATTACACCGGCCTTTATCGTAGTCCGAGAGTATGACGGATTCAGTGCAGCAGAATACGCCGTTTCATTATCGTGAAGTAGCACGAAGTCTGCAACATTGCCTATGGTTGGGACCAGCCCACACGTTGACGTGCTTTCACCGGTCAAGGGAGACATGGTCGCGTGCCCGATTGCGGTCCTGGTATTCAGCGTGACGGCTTCCTTTACATAACATTAACGGGTTAACACCCCGGAGTAAAATTGTGTGAGACGTACGAGAAGAGTACGGCAGTCTTGCCTCGTTCCAGCCTGGAAGATAGCAACCCCAAGAGGACACAACGCCAGCGGGTCTAACGGGCCTTGAGGCGTAAAAGCGTTCTCAATATTGTTGACCGACATGCCGATTTTCAAGCCATATTCCCTAGCCAACTTTGGCACATTGAGCGTGCTCCTGGGTGCCTGCGGCAAATTTCTGCCCATCATGTACAGATCACTCGGAGGCAGACCCACGAGCGTGACAGGCAGGTCGTTTTCGCAGACGAGCTGGCAGAACCTCGTCCACTCGTCTGCGGAGAACAGTGTCAGCCGCGTTGCATGCCCAATGCACACATGTGCGCCTGCGTGCCATCGCCCAGAACGGATTCGCTCGTGCAGTTGCTCGAGCACGTACCAAATCAGAGGTTCGGAGGTGAGATCTACATTGTAATCGAGGTGGAAGTCCACGTGCAGTCGGTTCTCAATTGCAGTATCGAGTATGAGCTTAATATTGCGTTTGGCATGCTCTGTACTGGGCTCGACGTAGGGCGCAGAGCCAACTGCCTGTACCCCAGCTCGTCTGGACGCGTTGCGCAGGAGGTCAAGATTCCTCCCTGGGTGTTCGTCGTCCAGGGAGGCAAATAACGGATCCTGTGCAAAAGCTGTCATGTAATAAGGACGGGATGCTGCAGAGACCAAGGGTCGTTGTACCTGCAATCTGAACATCACAGATATCTTGAAACTCCTCCCTCAGCCGAAGACCAGCTTCCAGGCAGCACATGTTGACAGTCCGGTCCACCTCGACGTGGGCGCGCATCAACGTGACACCACACTCCACGCTCTCCGTGATTAGTCGCTTACCCCGGTCATACAGATCCTCCGTGTCAGCGGGGAATGCGCTTTTGGCTTTCGCTGTGACCTTCAGCGCTTCTGTGAAGTCTCTAACCACCGCATCACCACGATGACTGCGATCATGAGCAGGACGAGCAGTGCCTACCCTGACACTAGGTCATCGCATTTGTCCAAGAGGAAGCACTTGTCCAGGTGGATATGCCCGTGGCACAACCTACAACCACAGGTGTCAATTTGCTCGCATGACTGTAGAAAAGGCGGGAGATTGACATACGCTGGGAGTAAAATTCCCCGCCCTTCCGCGTCAAGCTGTTCAAGGTCACAACGATCGGGAGAGTCTGCAAGGTCGGTAAATTCGGTGTCTTTGCACCCCGCAGGGCTGATGGTATCGACTATGCCGTCCACGCAGACAACATCGTATAGCTCGGTGCCTGCATGTCCATCGTCGTCAAGATCTAGATGAACATTGTGTATAACCAAGCGTCTGTTCAGGCCTTGAGTAATTAACATTGAGAACATTGCAGCAAAAATAAAAGCCACAGGCAGGGAGATAATTAGCAGCATACCAAGGTAATTCTTCAATAACTGAAATTCACTTGCCTTCGTCCCCATCCCTTCCACTCATCATAACCAGTTGGTTGGAGCGCTGCGGCATTCAGAATTTCAGACTATCGCAGCTCTGTGACAGATGGAAACGCAGATCACGTGTAATGCGTAACACGCGTGTGCCACGACGCTGGAAATTTCGCAGACTGCACAAATACTTTCCGGAGATTTTGACGAGAAACAGGAGACGGCAGACTATAGGAAAGACAGAGTGCGAAGTATATTCAACGTGTAGTGTGAGTATATTAAGCCTGTGTCATATGTGTCAGGTTGCAATTGGCTCCTGGAAGTTAGCCTCAATATCATCATCCTCCGCTCTAAATCGTTCGTAGACCACCACCTCAGCGCGAAGCCATGCAGTAGTCTCCACTTCCACGTAGTCTTCCCGATTCACAAATAACCGTTGTAATGGCACGCCTGCCGCTCGCCTCGCCTCCACCAGGTCACGCAGCTCTCCCCCATTAAGCCCGGTGCATATCAGCGTCGTGAGTTGAGGACAAAACGCCAGTGGACGGTCGGTCGCTGCCTCCGCCGTGGGACGCGACATGTGAAACGGATCGAGAAGGAATCGGTACCATCCCTTTCCTATCCACGCGAAATTGAGATTGAGCGATATGACATTGGCAAGTGCACCATAGGCCTCTGCTACAGCAGTGGAACTGCATGCAAACCCGAACAACTTCAGGCTTCTAAGACCAGCGAGAATCGCCTTGCCTGTGGAGAGCGAAGGTCGGGCAAGGGAATAAAGAAAGTCGCTGAGGTCCTTGCCTCGAAGAGAAAGCTGGAGATCAGTGACGTTCGGTAACTCCAAACATTCCACAAGTGACGGGACAGACGCCGCATCATCCCCCTCGAAGGTGAGCACGAGCTTCTTGACCGACGGCAGAGAGATCGTTCGGAATCCTATGTCGTCGGGCACAATATGTCCGTCTAACACTTTAAAGCAATGAATGGGTCCGGAATTCCGCAGGATAAGGGTGTGGAGCTCGGGCGAGGTGCACAGCATATGCGCAAATGCGTCGAAATTGGGACGGAAGGCATGGCTGTGATATGCAAGCTCCAGCCGTACCATACCACCGACGAAGTCGAACCGATTCCATGGGACAGGTGCTCCACGGATGCTGACGTGCGTTAATTTTGGTGCGAAGCCGCGGAACATAATAGGCTCCTGGTGTTTCGGGTTGCATATGACAGGAATCAAGAAGTAGTATTTTGCCTCTGCAACGTCGAGGTAGAGCTCCTCGAGTAGAGGGGCAGCACCGCACCCACACAACTCCTCTATGGAGAGCTTCATATTCATATGCTCCTTCAGCATTAGCCTGAAGGTGCGCCAGCGGGATACATGTGGGAATATGAGGGCAAAAATGTCGACGAGATGTCTCCATCTATTGTAGTCACGTCGGCTGCTCTGCTTCGTATTCGCTGACATGAAGTCAACCACGACATGGAGGGGGACACCACGCGACCGATCGAGGTAGACTTTGCTTCTCTCCATCCCCTTCTCAAAGTGGATGGTGGACCACAACATGGGGTTTTGGATCGCAATATCGCGCCAACGCCGACAGACATGGGAGACGAGCAATTCCCAGTCCACACTGGACTCCTCCGCGTGCTCGTCGCCCTTGTCGACTGTTCCATACGGGATTGGACTATTATCCCTGGACGGTCCCAGAACAAAGATGTGGGAGATTATTTCAGGATGTAAGTCGTGTATGGAAAGAACAGCCATCTTGAGATGGCGAGAAAGTCTTTGTTTGACAAGGGACATTGTGTGGCGATCTGTTAGAATGGTTAGCATTTACAGTCGCTGGAGAATGTCATTACTGTACTCTTCTGCTTTCACAACAAAACTTCAGCAGTGGTCAGAACTTTGTGGTGATCAAGTGCTTGGGAGAGGCAGTCCATTGTCAATGTCCAACAAACAAAGACATGGATCAGTCGGCACGTGAGATCGCAGAACTGTATGGCTTCTGCCCCCAATTCAGAAAGTCGAGTATGCAGATCAAGAATATTGGAATCTGATCATAAGTAGAAACACATTTGAGACCTATTCCTGAAGTCATCGCGCATCCGACCCCCGAAGGTCGTCCTCTCCCAAACTACTCGTCCTCATCCAGATCGGAATCATCATCGCTCACGGCATCTGAGTTTTCGTCCTCCTCCGCCGTGGCAACATACCCGTCCTCCGGGTGGCGGAACAGCCCAAACACCTCCACGTTCTCCGCGAGCCACGCAAGGCGGTCCGGGCGTATGCGGTCGCCCGCGTGCATGTGCACGCAGCGCAGGGGCATGCCCGCATCGCGGCGCTCCCCGACGAGCGCACACATCATGCGGCCGTTCACGCCCGTCGTGACGAGCGTGTCGAGGCGCGGGAAGAACATGCCCGCCGCGTGGCCCATGAAGCCCCCGAAGCGCGCGAGCGGCGGCCGGCGCGCGTTGCGGTACCACTCGCGCGACATGCGCCGGAAGTCGAGGGTGAGCGTCGTGAGGTTCGGCATCACGGCGTAGAACTCGATGACATAGTCCCGGGTGCGCAGGCCTGACACGCTCAGGGAGCGCAAGCCCGCGAACGCCTCTGGACGCTGGACGAGGCTCCGCATGAAAGAGGAGGGAGATCCGGAGGGAGAGCTAATCTCGAGCTCTTCGAGCGAGCCAAAGTCGAGGCATTTCAGAAGGAACTCGGTGCGGTAGGACGTGAAGTCCAGCACGAGCTTGCGGAGCGAGCGCAGGACGACAATGAGCGGCAGCCAGTCGTCGTCCTCCGAGAGCCCCATGCTCTCCATCCACTCGTCCAATCCCTCGAAAGGTCCCGAGTTGCGCAAAATGAGTGTGTGCAGATTTGGGGAACTGTTCAGGATGCGCGCGAATTCCTTGTACTCGGGCCGGACGGGTTCCGCGTGGTACGCAAGCTCGAGTCGATGCAGCCCACTGAAGCAGCGCGATTCTGCCCAGTTCAGGTAGATGCCCCGCAGTGCCAGGTGCGTCAGCTTCGGCGCATTGTCTTGGAACAGGATCAATTTAGACCAGGTGGCGAACAGTAGCGGCATGTAGCCAATTTCCACACGACTGCGGGCAACAGGGCGGGAGAGAAGGAGCTCTTCCAGCAGAGGAGCCGGCCCACATTTGCTCATGGCGACCAGCACGCGCAACATCGAATGCGCATCGTCTGAGCTGAACCTGAGCGAGCGCCACCGGGAAACATGCGGCATGATCAGCGGGAGGAATATGCGCTCCACGTCTTCGTCCATGTCCGAATCCCGTATGTCCTCGGACTGGCCTCTGATCGGCTTCGTGAGATCGAGCGAAATCGTCACCGGCGCGTTTCGCGACAATTCAAGGTATGCCTCGGCTTGCTGAAACCCGTCGTTGAAGTCGACAGTGGTCCATAGTGCCGGGAGCTGGAGGGCGATGTTACGCCAGAGGCGGCACACGCGAGCTACCAGGTGCCCCGGATGTGCAGCGCACCGCTCCTCGTCTTCATACGCCGGCACCTCCTCGTCCGCGTCAAACGCGGGTGCTGCGAACAGGAAGATGCAGCGCAGGAGCTCGGGGGGCAGGTCTTCGATTGAGCAGATGCGCCTTATTGCGTTCGAAAGCTGGGGACGCTGTTCTTCAGTGCGAGGTTGGCCGACGTTCATTACTGCGATGACCGAGCCTGCTACCGTGAGTTGAGCTGAAACCTGGATCGATGATGACCGCACACGCGCACCTTCATGCGACAGGCCTCGCTCTGTTCTGGTCCTTGTAGGTTCAGGGACCACACTATATATTATGTTTTGGTTCATCTAAGGTAGACAGTTCGTGCTGGAGGTCACCAAAGGAGAAATTTTCAGAGTACTTATTAGTGCTGTGACGTGACCACAGTCACGTGCTGTTATGTCTGGTGTCCTGTTGGTCCTTGGAGTCAACGCTGAACAGAGACCGAGGCTCTCTATCTTAACCACGGCCACACCATCGCGCACAGATCTAGACTCTCCTCCGAGTATGTGAGACACATAGCCTCTCCTCTGCAGTCCCTCCCGCGCACACCGCGCGAACACCAGGCCGTTCACCGTGCTCCAGTCCGAGACGCGGGTCTGCACGGAGCCGGCACGCTACGCTGACCCCAGGTGCTCGAGGCGACGTTTCTGTGGTACGTAGATAGGCACTATATGCAGCACTTTGTATCAATACATTCACGCCACTCTCACTGAAAATTTCATCTATTTGCAGAGGTAGTTAAATTAGAAACCTTCTGAGAGAGTCCTTGTGTCCAGAGACTTCGAGTGGCGTCTGTAGCCTTCGGGAGAAACGTGGAGTGTCCATGTCACGTCCTATGCATGGCGGACGCGATATCAATCAATATATTCTGGCTACCTGGTGCAGCTCACGTATGTACACGCCGAGTATCCATGCGCGGCCACGCAGCGGATGGCGTCGTCGCAGTATATCTGCATGCGCAGGGCTCACTGCCACTCTCCGTATCCCATACGGAGACGTATCTGCGACACCACTGTCCGTATTGAAGCACGCCCTGAGGGTTATTAATATTGGTCGGCAAAACGCCTCGAGATCGAATCTACGACAAATGCCAGTGCTAGCGCGCGTGTCCGAGTACGAATCCATACGTGGGGGCGAGCGGGATGCTAATAAGTGTGGGGTGTCTTCGAGTAGAGTGTATTTGCAACGGTTTTCATGGCTCGAAGAAAGTAAATTTTTGGCTAACCTTGCCTTCTGATTGGCCCAGGAAGATTTGGCGCCCGGTTGCAAATACACTCCAGTACGGGAACTTGGATGCTGGAAGAGAGTGGGACGTGGATGGAGCCAAGGGTGCGACTATCAGCAAAAGTGCACAATTGTTACAACGGATTCCGACGATTGTAGTATTCGCCCGCATGTGATAACAGGTTAGAATGTCATCGTAAGCCATTAGAATAATGGGGCTGCGTTGCGACCTTCGTAATCCCTTCAAATTCGTTGCAATGCTCGGTAACGTAGATGACTGATTGCAATGCCATTACAATGCACTATAAACCTATGTAAGGCAGTTGTAAGTGCTTGTAATGTTGAGCGAACATGGTGATTAATAGTGATTATACTGAAGGCAGAGACTCAAGAAATATTCGACAAGGGAGCACAGAACAACGTCCACGGAACGATCCACTATCACTAGGACAGTCATTTACCTGCCTGCGGACTCCAGCTCGTCCATACCGTTTCTTCCGAGATCCTTTGCATATCCTCGTTCCGATATTCACTGCCCATTCTATGTTCTGTGGCCGGCAGGAATATGAATAGGACCTTGAGCAAACCAGCCCCTTCACGCGGTCTTGGGTCCGACAAACTTGTGTACGTAGCAAAGTAGTCAAAGTCAAAGGCACACGGTGACGGCCCAGTCGGCTTGCGAAGTGACTCTTCCCAATTTGGAAGCTACTCAACAGTGATGACGTAGTACACTTCTCTCCTCCCGGCCATATAAGAGGCGGTCGGTCTCTTCTGGTGTCTTTCACTGCTTTGATTCCTCCTTGTATGTCGACGCATTCTTGGCGGCACAGCCGCTTTTCTGACGACAAAATTAATGACAACGACGCCGCAGAAGCGCGCCTCGCCAACGTTAACACCGTTTCCACCGAGTGCTTTGCTCTTCTCATTCTACATATGTGCCCTTCCTGCAGGACGTGCCTTAGGAGCTTCTCATCCATTTAAAGTGACACACTTGTGCCCTTCCACTGCTCACACACCTATCTGTATGACTGCAGTATGTGTTCCGTCTTGTCTTTGCTGTCATGAATTGGGAACAGGATCATGGTACATGCCGTATCGTGATGCATGGAGCTAGTGCTCTCGATGCATACACCACACCAGATCGAGCCTGAGCAGGTGCATGTACTATTGAGTATCCTTTGAACTGCCTAGAATTCACACTTCGCAACCGTCCACGGTGCATATACCGAGTCAAGATTTGGACACCGGCCATACTAGCAGCAGTGGGCTCGTGATGCCCAGCCAGTGAGTAATCGTGCACTCTAGACGGTAACATAGTTGATGCGCTCTCTCCGCAGGCCTGCCCGCACTGGACCGGTTCGTCTTCGCAAAGCTCGCGATGTTTCAACTGACATATTGAGCACGTATCATTGCCTGCATGACAACTTACCCAATAAATTCCTTTATTATAGACAGGTCTTTCGTGCAGATGCCAGCAGGAATGTGCGCTCAGACTGCTGCAACGACAGCAATGGTCTGTCAACTTTGAAAGAACGACACTACAGTCGGTAGGCCCCAGGTTCACCGACCTCAATGTACGCACCAAGTGTAGCACTATCTCACAGCATTCTGCACAGACTGCCTTTGGATTTCTGTACTCTTGCTACCCTCTCCTGGATGGTCTTGTTGGCCCTCGTCGTTGAGATTTCACCGCCTCTGTTCCTCGCTGCCGCTTCTCCTTGCAGTGGCACTTTCTCAACCTTTGTGCTCTCTCGGACATCCAGCTCACCTCTCGATGGTCATCCTGCTCTCGCACCAGCTCGTGGTGTTCCGGTTTTGTGCTCTCTTTAGGTTTTGCACTGCTCTCCTGTTCTATTTGGCACTCATGCGGACTGTGGTGAACTCTCTGTATTCATATGTAGTCACACCTGTTGTATGTTATGTTGTATTTGCCGCAATGATTACTATATTTCCTGTCCTGTGCTCTGTCCACTGGGAGTAAGTCTATTTGTACAGCCATTATAAGTTGTCCCCTGACATTGCCACTGCTTACAATCCCATCACGATGCCTTATAAACCTGGGAATCCATGGTAATGAGTCCCAAACATTCCAGGTATTCGGAATAGATTGTGTACATTGCGAATGGATTACCAAATATTTTGAAACGTTGGGAAATATTCGGAACCCCCGTAGAGAAGTTACAATCCATTACAACTTTGCTCAATAATTTCGAGTGTTGTAACGGATTTCCTAGATTACGATGCTATGTAACCGATGGTAACAGAAGTGCACTTTTGCTGATGGCCGATGCCCTTCGACAGCGCGCCTCGGCCACGCTTGGATAGCCGTTGCCGGGGGCGAGGGTGGAGTAAGTCGCAGGTGTTGCAACGTTGAAGAAAGCGTGAAGGCGGCATGATGCTGATAGGACGACGCAGACGAAGAAGTGTCGTCCCTCGAATTTTTTGGCTCCTGTTTGCGAATTGACCTCGGCGAGGGGAAGCCGAGTCGACGAGGTTGACGCACAGACGTCTGGAGGGCAGAGAGGATATGCCGGCTTTATTTGAAGGCGGCGGCCAATGGGTGTCGGTACTCAGTACTTACTCAGTAACGAAGAGCGGAAGATTCTTAGAAGACCTGGTGAAGCCCGCCAGTACGAGAAGAGCTAATGGCTATCCCCGAGAACCGAATAATATGGACGCGTCCTGCAGTGGGAGCAGTACTAGTGCCGTGCACGAGCATCGGCGTGAGTTCAATTTCGTACTTGTTTAACGGCCGTCGATTGGATTACTGTCGTAGCTGAGTCTATTCAGAAACCCGGTTTACACAGAAACCCCCCCTGCTTTTGGTAATTTCGTGACGGCTCTGAGAAAAATCGAAGGCGCTCTCACCTGTCAATGTTTACCAGCGGTCTCCTGGGTCCGCTGTCGAGCTCAGCGAGGGCGCACGCATTGGCCGGGTGCTAGCGTGGGTCGGTGTGTCCGATGCCGTTCATCGGGGGCCGCTCATCGTCTACCGCGTCGAATACTTAGTGGTGTCCAATTGTTGTTAAGGCGAGGCCAAAAAGCTTTGTAAGTGGGCATCTTGACCCACAGAGCCAAAGAGATGGCACACTCCACAATTTGGCAGCGGGCCATTCAAATTGCTCATGGTCTCCAATGACGATATCTGCGGATGCGGTCTGCAGCCCTGTATGATACGGCGAGCGACTTGAATATTAATGTCAGGGACGCGCAGTACTCGGTGTCAGTGGTTGGCGCCGTCGTTGGTGCCCATTGACATTTCTTTGATGATATTTCCATCTTCGTATTTTTCTCTTCGGCAGTTCCGGGGGAATGTGGGTTTATTTTCCCGCGGGGGGGTTCTGAATAGACTAATCCCTTGTCGTACAGAGCCAAAGAGATGGTACACACCTAAATTCGACGACCGGCCATTGCTCGTCTTCTCCAATGACGACGCCGGCGGGGTCCGCCCTGTGCGACGCAGTGAGCAATGACGCGCGGTACTCGGTGTCAGTGGTTGACGCTGTCGCTGACGCCCATTGAGATTTCTTTGATGGTATTTCCGTCTTCGCATTTTTCTGTTCAGCAGTTCCCTCGGGAAGCTTGGGGATTATTTTCCCGGGGAGGGTTTCTGAATAGACTCATCCTGCACGCGCATGGCTTCAAATTCGTACTTGTTTAACGGCCGTCGATTGGTTCACCGTCGTGGGTGAGCGACCTTTGCATATAATGTACAGGAGAGCGGAGAATGTGCAACGCGGAGGCGAAGAGTGTTTATGATGACGAGCTGAAACTGTCCCGCGGCGAGGTTTGCAAGCGAGTACCCCACCTTAGGACAGCATCGCAGAGCAAGGGAGCAGGTGATGCACACATACGACCGCTGCAGCTGGAGGGACGAGCTCCACGCAGGAGAGACATCGGCCAGATCGAGAGGAAGATGGACGTAAACCTGGAAGTGAATTAGGTCGTCCACAGCCCGAAGAGCCCGGTTGACAATTGCAAAGGGCAAGCACGGCGGCGTCGGAGAGCACCACGAGCAGCCATATGGCCGACGATTCAAAGGGGCAGGGTGCGCAGATTGACGTGCATCGCGATTAAAGTGGACGGCGGAGAGACGGCGGGTGGCAGCGCCGGAGAAGAGCTGTCGGGTCCGGTGATTAAATCGAGCAGGGCCGGTGGTTGCTCGCGTTCAGTGGAAGGTGGATGCCCATTTCGGGGCATGTCGATGCCTTACCTGGACGGGCGCTAGCGCGCGATCCGCAGAACCGTCGTCGTTTGCCAATGACGGTGTCCGCCGTCGTTCACCCGTGCATGTCTTCTCGAGAACGCCTCTTTGACCGGCCTATCTCCGCCGGCCGTCCTCCATCGAGTGCGTAACGCATGCCACTGTGGTCCGTCGGGGGACTCGGAGACGGCGGGCGACCTGGACTGCTATTGGCATTTACGAGCGCGATCCGCGGGGACTGCAGGGCAGTTGGGACGCAGCAATGAAGGGGCGGCGGCGCGGGCGGCGTGCGCAGATGATGTTCAGCAGTGCAAGTCTTCTCGCGAAGAGCCGCCCTCGCCCTTCTTTCTCTTCCACTCGCTGCTCCTCCCAGCCCCGCAGCGATGTCCTCCTCGCGCCAGAAGGCCCCGCCGGTCCAACGTTGGCCGCGCACCGTCGACCCGCCCTTCCGAGCCGTGCTCTCTCTCCCCGTACGTCCTCCCCGACGCGACTCACCCGACGCTGCTCACCCGTTCGTCCTCAGCGCCGCCTGCTGCACCCGCCCAGCCCCCGCGGCAAGCTGCCCTCGTGGGGCATCGCCCCGCGCTTCACCGTCACCCTGGACGACATCCTCGACCGCCGCCACCTCCCGCCCCTCGGCCTCAAAGACTTTGAGGAGTGGCTCCTCTTCGTCGAGCACTCCCCCGAGTCCCTGTCCGGCCCCCTTCCTCTCCTCCCCCGCTATCAGCTGACGCGACCTCTCCCAGGTACTTCATCCTATGGCTCCGCGAGTACACCGCCCGCTTCGACGCCTGGATCCACGCCTCCAAGGGCGCGTTCACCCCCACCGACCCTGTCCACCCCAGCTCGTACCGCACTCCGCCCACACGTCCCCCTCCCAGCCCCGCGCTGCTTTCCTTCTATATGCGCGCAAAGCACACATTCCTCCTCCACGACGCCCCCTACGAACTCCTCGTCCCCACCGACGCCCTCGCCCCCTTCCGCTCCTCGCAAGCCTATCCGTATGATTGCAGTGCGTGTCTTCTCTTCTATAATTCTTTGTTTTTGCCGCCTCGGAGCTCCTGAACGTATACCACGGGACCCATCCAATCTCACATGGTCACAGAGAGCGTGCCGCCCTCTCAGCTGGCGGCCGTTCACCCTTGGTCTGTCATAACAACTTCATATCCTGTAGTCGCTGTATCTGTCTCCCGTGCAGCCTGTACAAGCGTTCCTGTTCACGGTCTTTTGCCGAACAGTCTGCGGCTTTGCGTACCCGATCAACTCACCCGGGTGGGATGCCCACCCTTCGTCCAAACATCCGCCCAGCTTGCTTGCGTCTTCAAAGCATGGGAGAGGAGGCAGATATCTGCCTTCCCAACTGTTTGCACCACCTGAATGGGACCCGGGTGCTCGTCGCACGAGCTCGAGGGCCGTTTCGACGCTTACATACGAGTCGACCGACGCTGCTTTCCCACCTGCGATCATGGCGACTGGTGTCACTGTCATGCAAACTTGATTAGACGCCGATTTCGAGCAGTGTCCACACGCACATCCCGTCTTCAGGTCCAAGCTGCAGCCAAGAGAAACTGATCTACCCCCCTTTGCAGGCTTGCCACCGGACCCCCTCGTCTTCGCCGAGCTCGCCGCCCTCGTGCGCACGGCCCTCGCTGAGAGTCTCGCCCGCTTCGTCCGCGCGACCTTCGCCAACGTCGACGCACCCCGCGCCGTCTGCGGGTGCTACGGCGGGACGGTGATCTTACTCGCGGGCAGGTGCGTGTTCCTCCTTCTCCAAGGTTTTTGACCTGATCCCTTCCTCCCTTTTTTTGTTATCTTCTTTTTTCTCGGCGTGCAGCGTCCCGCCGATCGTCACGAGTATCGTGCTGGGCAGCAGCCGATGGTGGCGGCTGTTTGCGCTCCCCGGGATGTGGCTCGGCCTGACGGTGCTCATCGCGGCCATGTACGGCGTGCGTCTCTCTCGTCCTCTTTCTCTCTTCGTGAATCTGACGGGTCGCCGGACGACATCAGGTCTGCATGATGATCTACCTCTTCGGCGACCTCCGCCAATTGCGCTCGTTCGAGCTCCTTCGGCCGCCCTCCGACCCTGCGCTGACCGTTGACCGCTCGAAGAAGGCCGGGTGGCTGACCCCGCGCGTGACACCCGCGATCTCGCCGCCCACGCTGCTCACATCCACAGCCGTAGAGAGTCCGGGGCTGCTGCCTGTCCCGTGTGCCCCCCCTGCACCTGCAGACGCGAAGGCGCCCCAGAAGCCGCAGCTGAGCATCGTCTGCGGCCCCCCCGCGCACTGGCCCGGGCCAGACCGCGCGCTCACACCATTCTCGTACGACTCGCGCAGCATGTACTCGCAGTCCACGGGCGGCCTCAGCGAGCACTACGGCTCGGACTACGAGGACGAGGACGAGGACGACGCGTGCAGCGACGCGCGCATCCACGTCTCCGACGCGTTCTTCGACGAGCACCCCGCCGCGCCGGACGCGCCGTTCCCCGCGCCCCCCCTCACCGCGTCGTTCATCCGTCCGTACGTCTACCGCGCCGAGGACGCGTACGCGGAGGGCGACGTCGAGCGTGGAGAGGCCGGGACCGCCGCCGCGCGCCAGCCCGTCGACGCGTTCGACTTTGACGCGCTCCCGCCCGCGCGCCGCAGGCCGTCCGTGCCGCACGCGGCCGCCACACTGCAGGCGCCTGCGCCGGTGCACGCCGCGCCGGACGAGAAATCGCACCGCGGCGCGCGGGCGCTCCTCGGCGTGCTGCAGGCGCGATGCGCGCCGCGGAATATCGTGCGCACGCGCTTCGCGGGGGACGTGGGCGTCGGTATTGGGCTCGGTGCCGTGAGGGCGCGCGGGCGCGTTGCGATCCCGGCGTTTGCGCTCCTCCCGAGCCCGAGCGCGTCGAGCGCGTCGTTCTCTGCGGCGGCGAGCGCGAAGGCCCCCTCCGCGCGGGAGAAGGAACGGGCGAAGGGGCAGGAGAGGGGGTGGATCCCTGCTGCGCCGTTTGCGGTGCCGGTGACGCCGGTGCTGAGCCCGGTGGTGTCGCGCGCGCAGTGGGAGATTGTGGTGCGGAGCGGGGCGCTGGCTGCGGTTGTGAGCGGGCTTTTGGGTGTGGTTGTTTTGGCGCTGCCTGTGCGGCGCACGGTGTAGGAGTGGGTTGTGGTGGTGAGTGGTGTTCTTGTTCTTGGTCTTGGTCTGGGTGGCGGTGCGGAGCTGAGTGCGTGTTTTGTGTAGGTGGGCTTGTGAAGATGGGCGGTTGGGTTTGTTGTGTTTGGGGCCCTGTCCGGTTCTGATTCCGCTGTTGTGAATTTTAGGCGCTACGGCGTCGTGTGCGTCCCGTCCGCTCCTTTAGATGAGTACCGTTTCTCCTATATTTTCTTTTTTTTCCTTCCTTCTGTATGGTAGTTTCGCGTTTCGAGTAATCGTCCCCCTCCTCCTGCCCCGTTCAGGGCGTCCGTTCTTTTGCATATCTCCATCGTTCTCTCTCCGCCTCCCGCAGCATTCTTCGCGCCGAGTCGCTCGTTATCGCCACCGCTGCTAGAGCTTGTATCCCCCGAGCGTTGTTTTCTGTACGTGTGTGTAGACCGTGCAGCCTGTCGTCCCGCTTTCGCCGATTGTCTTGTCCCGGCGCTCTTTGTTCTCTGTGTGTAATACTAGTGTTCTTGGCCCATATGGACTGACGCGGACGGTTTGCGAGTCTTGTATTGTCGGCGTCACATCGCTTGGCGTTCTTCGCCGCGAGTCGCTGGTCGCTCGTTGTCGCATCCGCTGCTGGAGCTTGTATCCTCCGAGGTTCGCCCTCGCGGTGTTTTCTGTACGTGTGTGTAGATCGTGCGGCACGTATCGACGTCCCGCTTTCGCCGGTTTCTGTCTGTGTGCAATACTGGTATTAACTTGGCCTACGGACTACCGGCAACGGCTTGCGAGGCGCTTTTTCGTGCAATTTTTGTATGCGTGTGGGGATGCGGTTGTTATATGGTCGATGCTCAGAGCGGCGAAATAAGTATCGATCCATAGTTGAAATCACGTACAATGTAATACACAATTATTGAACATTTGTGGAACTGTGCGCAAAAGACTGCGGCAATAACGTCGACTCGATCGAGTGCACAGCGGCAGATGCCGAGATGATCAGGCAATCTGCAGATTTTGTAATTGTTCTCGCGGTTTTTTTGTGGTGGCCTCAATTGTTGTTGTGCAAACTTGTTTTGAGCCTTGATCGGCTCTGCGGACCAGTTCCACGACATAATTAACTCTGGGAGGAGGAGGAGTTCGCGTTGACTCATCGAGTGCGGTGCGTCCTTTTTCTCCTGCACGCACACTTCACATCGACTCCGAGGGTAACTCATTATCTCGTACTCGCATAGAAAGCCCGCGCCTGCTGCCGGGCGATACCCCGAATGAGAACGCGCATCCGACGACAAGAGATGGAGGACGCAGACTCTGCATCTACTAGATCCGGGAATCCATACTTCGCTCCCGCGGACGGACGCTGTCCGATCAACGACCTGCCCCCCGAGCTGCTCTCGCATATCTTCCTCCTCGGGAGCGCCGAATACACACAGGACGAGCACGACGAAGACGAGGAGGAGGCGGAGGCAGACAACGCCGACAACGATGAGGAGGACGATGAGGAGGATGAGGAAGAGGAGGAGGGCGAACCTGAGTGGGAGGTGCTCGTCTCGCACGTATGCCACCGCTGGCGCGAGGTCGCGCTGAACACGCCCGCGCTGTGGACCACGCTCGACTCCGACTGCGAACTGGAGAAGATTCGGGTGTACCTCGAGCGCTCGCAGAACGCGCCGCTCGTGCTCTCGTTCGACCTCGCGGAGGACGACGATGACGACGAGGAAGACGAGGGGCGCGACGACGACGACGACGCGGACACCGCCAAGGACGTCGCGCTTACGATCCGCCTCGGCGAGACCCTCGCGCTCATCATGCCGCACGTCGGGCACTGGCGCTCGTTTGAACTCATGGTCTCCGATTACGCGCTGATGCACCTCGCGCTCCTCGAGTTCGGCAGGGCGCCCGCGGCGCCCATCCTGGAGGAGCTCCTGCTGTACGTCTACGATGACACGGACGAGTACGACACGTTCCACCCCGAGCCCCTGAAACAGCAGGACTTCGTCCTCTTCGGCGGCAGCGCGCCCAAGCTGACGCACGTCGCGCTCTGGGGCGTGCACCTCGACTGGGCGCGCTCGCATTTCCTCAGCGGGCTGCAGGAGTTCGAGCTCGCGTACCACGCCAAGGACGTGCGCCCGAGCTTCGCAGACGTCGCCCGCATCCTCCATGGGTCGCCCGAGCTCCACACGCTCACTTTCTGCCTATCCGGGCCCGCGGGCGGCCCGGTCGAGTGGCTGACGAGCATGTTCGAGGACGTGCCCGAGGGCGTATCGGTCTCGACGACGCTCGCGCTCCCGTCCGTGAAGAAGCTCGTGCTCGCGTACCTCGAGCCCGCGTACGCCATGCCGCTCGTGGAGCGCCTCGCGCTGCCGCACCTCACCGAGCTTGCGCTGGACCTCGAACAGGACGACTTCAGCGACTTCCTCGTTATGCTCGCGAGGCCCGCGTCCGCGACGGGCAAGCCCCTCCTCGCGGAGCTCGAGTCGTTCAAGGTGTCCGGGCTGCCGTGCGGCGACGAGGCGGTCGCTGAGGCACTCGGCGCGCTGTCGAATCTCACGTACATCAACCTGAATTTCGGGTTTATCGAGAACTCGTGGGCGCGGTACCTCATCGACCCGCCCTCGAAGGCTGCGGCGGTGACGAGCCCTAGCGGGGCGCGCGTGTTCTGCCCGCGCCTCCAGACGCTGACGGTGACGGGGCTCGACGGCGGGGAGGTGATGGGGATCATAGCGGCGCGCAAGAATGCGGGAGTGCCCATTAGGCAGCTGCAGATAAACGAGGACGATCATGTGGATGAGGAGCAGGACGAGTGGCTGAGACAGAATGTGGAGAGCTTTGAAACGTTTGAGGCCTCCGACGACGAAATCGTGTTCGATGGCTCCGACGTTGACATGGATATTGAAGAAGTTGAAGAAGACGGTACAGATGATTTCTATGCTTGGGAAGATGTAGACTGAAGTGGCTTCAAGTTCGTGATGCGGATGAGCTGTGCAACTTGTCCTCAGTATTCGTAGATTCTGGTCGGAATGTCCATCGCATATTATCTTGAGTTATAATGGGTATTGTGTGTCCATCGCGTGTCATCGACATGAATACAGTACAACTGCAACCCTCCGTATGGTCGCGTGCATAATACAAGACAGGAAGACGGGGTATGCTTCCGACATAGCAATAAGATAATAACTACGGCCGATGAGCGAAAGGCGATGACTTCACCTCCATGGTCGATGGCCCGAATCCGAGTCATCATCTCCGTCGTCATTATACGGCACCTCCGCAATGCCTATCACGACATCCGGCACGCCCTCCTCTTCCTCATCCCAAAACTCCCGCAGCCTCTTCTCCTTCCCCTTGGGCGACGTTCCCTGTTCGGCACCATCCAGCGCGTGTGAATGTCGCGGGTTCGGCATCGCGATGAGAAGCGACACTTGCAATTGCGCGACCTGCGACAGCGCGTCGGACTCTTGCTCACCCGAAAAGGGTGATACTGGATCGCTACCTACGTCCTGGGCGAGAGGCGATGGCGCAGTAGACGGTGTCGCGGACGCGTGCACGAACACGCGCCGGAGGAAGTTGGACTCGGGAAGCACAGTCCGCAGAGAGGTAGGCTCCTGCGAGGCGAGCGACGGTGGCGACGCGTTCCCACATCCGGGCCTTCTCACAGCAATCCGCGCCGTGACGGGCTATATAGTGCGCAGCAGACCGATAAGCCACGCGAGGTGGGCAGTGGGGGGTGGAAATGACTGACCACGATGTATGCCCACTCGCCGCGGGCTGCGGGGAAGAGGGTCGCGTCCCAGAGCTTGGGCTTGTCGAGGTACTTCCGGGAGCCCGGAGCGCTGGCGCCAGGAGGGATGAACGTTCCCGCGGCAATCGCCTCGTCTACCCGGCGGCGGAAGCGCCTGCGGAGGTAGAAGGAACGAAAGACGATGGCGGTAGAGACGAAGAGCAGCACAAAGAGCGTCGCCAGAAAGGTGAACCTGGACGTCGAGGAGAACGTGCCCATATGGGAGGAAGACGACGAGCGGGTCAGTCACAGGTCAGTGCATCACTACAGTAAGTACTTAAGATGGCTCAGACTGCGCACAGGTACAGTGTGGACGACGGCCCGGTACTCCCACCGCCTGTCGTGGTGGTCACTTGTTGCGACGGCGAGCTTTGCGTGGGGGACGACGACGACGACGACAGCGAGCTCGACATGGTGGGCGACAACGAGAAGCTGCCCACTTACCTTGGAGCCATGACGGTCCTCCTGCCTCACTAGCTTGCTACGTCCCTTTACGTAACGGTCGACCGCGATGCGTTTCTTTCATGCCGAGATGCTTTCCCGTCGGCACAATCTCTACGTAGGAAGTTACCCTCAGGGTGCACAGCGTGTTCAACGTTCTGCCTGCAATCCACCTCACGATGCAGTGATACGCTCGTTTCATGCGCGAGGTGCTCACAAAGAGGGTAACATCGACGAGACTTCAATCGCGCTGTTGAGAACGTCGAAAACTTCTTCTGCATTATTTGCCTTGTTGTATAGAAGTAATTACATGCGGTCGTCGGCACAATTCGTAAACGTACGTACAGAGAACTTGAATTCAGCTCAGGAACAACCAAAAAAAGAGTGTGAGGGTCGGCACCCTCGTCCGTGTCAAGGTGCGAACGAAGTGCTACAAAAGTATCGGGAGGCAGCAAGCATTCACTTCGGTAAAAAAAAAATCAGTGAGAAGCTTCAGTGAGAGGAATGAACCCGGGCTGCGTGTACACCGCGCCATACACGTTCAAGTGGATCGTCGCCACCTTCGCCAACCGTTCCGCGAGGTGGTGGATCTCGGGCGTCAGCGGCTCCAGCCCGTTCGTCGTCCCCACATCCGCCGCCGCCAGCGCGTCGCCCGCGCCCTTCTGCAGCGTCGGCACGACGATCTGCACCGCCACCTCCTGCACCTGCTCGCGAATCCGCCGGCGCATAAGGCAGCTCAGCGGCGAGTCCTGCCGCAGGTTCGTCTCCGCCCAGCTCGACGCAAGACGGATCATCTGCTCATCGGGCGTGTGCACGTGTGGTGGGGGCTGCGAAGACGGGACGTCCGACGCCGCGGCGGCGCCCGAGCGCTGTTGCACGTCACTGGCGCGCATGGCGACCTGCAGGACGACGTCGCTCATCGCGTCCCGCCACTTGCACCACTCGGCGTCTGGCTCGGTGGCGGCACCCGCCGTGCGCCGGTGCGCGTGCGAGAACCAGTGGCCCAGGTGCGGCGGGCCGATCTCCCAGATCTCCTTCTTGAGCCGCAGCAGCTCGTCGAGCTTCACGCTCGCACGCGGCGCGTCCGCCCGCGCCCCCGACGCCGAGTACACGAGCTGGCGGTAGAGCATGAGGAGCATGTACAGGGTTGTGAAGTCGGCAGCGTCTGTGCTGAGCGAGACGAGCCGCGCGTGGTCGAGATACAGCGTCTCGGGGTATCCTGGGAAAGACGTGACGGAGGGCGGGGTACGGTGTGTAGTCGAAGGAGAAGAGACGGTGGGCGATGAAGATGATAAAGGCGAGGGCGGGTCGAAGATGAGATTCACGATCGCGTTTGTTACTGCTATCTGTATCTGCGTCCACCGGGGGTATTTTGCGAAGTTGTGGAGAGCCGAATTGGAACTCAGCGCTGCCGCCTCGTTGCGCGCCGCGAGCTCCCCATATGCGGCTTGCAGCCAACTTCGCGTGACATCAAGTGAGAGACGTCCATTTTTGCCGCTCTCCTGGAATGTTTTCAACTCGTACTGAGCGGCGGAATGGACAAGGTACGGTCGTAACGTTTGCAGCTGGTGGTTTGCAACATCCTATGATGTCAGAGAAAATGTCGGTCAGTCTGCCTGAAGTAGATAACCTTTAAGCTCACCAGCTTCATCAGCTCCATGATCTCGAAGCACAATCGGATGGCGCGGACAGCTTCTACTTTGCCACCATTGCCCCCAGGCGTGCAGGACTTGGCGAGAGCCACCATTTGGTCGACAGCATGATCACGCATGGGGGCACAGTGACATCGAATGATATCGCCGATGGTCTGGAATATACCCGAGGGATCGAACAGGCCATGATCGAGCTCCTGTTGGATCAGGTCCGCATCGAGGATTGAGCGCAGGAGGGCGACGTGCGCGGCGTTCTGCTGAAACTGCGGGTGGTGCAGCGCGCCCGGCTGCATGTACAGGCCGTTCGACGTAGACATGACGGGCTGGATGATCGACACGAGGACTTCGAGAAGCTCGGAGAGGAGGGGTCGTATGCGCGAGGCGACCCGCACCGTAGTGAGGTTCTCTGGCGAGGAGAACGCGAGGATGGGCCGCGCTGTGGGCAGGGGGAAGCTACTGCAGACGCATATGCGCTCGCACGGTCGACCTTGTGCGTCCAGGGTGGTGCAGGTGCAGCCGCATTCCAACTCTCGCACGATGGCGAGCCAGTAGTTGTCTGCCAGATCGCGCTTCCTGCGACTGGACGTGGGACGGAACTGGAGCCCTGAATCAAATAGCAGATCGTGACCTAAGAGAGGCAAGTATGACCACATGAGATACGTCTATCACTACAGTAGATAGATGACGAACGGAGTTGGGGATTCCGGAGGATGGCTTCGAGATCTAACTCCTTCAGTGTTTCTCTATTAATCGGGGGCTGGTGAGGGGGTATATACGGTGAAGTTGGCTCAATAGGTGAAACGGGAAGGGAACATGAAGGGCGAGGAAGAGAAGGGAAGGAGCCGACACGCAACAGAGAGCCTCTGCTGGGGCCCGGTTCGGTTGCCGAGACGATACCTGTGTCGCGAGTTTCTACACGAGGACGGCGGAGGGGGTGGTACCTGCGTGGAGACAGAGCAGAATGGCTGAGCGGTGTGCGCCCCCTGCGCAAACGTCTAGGGGAGAGGGGGCTAATGGGTATATCGATGCGTGGACGCTTCGGTTTGGAGGGCTTCTCAGCTGCAGAATCTTGCGCAACGAAGGGGGAGACAGGCTGTGTCCAAGCGTGGACCATACCTTGATCAGTGTCTACGAGTAGCCACGGGGCTGATGCGCGGTGGTCGGTGGGTTTGGTAGGACATCTGGGCGTCGCAGATGGCGCGAAACGATCTTGAGGGGAGGAAGATGGGGTGGAATTTGATGGATCTTGGGACTGGTCGTCAGAGTCGGCCTTGCGCTTGCGAGTTAAAGACTGGATAGGACGAGAGTCATGAGCAAGGTCGTCCATGAGACTTGAGGTGGTGGAGAGATGGTGGAGAAAGGGAGAGAGAGAGGGGACGATATGTATGTATTTAGGGAGGGAAGGGAGACGAACACATGGTAGAGAGCCGCCTGCACACGCTCCCATGCCCGACTCCTTTCAGCTCCGGCAACAGGCGCGCATTTTCTTTCTTTTCTTTCCCTCAAGCGCATGGCCCCTGCATGCGCCCACCGTATGTTTTTCTCCCCCCGACATATCCGCCTCTGCACCAAGCCCCATACCAACCACCAGCCACGCCACTGCTGCATAGTGCCTATGCCCACCCGTCTACCGGTTCTCTCTGGTACCATTTGGCAGCTCTGCTTGCTCTTGTCAGCGGATCACCCACCACCAATCTCCGCGCTCTTGGTTCGCACGCTAAAGCTGCACCTTCGCCACGTTCTCACATCCTGCAGAAAAACCGTCTTGTCCAGATACCCCGACCTAATACGTAAGTCTGTCTATCAGATATGTGCCTCCCTATGTGGCGATTGATTTTCCATCTAAACAGGCGCGTTTCGCGCGTCGCCTCTCCATGTCGTGTCGCGTCGCGTACAACGCACCTAGTGTGGTTATCTCCATCCACCCCCGCCTCATGGCTACGAACAGTAGTGCACGACCACCCACCGTCCCTGCGAGCAGCTTGTTTGCATTGTGCCCGATCGATGGAAATGCACACGGCCAAGAACTGCGTGTCACCAACCTTGCCGTGTTCGGACAAAGGCGCAGACACGAGGCTCGCAGCGCGCACGCCGCAGCGAGCCTCCCTGCATTTTCCAGGTATGTTCCGCACAGGAGAGCTTCGCCCTTGTGCACCTTCTTGGCTCTCCTGTAGTGTGTACATTGCTCCCATGTCTTATGTTGATCCATCGTGCCGCACTCGTCTTGGTGTGCGTGTGCGATAGCCCTTGCTCTCTGAACACTGAAACGTGAGCGAGTGCGCTGATGCCATCGTCCAAGCTGATCGATGGTTAGCATGAAAGTTCCGCTCCGTCAAGCTATACCTCTACTCTCTGAAGAGGTCCCACCGAACATGCCGATACTATCATAATCTAGCTCTGATCAGGCTCCGAATCACTTGATGGCTGTGTCACTTACGGAACGGCCATCTCTCATCCAGCTCCTGTCCACATCCACATCCAGTGGTTGACGGTTCGTATCAGTTCATCTGTGTCGTCTCAGGGATATCTGCCCCATCCGCCTGGCCCCCGCTCCCTCAGTGAGAACGGGCTGCTGCATATCCTCATGTCGACCCAGCTGCCGCAGGTCCAAGGCACCTCCTTCGCCATTCACAGACAGACAAAGGGGCACCTCAAAGGCGGCACGCTGCGAACGCCAATGCCAACATCCCCGCACGTTCCCAAAGATCGGAGCCAATAGCCCCCCTCTGTCACGTCTGGAGGCGTCTGGGGCGCGCCTCCCCTGCAGAGTCTCCATGCTTCGCGGACTGCGATGGTTATCTCAGCGCCGGCCTGCCATGAAGGCCCGAGGAAGGGGGCCACCACAATAAGGTATCCGGGACTGGGTTGCCATGGCTGGTGGTACGCAGGAGGCCGTGTGCCACGAGTCGCGCATCGACTCTCACGTCTGCGCGTCACCACTCACGAATATATCTTTCTGGGACGGCACCCTGACGCTGTTCGTACGCTGCTGTCTCCTATTTCTGGTGAGCATGAGAGGCCAGTGTGCAGCCTTCAGCGCTGCTGCTGCTGATAGGTCGACCCACCGAGGCTCCGAGACGCGTCGTCCAATGTCTTGCGCGAAAATAGTAATCTGAAAGGGCACGCGCCGAGTAGAACTTGCGGCCAGCGCGACGTGTGCCGTGGAAGCCCAACATTGACACAGTCCGGCGCCGTGGAGTCGGGGGCAAAGACTTTGACGTCAACACGCCAGGAAGGATACGGATTCCAGGCTGAAGAAGAGAGAAACTTCGGAGGTATGTACGTACACGTCCCGGAGGTGAACACGCTGCGTGATCGAGGTCATGAGATTGCTGTCGAATATAATATACATGGTCGTTGAGCGCAGCGTCCGTCCTAAACGTCAATTAACTTTGCGTCCGCGCCGTCGCCCGCCAGCGCATCTTCCGTCGGCTTCCTCGGCTTACGCCCGTAGAACTCTGCGATGATCTTTGGGCTTATACGATTGAGCTGCTCCTTCGGGAAAATGCGAAGGAGACTCCAGGCCAGGTCCAACGACTCGAAAATTGTCCGCGATTCGTAAGCACCTGCACAAAGACAATGAACACGCTTCGCCGCGACTAGCCAAGAACGCCGCGCACCTTGTCCAACGAACTGGCGCTCGAATTTGTCCAGGAACTCCAGCGCCAACTTGTCTTCAGCCGACAGAGCCTCCTCACCGACGACAGCCTTCATCGCAGCCGCGTCTCGACCAATGGCATATTTCGCATACTAGATGGATAGGTGGAAGAGCATGAGGACACTGCCAGCCGTTCATACGGATAGAAGGTGGTACGAACCAGCTGGTTCGAGACATCACCGTGGTCCTTTCTCGTAAGTTTCTCACCGATAGCGCTCTTCATGAGACGAGACAGCGAGGGGAGCACGTTGATGGGCGGATAGATCTGCCTATTATGCAACTGACGATCGACGAAGATTTGGCCCTCCGTGATATAACCTGTCAAATCCGGGATCGGGTGGGTGATATCTGGGAAGTTAAACACGTTCAATCTCGACTCAGTCTCTGTTCGTGCGATCTTCCTTACCGTCGTTTGGCATGGTAAGAATAGGAATCTGGGTAATTGAACCGTTCCGACCCTCCACGCGACCAGCACGCTCGTAGATCGTGGACAAATCCGTATACATGTAGCCAGGGTATCCGCGGCGACCAGGAACTTCTTCTCGTGCGGCGGAAACCTGTCCGACGCGGTCAGAATGTTTCATCATAAATAAGCACAACGGTTAATAGCTTGCCTCGCGCAGCGCGTCCGCATATGACGACATGTCCGTCAGAATGACCAGGACGTGCTTCTCAAGCTGGTAGGCGTAGTATTCTGCGGTGGTGAGGGCTAAGCGAGGCGTAATAATACGCTCGATGGTTGGATCGTTTGCGAGGTTCAGGAACAGCGTGACTCTGTCGAGACTGCCATTCTCCTCGAAATCTTGCTTGAAGAATCGCGCGGTTTCCATGTTGACACCCATCGCAGCAAACACCACCGAGAAGTTGTCTTCGTGGCCGTCGTGCACATCTTTCGTTGGACGCTTCACGAGGCCAGCTTGACGCACGATTTGCGCAGCAATCTATGAGGAAGTTCCTTGAGGGCATGCAACTATGGGATATATTGTATGACGTCTCACCTCATTGTGAGGAAGACCGGCAGCGGAGAATATGGGAATTTTCTGCCCACGAGCAATAGAGTTCATTGTATCAATCGTTGAAATGCCGGTCTGGATCATTTCTTCGGGGTATATACGAGAGTATGGGTTGATAGGAGAGCCTGGAACAGCATGTCAGAAACCTCCTCTTAGAACCATCTATGCAGCACTCACCGTTAATGTCCAAGTAATCTTCCGCAAACACCTTCGGACCCTGGTCAATGGGCAGACCAGATCCATTGAATATCCGACCCAGCATGTCCTCCGCCACGGGGAGCTTCATGCTGCTTCCGGTGAATTCGACGTGTGTTGCCTTCACGTCGACTCCAGACGTCCCTTCGAACACCTGTACGATCGCTTTCTTGCCCTGAACCTCGAGAACTTGGCCACCACGTTTCGATCCGTCCGGCAGAGTGAGCTGAACGATCTCATTGTAGGAAGGGAACTGGTCGTCACGATAAGCCGAAGTTATACGCGTCGCGTCTTGCAGGCACTCACTTTGACATTGTCCAGCACAACCAGCGGCCTATAAGATATCAAACGATCTGGATGTCATGCACCAAAAAAATGTACCAACCCATTGATCGCTGATACTGTTCGGTAATCTGTACGACCACTCAGTTCTTCTGTTGACCGACTCTAGACTGCCGGCTCACCCAAGTGTGGTTTCACAAGGTACTCCCGCGTCACCGCTGCCGCATTGATAGCAGCAAGTTCCTTGTCACTTAATCGTGGGTCTGCCACCATCCTGAATGATGCACAGTTTAGCAAGTGAAAGCGGGTTGTCCAAGGTCGCCGCGCGGGTGCAGCGGCAGTGAGCGAGCGGTAACGTGTTGATTACGTCAGATACGCGATCTCAAAGTTTACGATCTTCACTACGACGTGTACAGTCATTTTGTGATGCTATAGGACGTGTCTAATAAGTGTATGCGCAGTATGATATAGAGTGATCAGTATCTGCTGAAAGCAGCTCAACACTCCGCTGTGCCGCGCCTTGGATAGACAAAGAGTCGCTTGACATCCTGAGGGGGGTTGTCATGAGCGCCCACCCTGGGAAGACGAAAAGGAGAACTTACCATTCCGTCTCAAGAAGGATAGTTTCGGCATCATCGGTCTCGAATCCAAGGTCTCTGCTTTGGAGGATGAGGTAGAGATATTCTGCAGTATCCGATCGGACCTATAAAGCTTCCGTCAGACACGAATAATAGAATTCATTCATTCGCACCTTTGGATATTGATGTGTCAGGAAACTCGCGAAATGGCTCCTACAAGCAGCTCGCAGTTGAGATATAGTCCATAGATTGATTACGCTGTGGTTTGATCAGTTTCGCATGGTCAGAGATATGATGAGACGTACATTCTCATAGATATCATGATTCGTAGCGGGTTCTTGAGGCGAGAAATGTTCTTGGTTGTGATCAAAAGAAGCTGTTGCAAGCTGACGACTTCCTTGAGTACTTAACGTCCAATGAGGATAGTGGAGAATCACCTGTCCAAGCCAGCAGAGTCCGAGCCAAGTCGATCGAATACATTCGCCTCTAACAGAATATTGACAGTTTGTAATACAGGTATTAAGCGAGTGTTCGATGTGACGTTGCGTTGGGCCTGAGCAACAAGATCTCTGGCAAAGCCACAAAGGTCGTAGGTATCCCTCGCAGTCATTGCGACAGGGAGTGCATTTGCGTAAGTCACAAGGCCCGAAGACACTGGGCGTTGCTGAGATGTTCTTAAGCACACTTCAGGCATTTAGGCCGAGTAGAAGAGACGCACTGTGCTGGCTGTCTTGCTACTTGCGCTCAAGATAAGTCCCGCAAGTATCGCGTCGCGGTACAATTCTATATCCAGCAACATGACAACTTTGGGGAATAGCCAAAGGCTGTCGTTCCAACCGATCACTTCGCTGTCACTAAGGTAGGACAACATGTGACTGCTACTTCGCAAAACCGATAGCTGGTAAACCGTACCTGAGGAAGAGTTCCTTCATCATGATATCACCTTGAATGCGCCATTCGTCTGCGTTGGAGATCGTCGGCAATGGCAACAAGAGCAGACGGACGAAGCACTCTCCAGCTACTTGGCGGACATTATCGAGCCTTTCCGCACCTTGTTTCAATATTCCACCGATGTAATTGTGGTATGTCGTCGCTGGAAGATATTCGGCGAAATTCGGTGGGACTCGTGTGAAGAGAACCTCTGTGGTACTGGTGAGTCCTCTCACACAGGCTATCCGGGCCCAAGAGCCAACGTCTCCTCGCTCATCTACACTGTAATCGGTAAGGCCATCTTGAAAGGCCTTCATAATCTGGTGGAAGATTGTAGGGGGCAGATCTACAACAATTCAATAAATAATGAGACAGGATCGAGCAGGTTTGTATACATTTAGTAATATTTTCAGCAACGTTGCTGATGATCTGTGACATAGATGTGTAGGCATTACGCCTGGTTTCAATATCCAACATATTCGCAGGTACCTAGACAGGAAGTCAGACTTAATGAATTGGTTGATATATCAATACCATACCGAGCGGTCCACACAATCCAACAAGCATTGAATAGCGGATGGGATAGAAGTAAAGTTCATGTTATAATCCAGCACGCCCAACATCCTGCTCACGCTTTGATGCATTGACATTGAAGCAGAGTGGAAATCTAGGATAAACGTAAACGCGGACCACGAGTGAGAACACTGGTCGCAGAAGACAGAAAGACTGAACAAACTCATCTTTGCACAACAGCTGAACAATCGACCAGCTTGCTCACGGCAGCCATAGAGGTAGCTGCGGCTTCCTGTACGACACTGCTCTTACTCTTCAGACCATAATCGACGATCTGACGCCAATGTGGCACCGTGCTTTGGTCCAGCTGAATCTCAACCGCGGAGATGCTACTGGCGATCAGCTGGCAGGCAGTCGCAGTGACCAATTCATGCCGCGCTGATTGCACTATGCGTAGCGGAACTTCAGACAGATGTGCGAATACCTGAATGCAAGTCACGCAAAGGTAGATTAATGACTGCGTGCACACCGACCTGACGACGTTCTGCCTCCCAGTCGTGTCGCTCATTTGATTCGCTATACGCAGAAGCTATGTCTTTCAGAGCCAACAAAGCTCCATGTATATCACTTGCATCTGGGCCAGGTAATATATGAGACTAGAAGATGTCAATGAAAATCAAGCTGGGGAACGAAAGTGGACTGACGGCCTTCTGCACAGAACTCGGGCCAAGAGAAGCGAGGTCTAGCTGACAGATACACCGAAGTGACTGGGCTCCGAGCTCCCTCATCGTAGGATCCCAATGTCGTAGTGTAACTGTCAGAAGGTGGGTAATCATGGATGGGCGGTATTCTGTGTGCCTAAATAGAAGACATCAGAAAAGTGATAAGCTTGAGAAAAACTCCGTTTACTCTGCCACCTCCGGTGCAGCGGTCAAAAATGCATTTCGGCGAACACCGACGGCGTAAAAGTCAGTCTTACGTAGAACATCAATTCCATGAGGGAAAAGACCCTACAGACGTCTTGAGCCTCATCGTCCAACCTGGAACATATGATAACACTCACCGTCCGTCCGACGTACTCCTGAAACGTCGCACTTGCAGCACGGCGTATATGGATCTCACGGTCGAATAGGGAAACAACTACCAATCGGTGTGACAGAGTCTCTGCATGCGGAACTAGTGCCGCAACTCGTTGAGCTCTCGCAAGTGACCAGAGGACATATGACGCAGCGTCGCGGACATTCGAGCCGATTGAATGCGCACCCTTGCGTATATCGAAGTACAAAGCCTACCATTTGCCGTGTCATCAACCTCCGACACACCACGTCGATATTACTCACTTTGGACAACCACCCTATGAGCTCCGGAAGCTTGTCATCGGGTACAAGACCTCTACGCGCCATCTCCGCACACGCGAGGCATGCACCGTGCCAAGTGCTTTCCGCAACAGTCGGCATGTCATAAAGGCTTGCAGTAGCAATAGAGTGAATGGAGAATAAACCCACGATGGTTTGAAGCACCTGTTCCGCGAATTCGACAGGTAGACGTTCAGAAACGCGAGCGATCCCTTTTGCTGCAGACCATCGAACTACTGTGTCCTATAATGACGTAGCCTCAGCACATGAAAGGGGTGTCAGGTATTCTACTTAAGTCTACCTTGTCTTGTACCGCTCGGAATAGGTCTTCCAATATTGTGTCGACTTCTTCTGGCACATCGAAGTCTTCATCTTCCTTTTCACGCAATGACTCGCTCTCGGATGCCCATGCAGATGGCAAGACATGGCCTGCGAACGTTAGTGGATGATATCAGTGTCGATATAAACGAGCAACAGATCAGACCGCACCTTTACTGCGAGTTGCGACGCCAGCGGGTAGAAGGCGCAAGATGATGCGAGAGGCCAGCTTCACTCGCATTTTCCTGACAACCGTGTCGTTCATCAGCGTGTTGTGGTCCTGCACAAGCTGTACGACATTGAGGAGTGATGACAGATGTGCCTTGACTTGTTCAACAGATCCAGATTTCGCGACTTCACACAAAACTTGCAGAAGCCCTAAGGACTTTAGGACACGATAAGTGCGACGAAGATCAAGAAACTAAGCAGCTAAAGAACACTAGCTCACCGTGAAGGGATCTGCTGGTTCTTGGATAACTGATAACGACCACTGGAGAAATTCGGACAGTTTCGCAGTCATATCCTGCCTATGACACTTAAGGCAAAATGTCGACAGGGACGAAATTCCCTACCTCATGTACAGTCTAGACAACAGGATGGCTGCACCCTCTCGCTCTAAGCCTGCCTTGCATAGGTACGAACGTCCTAAACGCTCGATCTTCTGAGCAGTCTCCCCAATTTTGTCACGCTCGTCAAATTGTTCCAAATCAAACGGTATCATGCAGATGAGCGAAAGCCATAGCAGAACAACATATCGCAGGTGCCACTGAGACGGATCGTTGGCAGGGCTGTTTGGCAAGAGAACATAGTCCAACGCGATTGATACGTCGGCAATCTCGTGAGGAAAGAATCTAGCTGATCCTCTTGTTAGACACAACACCATTGGTATTGTCCGTCTACTGACTGATTATTTTGTATCCGCGAAATTTCGTGTACTCGTACAGCAAAAGAGCGATTCGTCCAACTCTGAGACCGGGGAGTTTTTCCTCAGGAGCCTTAACCAAGGTTCTGGCGTGTGTCTTTAAGCTCTCCACTACAGGAGAAACCAAACATTCCAGAAAAGGGTCGAGCAGGTATGGTTGCTCCTGGTATTCATTGAGCTTGACGACAACAAAATTCCAAATGTCAAAGAAGGATGGCGATCAAGACAAGAAGCTCACGATATCGGATAATCTCTTCAAAAGTAGCACTTCTGTGCTGTTGTCCTCCTTGGTTGGTTCCTGTAACACATTGCATGATAATAAAGATCGTTGAATATCCTGGTATTGTTGGTGTTGTTCGAAAGTCGCGTATATTCTCCCGTCTGCGGTATTCTCCTCCATAATCTCTGGGGTATTCAGAGTCAAGTTAGCTGAGAAAGATGAACTTGCACGAGAAAATCGGTAAGGAGGATTGTAATGCGTCGGTCCTCGGATGCTTTCCCGGTCGATCGCGTGTCACGTGCTCTCGGCGCTTGCCATTCCTCGTTTCATTATTCCCAACGGTGAAGTTTACAAGTACTTACTCTGCAAGTTCACCACCGCTCCTAGGCCTTCCTCCTGCAATATCAGCAGCTATCATGATCCACGGGATAAAGCGAAAGAGAAAGGATCTTGCCCCAGAGGTACGAGTTGGCACAGTCGTTGGTTTTCTCGTCACGGTACGAGCACTGAATTCGTCCTCAGGACAGCTCTGTTACGATTCAAGGAAAGCTAGTATGTGGTATCGACACGTAATCAAAGGGATCTGCTACTGAAGGTGGCTGGTCTTAACAGCATCATGGCTTGCGAGAAGTGCGGAAAGCTGCGAAGAAAGCAAAGACATTTGAGACGCAGAAACTCGTGAAGAAGCTGAAGACACTGAGGTGTGCTGCTACACTCTACATACTCCAGCTTACAACGTTGAAGCTGGTGCAGGTCTAAAGATCCTAAATCGAATGAGATCATTGAAATGGAAGCTCAACTGGCAAGTCTCAAGGTGCGTTGATATGATCGTCTGTCTGTGAGGTTTCTACGATCGCCTTTGCTTGTAGCATACAGATGCCGAGGGAATTGGGGGGCTCACTCTCAAAACGAAACTGAAGAAGGACCATGCACTGTCAGAGAACATTAACGTCCAAGCTGCCTTTGCGGCTGAGCTTGCATCCCATGTCTACGCGCTGGCTCCTGCCGGTACCCCAGCTTTCAAGGTCGAAAGTCGCTTATTGAGCTCAAAAGCACTTGCCTGCGAAGTTCGCCTTGTTATCAACGCGTTAAAGGAGATCACCCAGCCAACCAAGAAGATAAATAACAACAAAGATGAGCAAGATGAAGACGCAGACACGGCAGAATTTCCGCAGAAAGCACGCAAGTTGAGTGCATCTGCTTTGAGGCAACCTTTTCGACACAATGACGAGGAGCTTGATGACACTGGACGCGAAGCCGAAGAACGAGAGAAGGGATGGGAGTCCAGGTCAATAGGCGAAAGTGGGGATGGATGGGAATCAGGGTCAGTCAATGGCAGTAATTATCGCTGGAAAGCTGCGAGCGGCTCGTCAGAGGATGAATTAGAGTCGAGCGAAGGCACCGATGGCGACGGCACTGACGAGGACGGTGATTCAGACACATCTCCTCCGGAATCGTTACCGCCGGAAAAGAAGGGGCAGAAGTCCGACTTTATCATGGAAGATACCAAGGGCAAATCGAAAGCGACCAGCACGGAGTCCACCTTCCTCCCGTCGTTGGCGGTCGGATACACCCGTGGCGATTCTGAGGCATCGGACTGGAGCGGGGATGAGGTGGACGACTCTCCTAAAAGGAACCGGCGCGGCCAGAGGGCCCGCAGAGCGTATGTTTGTTTCCTAATCACCGGACGTCCCGGTCTTATGCAAATGCCATACAGCATCTGGGAAAAGAAATACGGAAAGAATGCGAATCACGTCAAGAAGGAGCGAGAAGCTGCTGTCCAGAACCCACGTCAGAAAGACATCCGACATACCGGCCAGAAGAATGTCCTAAATCATTCACGGACCGGAGTCGCGCATCGCGGGAACGCCTCCAGCTCTCGCTCGCAATTCGTTGCTCCTTCGCGCGATAGTGGCTGGTCTAAAGGTGGACGGTCTGTTGCCGAACAACCACCGGTGGTGAAGCAAACCCAGACCAAAGATAAGCCCTTGCATCCTTCATGGGAAGCAAAGAGGCGGCTGAAGGAGAAGTTCAGTGCGAATATCGTGCCAGCGCAGGGAACGAAGATTATATTCTGAGCCCTCCGTCAGTCTTGTCGACCTGCAGGGGAATACTACTACGCGTTGTCTCTATGTACTTCAAGTGCGAGCTGCTACGCCAGAACTGAGATAGCCAGGTGCCGCACTTGTGCACCAACGTCCTGATATTCGGTCGTTTCTACATTGATCACAACCGGTACCAGCAGTTTTCCCCATCCACTTCCACGTCGATCTATCCTTCCATACACTGCAGTAACGAAGACAGCAAAGAATCTATGCAATACAATAGAAGACTTCAAGAACATTCCAAGCAAACGAAACATCAGCACAGCAAAGATCCGCGACATACATCAAGATACACCATCCGTCTACTTTGCACACACATGCTTCTTTCCGCCGCTGCCCTGCAACCTGCATGCCCTGGAGCACCACATATCTCCACATCTCGGACAACAAGGGAAATTAGTTCCCGCCCTATTGCACGTCGCACAACAAGTTCTAGTGCGGAACTTGGATGCTTGTTCCAGTGACTCCAAGACGGGATTAAGTGTCTTCAGCTTCCCTTTCGGGGGGGAAGGAAAAGCTGAATGCATGGGAGTTGGTGGACCCGCCGACGAAGGGGCGGTAGGGAAATAATCGGAGCCTGTGTAAGAGGATGGAGTACGACAAATCGACGGGATAGTGGGTGAGTCCGGGGAGGGTGAAGGTGAGTTATGAGGTAGTTGGCTGGTATCGTCCTCGTGTAAGGCAGAGGTGTCTGTGACAACATACAACTGACGAGCACGGGATGACAACCGCGATGAGAAAGGGTTGGCTTCCGCCAGAACAGATAGCAAAGCCTCCCGCGGACTGCCCGTCGGTGTAAAGGACCCCGGCGTCTGGGCATTTGAAGCTGTATGCAATATAGGGGGGGCTACTCTGGGGTGTGAGACAATAAATGACGAAGCCAAACACCTCGGACGGTCTGCGGAAGGATAGACCCTCTCTCTGCGGCCTTTCTGAGCAATAGCAGATCTTGCCCATGCCCCTGCGTGACGCGGGCTCGCATCCGACTTCGCACGCCAATGGGCGGAACGAACGCGTCGGACGGCCTCCACTTCCACAGCGGGCACGGAGAAACTCCGGGCAGAGTCTACGATCTGCGAGTAGCTGGGCTTAGCAGAAGAGTCGACAGGAGAAGTACCAATTTGACAATTGCATCTGGCGGTCAATGTCCGCTCGTTACAAGTAATGGAAGACTTCTCCTCGGTGGTTAATCTCGAAGAACTTCCAATGGCATGCAAAGTACGGCGCTCGAATCGCGACTGAGTGTATGTCTGTAAACGGACACAGTAAGTGGATGTTGACGAAACGCAGAAAGTCCCATACTTCGTCGAAGAGAGGTGGGTGCACTGATATTGTCTCGCACAATACTGTGGCCATTATCGGGGGGTTCGGTGGCTGGATGTGCGACTGCTGGAGGCCTCATATATCAGCAAAGTGTCAACAGCAGAGAAGAATTTGGTGTCACACGACCTCTTCACCGGGCGCCTCCTTTGTAAATGTCCCTTATTCAAAACCGCTCTGCGCAATCAATCTGCTCAAAGAAGAGTATCCTGGTGTCGTAAAGAGATAAGAAGATACCAGAGCAGCGTCTCCCTTGTCGTTCGTGCAGCTGCCTGGCTGAGAGGAATCGGAGAACAGGGTAAAGATGTGAGGGGCACCCAAGCGATAGCTATACGTCCTAAGTATAAGTCTTCCTGGTGGGCGAAGCTCCACTGTTGCAGTCGTCGCTCTAAGCAGGTAAGAACCGCCCACCAACTGCGTGCGACGATAAGCCCGCCGTGTTTGATATCAAACTGTGATTCAAAGAGACGTTACAAGTTCAAGTCAGAAATGCATCACGAGCCTAGAACGTCTTGAAAATATCGCGTGATTTTCATTTGTCAAGATCTCAGATAGAGTGCGAGTCCACATCAGGAAGGTGCAGGGCAAGATCGTGGCCTCCTGCGCGCACTACATTTGCTGGTCGTGTGACGCTTTCTGCGCGGCCATCCTTACTTCACTCCACGGCGATACAACGGCAGTGCAGTAGAATAAATAGAAACGCCACACTGAAATGCCGCAAAACGTATTTTGGTACGTAAACGTGGACCAACGTGAGAGCACATAATAGGCCCACCCGAGACCACTCTGCGACAACGCCGCTCGTCATAGCCAAACGACGAGAAGACGAACGGTCAGCAGATATCAAGCTTCAAAACTCGCCTGCCTGTCGCCGGTACACAAATGCCTCCGTCCGTTACTCCCCTTCAACCTACAGTGCCGTGAACACCACCTTTCCCCACATCTCCCGCAACTGGGAAAATTTGAACCAGTTTTTCTGCAGGTGATACAGACTGCTTCGATGCGAAACCTCGACGAGCGCTCGAGGTCAGCCAGAACGGGACTGAAATTAGAGAATGTAGGGGAATGAGTCGGAGGCGTAGCCGGAGCTTCTGAAGACGAAGCTGTCTCCAAAGACTCGGACGATGCTGAACGACTGATAGGTCGGATGTCCGGTACGGGAGATGCGGGGCGATCGGAATTTTGTGTCGCGTCATCGAACGAAGTGTGGATGTGGACGGTATCGTATGGCTCGGTATACTCGTGTGAGAGCGCTGTGTCCTCGTCTCTATCTTCTCCGAGCAGAGAGCGTAAGCACAATCTCGCAGAAAGAGATCGGTCGACGTCCGCTCGGAGTACTAAACAGAAATGTGTGTCCACGGCCGAAAGAGGTTTCGATTTGAATATACTGGACAATCCGCCTGATTTGACCAGGGAACTGGTTGGGAAACGCGATAACGTGCGGCGGGAAGGATATGCGACGCCTAATGAGAACCACGCAGATCCTTGGGTGCCTCGTGCATGTGGAATGAAGTCGGCCGTGCCTGTGGTCCGATGGCTCCACTGATTCGTAATTGGTCACTTAACGTTGAACATATCTGGTAGCGGAGGTAGATACGCACTTGTATCGGACGGCCATCCGAGAACTCCTCGCCCGTGCCCACGGTCGATGCTTGCCGCCCTGTGGAGTTCCGATTTAATACAGGAGCTGGGATGGACGAAAACAGTGTCAATGACAGATAAATGGAACTCTGAACGTTGTCTGTACCTTGCTTGGGAACGCAGCACAGGTTACACGAATGTGCGGGCGCCCCAATTTCTCGCAAAAAGTCTTCAAAATGTGTTCGGGGTGCGGTATATCGGGGCCATGTATGATGCGACCGCTACTGAACCTGGTGAATGGATATACAGGGCACCCAAGTTGATAGTCCACACCTTCGCAGCAGGACGCGATGTCGAATGGGATTTTGAAGAGGAAGATATTTTGGACATCGGAAGAGGAGTTCAGCTAGGACGAAGCTGTAGTTGGTTCGCATGTTATATGGCGACAGTGGCCCAGGCGTAGCTGCACCAGTAGATCACACGAGCAAATACCCCAAACCACGATAGAAGCCTGACAAACGGCGCCTCTCGGCCAAACTGCGGAGGATGTGCATGAGGTCACTTGGATATTGTAGAGCAGATCAGAGAGAAGAGTTCGGAGGATGTCAGAGAGAGTCCACCTGCGAACTCGTGCCGAAGGTGAGTTGAACAGACGTGGCTGGAAGACAGTCCACATGCAGGCACTGGTGCAGGAAGAATTCAGCAGCGCGAACCCGGATGTAAGAGCTCAGGTAGTCTTCCTCGTCTGGTGGTTTGGTCGGCGGGTTTGCAAATTGTTCAGTGTTCGCGGTCACATCCGGCTTCCGCCGAACGACAGCACCGGCTTGGCACCGTACAAGCCAGGACAATCCGGCTCGTGGTGGCATCAATCGCAAGCACTCCACTTTGCAATACAAGCCATGTCCCGCATCACTTGGGTCGCGCTTCTCCCTTGGCCGGTCGAATCAAGTCATCAGCAGGTCATTTTGTGCGTCCACGATCCGCGAACGCCAACTTGATGTGTTCAATAGACAATAGTTCTCACCGGGGCCTCGCAGATTATGTCCCCCCCATTACGATGCGTGTCTCACCTCTTGTATACGACTTCGATTGGTTCCTTGCTCTTACTTATCGGGATCTTTGAGGTTGCTACTTTCAAATCCTTCATAAGAGCCTTTTCCGTTGGAAACAGATGAGCTCCAAGTCGGAGAAATCGTCCTGACATGCAATTAGAATCCGCAGCATGTAAACGTACTAACCGTCATCTTTTCATCCTCTGAGAGGACTTGCAGTATACCGACACTATGATGGTATGCTTCCAAAGAGAAGAAGTGGGCCACCACCATGACTGTGTTTGCAAGCAACTTCGGAATATCATAACAGTAGTTGCGATCGTCGATGGCCTCAGATATCGGGGCGCCGCGTACGGCTGTAATCGCCAACATTAGTGTCTGTCTCTGACGATACACGAGGACTTTGCGCACATTCAGTGTGAATCCTAGCTGGATCGACGCAAGCACCGCGTTGCGCACGACGTTGTCCGGGTCGATTCCTCCTGTTTGCAGTGTCATTCACAAGGGCTTCCTGGATCCTCGCGACTAGTCGTGACAAGGCTCTTGTCCATCTGACCGATCGACGAGGTCATTCTGCCCCCGTCCTCGTGGCGAGGCACCCGGTCGAACGTTGTTACTCGTGTTAGGTACGATTGTCAAGCAACTGCTCGCCCCAACCCTAGACCCATACCAACACGAATCTTGGACCCGAGTTTTCGTACAGTGCAGCGTAGACGGTCCTGCGATATGCGGTAGTATCATTTTGCATCAAGAATATATGGCTCGATCCAGTCTGCCGTTCATTGAGCGCTGATCCCGTGTTCCTCGCGGGAGCGAATTGTAAGGTGTGCCTTGTATGTACTTATTTTTCAATGTCATAAGACATTGGCGGCATTGAATCGAAGACATACGCACTGATAAAAGCAGAGCGTCATGAAGCTTCCTGATTTCATTTCCGTAAGTTTTTCCAACGTGTTTGACCGTCATGTGGGGCTTGTGCGCCGAAGTGCACAATTGCAGCAGACATCTGCAGTTCATCTCGAGGTTGTTACAGACCCACATGAATTCGAATGCCACCAGCTGCGGAACAGGCCTTGAGTCATGGTGGCATGTTGAATGAACCTTTGTCGCCTCATCCCAGCAACCTCCTGCCATGACCTCATAGCAAAGCGCGCTCATCGTTGTCATCTGATGTATTCTGCGGGGTCAGAACCTGCAGGAGAATCGAGCCTGTTCGACAGGGTTTTCCAAGGAAGCACTTACTCGTCAACCGAAGATCACAAGAGGTGGGGTAGAAGCAGGGATACGATCACTGATCTCTCATGCTCGAAGCTTGCGATGGTCTGGCCCATCGATAATTCGGTGTTTTATCCCAATCTCAGGACGTGTGGTCAAGTGATATGTGGAAAGATAGTCGCGAACACGTACGTTTGCATCTGTGTGCTCAGGTGGAGGTATAAGTCCTTACTATCGTCTCCAGTGTATACCATTGACGTAATCAAAAGACTCTCGCCACAGAAGGTATACAATTTCATGTGAACTTCTTCCGCACATTATTTTCTTGAAAATTGCTTTGCACTACGGGATGATCTAGGTGTTTACGCCACAGACGCGACGCGTCTGTGGCACGTGCTAAGTATAGTGGAGATCACGAGTTGCCCGATTCGGATTCTTCGCTCAACCGCCATGGGTGAACCGCCGGGTTTCGTGGCACAGAAAGACTTGGCTCATCGAGGACATGCTCTGATCACTCCCTCTGCGTCACCTCCTGTCTCTCGTCTACTATTTCCATCTTATGCTCGCAAACGGGACAGGCCACCCACTACGAAACGCCCGAGACTTTCGTCTACGCCATCCAGTTCTTTGTCGAAGTCCACGCGCTCTACTTCCACGTATGAAGAACAAAAAGCCATTGTGCAGGAGCGATCTGCTACATCTATTGATCGATTGAAGAACGTTTGGGATCAGCTCGAAGAACGATACAGTCGCCCAGTTGAAGACGACGATATCATTGATCTCTTCAACCACAAGATCTTGACAGACCGCGGCGCGATTCGTGGCTCATCTAAAGCGTACGAGATGGGACTCCTCGCAGATGATGCGCGGCTTTCAGACGCCAACGATGCGAATAGCGAGGGTGGAGGTGCGGAGACCGAATTCGACGATGTGGACGAACTCGACGCGTTTACACCGTCTGCGAAAATCTGGGATGAGCTGAAGTTGGAGAAGGAGAAACTGAATATTCCGCCAGTGCAGGATGAAAACCCTACGGACGCGCAGCATTTGCAGGAATTTCTGGAGGCGGAGAGACGGAGAAAGGAACAGTACGGCGATATTGATGAAGAAGAGGTGGATTTTCGACTGAGGTTCTTTGCCAGTGCTAGCAATGATGAGGAATGGTGTGATACTTCTGACGAAGCAGATTGCTATGAGGACACGGACGCAGACGAGCAGCTGGGCGAGGGGAGCCTGAGTGACCTTGGACACAGCGAAGACGAAAAGGATGATGATGACTTTTCCGCTGCGCAACACAAAACAAAAGCCTCTCGTGTTCCTTTGGACGAAGAGTCTGAAGACGAACTTGCAACTTGGGACATAGACGAATCTACTCCAGTACCCCGTGTTGCTCATCCTTCCGTTCCACCTGCACATGTCATCGACCTCACAGAGTCGCCACCAATATCTCTACGCCCCGCCAAGCATGGGAGGTCGAAAAGCCTCGCACGAGAGAAGTCCATGCCTCCATCGCCCTCTCGCTTTCGCTCCAAGTCCCGCGCTCGGTCCAAAACGCCAGCTCGGACGAAAACCGCGCCCACTCGATCCCCTTCTCCAACCCGTGTGGCGCAGCTCTTTACTCCACCCCAATCCTCTTCGTCAGCCATCGAAGGAACCCCAGGCGTTCGTGGATTTGATGATCTGCCACGTCCCAGTCCGCGTGCTCGACCGGAACCGAAATCACGCCGGAAAGACCTGCCATCAGATACACCTCCTGTGGCTGGTCCATCCTCACACGCAGAAGTTCCTATTCCCACCTGGGATACACCCCTTCCAAGGCCGAAGATTGTGAAGAAGGCGTTAAGGCCACGTCTCATACCCGAGGTCGTGATAATCACGAAGTCGAGCAGAACGGGCCTTGCGAAGAAGGTATCCAAGGATGCCGTCGACATTCATGCCAACGGCGAGGATGACGAAGAGCCGGCTCTTCAAACCCGTATACCTCGAAAGGATAAGGGCAAGGGAAGAGAGGTGATTGATCCTGATGCTGTACATAACCTGTTGAACCAGCGAGAACGTCCAGCAACACCATCGAAGTCTGCAGCAGCGAAGGGAACAAGGACAGCAGTCGAGGTGTTGGACCATGACAAGTCGCCCAAGATCACTGTACCGTCATCCTCTCGTGGTCGCAAGCGCAAGCGGGTCATATCCTCGTCATCACTTTCTGGACAGTCTACGAGAGAAGAGCCAGACACCGCTCCTGTGGTTACCACTCCTCGCCGCAGGCGAGGAACCATTGCGGAGTTGCGATCTCACTCCAGCTCTGCTATTTCGCGAACCAAGCGTGCGGTCTCTGAACAACCAGGAGACGGGAGTGGTAGGCAGTGTTTTCAATTCGTTTATGTCCTTCGGCTTACTATGAACTTGCCTTGCAGATTTTGATCCAGGACATGACGCTCAAGGCAGTTCACGCGGAGACTACCACGATCGTCGATCCTCCTCGTCTGCTCCTCACCCGTTCATGCACCCCCATCCCCAACCTCATACCCCCTACCGCAACAGCCGCCACCCACAGTACCCACCAATACCACCCATCCAGGATCCTCAAGCGCAGTACCAGATTGCGCAAGCTATTCAGCATCTGTCATACTTGATGAATGCTGCCATAGGCATACCCCCTGGCCAAGGGTTTCCGGACTCGTACTCTCCGCAGTATCTAGGTCACCCTCCTCCCTGGCCACCCTATACCCCAACTCACACGCGTCATCGATCCCGGCAGCCGCAGCTGTTTGGTTCACCGTCGTCTGGAGTCGGAGCTTCCGGATCCTCGTCATCCGCGTTCACTACTCCCATGCATAAGCACCACGCATATCCGTACGGTTTCGATCCGTCGTTCTCTGGAGCCACTCTTCCGCCTTCGTCACCCATAAGCTCACCAGAGCCTTCGTCCCCAATTTCGCCAATTGATCGCGGTAAATCCATCGCGAGGGCTCGAAGCAAATCTCGGGGCCGTCGGGTCTCATTCAAGCTCACCGACGATGACAGGCCGCTCCCACCGACCCCGCGAGATGATAGCGCCGACGATGATCCACGTGAGCGCACCGCATCGCAGTCTCGGCAAGGCCGTGATAGCAAACCAGCGATGACTTCTGCATTGCGCGCGAAAGCCAAAGGCAGAAACACTGCCCAAACACTGTCCACGGGATCTTCTACTTCGGCGTCGGCTAAGGGGAAGAGCCTTGCTCAGCACGATGACAGCGATGCGGAAGAAGATACGGTGAAATCTTCGAGCGGTAATCGAGGGAGGAGACTTGAAAGAGGACGCACGCCAGCCCCACCTTCTCAGCGGGAGAGAGGTGCATCTGCGCGAGCGAAGAGCAGAGGACCGGGGAAGGACTGATTTATGGAGTGTATACGATGTCGTAGTGCGCCGCTATCTAATTTTATTGTCTATGTTTGTTGTCGCCGATACGCTCGATGTATGCGCTGCCTTCCGCAAAAATTTAAAAGGCACAATCTTATCTCACAAGACTAATGCTCGGCGATGTGACAAAGTATTCGGGCCGGCGGCCACGCCGGTATCAAAGTCCTTGGAAGTAATTGCCTGAAGAGGAACTCACCACCGCGATTCTGACGACTTGGATTCTCCGCAAATACCCGTCAACAGAGTCTCTGACTCGGACGGACAGACACACGACCACTGTCTGCTTTCCGTTTCACCCTCAAGTGCACCGTCTTTCTTTTACCCCGTCCCATACTGCCGACCCTCTTGCGTGATAGCGAGGTGCACAGAAATTCGAGGCCATCTGCAATTTTCCTCCCCCTGCGCAAGAGCTGTAACAATTCAGCTATGGTGATTTTTATTAGACCTCGGGGTTCTCGCCGAATTGACGTCAGTTATTTCAGGGACAAACGCTCTCTACACCCGGTCCGTGCACAACGGTCGAACCCTCTTGCTGTGCTTTCACTCATACCCCGCTCTCTCAGTAACCCAGAAGAAAACGGAAGACGGAGGAAATGATAAATTCTATTACGCAGTATCAGAGATGCAGGGATGGAGAATAGGTATGTCGTTCGTATCCTTCGTTCCCTATCATGTTCCCCACTACAACGACGTACGCTGAGCGGGCAAGATTTATCTTCATCTGCTCTGTTGGTGGTTCTGAATTCATGTTTCATGTCACCCTGACATCCCTTGCGCATCCAAGAAATGGAAGATGCACATACGATTGCATTGAGCCTTGATCAAGATGATGATGAAAGCAATACGTTCTTTGCTGTATATGATGGGCATGGCGGTACGTTCTGATCTTTCACTGGGCTTGCGTCAAGTCAGTTGCATGCGTTCCTCTAGGTGCCTCTGTTGCAAAATATGCTGGCGAGCATGTGCACAAGAAGTTACTCGCGGACGGGGCATACCTGAAGAAGGAGTATGCTACTGCTTTGAAGAATGCATTCCTTGGTACGGATGCAGACATGCGAGCTAGTAAGTAGACGTTGAGTATGTTTGCTCTTGTGGTGCGTACTGAACTGTGCAGGCTCTACATTCACGCGGGACACTTCTGGTTGTACTGCGGTCGCTGCTTTGGTCACGTCCGACGAAAGGATCTACGTTGTATGATTGATGATGATATGTGCCTTGTTGAAGTTCTCATCGATCACTTCTCAGGCGAATGCAGGCGACTCACGGTCGGTGATAAGTGTCAAAGGCGAGGCGAAGCCTTTGAGTTACGATCACAAGCCTCAGAACGAGAGTATGTCTGCATCTGCGTCCTGTGATTGAAGCACTCATGTATGGTCTGCTGATTCTTTTAGTCGAGAGGAGCCGTATTCTGGCTGCAGGTGGCTACATTGAATTTGGAAGGGTGAACGGTGAGGCACGCTTCTCACCATCGTCATCAAAATCTGAGCCGAGTTTTATCAGGTAACTTGGCTCTGGCAAGAGCTCTGGGAGATTTCGAGTACAAGAAGAATGCCTCTCTAGCGCCGGAGAAGCAAATTATTACGAGTGATCCTGAAGTTATCGCGCACGAGATCACTGATGAAGATGAATTCTTGGTCATCGCTTGCGATGGTACGTTCGAATGGAATCAGAAGTATCCTGATATTGACTCTGTATCGCATTGCAGGTATCTGGGACTGTCTCACGTCACAGCAAGCCGTGAACGTCATCCGTCTCCTTATTGCACGGGGTAAGACTATACCAGAAATCTGCGAGGAGATTTGCGAGTTGTGTCTCGCACCCGACACCGACGGGCGCGGTGGAATTGGCTGCGACAACATGACCATCCTCATCGTTGCCATTCTACATGGCCGTACGCTGCAGGAGTGGTACGGCTGGGTTACAAACCGCGTCAAGCACAAGCATGGTTTTGCCACTCCCGATCAGATCCCGCAGCTCTACTCCACAAGCGCGTTGATCGCGTTCAGGGCAAGGAGAGAGGCATACGAGGCGCGCCAGCGGGAGCGCGAGGCATATCGCAACGCGTCGTCCACGAGGCCGGATACCCAGGGATTTGGTGGCAACACGATTGACGGTGTGGAGGTGGGAGGTAGCTCGTTCAGGGACTTTGCGCGTATTCTTGGCAGCACGGGAGGCATCACATACAACCCTGCGACGGGGGAGCTCAAGCGGAGGCTCGTGTTTGATGACGTCGACGTTGACGACGACGACGATGACAGCGGCGACGAGTATGTGGACGCGGACGAAACGAACGGGGTTACATCGTTCACCGGCGTATCGTTCAACGGCACGTTTGGGCTTCCCCATTCTGACGGTTCCGATATCACAAAGAGCCTGAGGGAACAGTTGGACGAGTTGGAGGAAGCGGAAGCTGACTCCGCGTGTCCGGAGAGTGACGATATGCAGATGGGAGAGATCGACGACGAGGTCACGATCAGTGGCATGGAGACTGCGCCACCAACAGCTGCGACACCTGCAAAGCAGCAAGATTCAGGTGGTCTGCAAGGCGAGGCACCGCCACCACCAAAGCTTTTGCAGAACGGCGATGCCAGGCCCAAACAGTTAGTATCATCCCCGGCCGGTGATGCTCCAAGCGCGGCCGTGCAGGCGGAAGGTTTTTTGGACTCGAGCGAAAGTCCTCTCAAGCTGTAGCGCGCATGGCTGTCCTGCGATGTATCATGTACGGTGTCTGTACTCCTCTATTGTTGTTATCCCTGGGTTCAGCTTTATCTATGATCGACATGTTTTCTGTGACGACTACTGCAATTTTCATATTCTCATACTGTCGTATACATTCTAATCAGCACTACTGTGTCCGTCCTCTGCGCTGTTTGTTTGGTGTGTAACATTGTGGCAAAATTAGAACTGTATCTCATAACATGTCGTGCAGTACAATGAATTCCCTTTCACAGAGGGCTAGGATAACCGCCTTCCCTAGGTTTCCTCCGAGGATGCCCAACCCCAATAGAGATCCGGCAACTCCGCCGCCCACCTTCACCACCGCTTGTTTGGCCCACTTCTCCCGTGTCGGCACGCCGCGATAGATGTAGACGTTCCCTCCCGAATCTCCCGAACCGCTCTCAAACGCGAAAACGGCGTCCTGTGATATATGGTAGGTGAACCGGGTGTCGCGCTTCGATGCGAGGACGAAGGAAAGGGCAGAGAACGTCGATGTATGACTCCAGGCTGGAGGATCACCATGACCGCTGCCGGCACTTAGCGTGTACACCACTCCGTCAAGGTCATTTTTAACCACCAGCGTTGGCCGTGCAGCACCGCGGACGCCGGGGAAAGGCGTTGAAAGCACGTTGATAGGACCAGCATCGATGTCCTGATCGGCCCACGGGAGGTGAGCACCGTCTACGCCCACCCATGTCAAATAAACCAATCGCCCGACCGCCAAGTCCACCTCGTCATCCATCTCGCCCTCGGCAAGGCGCGGCACTCCTCGTCCAAGACCCAGGCCGCTCGCATCCTGCCCCTCGTTCAGAGCAGCGGTGTACTTCTCGAGCGCTTCGCGGATGTTCCAGAGCTCGGACGGGTCAAGCGTCTCGGGGACTTCGACATTTTCGTGGCTCGCGGGACTGCCAGCGGAGGTACCCGCTGCCGCGAAGACCTGCGACCAGCGTGTCCCATCGTGCTGCTTGTCGAGATGCAGCGAGAGCACGCCGAACCGGTGCTCCGCGGCGCGGTCCCATGTCCACATGCTGGACGATGCGTGAATATTATCCCAGAGCTTTTTCAAGTCGTAGTGTGGCAGCTTGATGTCACCGACCATGGCGGACTCCCCGCGGACGAGCACTGTCAGTGTGGTAGGCGAGAACGCGATCTTGATGTCCTCTGTGGGTGTGGAAGACGGAAGGGGAATGGCTAACGTCACCGAATCATCTGTCTGGGTCCAAGAATACGGAGGAGGTTTTATTGGCTGTGAGACGTTTGTAACGTTGTCCAAGTCTTCCGCCTGCCGGGGAATAGGTGCTAACTCGTCTGCAGACGGCTCGTATTCCTGAGGGCCTGGTACCCCAAGTGGTCGGTAAGGCGATCCGCCTACGAATAGGAACGCGCTTCGGGTCTCGTCATACGTCGTGTACAAGGGCACGTCCTCTCCCCGCCGGTGCCAGAGGATATCCAAGGACCGCGGTGCCCCCTCCGACGGGACTATTGGTAAGGCGAAACGGACAGCCCATACATCGAACTCAACCGCAGGCTTGCCGCGAGTCTGACCATCCGGCGAAGCTGAATCACGCGGGTAATGTTTAGAGGACAGAACCACCACAGCTGCCTGAGCGGTCGCCTGCACGGCCTGATGCATTCTGACAGGGACCGTAGCCTTGGATGACCCAAGTGCATGCGGAACGGAGAGTTCGTATACCCCGAGTAGCTCTGCTTGATCCGTTTCGTAGATGCGAAGCGCATATACATACCCGTAGCCATCCGACACGAATAGAAGTGACGGATGGAGGAAGGCGGCGGATGGGTACTCGCGCTGAGGGGAGTCGATGGCAGGAGACTGGATCGGTCTCGGAATTTCGTACAGCACCTTGAAGGAAGGAACGAGTGCGGCCTACTTTCGTCCGAACGACGGTAGTATAAGTTTCACACTGGAAGTTCCACCGTGTACTTACCTTGTCTAGATCAACGGATATGACTCGTAATTCGCCATCAATGTAGACTGCTCGCTCGTTCTGCTCGCATATTGTGAGATGGTTATGCGATATACGGCTCTGCACCTCCTGAAACGATACATGGGATCGACCGGAGACATTGGCTTGCGAAGGTTTGTGCTCGAGAGCATAATGCGATACGGCTTGGTCCTGGGATATTGGAGAGAGCTTGTACCCCTCGAACTTGGAGTTCCGTAAAAAGTGGTTAGTCTGGAAAAATGACATGGTCTGAGGTAACTTTCACTTCAAGGAGTGAGCGCTTGAGCTTGAGAGGACGAGGACCTAGATCGACCGAGGAAGCGTCAGATCAGATCTAATCTAAATCTTTCGTTCCTGCCCTTCCGAGTCCAATCCGAGTCTGCCGTGTTCGTCTCACCGAGTCACCAACGATTGTATACCTGCTTTCCACCAGTTCGCGATCAATGGACAAAAAAAGTACTTTGCACGGAGTACAGGCGTTTGTATTTGACCTGATGGGGACCTGCACTGACTGGCGTCGCTCCATACTTGCTGCAATGCAACAGCACCCAGTACCTCCACCGCTTGACTCCTCCGATCTAATAACTTTGGCATCAGACTGGAGAGCAGGCTTCTTCGACGCTATATTTGAGTCTTTTGACGCTGGAGAGGAATCTCCGGACATCGATGTAGTCCATGCACGAGTGCTGGACAAGCTCTTACAAGACAGAGACGTGGGAACAGACGTTTGGGATGCCGCTGTGAGAGAACATCTCGTCCGCTCATGGCATGTTCAGGCAGGTATGTTTTGTGGAGAGGCACTAGGCGATTGCAAGGTATTGATGTATCCAGCTTGGCCGGATAGCATTCAAGGCCTTACAAGGCTCAAAGATCCTTGTGTGGTGTCAGATTCTGTTCTGGTGATTGCATTCTACTCGCGGATCGGCTAACATGCCCTTGAAGTGTCGTGCTGGCGAACGGGACCACTCGACTGCAACTTGACATCATCCGATCTGCGCGTTTGCCCTTCGACACACTGTTCTCCTCGCAGCTGCTGCAGGCAACAAAGGTATGTCCACGTAGGTCCCCAAGGATCACTAGTCCAATGGTTCGTGCAGCCCAATCCAGCGATCTACCTCAAGGCGCTCGACCTCATGGCACTCCACCCTGAGCAGACCGCGATGGTGGCAGCACACGCTTACGATCTGCGCGCGGCTGCCAAGATGTAAGTCCTGTCTCACTGGTGCCAGTCTATTCATGCATCTGCGATGTAGCGGTATGAAGACTGTGTACGTCCAACGGTCTACCGAGGATCCTAATGAGGACATGGAGGCTATCCGAGCTGAGGTTGATTTGTTCATCAGTGGGCTTGATGAAGGGGAGGGATTGTTGGAACTAGCGGCATTGATGAATTTCAATATCTGAATAATGAAGGCTGCGACTCCATGTGCAGTTGTCATGAATTCTGATGTCTGATTGCCTGTCAACTGCCACCATATGTCCTGAAGCAGTCGAACGGTTGAGTAACGAGTCACGAACGACACATCATCAGATTCTCCGGAATACATATAAGTACAGCCCTGTTTAAACATGCCCGCCATCTGAGAGATGCCCCTCACCAAACCCTAAGAATACATCCCCGTAAAATCGCTCCGGTCATGATGATGGTCCTCCAGGCGAGTAGACTCTGGATGGGTACGCGGGAGGTCCTCTTCAGCGTCTACACTGATGCCGAACATTTCTCGTGCCATCCAAGCCACATCTGGCATCCGCAGGAAATTGCTTGAGTTAGTGTCGGGCCACAAAGCGGTCGGCAGTTCCCCGTTCGCACTATCTGCGATGGGGGTAGGGGTGATGAAGGGGCGCCGGCACGTTGGACATGTCCTGCGCTGGCGACGGGATGCATCAATACCTGCCTACCAAAAATGATCGGCCGAGTACTGATAAAAACTCACGCCTTCGCGCATCCAATTTCGGATGCTAAGAACCCAGGCGACTGTCAAAAGTAAGTACACAGAAAAATCGATGTTGCGCTCAACTCCTTCCGACAAAAAACGTGGCCGCATGATTCCATCAGTCTCGTCACGCCCAAATCTTCTGGTGCGTGTGCCGGGGAGTCCATCGCCAGAGCCATTTCCTCTTCGGCCAGAATAGAGAGCAGAGTGTTTAGACATATCGGACATGTGCTGTCTGCATGTTTCAATGCATAAAGAGAGTTAGGGTGTGAAAGCGTGCGAACTGTTGATGTGCACATACCAGTTTGTCCCAGTGCAGCAAGATCGTCTTCGTTAAGTTTCGGCAACTCGTTCGCAAATTTCGCGACTCTTCTGTACATCATGCAGAAATGAGGACGAGTGCTTACAGGCTTATCAGAGCAGCGTACCGTTCTTCGGCCACTAGGCCGCGGAGGTCATTCAGCATGCCCCTCGTCGAGACATCGTTCTCAAGCACCCCTCTGAGGCGTAAAGCATCGGTCATGCTCTGGCTTCTAGGACGACCGGGTATACTTTGACTTCTTGGACGATCAGCCATGTTGTTCTTTACGCTCTTCGAGTGTATGCGATAAAGCCTGTAGTACAATCAAAGAAATCAGACCATTGCAGTGATCCCGGGACAACGCCAAACTTATTCTCTCGAGTCTCGAGAAACCCACCGTGGTAACGAACGTAACCGTCACAGACTGATATTCTCCTGGGTTACAAGACGACGGCAGGCGGGCGACGCGTATGCACTGGCACGAGGTCCTGGCGTGTAATTATAACGCGTAGTATCACGTGGCTTTTTCCTTGAATGGGAAACAATCGCATACTAGGCGCTCAAATTTCAAACTTCAAGCACGTCGCTCCTCGGCGGTCTGTGTCGCATTGCACTCACGTTTTGTCTACGCCCGCTGTTGCTTCACGTCAACGCCGTCGAAGGGTATTCAGAAAAGCTACAAATGACACCCAGCGCGCTGTCTCCGGTTTTTAGCGTGTACGCAAGCAATTGTCGCGGGCGCTGGATCGATGGTTCGATAACAGGCTCGTTATGCAGCGTTGTTCTTGCCCTTGTCGAGACTCTTCGGCGTTCGTCCACCCTTCTGGGTGAGATTTACTTCAAAAACGTCACGGTAGCCGTCGGTTGATATGGGAACAAATCCAACGATCAAGGAACAATTGCCTTTTTGGTATGTTCAATAACGAACACGGTTACTATTGTTAGCCTGGAGTACAATGTGGCATCGGACAAGCATGTAACAACGACGATAGAGTTCGCATAATTCCTCGGCCAGTGTCATTTTGTTCACCCGAACTATATAACTTAGAGCCTCAAGTCCAACCTCCTTGCAATTGTTCCTTTTTCCGCACCTGGCGCGCTGTGGTATCGCGTTCAGCGCACCGTCCGTCCTTTTGACCAACCGCTCATTTATTAACACTCTCTTGGTGCACGACCCACTATGCGTACATTTGCTCTTGTCCAAGTTTCCGCTCTCGTTGCTGCGATTCTAGTCAGCGCTGTCCCTTCACCATATCCCAATTCCCCATTCCGCCACAGGTCTTTGGCTAAGAAAGGACATGTCCCGCGTCAGTCTACGCCGAAGTACGTTGTTGCCCACCATATGGTAGGCAATACATATCCGTACACGGTTACGGATTGGGCGAATGATATCGCTCTTGCCTCGGCTTCCGGTCTCGATGGCTTCGCTCTGAATGTCGGAAGCGATGTCTGGCAGTCTGCACGAGTCGCTGACGCGTAAGATATTTGGTCTACGTGATTTTTCACATCTTAAACTTTTTTCAGATACCAAGCTGCTGCCAATTCTGGCACCGGCTTTAAACTTTTCCTCTCTTTCGACATGAGGTATGTAGCCTTCGCCTTCCCGCTCATTGTACTGATTCAGTTTCGTCCCGTAGCTCCCTCCCATGTAGCTCTCCCGATGACGCGCAGGCCCTCCGCAATTACATTACAAGTTATGCGACCAATCCCAACCAACTAACTATTAACGGTCAAGTTTTTGCATCAACGTTCTCTGGCGAAACCTGCACTTTCGGGCAAGGCTCTGTCCCACAGGGCTGGTCGTCCCAATTTACATCCCAACTGACTGGTCAGAATTCTGTGATGTTTGTTCCATCCTTCTTTGTGGATCCTTCCACGTTCAGCCAGTACGACGGCGTCATGGACGGTTACTTCAACGTGAGATATCTCCTAATTGTCGTTGCATTACTCTCATGCGTTTTTAATAGTGGAACGGTGGTTGGCCGATTGAATTGACGACGAATTCAGTCCAGTCGACTCTTGGCTCTGCTGCGCCCGCCCTTGGCGGTCTTGGTACCTTCTCTAGCGCCGTCGAGCAGACGCTCAACCAGTCCACTGGTATCTTCAGTACCGATGCGCCATACTTGAACGGCCTGAACTCGATTTCGAGCAGCTCGAAGACGTACATAGCGGCTGTGAGCCCTTGGTTCTTCACACACTATGGCCCTAACACCTACAATAAGAACGTATGTTGCCGTATATTTTCGTTTTGCATAAGCTGATCGTGTTGCAGTGGATTTATCTTGCGGACTTCCACTTGTACCCTACACGATGGGACTCGCTTATTGAGAACCGCGATTCGGTCGACGTTGTTGAAGTGCTCACATGGAACGATTACGGCGAGTCGCACTACGTCGGTCCGATTGAGGGTGCACAACCCAACTCCCAGGCGTGGGTGAATGGATTCAATCACACAGGTACGCTGATACCTTCAAATTCTCATCCTGATACTCATCGTTACTTGAAGGTTGGCTTGATATGACGAGCTACTACGCGAGCGCCTACAAGACAGGCGCTTATCCTAACATTGCCAAGGACAAACTCTACATGTGGGCGCGGCCCCATCCAAAGGATGCAAACTCTGGGGATTCAGTCCCTAAGCCTACTAACTACGAGCTGGTTGGTTAACGATATCTCTGTTAGATATTGTTCTGACGCCCTGTTTCTCGCTTTAGGACCAAGATACGCTTTGGGTTGTTGTGATGGCTACTGCGCCTGGCACCGTCACCCTTTCAACCTCCAACTCGAACTCGCAGACATTCCCTGTCGATGCCGGCGTCACGAAGCTCTCCATTCCACTCACTCCGGGCGGATACATGCACGGCGTCCTCGAGCGGAATGGCGGAACAACCATTGACCTCCAGCCCGCTGACTACACGTTCAATCCTAACCCTCTTTCGTACAACTACAACGCCTACGTTGCATATGCCAGTTCCGGATAGACGATACCCATTCATGATCGGGTAAGGTGCTGGTTGTCGCCCTACCATATCTCCTACGCGTATTGCCTGAGAAGCCAACTCGTTGACTTTCGCTTTGTGCCGAGTTGGCCGGTATTTCGTTTCTTTACTCGCTGCGCTGCGCGCCCAGGTCGGTGATTCTTTGTCGTGCCTGTGCTACGTCATACCTCGACGGGATCGTGTGTATAGACCTTGGTTCAGATCTGTTATACTCCGTCGTTCATGCTGTCGAATGTAGCCGTTCTTCTGGTGGTAAATTCCGTGCGATGCATCGCGCAGCCATTGATCATATCCGTTGGCGCGATGAATGGTCAGCAATGGCGAGGTCGTCAAAAGGTCGTGAACAGACCAGAGTTGATGCGGGGATCATCGATAGACCATCAGGCATGATGGGTGTCAGCCACTCTTTCTGCAGTGATCATCAATCTGGCCACAAACCCAATGTCGATGATGCTGTACATTGCACGCTCCGGATAGTGATCCAACGCCCTGAACGAAAAAGAACATGTGGTACAGAACAAGATGCAGCAGCCTGCTGCCTTTCCATCGGTGGAAATGCGCACGCATTTCGAATTGGGTAGATACAGTGTATGAGGGGTAAAAATGTCGTGAGACATGCACCGAAAGTGTTTGTTCTAGACAAATTGTCAAACACGGTGGCAGTGTATCAGTGTCAGCGTGCTCAAACTCAGGCTCGAGCTTGAGGAGGACGGGACGACTACGGTTTCCATTTTTGGAATAGAAGGTATTTTTTCTTCTCCCCTTGCAGCGAAGTCAGCGGAAGCCCAGCCTTGAAGCTTCAAGCTTCAAGCTTCAACGTGCAACGTTCAACGTCCATCTGTAGCCTGAAACTTCTTGCGGAAACACACTAGCTTGGCTCTACTTCTTCACGGTTACTTTTATCCCTTCCTCGCGCACCCAATGGACAGGACCAGGCAGAGGTATAACGCCAAGGCCCGTCAATCTACTGCTGGCTCACATAAGAAGAAGGGAAGGCGCAAGGACATCGAGGCGCTCCCCTCCCAGCACTCGGATCCCAACGCTCCCATTATTGATTTGAAGACATTGGAGCAGAAGGAAGATGATAGGAAAGAGAGGTTACGAAAAGAAGTAAGTCTCGACCTGACTTAGTGCACACTGCGTGCAAATATTAAACGTATATTCTAGCTACTTGCGCAGTCTGATTCAAAGGCCAGTAGTAAGAAGAAGAAGAGACTTGAGAAGTACATCGTGGGGATTGTCTGCCAGTCCGTAGGGTCCACGGTCTGATTGAATTTGTGCGTTTGTGCAGGAGAAAAAGCTGAAGCAAGAGGAACGCGTTGTGCTCTTTGAGAAGTTATCGTGCGTTATACCATACTAATCCCGAGCCTTTGTCCTGATATGCGGCTGCACAAGAAAGAGCCAAGCCCAACTGTCTATCGCACTGCAGCTTCAGTCATCGTCTACTCTGGGCACAGGAAAACCTAGCACGCACAAACAACTACTAGATACACAAGAAGACAGAGATGTCAGGCGAGCCATGGAACGTCAAACTGGAAAGACAGGTCATCAGCAGAGTTCTGTTCTTGGCGTGGAAGAGAGCGTGAGTGACGAAGATGGTATCTCCGTGGAAGTAGACAGAGAAGACGACGGCAGTCTTCCAGCAGCCCAAAGCGGTGATGGACTGTCGAAATCTGACCCGATAGTGGTAGTTGATTCTGGATCCATCACCTCAATTGTTCCGACCGCACAACCTGCTCCTACGCCATCCGTCGTTGGTAGCGCGCTACATCGCAATCCGGATGGTTCTGTCGTAGCTCCCCGGATCGTTAAGAGGAAGCCGAAAAGTTCGAAAGTGAAGTTCAAACAAATTTGTAGTTCTCTTGCACAAGCTTATATTCATTTCGGTGGTAGATACATTTCTCATCGTGGACAGTGCAACGATCCGCGATGACATCTCACGACTCCGATGCCGAGTCGGACTCTTCGTTTAACAGTTCGGATTCTGCTTACGACGACGACTCTGCGGACGAAGGTGCCAGCAAGCCTACTCAAGACGAGGAGAGGGAGGAGGATCCCGACGTTTCTTCTGAATCTGGCAGCGCATTAGGGAAGGGTGAACGCGGCAGTCCGCCTCCGGAGGATGCGCTACCAACAAATAAACGCAAGAGGGGTGGGTTCAAAGAGTGGGCAATGAAGCAACTCAGTGCTGCCAAAGGCTACGTTGCGCCTGTGGAACCTGACACTCCATCAGATCCTCCAGAGCAGGAGATTGCTCCGCCACCGAAAAAGCGAAAGGTTGAAACTTCCGAGCCTCGAGAAGTGCGTGGCCCTTTAGGAGAAGACCTGCAGCTTCCGTCTACAACTCTCGCTCGACATCTACAAGAAACTGCTGGTAAACCTGCCAGTGTCTCGATCACCGATAGGCGCAAGGTCATCGGCGTACATAGACCTCCAGAAGTTCAGGAAGCGAGATTGTTACTCCCTATGGTTGCAGAAGAACAACCAATCATGGAGGCTATTTTATTTCATAACGTCGTTATTATATGCGGTGAGACTGGTAGTGGTAAGACCACCCAAGTACCTCAGTTCCTCTTTGAAGCCGGTTACGGATCTCCAGGTGGTGGTGCGCCCGATTCTACGCGCTAGTTGGTCCATGCTCATGATTTTGATTGCTGCAGAAAATCCGGGCATGATTGGAATTACGCAGCCCCGACGGGTGGCGGCGATTTCTATGGCCTCTCGAGTCGCACATGAACTTGGGTTCAACTCCTCCCGTGTCTCCTACCAGATCCGTTATGATGCTACAGTCTCACCATCGACATCGATCAAATTCATGACCGATGGTGTACTTCTCCGTGAGCTCGCAACGGACTTTCTGCTGAAGAAGTACTCAGTGATCATCGTCGATGAGGCGCATGAGAGGAGTATGAATACGGACATCCTCATCGGAGTACTGAGTCGGGTGATAAAGCTGAGGGAGGAGATGTGGCGCGATGGCAAGAACAACATCAAGGTCAGTATGTCCCTTTATTTGCGCAAACAGTGTACTCAGCCCATCCTCATGCAGCCATTACGACTCATAATCATGTCTGCAACGCTTCGTGTGTCAGACTTTGCTGAGAACAAGACTCTTTTTTCGTCGCCCCCGCCAATCATCAACGTACCCGCGCGTCAGCACCTTGTAACAATACACTTCAGCCGCCGCACGTCGTCTGACTATGTGACGGAAGCCATTCGCAAGGCCAGCAAGATCCATGCCCGTCTACCCCCGGGAGGCATCTTGATTTTCCTCACAGGCCAGAACGAGATTTCCGGCGTTTGCCGCCAGCTGGAAGCAAAGTACGGAAAAAAGACACTAGATGGGAGACGACAGATGAGAAAGGCTACACAGCAACGTTTAGGAAACCAGACACAGGACGAGCCTGAGAACGTGCACTCTTTTCAGGTGACGCCCTCACAAGGTGAGCAAAATTACGTACCGTAATTATCTACCGTTGACTGACTCCGACTGCTAGCGGACGTCGAGGCCGAAGATCTTGACCTGGGAAATGTGCAACAAGATGGCGACGACCTCGCCTTCGACATTGATGGAGATGTGGATGGCGTGAACGCGGATGACGAAGCTCTCGACAGCGACGACGCATCTGCCGTTGACCAGGAGCTGGGGATCCACGTTGACGAGAGTGATAGTACGTCCCCTTGTTGTCTTCTTCTCGTAACATCTAAAAGGTTCGGCAGCACCTATGCACGTGGTTCCCCTGTATGCTCTGCTCTCTAGTGAAAAGCAGATGCAAGTGTTCCAGCCTCCCCCCGCTGGCACTCGCCTTGTCGTAGTCTCGACCAACGTTGCGGAAACCTCGCTCACCATTCCCGGCATTCGCTATGTGGTTGATTGTGGACGAGCTAAAGAGGTACATTGACCGGTCTTATTCGTGTTTTGCCCGTGTTTTGTCCTGACATCAAGCCCGACAGCGGCGACACGACGTTGCGAACGGTATCCAAGCTTTCCGAGTAAGCTGGATCTCGAAGGCATCTGCCGCACAGCGTGCAGGTCGTGCAGGTCGCACGGGCCCTGGACACTGTTATCGACTGTATTCGTCGGCCCTCTACGAACATTATTTTGATCAGTTCTCCCAGCCCGAAATTTTGCGGGTGCCAATCGAAGGCGTGGTTCTGCAGATGAAAAGTATGCATATTGACGCCGTTGTCAACTTCCCCTTCCCGACGCCACCGGATCGGCTACATCTTCGCAAGGCAGAAACAGTTCTCACTCATCTGGGTGCCTTGAAAGCTGCGTCCGGCAGTGATTCTTTCGGAGGTGATATTACCGACATCGGGAAGGCAATGTCTCTTTTCCCGCTTTCTCCTCGCTATTCCAGGATGTTGGTTAGTGGACGCCAGCATGGCTGTCTGCCCTATGTTATCGAGGTGGTATCCGCTTTATCCGTGGGGGATCCTTTCTTGCGCGAAGAAACTTTGGGAGACGATGGAGAGAAGTCTGAAGAAGAGCACGAAGAAGTGTCGCACCTCACTAGTGCGGCAGTGAGAGCAGCGGAGACACGAAAGATACGTCGCCGAGCTTTCTTTCAATCACAGCAGGTCAGTGATACCTTACCTGCTCCAATGATTCACTGTATCCTAAGCTTGTCGTAGACTCACGCGTCACTGGGTAACTTCACAAGTGACATCTTTCGGACACTATCTGTTGTAGGTGCCTATGAGTATGCAGGTGGGGGGCATGCGTTTTGTTCAGAACAGTTTGTCAGGCCGAAGGTACGTTAAACATCGTCCTGCTGTTTGGTAATCTCATGTCGTGATGAACACAGGCTATGGAGGAAATACACAATCTTCGCACTCAGATCAGTAATATTGTACAAGCAAACTTTCCAGATCTCGAAACAGGATTCGTCGCCGATCTGAGGCCTCCAAGTACTCTTCAGGTACTCTGCTTTTCCTCGTTTCTGTCATGGCCTGACCTTTCATCCGCACTAGCTCAAAGTTCTGAGACAGTTGATAACTGCAGGATTTATTGATCAGATAGCAGTCCGGAAGGACGTCGTTGAAGCAGTGGCGGCGTCGGGGGCGAAGTATACGACATCCAAAGGTGTAGCATACCGAGCGCTCGGCATCTCAGAGGACGTATTCATTCATCCGAGCTCTGTATTGGCCAGTGCTCCACCTCCAGACTACATTGTATTTTTGGAGGTAGTCCGGACATCTCGTATATGGCTGAAGGGTACCACTTCTGTTGATATGCCTATGAGTTTGTTACTCACCATCTGTAATTAGGACTAACCGTCGTCAATGCCGCTTGGCTGTCAAGCCTTGGGCGATCACTATGCACGTACTCCAAGCCTGTCAAGGCTAAAGATGGACAGTCCATGGTCATTCCACATTTTGGACCCGGAGGCTGGGAATTACCTGCCATTGAGCAATGCTAGGAATACAGATTAATGACAAAGTCTATGTGCGATATCGTATGCGAGGAGATGCTATGAGGTGTGCTAGTATAAGTTAATAAATGCCTGATGATCCTACAAATCATATGATGAGGAAAGGAAATCATCTAGTCAATGCCGTCTTTTGCTACCGTTCGGGCCGGATTCACCACCCTCAGGAACAGGACGCTGGTTCTTCTCAGTCGAATTCAGGGAGTGTTTGAGTAAGGTAGCTTACCTTCTTGGGAATGAACAGACTAGGCTGTGGTTTGGGTCGCTTGGCAGGAGGTAGTTTAGGTCTTGGCGCAGGACGATCCTGTGGCGGTTGGGTGGGCAAGGACGCAGCAGCTGGTTTGTCTAATTCCATCTCCTGGTCTGCAGCTGGCCTTTTCTGTCCTTTCTTTAAGGTCGGTGATGTCGTCCCTTCAGTCTCTCCCAGAGGCTCTTTGGGGGACCTAGCCGCTTCGCGGTTGATGAGAGACTTCAGTTCACGAGGTGTGTGAAGACCAGGTGGAATTGACATCTCGATCTTGCTTTGAGGTTTCACAGCTTTTGGAGACGAGGGCGGAGTTTGCGTCGTAGCGGGCGAAGTGAAATAAGCAACATCAACCTACAGGAATAATGTGAGTGCTCGGCAAAGCATTTAGGCAAAATCTACTACCTCTACCAAACATGACCTGGCTCTGGCATCTTCGACAATGTTTCGCCACATATCGTCGCTCCTTTCCAACGTTGGCGCATGCCCAAGTACAAAGAGCGATGACTTAGCACGAGTCAATGCCACGTTCATTCGCCTGATATCTAAGAATGGAGGTAGAGCCACTAGTTGATCGACCAGCATTCAAGCAGCACATACCTCTGAGAAATCCTACACTCTGTACACTGGGACCAGCACGAACGCACGACAAGATAATGACGTCCTTCTCCTGACCCTGGAACCCATCTACGGTGTTGAAATCCACTGTACCAGATATGTCGGCGCCAAATCGTTGCTCAAACGCACGACGAAGTTCTATGATTTGGCCCCGATACATGGAGATAACGCCAACTTTGAAGTCGAAGTCGAAGGACGAACAATCATGCCGCAATCGATTGTATAGTGCAACCGCAACTTGGCACTCAGCACGATTGATCAAGGAATGACCAGCACCTTGCCCGTCCTCCTGTCGACCCTGAGAAACGTTGAAAAACCTGTAGGTCCCTAGCTTTGTATGGGAATGCCACGGTCTCTTTGTTTTCGTGCCCATATCAGGGCCATCCTGCAAGCGGCGGTCGTAGAACAAGCGGCTAGGTAATTGGCTGATATCAGGATGCATCCGATATTGTATACTGCAATATTGTGTTTCAGAGTGCTTCCAGTTACCAAGACTGGGGAACTTCATACCTGAGTAGATTGACAGCCTCTGGATGTCGTTGCTGCAATCTAACAAAGAGAGATTGGTTGTATCCAAACTTACATGCCTGCAATAATCCGTCGAGGACTGATTAGCTGAAGCCTGAATACACAGTATATAGAAACCACCTCCTGGGACTTGACAGTAGGAGGCAATTGCTGGGGATCTGACATGGACATCAGCATTGCAACAGTTGAGAAATGTGTTCCGAATATACCTCCTACCATGATGCAGCGACTGCAGCGATACTTCAAAGGGATTAAAGAGCTCAATTCTATAGCTTGTGCCGCCTCGTCAATGATAACCAACTCGAAATCTAATTCTTCCAAGTATTCATATGCAGCTCCGGAGAGCGTACTGCATATGACATCAGCCTCCAGGAGTACCTCTGTTCGGAACCTGCGACGAGTGGCATCAAGGGTTCTTGAATCCGACTTCTGCTTGTCTTTCAATTTGTCCAGTTGATGAATCAATGCCATCTTCTGTTTGTTAAGTTTTTTCACCTCTTCCTCTAGTGCAAACGTCTTGGCGGTATTGTCATGGATTGCAGTCATATCTTCGAGCTTCTGCTGCCGTAGATGCTTGACGGACTCAAGCTCAGCCCGTAAGTGCACCATCTCGCCACCTGCATCCTTCATGAAATTCTGTCCATCCTGGCTAGCATTAAGCTTCTGATCCATCAGATACTCCAAGGATATGTCCTTGATGCTGATCATACTGCTGATTGTGCCGACCCTGACGACTTTGGGACATACGGCCCGTTGGCCAGCACCACAAACGCCCTCTTTGAGACGGTTCGCTATCTCGTTTATGGCAGCATTACTAGGAGCACATAAGAGGATTTTCTTGACCGGTTCCTTGTCAGCCGAACTTGCATTTCTTCCCGCATGGATAGCAGTAGCGGGTTTAGGCCGCCGCGACAAGAATGCATGGACCAGACCGCAAATCGTAGACGTTTTTCCCGTTCCAGGGGGGCTGCGCAGGCTCTCAGTCACACACATATAAGCAAAGGGTGCCATGTTCTACATACCCCTGAATCAATGCAAACCCCTTGACCTGCAAGGAGTTGAGGATAGCTCTGGCTTGAGGTTCGTTCACCTTGTACTCAGTCATCGTCCGCTGGACTTCCTTCGCATCAATAACTCGCGGCATTGAGACCTCGGCATGAAGTATAGCACCGCATAAGTCGTAGCATGGCAAAGCCAGAAGCGCAGCATATTCACGATGAAGTGTCGCCAAGCTGTAAAAGTATCAATTTACATGTATATGTGGGGTATAAGATGTACCTCAAAGCTTTGCTGAGAAGCCAAATGGTATTGATCTGAAGCCCAGGATCCTTATTGCGTGTGCAACATCGAACTGTGGCTTGAATTCCAAGAGATGTTGCTCTGTAACTCTGCACCTTTCCAAGAATACATCTCCTGGTTCCTGGATGGCGGAGCAAAACTATATCTGCATCCGAAGGTTTGAAATCCTTCCCTACATTTTCGTTTATCGTAATATCCATGTCCAGCCAGTCGTCGATGAATTGGCGACTCGCTATGCGACATTCATATTTGTCACACGGCTCTGTCTTCGATTCAACAAGTTGCGTCCAACATTCCAATAGTAACATAGGCTCAAAGATACGGCGGAAGTGCTGAGGATCTGTAAATCGTGGTGGAACCGGTGCGAGCTTCAGCTTTTCACCGGGTGGATCCGGGCCGTCATTGTCATAGTCCCAGGACAGCAGGGTCCGGTGAAGGCTAGATATGTCAGGCTTGAGACGCAACTGCGTGCGACGAGCATCCTCGCGTTTGTTAATACGTTCCAAAGCATGGTTCTGCCGATGCGTAGGCATATCCAAGAGCATCACCTGTCGTCGTTCGGCGGGTTTCTTGATGGTGGGAGTCTTCTGCAACTTGGAAAGCGAAGCAAGGCCTGCGCCTCCATCATCACTCTCGTCATTTTCACTGCTGGAAGGTGACACCGAGGCTGCAGCCCGAGTTGGCATAATGTCGCGTTTGGATGTTGCATGAGGATGACCACTGGTAGCGGGAGAGATGCCATCAGGTCTTTTGGATCTTGACAACCTCGGCAACGAGATATCTGAATCGAGTTTCTTCTGGTCTTCTGCAGTATAATAACTAGACACTGAAGGCTTCGCGGATGGTCTGCGGATAACAGGAGGCCTCGGCTTCGATGATTCAATAACAGGTTTCCGCACGATGCTTTGACCAGAGGCTGCTCTCCCCTTTACTTCCGCGGCTCCGTGCTTCGATGGTATAGGTGGCACCTTCGACTCCGGAAGTTTGTGAGAAATGATTTGTACCTCGTCTTCCTCATCAAAGGAGCTAATCGCATCCTGTAGTCTCGCTAACCGGGAAGTATCCAACTTCGTCTGTGGTCGTTTCGGGTCTTTCTTCCGCGCATCATCGATATGCTTTTGCAATTTCTGAAGAGTACTAGGCAATGGGCGTACGCCAGTCTCCTCGAAACATGCCAGCAGCGATTCCAACAGAGCGAAGGACTGATGCAAAAGCTCCTCGTCTGTGAGACGCAGCCACCGCGCCAACTCCGATAAGACCTGTTGCAAATTATCCACCATGCACTTGCCAACCCGAGACAGCTTTCTGTCACCGGACTGAAAGGCTTGGCGTGTCTGGATCAAGGTGCCAGTCTCGATTATCCTTCGTTGAGCCAGCATATCTCTCCCGAAAATGAGAGCATCACGCATCCACAAGATCATGTCCACATTGTCGAAGTAGATAGCCCATTTCGGTGTCTTCGAGAATATTACGGACAACGCCTGCGTCATGAGATTCCACCATTCCGGTAGCTGAGCGGGAAGCGTTGAACCGACGCCAGATTTCAAGAAATCCTCCTTGAGAAGCAGCCCGTCCGGACTGGAGCACAGCAGGTCTATGATATCTGTCAGGCAGCGTGCGAGGGCCTTGGAAAGGCTGCACGCCTCTGGGGAAACGTTAGCGAATCGAACATAGGTCCGCAGAAACTCCATCAAGCCACCCATCGCCGCGTTTGGATATCGTTCCAATAATGCGCGGAAACAATCCAGGCGGACTTCCACATCGAAGGCCAAGCCTGCAAGAGACTGCGCTGGCTCTCGGATGGCTTCGACAGGTGAAAACATGAGGATCATGACCTTCTTCACTACTTCGGTCCTGCGAAAAAGATCGGCGATAATTGACGGCATACTGAGATCCAAGTATCTGCTGATCGCCTCTCCGAAACCGGTGCAGATCACACTTAGAGCATGATTCACACTAGTAAATGCTCCTCGGAATGCCTCCGCACGGCCCGAATTTGCGATCCTATCGGCTAATGCTGATTCCTTGAGTTCATCTATGTGGGCTATCTCGGCGAGGATGGAGACCATCATAGCGATCCCGCCCGAGTCGCCAGGTTGGATATTTTCGTACATCCCTCTCCATACCTGCTCGCGCACCGTGGGTGGAGAAAGAGTAACAGGCTGCTCGGAGAGCCCGCACAGATAAGAGACAGCGATAAGGACGTTCTTGACATCCTTCTCCAGTATTAATTTGATGGCCTTGCGCGTCTGTGTTCGCGCCTCTGCCCAACTGTCGTCCCCGTAAGCGCGGGCGAAGGCTACGGAGACGAAGACGCTGGCGTGGATATCCATGATTGCCCTCACCACGTCTTCATGACAACACGATCCTTCCTTCTCCGATTGAGAGGAAACCTCGAACATAATCTGTAGTAGTATCGCGTCAGCGCACTGTGTAGGTCATAAATCTACACGGAGCCCTCACCCGCGCAGCGATAGTCATTGCCACCGGGCGCACCTGCTGGAAGCGCTCGTGCTGTAATTCTTCGCACAAGAACTGCATTATCGTCGGGAGTACCTCCTTGATAATTGGCAACTTTCCAATGGTCTTGAGATACGTCTCGATCCAACTAAAAAGCCAATTGTCTCTGCGAGTCGTTTCGAGGCTCTGTAACGCGTCAAGATATCGTGTATTGTCCTTAATGGAAGTGAAGATCATTTGAGGGTACTCCGTAGTCTCTCCTTCCCACATTGCCGGGCCCATTCTTGTGAGGATTAACAGGAAGCATTTGAGAACATTGACAAAGTCTTACGGGAGACATTGAATAGGTGAGATTCTGCGAAGATGACAATTTGCAAGACTACTCACGGCTTCCAGTGTCGTGTATATGGCCAGCCACAACGTGACGAAGATCAAAGAGCATCGACTGGCTAAATCTGAGATACTCGACAGGTACAAAGCGTAGTATCGTAGGAAACCCTGACCAGAGGATATCGGGATCTTGAGCAAGCTGCAGGGAGAGGTTTTTCCCGTCAACAGCTGAGAAGGGAGGTCCTGACATCACTGCTTCAATCACGGTGGCCAGGACCGTTATATATGTGGGGAGGAAGTGCTTCACGGCCATAGGGGATGCCTTATACATAGTTAACTGTTGCTCGGCCCAACGTCGAGCCTCTGGCATCTTGTCTACTCGAAGGAAGATTAAACCCGGAGGTGGAATATCGGCGGGCCAGCTAGATATAGGAGTGCTTGGAACATGCGAGTGTATGACTGAGAGTATGCGGGTATCCTGAAATATGCGCAAATTGGAGAACATGTGGTATACGATGGCAGCGGGAGCATCAGACAAAGTACGCCGAGGAGGTTGTACAGGATCAGGCAAAATCTTGACTTCTGCAAGCCCCGAAAGCACGATCTTCAGCTCCCATTGGTTGAAATCATCGTAGAAGCCTCGTAAGGTCTCTTCACTGAAGGCACCAAAATACCTGGGACACAATGGTTCAGTGCTGGTTGCAATGTATCATGATAGTGCGTACTCACGTATGCCTTGAGCTCACTTTCTTTTCCTGCAGCCCTCGAACGCAATCGCAACACTGGGCGAGGCATGCTCGCAACTGCTGCCGCCAGACCTCCACTCGAGCACTATGGTATGCGTGCAACCGGATGAGAAACGTAGCGACCTGAACAGTAAGATCATCTGCACGAGAGCAGAACCAATGCTCAAAGACATTGCGCGGCTCAGGAGGTCTTTGAGGCGGTCCGATCAAGTAGTTGCAGACGAGGGCCAGCACCGCCTCGGACGGGAGATTAGTGGGGTTATCACGGAGCTTCGTGACTTCAGCTTTGACCTTTTCATTATCCGGAGACGAGGAGGCCATGCAGCGTATCGAGTTCGTCTAGCTCGTTGAGAACAAAGCAAGACAAAAGGCGATTCTGTTTGCGTATGAATCAACGAAAGCCTGCACGCGAGACGTAGATGGAGCTGACAAGTGTTGGCGGGCGCTGCATGCAACGATAGAAAGGGGAGAGAAAAGGTTAGCCGATGGTGTAGCCACACTTTGTAAATGGAGTCGGTATGTAAATTGGGTCGAGTTCTTTGAGTGGCAAACGCGTCGCGTCTGATTCAGCGGCAGTCACGTCGCGTTGAGGTTGTGACTGTCACATTCTCAGAACTGCTCCACCAACATGGACCCAGGCAATCTCGAGTACATCAACCAGCTGCTGGACAAGGACGTCGAGCTCAGAGAAGTAATTCCAAGCTAGCCTTCTGATGACCATCCGATACAATCTGGTATCTGATTTTCCAGAAAATTAAGGACCAGGTAACCGAATTTGACAAGAAAACACGCACCTTGTGCGGGATGTTGAACAAAATACATGCTACACCGTCTGACCAGAGTGAAGATTTACTCAATTGTATATTCTCATTTTTTTGGCACTCAATAAGCCCACTGCAGTGCCAGTTTTGTTGGATTCCGTCCGCCCAGTCCTCGAGAGCTGCCGCGAAACCACTGCTGCTCTCGCTGACTTGGTTCCCCCCAATCAATTCTGGCGATGGAAAGACATGTGGTCGATCTCCTTGCGCAACGCAGTGTTTGGCGCGACACTTGTAGAGTTCCTCCGCAGCGGTAGTTTACTGACCTTACCACGAGTTAGTGACGTGCTTGGAAGTGTGTCCTCCGCACACTCACTTGGTCATATGCACTCATGTTCTTGCTGATAGTCAAGGTCGAGTGGAAAGATAAATTCGCCCTCACAGCCGAAGACTATCTTCATGGCCTCATTACTTTGGTGAACGAACTGGTGAGCAGACATGCACAACGCCCATCGTCCTTCCAATATCCCGGTCAATTTGTCCTGTACCATTTCAGTCTCGTCTTGCTGTTAACGCAGTGACACTCGGCGACTATGAACAACCCATACGAATATCGATATTCGTTAAGGACCTATTCGCTGGATTTTCCATGGTCTGCTGATGCTTATCTCCAATATCACGCATCGATCTAATGTCTGCGCTCTAGCTCAATTTGAAAAACGATACTCTTCGACGCAGGTATGACAGTCTGAAATACGACATCAAAAAAATTGAAGAGGGTGAGATTGTTTCTGACTCGTCGTGGCGGATGTTGCTCACTCATTGTGCAGTTGTATATGACGTTTCTCTCAGGAAACTTGCACCCAGCCACCCCCATGACAAAGCACATGCACCTACTTAAGCTTAAGTTCAGTCTCGTTGTCGTATCCCACACCTATCTTCGGTGGCCAGCGTCTGCTATAGAGTTTTAAGTAATCTACGTAGCATAGCAACCGACTCAGAAGTTCAGACTCGAAACATGTACATAAGTAAACCTATTCAGTGCTCTGTACTCGATGTAGTTCTTGTTAGTATTCTCTTGACGAGGCAGGCTCGAACTTCGTTCGAAACGACTTCACGAGATCCACGTGGGGAAAGATCGAGATCAGTTCCAAATTCGCGGAGTTTGTACCAGAATACAACTGGAAGGCACTCGGACACAACTTGTCTCCGAACTTGTCATCCAACAAATCACATCCACCAAGTAAGGCACTTCTAAGTTACACCACTCCATGGCGAACAGACGAGGCGTTTCTAAGCGACCTGCAGCTTCTACAGAAGGTTGGCAATACCCGCTTGACTGACTCCGATTGGATTATTGAACGTGTTTCGGGCGATGCAGAGGTCGAGTGTTGGTCGCACGCAGCAACGTCGCTTTCTAGGCTGACAACAATGTACACAAATCCCGAAAAATCCGATACAATAGGCCGAGTAAATAGATTGCTTGCCGGGTGGCCGCCAGGGGATACCCTACCCGCGGAAGGCTACGACAGCGTGAAGAGTAACTTCAAAAAACTAATACCGGGTCTTCATGACATCAAAACCACGGCAGAAAAAGAGATAGTGTATGCAGTACTATTATGGGGACCACGCCGTCGATCTCAGGTGTTTTTGTCTGCAGGGCCATCGACGATGTGATTGAGCGCCTCGGGATTCTGGTTGCTTTGCGGAAAGCATCAGAGGCTATTCCTCCAGGTTCAAACTTATTCTGTGGATGCGTGATGGCATACTGACCTTTATCCCGTAGAGAAGCGAGTCAAGCGGCCTCGCGCACATTCACCATCTTCTGCACCGACTCCCGTCCTACCGGCCACAACTATTACAAGCCGTGCGGTATCGATAACTGTTCCGCCACGAAATTCTGTTGGTCCACAACCACAAATACCCTTTTCTCGCGAGCCAAGGGCACGAAGGGATGCACTTGCAAACCAATTGCCATTACAGGAGGGCAGGAAGGTGGCCTTCCATCCGCCTCAAAATACCAGCAAGACATCAGAAAGTGCTACTGGAGGTAAAGACGAAGAGTGGATCTTAGCAGTCGTTACAAAATGTATAAACCAAGACAGGAATCGGTGAATACTTTTTTTGTTCTCGATTTCTCTGGAACTAATCCACACTGCCCCGTAGATATGTGGTACAGGACCCGGAACCACAAGAAGACGGTCAACCTGGACAGTAAGTCGTGATTTCCAAACACAGCAGTGGAAATGCCGCATATTAATCCCGCCGACAGGTGTTACAACACAACACTGCGCGCCATAATTCCGCTACCCGACCCAAATGCGCCTCCAGACAGTGCTGCACATCTGAACGCATATCCGTCATTCACCGCCGGATCAACCGTCATGGCACTCTATCCAGATACCAGCTGTTTCTATCGCGCAGAGGTGGTTGCCAGCCCGAAAGATATGCAAGCAGTGGGTCGGGTAGGTCTTTCGATACTTTGCTGCGTCAGTAGGCAACTTGCAAACCAAGCACACCGATTTCAGACAGGGTCCTCCACAAAACATATGCCAATACCAATGTACAAGCTTCGGTTTGAGGATGACGACGATCAAGAGCACTACGTATCAGCCCAATCGGTAGTTGAATTCCCTCGCTTGACTTGATGCATTGATATTGTAATATACTTGAGTTATTCACTGCAAAATTCTAACCAACGGAATATAGTCCCATATGCATGCAGCAGAGTTCTACTTCCGATGGATAAACCTCATCGCAGAGTATTTCTTCGGATACGGGGAATCGAACCCCGAGCTACCGCGGACGGCTCATTGAGAGGCGGTAATGTTAGCCTTTACACCATATCCGATAGTGAATGCATGTGGTGTATCAAATATTTGCTATGATAGATTGCATCGGATGTTTCTGGGTCATTCGGCAACGGATGACGCGGGCGGGGTGCACTAGTGACGAAGTGATCTTTGCGTCGAGCACTCTCTAGAGCGCTCTTGCTTCTTCTGGATGGAGACCCTTTCTTGCTATAAACCCGTGCCCGACCACGATTAGGGACTGCAATTATCCTCTCTCAATCGTCTCGTCGGGGACCATGTCTATCGCTCGTCTCTTCTTCCGCGAAATGCGCCCTTTCTTCCACATGTTGGAGGAGCCTCTCGGTCGCTCTCCGGCATACATGCGCATGCCCCGATCCCTGTTTGAAGATCCATTCCTGCAATCAACCGCCGTTGTACCCGCTGTGGACGTTACGGAGGAGGGAGACAACTACGTGCTTGAGGCGGAGCTGCCAGGGGTGAAGAAGGAAAACGTCGAGGTCCGTATCGGCGAAGGTGGACGGAGTGTCATCATCGAGGGCAAGATCATCCGTCGCTCTGAGTCTACCACCCCGGAGACTGCGTCGGGGGCGGGGCCCCATTCGGGCACAGAGGGCATCGACTTGGAAACGACTGATGGTACGTGGCTTGTTACCCATGATTCATCGGAATGCTCATACTCTATACTCGCAGAGAAAGGAGTTGCACCACGGCCAGACCAGAATAAGCTTTCTGTTGAACGTTCTTTCACAGGGAGCACGTCATTCGCTCGCACAGTCTTTCTGCCACGCCAGATCGACCCTACCAAAGTTTCCGCGAAGTTAGTTGACGGTGTCCTTACCGTGACCGTACCGCGGGCGACGGAGGACGTCAGCAGTGTGCAGATCCCTATTCAGTGAAGCGTTGCATCGGCGTTCACATAGCATATTGTAATTCTCACATTCCACGGACATTCACCAATTGTATTTTACTACCTCGATGTCTTTGTACGAACCTACGTGCGTAGTTTAGCGTACGTCGAGGCCGCATCAGTAATTGAACATATCATTATGGTTGTCCTACTCTGTGTAAGGTTCTCTTCCCACGTCTTCGGTGGTTGTTGCTGTACCACGCGGTCGACGTTCTTGCCAGCTTGTCGATTTACCGCTGTGTGTCACTGCCGCCACACAACAAAACATTGTCTCCAGATCATCCGTGACAAAGGGACTTCTCTTGGATCTCTGCACTAAATGGCTGTAGGAATTGCCAGCATCCCCGGACAAGGACCACCCAGCTCTGACGATGCCGACATGGATGTCTACTCAGAGGATGAGGAAGTGGATCAACTGGACTCTGACCTTGACGAGGAGGAGGATATTCCCCTCGCGAATGGGAGCGTATCCTCGAACCGGTCGTGTACCATAGGCAGGAAGAGCGGGGAGCGGGTACCTGGGCACAGTCTCATACCTACGGAGCGTGTGGAGAGCATTATGCATGCGGACGGTATGTCCTGGCATTCATCTTGGGGTGCATGCTCACGGGTGGTTTTCGCGGTTAGGAAGTGGTGGGCATATGTCAAAAGAGGCCATGTTCATGCTTTCTGTCGCCACTGTGAGCCTGCTTTACTGTGCTGGAGTAGTCTATTCTTACACCTCCTCAGGAAGAGTTCATAAAGCGGCTTGCGGGGGCAGGGTATCACGAAGCTAGTTCTGAGAGGCGCTCCGTGGTGAACTACCACGACGTTGGTGAGTCCTACTACTCACTCTTGCAACGCATTCACGGACGAATGATTCCAAGCATTTGCAACGTCACAACGCCCTGAATTTATGTTCCTACAAGGTAACGCCCCGTTCACCCACCCATTTCGTCCTTATTCTCCAACGCTGGTCTACAGATACGATACCGACGCCAATCCCCCTCTCCGAGGCGATGCAACTTAGAGCCGCAAAGGAGAAGGAAATCCTCGAAGACAACCCCGCAATCTCAGTCACCCCTGTCCCTCTCCCGACCACCTTCATCCCCTCTGGACCTACCATTTCGCACCCAGGCGGCTCAAAGCCCAGGGCTCCCAGGATCCGCCAAACGAACGGCAAGGAGAAAACAAACGGGACCGCCACTGCGAGCGGGACGAAGCGGCAGCGCGACAGCAAGGGCCGGTGGAGCTTACCTGGGCAGGGCGGCGAGGATGGAGAGAGCGAGGCAGGAAGCGTAGGCGCGGGTGCGAGTGCGAGCGCGAGTGGGCGGCCAAGCAGAGTGCGGACGCGCCCGTTGAGAATCTCACAGGACGAGTCGCCGCAGGCGTATTCCGCTCCCCCTAATGGGAGAGCAGTACCTCAAAACGGGACCTCGCCTAACCGCAACCATGCACACGGCTTGACCGCGGAATATGCGGGGTGGGCAGGCATGCCCATGACCCCACCCCCGGCGCCTCAACCCGCACACGCGTCTGACATGGCGGACCCACGTCTAGCGCACCCCGACGGGCGATGGTCGCCTGGGCAGTACACTGGTCCTGCGAGCGGGTACCTCGAAGATCGGCGGGTACTGTTCGGAAGGGGTGGGATGGCGGGCAACCCTGGCAGAACGATCTACTCTGCTCAGCGTCCTCCTGCCCGATAATCTGCATACACTCCGCCTGGAATATGTTCATTCACTTGTACTCTTTAGAGTGATCCCCACCCTAACACCCTGTGTTCATAGCATGCGTGTAAGTCTTGGTCTCGCACCCCTTGGACTGGTGTCTTAACAATGGTTTCTGCAGATTCTGTACCGTTAAGGATTTACATCTACACGTCGTCGTAATCTCACGCAAAAAAATTGGCAGCTTGCGATTTCTGTCTAGCTGTTGTAGGGCTGAAAGCACCTGCACGTCAAATTACCCCGCTGTATGGTAAGTATTCACGATCGTAGTGCTTCAAAGCTTCACCTATGGGCCGCCTCCGAACCTTACTGAAGGTATGGGGTGCAATCCGAAGCCCCAAGTATCTCCGCATCTTGCTTATGATGCAATTGACCCTAAATGCATCCCGAGATACCTTCTCTTGCCAATCCCCGGAAACCGTCCGCTCGCTAGAAGAAATACGAGTGACGAGGTCAATGGGATCGAGCGGGTCCTCTATATCAACCTCGTCTTCACTATCTGCGTAAGTTCGTATATTTCATATCCTCCGGGACATGCCCGAGGTCTCTGCAACGATCCTCTTCTGCTGATCCAACTTCGGGTTCCCTCATGCCCTCCAGCAACACATTCTGACGGGAACATCTTCAGAACAAGCAAATGACAATAGTGATAGAAGATGCTCCGCACCTCCGCAGGCCGCTCCATCAACGTCACCTCGACCAAGAACTTCTTCCCCCCCGCATTCCGGACGATCACATCGTCAAGCAGGGTGAGCAGCTTGTACCTGTGCGCCGAGTCGCGGCCCGCGCGGATGTTGCCCACGACCTGGACCATGTCCGGCGCGGCGGCGCCGTTGCTGAACAGATCGCCGTGCGCGCGGCCGACGAAGGCAACCTTCACGAAGAAGCGCGGCGCGTCCGTCGCGGCGACGTGTGCATCTGCGATGCCGTTGGCGATACTTTGCTTCTGTGCGGAGGTGAAGGCAGATTCGTCGTGGTAAATGTAATAGACCGGCATTGTTGGGTATTGGGTATGTGGGGAGCGTGCTCAATGTAGCGAGGGGATAACGATGCTGAATTCGGGTATTTATGTGTTGTCGCTACGAAGACTGGTGACTTGGATCGGGGATCGCCAGGCTCGGACTATGTAAGATCCTGAGTAATTGCAACGGTGAAGGTGTCGCATGCCCGAAGGGGAGTTTAGCTGTGCATAGTCAATATCATACCAACGACCTGAGGTTCTCATTCCGCTCTAGGTTCAAATACTGTTCTGTCTGATTCACTGGTAGGTGCAAACGTGGGAATCCGCAGACTCACCAGCCGTTCCGTGCGATATAACTTGACATCGAAGTCAGTTTCGACTTCAAACTGAAGTGAGTCTAGAGGGACCCAACCACGATACAGTCAATCGGCTACGCTCTCCAAGTCTTCCTCAATGAATGGGGAACTTGCTCGTATTATTAGGAATATATCAATCCGTTCTTCCAGCTGGTCTAAGTCAAGACACACGGATAAAAGCTTGAAGCGAGAGCCAAATCGCGAGAAAGTAACCGGAGTGAAGCCGAGCTTGGCTCACTTCAACAGGTGGCAAGTGAGGTTGGGCAATGAGAACGAGAGGCAGCCACACTCGACGAACGACGTGAACCGAATCCGGTTGATTTCGAGCGGTGTGATACTCGTGAACTCCGAAAGTAAGCTCATTCGGAACGGTGGTGCGCAGGACAAGCTGAAGTAGTGGCCTATTTGAATACGCTCTGTTCTTGCAAGCTTCCTCGCGCACCTGGAGGGGAAGCGGCTAGTACCTGCCAGCCTGCCGTCCGAGAAGGGCCGTCCTCTGACCAGTGTATCGACCTGGAGTGCGGGAATTTCAAAGAGTTGCCCAAAGGATTCCAGCTACTTCAGAGTGCGGAGCTCAACCGTGTAGAACAGGTCGTAGCGCGTTCTGGGCAGCTGTGGGCGGTATGTGAGCTTACAGGCGAATAGCGTTGCCTGGTCGTGCGATCGATGATGCGATCAGAGAATTCACTTGGCATGACCGGTATACTGTGTTCCAGAGGGTCGAGTCTGACACGTCATGGAGACGACAGCATATACTGTATGTTGATTTCAGTCTACTGAATGCAAGGAAAGGTGGCTACGCACGGAGACGCCCCTAATGAGAGGGCCTGAGTCACAGATGGTGTCGAAGCTTCGCTGATCCTGAGCAGAGTTTCCAGCTTAGCACCCTGGCCGCCTCCCTATGCTGTGCGAGACCCTGTTGTCGAGAACAGGTAGATGAACTCACGGACAACTTACATATTTCTCCCCCTCCCAAAAACCTATGAAGATAGAGCTGAGGGGCTCTAAATTTAATATCATGGTTGGAGTCCAAGTCAACGAGGGACTTTTCACATATTTCCTCGAGAAGCAACGGGTAGATATTCCAAAAGTTGACAGAATTCTTAAAAACCGTGAAATCTCAGCCTTTCTTGAGCGAGTATCCACAATTCGTCGTATGAGCGGCGACCTTGGGATCAGCGGAGTCGGCTGCTCCGAAGACAACAGTCTACAAATACATTCAATCCAAGCGCTGCACTTCGGTACGTCAGCATTGCATGATTATGATAATTCCGGCTGTGCGGCCTGTGGAGTCATCCGCCTGGCGTGCTGATAGAGTCAATAAACCACCTTGTCAATCATCCGGGCCAAAAGATCGGAAAGCTTACCATCGTTGAACACCCGTTATCAGAAGCATGTCTCACTTTGAGATCTTGCTTATGAGTGCGCGCGCAGTGAACCAGCAGCCCCGGAACTACCAGATACCGGGAATGAGCCGGGTATGCACCTTGTTCTTGTACACGATATACTCGACTCCAGCCGTTGGGTCCACTTCGTGCATGTGCTCCTGGGAACGTATCGATAGAGTTAATGTTTCCTAGTATAAGCATGGGAGCGAGGACCTCCCGGGGGATCTTCAGCATGAACACGCCCGCCGTGACAGGCAGGGCAGCAAGCGGGATGTAGGTCCAGCACAGTACCGCGAAGACGAGCTGTTGGACGAGCATCCCGCTGTGGAATGCACAACAGTGAGATCGCGTCCCCATAAACGAGTACTCGTATGACGGACCAGTATATCGGATGGCGCATGCGATCATACGGACCCGTCTCAGCAGTACCGGATACCGACCCACGCCCTACATACATCTGCAAAATCTGCGGCTGCAGCTGTTTAAAGGCGGAAAACAGGAACGACCAGCACCACGCAGTTGCGAGCTGGGCAAAGACCTTGAGCACAGCGACGCTCGCTGCACCGAGTAGATAATCGGGCGGCGCACAGACGCGCCACCACGCCCACGAGGGAGGCCTTGCATCATTCATCAAGGAGCCGACGAGGTAGAGGACAGGTGGGAGATAGAAGGATAGCATGAGAAGGCAGCGCTCGAGGGGTCGGAGAGAGAAGGGCTTTGAGGGCCATGTGGAGTCTGCAAGCTGTTCAAGACGGACTTGGAGGACGAGGACGAAGGATATAGTGAGTTGGATCAGCAGCCAGCTGAAGAATCTGGCAAACGCTGCGCCTTCAAGCATAGTGCACAAATGTGAAAACAAGGCGAGGAGTTAGACTGGTGCACACTAGAACATCTAGTGGTAGAATTTCGAGTTCATCATCGCGCTCATCGAGGCTCTATGCTGCGGGTGAATGGTGGAAAGTCCGAGTCCGAGTGAGTATCAGCGGGCGGCAGTAAAGAAGGGTGCTCAGGGTCCGCACTTTCAGCCACCGACGCGTACACAAGCGTGACTTGACCGTGACAGTCAAGCGACACTTACTCTACTTTCATTGTAAGGACAAGATGAGCACAGTGCCAGTCACTCCCGGTGAGGAGAACCATGAGGGGAGCATTCTGCCTCCTTTTATCCGAGTTGTAGACCCTTCAATACGCGCCGCGCATGAGCGGAGCATGCCTACGCGCGAGGAGCGCAAGGAGAACCTCAACAATATTCTAGTTCCCTGCGACGCGGATTGCGGGAAAGTTTTACCGCGCAACGAGCTCAAGTTGTGTTCCAGGTGCAAGCAGGTACTTTGACTTTGACGCGTTGAGTGTGAAGTTCTCATATTCGCGTCTGCAGGCCAGATATTGCTCCCAGGTTTGTCAAAAAGTCGACTGGTGGGTCGCGTTGTATATATAGTCGCGTTTCTTCACTGCATTAGTTGTTTTCACAGGCGCGCCAGACACAAGGCCGAATGCGGCGAAGGCCCACCGAAAGACCTCACGCTCAAGCTCGCCGAACGCGCCCTCGCCGTTCCCAAGATCGTCGAATACCTCTGGATGATGTCTATCCTGACGCTCGAGCTCATCACCGACACCTCCAACGCAGCGCGCTTCGTCGTCAACATCCAATGCGACACCAAAGCTGCGGACCTCGCATCTTACGTTGAGCGCATGATGAGCGGCGCACGAGAGAGCGCGGAGAAGGCCCAGGTCGTGCTGCATGTCTCCAAGTCCGTGCGCGTGCCCCTCGCAGGCGCCCCTGCGCGCACGCAGAAAGCGGCTGCGGACGCTCGCGAGAAGTACACGAAGGACCACCGCGACGCCGATGGGCGGTACAGCCGGGACAACCCTGTTGTCACGTTCTTCTTCAGCTCGGAGGAGGACGCGACAGGCAAAGACGGCGCCATCTCCGTCTCGTATGTGATTCCGGCATGGGCCCTAGGTTATATGGCGTCGAACCCGAAGGAGACCCTCCGCTCTGCGGTGTTTGGCGACAGTGAGGTTGATATGAGCATGACGACCCTGCGCGAGTGAGTCGCTGAAGGCCGTATAGACGTCCCACGCTGATCATACTGTGATAGTGGACTGAACAACCTGATGCGGAATGACAAGCAGAACAAGCTCCGTCTACGAGGGGTGCGTATAGTTTTAATTGAGACATCGTATTCGCGTCCTGATGTCTTCGCTCAGTATCCAAGCGGCACCAAGCCGTCTCCGCAAGAGCAGTCAGAGCAGAGAAAGCCTGTCGTGGTCGTTGCGGAGGAGTGACTGTATTTTTTTCTTCCTCTTGTTGTCTTTCTGCTGGTATGTGAATCCCCTGGCCTCCGCGCAAATACTGTCTCATATGACATCGTTGCTTTCCACGAATTTTTGCCAATACAGATTCGCTTGCTCTCGAGTTTTCTCGTTTATTGTATAAACCATGCACGCCACCAGTGTGCCAGGAAGAATGTGTCATGTAATTTCCAGTAATATCGTACTTCTATACCACGCGCACCTGCTCACCTAGTTAACGCTGCACTATACTACTCGCGTTTGCAGTATAGTTCAGTCTCGACTTACAAACGTCCGCGCGAGCAGCCTCATCTAAGTATCACTGTCAAGTGGGAGTATGGCACAGCGTCCAGGGGCAGTTCATCGTTCGTTCGTAGCAATACCATTACTCGCTTGAAGTGTCTCTGCTTCACGGTAGCAGTAACCACAGCTCGAGCAATTTCACAAAGTTGGGCGTGCCCACACCGGTAACGGGGTCCCAGCCCGGCTGCGCATAGAAGCCCTCCGTGCCACACCCGGGGTTGGACCCGGCGACGATGTCGTTGAACGCCTGCATGAAGGGTTCCGTGTAGATCTTCGAGACGCACCAATCAGCCAGAAAATTCGTATATTGGGACGAACGAAGGGACGTACGGCGGGGTTGATGAACCCGATCGACTTCTTCCCGACGGCGAAGCGCGCGTCGTTGATCGCGGTAAGGATCGCGGCGGTGACGGGCGAAGATGCGGAGGTGCCGTACACCATGTAGTACTCGCCCTGTACGACGACCAGGTAGTTCGCACTGTTTCAGCAGCCGCATTAGCATGTCACCAAGTTCCAGGGAGTCGACAATGACTCGAGAGACGCACCCGTTCGCAGAGAGGTCTGGGAACGCACGGGACGTGCAGTTGTACGTGTCTGCGGGGTACCCGGGCGGATACTTGTTCAGGTAGTTCTTCACGGCTTTCTCTTGGTACTTGGGCAGCGGGAAGACGTTGGAGAAACCCCCGCCGGAGTAGATCACGGTCTCACATGCCTCCTCCGGTTGGTATACCTGCGCGCAAAGCTTGAGAACAAGAACTTATAATAAGGGAGGAATGACATGCAGTGTTTCCAGGAACAATCTGCGTTGCGCCGACACTCGTGATGTACGGGCACCCGCCGGGGAAACTGGGGTTGAACCGTGTCGCATACGGGTTGTAGGATAGCTCGCCATCGTCCGTGAGACATAGTCCGGCGTTCCCGACACCATCGTCTCCGGAAGAGTAGAGGACAGTTATTCCCATGAGACCGAGCTGGGGGAAGGGGGGAGCGTAGCTCAGCGCCCAACGAGTAGAGAAGATGACAGGAGATGCGCACCTTTGCATACTCGGCGCACTGGCGTTCCACGTACGCCGGCGTCAACTGCGCCTCGCTGTACCCGTACGACGTCGTGATGACATAGCTCTTGGGGATGGTCCCGCAAGCCTCCGGTCCTGCGAAATAGGATACTCGAGGATCATTCGGCATGGGGAGGTAGCTCCTTTACCTTGGTACCCGCCATATGGATCAGGGTATTCTGCGTCGTAGTCAAGGTTGCCTCCACCCTCAAATGTGCAGTATGAGCCATCGAGGGCATCGAGAAAGTTGTTGAATGAAGCCCCTAGAAAATCACAGTCGTGTGGTAATCAAATAGCTAAGCCACGCTCGGTACATACCCTCAACCATATCTCCGGTCTGGTAGAGATTGACGGACTGTTCAGGACCCAGGAGTCCCATGGCGTACTGCAAGTCAAGATTCGACTCGCCATTGAAGTAGAAGCCCGTATACACTGTTTGCAGGTAGCCTGATAGAATAACACGCTTAGGCGAGTTGTTCTCGACAAGAGCACATGGAACACTCACCACCATCAATACTGTACAAGATCGGTCGTTCGCCAACCTGGCTCACAGAGAACTCGTCAAAGAACTCATCGAGGTCGCTTGGAACATAGACGTTTGGCGTATACTCGACTTCCAGAAAAAAATTACATTAGCACACTATCACCTTCGCAAAGACAGTAGGATTGTTCACCAATCCCGATCGAATTGTTGTCAGCGACGGTGGGCTCGTAAATGAAGTTATAAAGAGCACGAAGGCAGTCCGGTATAATCTGCTCGTCACAATAGTTGACGTTGTTGAATACGCTCTAGACAAAAAGGCATGAGAGTTATTTGAAGTATATAAATTCGGACAGCACTGGGAGAACTGACTTTGGCTGTCCCAGTAGTCTTGGGGTAGATCGAACTGATATTCGCGATGCTGACGTTGGCGTTGACCTGCCGTGCAGAAATCCTCTTCTTGAGCTCCGGGTTCCTCTTCGGCTTGGCGTCAAAATGCAGAGTTGGCGTAATGAAGTCTACGTGCTTTGAGACGTCCTCTGGCAAGTGGTACATTCCCTCACAAGCAATGTGCTCCACGCCTTCACCAGAACCGTACTCGTACACGTAGTACTCGGTGCTCAGAAGGTGTTCTGCCTCTTCAATCGTCACGTTAACTTGGATCCACCCGCTGCCTGCGCTGAGGCGGACCCTAGGCGCGTCCACCCCGCTCTCGACGAGCCATCCGTGGACGGCGTCGACGGACTCGCTGGAAGGGCGAAACATCGAGGCAACCTTGGCAGGGCTCCATTGTTCGCCATAGTTGGGCGAGTCAGGATGCGACACATCGAGAAGGTAGGTCTCGATGTCAGCGAGGTTCTGCTGCACGAGACCGATGCGCAAGGGAAGAACAATACTTGGCTCAGCTCGGCGGACGGGTGTCCAACCGGAAGGGAGATAGCGACGAGACTCGTGAACAACTCGAGGAGCTAAAGCAGAGGTGCCTACTGCGAATAGACACGAAGCCTGTGCGAGAAGGCGGGGGGTGACCAACATCCTGGAGAACGACGCGCACCAAAACAAGATTCATCTTATGAGGGATTATTATGCATCTCAGGATGCTCTTCTGTTGCGTGTGACCCAGAGTTGTGAGGCTGCATTCGTGATCGTGCGCGCGAATGGAGCACACATGTGAGCAGCCAGAAAAGGAAGGTCAAGAAGAAGGTATCAGACAACCTCGGGAGTGGTTGTCTCATGAGCTCTGATGCGCTCGATAAGCTGTCAGAATGGAGTCATCTTTCTCTTACCTGGGCCATTCGAGACTTAGAGAAGGAGCAGAAATGCTGCGATTGCGCGGTGATCGCTGTTTCTACGTACCTATTCCACGTCAATCTTGGCGGATGAAGTCCGAACACATCCTTGGCACGGCGAGTAATCCCCATGCATGGCAATGGATCTCAATCAACTGTTTCGTCGGGCTCTCTTGGACAAGGCCTCAGGCCTCAGGGGGGTGCTCAAGACAAGTGGACTGATGGAAGCTCTTTCTCCACGTAAGAGATACTCATTATATTGTTCTGGACCAACATGTGATAGATCTATGACAACGACGCACCAACAAATGTCGGCGCAAGGCATGTTCCATCTTTTGTCCGGATTTTGTGCACACTCTTGGTGGCGGGGTCCACCCAAGCTGCCTCCCTTGTCTCGAGTGTGATAAACCCTGAGGTTAGAGATCCTCGTGTCAGCTACACACATCCGATAGTTGGGCGCCTGTGATAGGATGACGTACCGGGCTGGATGGTCTCAAAGATCTTCTTCTTCGGGTTCAATTGAGACAGCGGTGTCGCACCTGGATAGCAGGGACATCATTCAAATCCGTCCGAAAAGGTAACGCGCTACCGGTTGACTCACTCTCAAGCTCTGAACCCTCGAAATACACCCGTTCACCAGGTTTCGAGTTCGGTGGTGGCTCGATGAGCTCGACGCCTCCGTCCTTGCCATCTTTCGACGTTGCCTGCGTGTTCAGACGTAGACATCAGTGACTGTCGTAAATAAGTGAACGATGCTGCTCACCGCGAGGACCATGGCAAAACTTTTGATGCCACGCATACTCGCTGGCTTCAGGTTACACTGAAGTAACATTGCGTCACCTTTAACCTAGTGGATGAGTGCGAACTGGATCTACTCACGACACCAACAAGATATTTGTCTTGCATCTGCTCGATTGGAATGTATTTGACCAGTCCTGATACTACCGTTCGAGGACCAGTCTCCTCGCCAAAGTCGATTTGCTAGCAATCTGGTTGACATACGGTCCACGACCAAATGCCGACTCAAGGGAACATACCTCGACATACAGGCCATCTGCGTCAGGGTGTTTCTCGACTGCAGGATCGGTAAGTAATCGGCCTCCACGTGTCGAGAAAAAAAAGTGTCATACCGTGAACGATATGACCTACTCGGAGATCAATCATAGAGGGCACAGGCTCTCCCGATCCCTCCTCAGCAGCAGCCTTACTACCACCCGCACCCTTACTCTTACCTGCATCAGCGGCATCCGACGTCTTCTTCTCTTTCTTCTCCTTTTTTGAGGCCTTGCCAGAGTTCTCGCTAGCAGTAGGTTCTGCAACATTCACCTTCGCGACGGCGGGGGTCTCCTTCGCCTTCTCAGGCTTTCCTGCCTTCGCCTCTGTCACGGCGGGTTGCGCTTTCTTCTTCTCCTTGGGTGGGTCAGGCTTTCGCTCGGCCTTGGGAGCATTGTCGAGATCAAAGGTCACAACGGAGAACGCTGGAGCGAGTGCTTCTGCAGCCTTGCGAACGGACGGGAGGGATTGGACATGGTCAAAGTAGCGCGTCACCGCAGGGTGGGAGTAGTACTGAGCCGGTTGGAGCTGGGACTGTTCGCGCCTCACAATCAGCACCACTTCATGAAATTCAGAACCACAAAACGTACAAAGACTGGGTGCAGCGCACCGTATAGCGCCGCGTCTGCAACTGTGAAATAATTGCTCACGAGATACGTGCGCGGCGTGAGCTTCGCATCTAAATGCTGGTGAAAGTTTCGAAATCAGCTGCGACTCTCGGAGGACACCCATGCAAGCGTGCCATTCACCTTAAGATTTTCCGGTTTCACAACGTCGCCCTGCGCGACCTTCTCGATCCACTCTACCACTTCCGCCTGCTCCTTCTCCGACTTGCCGTAGTCCGGGCTGCCGTGCTCGGCGGCCCCGGCGACGAGCTTGCCCAACGGAGCGTGCAGCTTTGCGATGGCGGCTTGGGATGACATGGGCCTCCTTAGGATATCTACGAGCCGTCGAGTCAATCCCTGCAGGGAGGTCATCATAGCATATCGACCTTGGCACGTGCAGCGCGCAATCGATTCAGCGTCATTTTGAAAAATTTACACGCAGCAGCCGTCTGGAGAAAATATCCATGCAGTCTATTCCATACTACGACGACACAGACATACACTACAGGAGTACTGTTCTAATCCTCGTCCCCATCCTGTACGCTCGTCGTGAAGTTGTTCTCGACCTTTCTCTTCAAGAAATCTCCATATACAACCGGTTCGTAGATCTTCTGTACATTTGCGCGCGCCTTTTGCGCACTGGCGGGAGTGCTGGTGCCCTCCTGTAGGCGCAGTGCCGCCGGGAGCGGTTTGACCACCGCGTCAAAGTTGGGTTCGAAAAAGAACGGAATACTGCGCCAATGGTTAGCGTTCTCGGCTCGTTCTAGTAGCATGTAAAATACGTACGATACGCTGTAAGATTGCAGCGATTATTATTAGTGCAACCCGGGAAAACATTGATGGTTCACCCACCGATAATTTGGACTTGTGTGCAGGACTCGATGCAAGGTGCTCTTGTACAGCCCGTTGCTCCAGACCTCCCACACTGAAGGACAACGTTTGGAAGACTTCTTTATTGCGATAACCGGAGTACTCACTTTCACCTAAGTTGCATACCATGCAGCCGGGCATAGGATCGGCATTGATCCACATCCCGTCCTCGATGTGCTCTTCTGCACGAATATTGTTGGACTCTTTGATGAGCAAACCTTTTTGTCTCAGATATACCTGCAGGGCGCCGCGGGTGGGATCCGCGTAAAGAAATCTACAGATTGACGTGAGACAAGGTATAATCTCAGAGGAGTGCAACTCGCGTCAGGCATCCATAGTCTCTGCGCATAAGATACGTCAGATATCCCACAGGGATAATACCGGTACGCTTACTTATGTGCCCCGCAGGAGAATCCATCGTAATTAGTCGGAAGTGGGGGATATCCTGGACTTACATCGCGATAAATTCCAGAGAGAAAGTAAATATGCTGATGCGAACCTATTATGCGCATAACATAAAATGAATCGTCCACCTGAGACCTCAACTCAGCCCACTCTTCGGCTGTCAGGCCCAAGCCGTCTGCCATTCTGATAGACAGGACACGGTCAGTCGTGGTTAATGACGACAGTCGATGAGACATAGACGTACGCCTGCATGACAATCAACCCGAGGTGCTTCATCTTCTCGATCCACACTTCGTATTTCTCTCTGAAACCAGGAATAGATGGCCACTGGTTCTCGCCCCACAGCGGTCTCGTCTTGTCGGGATGCTCGACGGGTCGTAATAAATCGATCCCTTCATGGTTGTCCGCTTTTCCATTCGTCACATTCTCCGCAAGCCTCGCATATCCTGCACTGACAGTGATGGATCCTCGAACGCTGCAGTCGTAGACAGAGCGGCACTTACCTCGCGCCCCATCTTGGTACTTCAACGCGATCTTCTCCTTCTCCTTCTGTGGTAGCATGAAGAACTCCTGGGCTAGCCTGGTGAGCTCCTCTGGCTCTTCGGGACTGACGTATGCGGAGATATCGAGGTAAAAGAAGCCGTATTGCAGACATGCAGCGTGCAGAGCTGCCGCCGTGGAGATACGTCCCTTCCCATCGTGCGGGCTGAGATACGGTGCGAGACTTATGATCGGCAGCGTACTCAGCTTGGGATAATCTCTGGGGGCGAACGAAGACATGGCAACGTGGACTCCACAGAGGAACTGGCGGCTATATGTTGCTGCGCTCGGAGCACGATCCTGATCAGGTCCGCGAGCCGTTACCTCACGCTAACAAGTCCGCAAGTGGAAGCTTGAGTGGACGCGCGTGTCAAATGCTGCAAAGGGAAACATCAGATAAAATTCAAGTTTACATAGCAGACTCGGACGAACCTGTTTCTGGCTCGAGTCACGCGACGGCGACTCCGTCACGCGTCGCGTCACTCGCTGAGCGCGTCACGTCGAGCTGCGAGAAACGCCTCAGCCAAGCTCAGCCATGGTTCTGCGGCCGCGGGTAGTCCCTGCTGTCCGCCTCTTCTCCTCCTCCGCTTCCGCACACGGCCTGATCTCCAACATCGGCAGGCAACCCATCCGCTTTCCCCCCACCGTCACCCTCACCCCGACCCCCACCGCCGTCGATGTCACCGGTCCGCTAGGCACCACCTCCGTACCTACTATGCCCTACATGCGGTTCACCTTCCCCGCACCAGACACTCTCTCCGTCGCCGTAGAGGACGGCTCGGAAAAGAAGCAGCGCCAGATGTGGGGCACCACGCGCACCCTCATCGCGAATGCCATCGAGGGCATGACCTCCGGTTTTAGCGTCATGCTCTACCTCGTCGGCGTCGGGTACCGTGCCGCCCTCGAACCCGACCCCCGCGGTCCCGGCGAGGGTCGTAGCGGACAGCGGATCGCCATGAAGGTCGGATTCTCCCACTCTGTGTATGTGTCTGTGCCACCCAATATCAAGGCAGAGGTGCCTGCGCCAACGAAGATCTCGCTCTACTGCACGGACAAGCAGCTGTTGGGAAAATTCGCAGCACAAGTGAAGAGATGGAGACCACCAGAGCCCTACAAGGGCAAGGTGCGTTCACTGTCACTGAAACCATGGCCGGGGCGTGTTTCTCATCCGAGCTTTGTCGCAGGGAATCTACGTTGGAACTGAGCGGGTGCGGCTCAAGACCATGAAAAAGAAGTAGTGCTGCAGCCGTGCTTCATAACTACTTCCGCCGCGTGCTATATACTGCACCACGATTTCCTCGCCGTGCATTTCGAGATGCATCATCGTAGCAGGCTGGACAATGGGGAAATAATGTGGAACAAGATTAGGAAACCACCGTATGCGGTATCTTGATGTAGCGTAACTTACTACACTTGCAAAGGTAGTCCTGTCGTGTGGTACTGCACACTTCTTCTACACCGCTTGCCTGCCTCCCAGAGTCAATTGACTCGGTCACAACCCCGCCCTTGCCAGTCTGTGACACGAAGCTCTTGGAGTTCCAAGACTTGCCGCCAGCACATTACATCAAACTTTGTAGAAGGTGTCCTGGCGTAAGGGGCATACATACAAGAAAGACGTTCTTAAAAACATAAAGCAAATCCGGGTCCGACGATACCTAGCAATGACATCCCTTGTCCAAGAAATCTTCGCAACCATCACTTCAAGAAACTAGGAGAGCTCGCAAGCCGCCTCCCCGAACCGAAGCCACAAGCCACCCTGCAGCACGACACCGCTCAGCTAGTGTACATCGTGTCAGGGCAGTATACACATACCTGCACATACATAGTCAACTCGGACTTCGGGCGAATCTTCTCAACCGCCTTGCGGCCCGTGCTTGTCGCCCAGGAAGCCGGAGGGCGTGACTCGGTGGGCTGCGCGTCGGGAGCTAGCTCGATGTGGTCAAACGCCTGCAGCAGGCGCACCATGAAGAAGGACATCTCGTTGTATGCGAACTAGGGAATAATCGTCCACTCAATATATGTGAAAAAGGCATATGCACGACTGCTCACCTGCTGGCCTAGGCAGATTCGCGGCCCTGGGGGCCAGTGTTTGGATTCAAGTGAGAGAATGAGATGGTCGGTGAAATCATACCTGCATTGAAAGGCAGGAAGATGAAGGGATTCGGGACGAGGTACTTTGTAAGCCGGTCGTCCAAAAATCGGTCAGGATCGAACTGTGCGTCCGTTAGAACAAAACATAAAGCACCGTGTGTTGCAGCACACCTCATCTGCGTCAGGGCCCCATAGGTCCTTGTCCTTGTGCATGTTCATCACGATGTACATTCCTCTGAGTATAGACTACGTGTGAGCGCACGGTTGCTTCACCATATGCGTCATTGCTTACCTAGTGCCCTTCGGAATATAGAACGGCTTTCCGCCAGGCTCCAGCGGCGGCAGCGTCGTCGACTTAATGGGCGACCTGCGCCGCACGGAACTCACCCATCAGCCCATCCCGCGATACGCCCATGAAGAGCGTACCTTGCGTTCGCAGGCACCGAAGGGAAGATCCTCAGTGTTTCTAATCCGCGAATAGAGAGCGCCGAGGGACGTTATGGTCAGAAGCCGTGGGAAATAGTCGTCGGCGCGGAATGGAAGGTACTGAGGGATCCTAATACACACCGTTGATGACCGCTCGTAGATACTTCATCTCGCGCATGTCATCGAAATCCGGATAACGGGTCGGACCAACCTGCGCGAGAATCTCTGCCCTGAGGCGCTGAAGGACGGGCGGGTGCTCTGCGAGGAGGTACGTCATGAACGTAAGTGTGCCCGCGGTCTGCGTGTGTCGGGCTGTTAACCAGTGGATGAGAGCCAAGTGAGGTGCGCGTACAGTATCGCGACCAGCGAGGAGGATATTGAATGTCTCGTCGGAAATTACTCTCAAGTCTGCCGATTCAAGCTGGTCAGACGGGTCGTGGAGGCGAATTAGAAAATAAGTACCATCGGTAACATCCGTGAGCTCATCTAGCAGGGTGTGATGGGGTGCTTCAATGTCCTTGGAATCCTTTAGGTCCTTTTTCCTCCGCAACGCTTCCCGAATAATCGGGTCAGCGAACTCCCGTATGGTCTGCATGTCCTTTCTGCAGCACCAGATATTGAGTATAACATAGGGCGACGCATAACGCGCCGATGTACCTGGTCCTATCGCCAAAAATCTCAAAGAGTGGCCAAATTGGACTCATTCGACTGCGCTGTGCGAGACCATGTTGCACATTCATGAGTGCATTCGCAAACGCGTCCGCAGCGTGCGAGATATGCGCGGGGGCGCCGTGCACTGGTGGAATGACAGCATACAGCGAGTGCACGCACGAACCGAGAAGAAAATCCGTCGCGGAGTCAAGCGTGAAGCGAGAGACGAGGTCCTGGAAGTCGATCGCTGCACCACAGAGGGCGCGAGCGCGTGCAGCAGATATCGCCTCGTCGGCATGCCGCCCAAAAGTCTCAAAATCCGTGATGCGATCCCGGTTAAAGTATGGGCGAGTCATGGAGCGATGAAACCTACATATAGAGCAGCGTCAGAAAGGTGCTCGAGGTGTTTAACCAGAGGGGTGAAAGGTACTCGCTTCCACATTTCCCCGTCTGCGTTGAACACACCCGTGCCGAAGACGGACATGTTCTGACGCCTAGTTACCGCACCTGTGCGGTGTTCAGAACTGCCAACATGACGACTAATATCCAGAAGACATACCCTTCTCCCAGTTGTTGAATTCGGTGGCCAGGATAGTCTTGATATGAGTTGGATCGGAGGTCACAATCTAGGAAGAAAGTCAACCATAACCGAGTGACATTCTTGGCTGTCTACAGACTCTTTGTTCACCCATGATATTGATACTGAAAATCTTGCCAACCTGCTGCGTAAACTCCTGAAGCTCCTCAACTACAGAAGTAGAGTGTTCATGGCGATTAATGTGAGTTTGACAGCCGATAACGCTTACGAGGATAGCCGTCGCGCGCGGTCTTGACTCTGCGAAGGATGAAGTCCACATTTCCTGGCCAACGACCTCGTAAGGCGGGAACGCGCACAGCGCCCAGTGCACGGATTTCCCGCTCTTCGCGGAAATGCCTCCAGAGGGAACGGGCGAAGGCGAGAGCCGGGAGCGACGAGGTGCAGCTCAGGATTAAAATCCATTTGGTGATCTGTAGCCCAAGCAAGCCCTGCAGAAAGCCGAGCACGGTGTAGGTTGCGCATGGTGGTGACAACAGGCGTGAGATGACCCCCACAAGGTAAACCACACCGGGAGTAAACGTTTCCTGGATGGGTGTCGGCATGCCATTCGGATGTAGAGTACACTGGTCGAACACAGTTCAGACAGCTGCCTTAAGCTGCTTTACTATGGCCAACTTCGTTGGGGGTAAGATTAAGGATCCGCAGGACTCTCCAGGGCTCCTCGCGCTTCCTGCAATCTCTTGATATCCTGTGATCTCGCAAGCGCGAAGTGATGTCGAGTGTGTGGGAGAAGAAGGTCCGGGAATGGCACTCATGCAATCGCCGGACGAAACTCGTTCATTTTGAGGCAAAATCACCGTACGCCTGAATAAACGATGCGGCTTGCATGTGGATAACTGCCGTACAAAACATCGTCAGCGTATGCTTGGTCTCCCGGCGTCAATAGATATCCATAACGTCAAAAAGATCTCGCGGCTCTGTGGGCGTCCAGAAGCTGCATACTTCCTTGGATATGGAAGTTGTAATCAGAACTTGAATGCAAGTCGGTGCACCCACCCAGTCAGAGCTCGTAGTCCCGAGACAGCCAATGATATGATCCATAAGGGCCCGTTCGGCATCGAAACATTTGTGTCACGCAAACGCTTTTGCAACGCAAACACCCAGAAGCCGGAAATTCCCGAAAGTTCCGGCCAACCCGAGATTGTGACTGTCTGTGACTGATGGGTTGGGTTATCCCCTGCCGCCGAAATTCCCGCCTCACCGCCCTCAACGACGGCGACGAGCATGAGCATCTGAGAGCGCTGTCGTGTGGCACCCATCAGTACATAGAATACAGCAGCAATTGAAAAAGGAATGTTGTATTCTACGTATTCTATCATTGAATCAAAACATCTAAATCCACCTGCTCATCGGGGGCAACGACGAGCAAAGGCAGACGCACGACGAGCAGCGATTCCCGGTGCCCAACACGGTTGCCCGGAAATGGGGCGTGACAGCGGCAAGATCGGCCCGTTATGTGCATCTGTTTGGACGGATGCGTGAAATGAACGCAAACGTTTGCGTGACGCAAATGTTTGGATACCGAACGGGCCCTAACGATATCATGGACATCCAGTCTGCCAGCGCGTACCCTCCCTTAGCGTAAGCACCTTAAAGCAGAAAATAAGTCAAACGCAGATACAGTCCGAGACTAGTGGCCGACGGCGCTGGCGTGGTACGAGCCGCCGCGATCCTTTGGCGATCAAGATCTGCATCTCCGAACTCCTTCTAAGTACCTCGCGCAGACCGAAACGGATTTCTTCTTCGCGCTGGAGATCTCAATTGGCCTAGCTATAAATTATCCATTAACACTGGTAGAAATAGGAGATATTCAAGAATTCAATACTAGTAACGGTTGAATGTCGAATAGAGATCAATGCAACCTAGTACACCGATCTACACCATGTCTTTCGTCCGAAGACGAATATCCTCACGCTGGAAGCATCATTCCCCCACCAGCCTCAGGGGCTGCCAACGGCGCGACATCCACCGTATATGTAGCCTTATCGTCCATTTCTCCCTCTGCAAAACTTGAGTCTTCCTTGAGGTGTTTCTCACCCTGCAGCAGCGCCCTGCGCTCTTTCCATCCCTCCAGCCACGCGCCCGCGTTGCTCGTCATGCATCCGCCAAGGCTTTTGCACGTACACGTGCCGCCAAGCCGCTCCGGCAGATTTTCCGCGGGTATCTGCTCCAGGAGCACCTCACGGAAATTCGCGCCGAGAATCTCGACCTTGGACTGTGTCACGGGGGAGAGCCACGGCTTCACGAGCGACCAGATGAACGTGAACGACGTGGGCGCATTGACGACGGAGAGTTTCGACATGCTATAGGAATGAGTCCATAGTATCAGACGCTCGGACAAGAAAATATTGGTTGAGAGAGATGATACACATACAGCTCTGGGTAGTAATTCTGTGTCATCGCGAACCCGTCGCGGCAGAAATTCTTCATCTGCCAAAACTGAGAAAGCCTGGAGATACGTTAGCACGGACGCCTCAGTTACAAAGAAGACCGCGCTTACCCAAAATCCTTGAGGTCAACAATACAATGGTGACCGAGGTTTGGGGTGCCTGAGACACGTTCCGCAATAGGAATACACTCGCGGGGCAGAGATTCCGCTGACACCACAACGTATTCCCAGAGGCGCTCGGGTGAGATACCTTTGTAGAGCTCCGGCATGTTGATTCCGCCGTAGTATTGAAAATTCAGCGGGCGTCCTTTCTATTGCGGTAGACATACGTGAAGTCAATGACCGCGGCAAGGTCGAACTAAGTGAGTGAGACCTTATCCGTCTAGAAAAAATGGTCAACTGCGCCACGAGCAGTAGTTGCAAATGAAGAGGAACTGGGCCAACCTTATGGAAACTACTTGGCCAGTACTGCAAAACATGGTCCCGCTCCGGGTACTAGCCACAAAGTACGAAAAGCAAGAGCATCCAGGCACTGTCAATGTTTGGAGAGTGGCAAAAGGATAAGGTCGAAGGCATACATCCAATCGGTCCATGCGCCGGTAGAGCTCGTCAATGCCTACACCGCCTACTGCCTTACGCCATTGTACACAATTCTGCCACATCGCGAGCGCCTGCTTCAAATCAAAGTCACGGGCGACGAGAAAACGCCTGGGGGAATGTATATGTGAATTTCTACACGTGTGCTATTAGACAAATAAACGTACAGAAGGGTACCATCGTCGGTGCCGATGGTGTCGCCTTCGTGCAGTAAATCTTCCTGCACGAGCTGTTCACGAAACTGTACGAGAATCGCGTCGCTCTCTTGCTGGCTGGAAGGCATATTTCAAGGATATAACTGGGCGACAGAGCAGAAAGAGCGAAGGAAGGGAGCAACCACCGCTTCACGCGCCTGGCAACCGTGGCAGGACGCGACTTGGCAAATGAATCTACAAACATTCATAACCGCGACGTCGTGAGAAATACACGTTCAACGAGGAACAGCGGTCACGTTCTCTGACGACGAGCACGGTTGTAAACTTGCGCAGAGCTAGGATTGATCGGACCAAGATTGCAAACACAGATAGATCATCGGCGTTGAATATAGCGTCCGAATCCAGCACCGCCGGCAAGCACTCGGCACACTGTCACGGTCACAAAAGCTGAAGTACCGCCGCCGCCGCGGCTTTGACAGCGATTCGACCTACTAACCAAGTGTTGAAAATACTTGTTCTCTGGCTGTTCTGGTGTCCATGCTGGTAGATTTCTGGACACTCTCACACAAGAAATATCCAAGTCAGTTACGACATATTTGTGATTTCGGAGCTCACTTGGTCATCGAGTGTCCGATTCTGCAGCTCCCCCAGAAAATTGGCGAACTTGAAGTTGTAGGCCATCATGCTCCATCTTACCGGAATCGTAGCGGCACAATGCAACGATTTGCCTGTGAGATGCTTGGGTGCCTTTCAAATATGTTGATGCGATTAATCCATCCTCGTACACTGTCACCTGTGCGCGCACTAGATCAATTGCAAGCGGAAGCATTCCGCAGCTCAGCTCAGCTGCTCCTCCTGATCCAATAGGGCGTACCTTTACCAAGCTGTTAGGGTCCAGCCTGAGCTCCTGTCCCCTATCTATGAGCGCTATAAGATGGATACGGAGCCGACGTCGCAGCACGACTACACCAGCAAACATGGCACCCTTCCCCGACATTCTGTTTACAAGCTCTAATGACACCTATGCAACGCTTGCTGGCCACCCTGGCACCACACACATTCGCTGGATTGATCTCCTCGTCTGGCTGTCAACCCTCCTCGTGCCGCTTCTAATTATCCAGCGTGGTATGAGGCGAAGCCTGCAGCTCAACAAGTCTTTGCCAGTAAAGCCGTCCAAGTTGACGCCGCTCGAGAAAGCCCTGATGCCGATCCACACCGTCTCGTTCTTCATGCCGACCCTCGTCTACCTCGTCGGCTCGCTCCAGGCTTGTCTGCACCAGCCGCAGTGGGCGTGGTGGAGCGAGTGCGCGCTCCCTGACGACCCGCGTGCGGACACCCTCCGGCTCGCCGCCTGCGGATTGAGCGTAGTTTGTGCATGGTGTCTGAACAGCGCTTTCACCCATCTCGGGACGCAGGTGCACCATATCGGCGTGCGTGAGAAGCCCAAGACGGTGGAGACAGGCCCGTTCAGTGTCGTGCGCCATCCCATGTACAGGTACGCCCAGCCCCTGACCGATCTGACCCCTTTGTCGCGTTATATACCCCCCGCTGACGGACGTGTTTCTCTTCCCAGTGCTGTGATTGTACAGCAGTTCTTGCATATCATCATGTTTTGGTCATTGTTTCCCCTGGCCGCAGCCTTCATCACCGCGGGGGCGATGGTTATGAAAATATCTCCTGAAGTGCGTATTTTACGTTGCTTGGCCCATGGCCCACCCCATCTCCTGAGAAAGCGTCGTTCTGTCTTCGTTATACCGCTGTGTCTAACCGATATTGCTTGATCAGGAGAGACTGCGCGAGTTGGATCCCGAAGCAGGACCCGATTACGTTGCCTACAAACGCAAGGTCCCTTCGAAGCTCATACCTTACATCTGGTAGAGCCCGATGCATGGCTTCGTCGCGCTTGTTCAAACTGTACGCATGCTATCGTGGGCGTTGTTCGGGCAGATGCAATTGTCTGGATATGATCTCCTGGAGATTGGAGCGGATGCTGTACCGATATATCGGTGGGAAATCTTGGTTTGTGCTCGAGAACAGGTTGTAGTATTAGGAGATGTATTACTAGGGTTTGACATATATCGCGCACGTCGCCCACCGTGATCTTGTGTTGTTCACTGTTCACTGAAGGTCTAACCGGCACTTCGGAGTATCTTCGGAAGAATGTTGTTAGGGTTAGGGTTTTCATCCTCGTCATCCTCGTCATCCTTTTTCACTCATCGACCCGATATTCGCACCTGACATTCCCGACTCAGCATCTACGAGGCCAATTCAAATCAAGTAGCATGTGAATCGCCCGTTCACTGCATAGGCACCATCTGAGTGAGGTGATCGATGTATTACGCGTTATAAGTAATAGCGTGTTCACCTAGTCATGCTCTTGGTAAGATTTACTAGTCGGTGGAGCCATGAAAACCCCCGCCTGCTCCACCGAGTCTTGTCAGCGTTTCCACGACGTGCCCGACGATGGGAGACAATTCCGTGGCGGAGTGGCCAAGTTTGGAAGTCGGATTACCATGTCTGGCGGAAATATGGTTAGGGGTTGCTGTCAGTCACCACGGCGAGGTCACCGATGATGACTGAAAACACGATGAGGCGGAGAGACAGGCAGCCGTTTATACACCTCCCCGGCCATCATTTACTCCACCATCTTCATACCCACTTTACAGCACATCTCCCGCCGGACGTTGCCCGTCATTCCGTCACTCACCCTTCCCCGCAGATACAAGCGTAACATGGCCGCGGGCGCCGACGACAGAGACGCCATCCTCCAGCTTTTCCGCGAGCAGCTCACCGAGCAGGATCTCCTCCGCAACGGAGACACCATCGGCACAGATGATAACACCTTATCGTGAGCTTTCGATCGGTTATGCTTTACGAGATCGACGTCCTGAGCGTGCGGATAGGCGCTTCTTACGTGCCCGCAAGTATGATCTCGAGCAGGCGACGACGATGTGGAGGAACTGCCAGAACTGGAGGAATACCGTAGAGGGCATAGGCATCGACGAGCTGTACCGGCAGATCGATCCCTTCGATGTGCGTCCGTGCAACTTCTTCTGGGCTTCGGACTAACATCACATTTTTGCAGTACCCAGAGCGGGATGAGGTGTTCAAGTGCTGGCCTCTGTGGTTCCATAAGGTCCGGATCCTCTTCCCCTCTTTACACTGTTTACTTACGCCATTTCAGACAGACAAGGTCCGCTCCCTCTACCCGGCGTATCACAACGTGCGACGACTGATCTGCAGCACAGAAAGGCCGCCCTGTGAACATTCACCACTTCGGCGGGATCAACATGCCAGAGCTGTACCGGCACATATCACCGCAGGGCTTCTGGAAGACGATTGTCGTTAACGCCGACGCGCTCACCCGAGAGGTCCTCCCCGCCTCCACCAAGGCCGCAGGGCGCAATATCGACGGCACATTCGTCATCGTCGATCTGAAAGGTTTCGGGTGCGTTTACGCGCCCAAATATCCGCCGTGCGAAGCTGACGCGCAGACAGTATTAGCCAGTTCTGGCAGATGAAGAACCTCGCCCACGACTCGTTCCAGATGTCGCAAGACTACTTCCCAGAGACGTACGCTTCCCCTCCTACATTCAATTACGCGCACACTGATTCAAGCGCCCCTCTACGCAGCATGGCGCAGCTTGCGATCGTGAACGCGCCCACGTCCTTCACGACGATATGGGCGTTCATCAAGCCATGGCTCGCAAAGGAGACCGTCGCCAAGGTCGACATCCTCGGGTCCGATTACGAATCCGTGCTCCTCGCGCAGATCGACGCAGAGAACCTGCCCGAGTCCCTCGGCGGCACTTGCACTTGTGTTGAGGCGGGTGGGTGCAGCAAAAGTAACGCGGGCCCATGGACGGACGGGCGCAGGGAGCGGCGCGAGCGGTGGCTGAGAGGCGAGGGCGAGCTAGTGGAGGGCATGGAGCTCGCCCCGGCGTCTCAGCCGGAGAAAGCGGAGGACAGGGGGTTGTCGGACGCATATGGCAAGGAGAGCGAAGTGATGGACGCAGAGGGAGATGTGGAGAGGAGCATCGCTGAGCCTGCAGCGGATACAGACCTGGAGGCGGAGGAGAGCACGCCCTCGAGCTCGTCGATGCCATCTACCCCAGATGACGGGGAAGAGACCAGTGGAAGATTGCGGGACTTAACACTCGACGGCGCGGGCGAGGTACGCAGGAAGAAGTCACCCGAGGAGTCCATTGCGGAGGTGTATAGCGAGCTTCCAGAGACGGAGCTGAAAAATGCTGCGTGAGTGGACGTTCCCTCGAGATTGGATGTGTCTCGCTCTGTTGCTATTTCTGCGCTGTCTCCAGTAGATTTGTGTCCGACTACCCCACTAGCATCTGTATCAGTTTCCCGTAGTATTATTTCGCGTATTGAGTGTCCCGTTGTCTGTACTATACATGTTTTCCTCAATACCCGTCATTTATGTTGCATTGCATGCGCCTAGTGGTGGAAGTTTGCACCGACCGTCCATGGCATGAGCACAATTGCAAACGACATAAATAAAACATCACTCAGAACGTAGGTATGAAGTCCTGTATCCTATCCCTCGCATCCTGCGCAATGCACTCCGCAATCCACGTCAAGCTCCTGATCTCTTGCTCCTTCAGCTTCAGATAGCTGTAAAACACGCCGTACTGGAACTGCTGCAGGAACGCGAGCTTGTTGAGGTACACCTCGTGCGCGAAGAAGCGGTCCTCGAGCTCAGCCGCGGCGCCCGAGTCGCCCTCGTTGAACTCCCCGAGCAGGTTCGCGGTGCTCTCGCCGTACACGCCCGCGCCGTTCGGGCGCCCGGCACCGGCGTCGAAGAACGCGCGGTACTCCGCAACACCCTCGCACGCCGCGCGCACCTGCTCAACATCGTCCGCGCGCGCGAGAGCGTTGTTGCCCCCCGGGAAGAGGTTCCCGGTCGTTGGAAAAAGCTTCGCGCGGCTCTCCTTAGAGAGCCCCGTCCCGAACGAGTTGATCGTGATGTTGATAGCGCGCCGGTCTGCCTCGAACGCGAGGATGCGGTGCATAACCTCTGCCGTTGGCCCGCCCAGCGTCGCGCAGAACGCGTCAAAGTCCTCCAGGTACGCCTTGTACAGCGTGTTCCGGATGATCTCGATGTTCAGGTCGTCCAAGTCGTTCACGGTTACGCATTCACGGAAGTATGGTGCTACGGCGAGCGTTCATAAAGCGCTAGTGCGGGAGGAAAGAGGGGCGGATAAGCATACCTAGTGGGGCCTCCACCATCACGATGCGGTATAGCTCTTCTACATTGGTAGCGACACAAAGAGCGGGTAGTGTCTCGAATACTCCTAATGGGTGACACCGCTCCAGGAGCTCTGACGTGTTGCGGCCATGCAATGTGCCAGTGATGAGCAGAATAACATTGTCAATCATGTACCCGTACCTGCGAACCCGTTAAAAATAGGCACTCCAACCAGCATGGACACAAAGCACCCACGTTATGTAGTCAAAGAATTTCACGAGTGGCTCGACTGCGTTGCTGCGGAGGAAGTTGAATTGGTCGACAAGCAGCTGCGTAGCCTTGTCGGCAATGGTGGAGGTGGAAATCGGGAGCTGCTCGTTTGCGAGAAAGTTGCCATAGTCAGTCGACGACAGCTGTGTTCGGAAATCTTGCAGTGCATGCCAAGTGAGCATCTCCTAGGCTATCCTCGACATACTACGACTCGCCTTCGATGGTCTCGCATTGGGTGAGGTTGTTGTACTGAGCCTGCGTCAGCAGACCCGCCTTGTAGCCCCGAACAATCCCCTCGAGGAAACCACTGTCAACCTAGACGTTCCGCGCTGGGTGAGTTGAGTATTTGAGTACAATGGAGCAATACATGAACACACATTGAAGAATAACGCCTCCATGTCGAGCAGGTGTGCTTGAACTTGAAGCCGCAGTATTCATGCTTGGGCGCTTATAGTTACCGCCAGGCATGAGGTTAAATTCCCACACTGATTAACTACAGCCGCTGAGAAGTACAATGTATCCGAAAGCTGTCCCGTCCCGCGTCCCGAGCAGTTTCACGTTCTCGCTGAGCCCGAGCATGGCTGAGCATTGCTGGGCGTGATTCCAAGGGCGGTCGAGCATCGGACTCATATTCGCCGGCGTTACTGGCCCGACAATCACAGAGGTATCGTGATATAAGTATAGTAGTACTAGTTCGCCAAACAAATTGACCTCCCACACCCAGGTTAACGTCTACGGGGACTTGGACGGCCCAGCCAACATAACGTTGGGATACCACAACATGGACGAGGCTCCTAATGGCAGAAAGTCGACCAAGCTTTCTATTCACCATCCTCACGAGCCGAACTGTGCCATTGTAGGCGTGCTCGAGCAACTCTCCCCGCACCAGTCCACCCAAGGTCGAAGGATCGCATTGGCGAGTAACTTACTACTTTGACGACTCTGACGACTGAGGCATGTATGTTCTAGCTTCTGCATGGTTCCTTAGGGTCAGTAGTGCCCGGTAATTGGGAGTGACAGTTGGTGCTAAAATCACGCAGACACAAAGACTACCTGTTCCTCAAACCTCTCGCACTCCGATTGCCCATGGACAATTTCCGCTTTGATTTCCGGTGCGGCAGTCGTACACTCAATTGACTGCGTCGCATCTCACCATCAAGGGGTCGGCCAAACGCAGTGCCAACCATGAGACTCCAGGAACATGGAGATTTGGCAGTGTACTCAATGACTGCGTCGATATCCAGGTAGTCGTCGATTATTTGACTAAGGAATATGGCTATATAGTCGACCTTGTCGTGGGACACTCTCGCGGCAGTGTCGCAGGGCTGCTATGGCTGTGCAAAGCCGAGGAGAGTAAGCACGTTAGAGGCTTCATCAATGTGTCGGGGCGATACAGGATGAAGGTGGGTGTTACCGTCGCGTTACACAACTTCTCCGTCACTCACCCATCAACTTTTCTATTTGTAGATAATTTACGGTGTGCAGTCCCCCGATCTAGTGGTAATGAAATTGCACTGAGTTCACTACCCGAAAGAGATCACCTCCTGGATCAAGAGAACAAGCAATCTCTGAAGACACGGGGCTACTTTGAGATGAAAGCTACCGTCGCCCGCAAGCCGTTCGTGGGCCGGTACGAATCGCTCATAGCTTTCGCTTCTATATACTGAGCTGTCGTCCATCAGGGTTACTCGTCCGGATCTTGACGATTTTGCCAATACGGATACATCTGTGGCTTGGACTCGCTTTCCATCGTCAATAGACGTGCTCACAATTCACGGAATTAGGGATGGAGTTGTCCCCGTGTATGTGTGAATCTCCCCATCAATGAATCCATGTCTAATGTTCTTTCTGCTTTCCCGGTCAGATATGATGCGATTATCTACGCACAAGCGTACGGCGGTCGAACTCCGGGCACACACACTCTGCATCTCGTAGAGCGTGCCGACCACAACTTCACCGGAGTATGTGCGGCGACGTTGCTCTCATAATTGAGCTCACACTACACTGCGCAGCTTTCAGAAGAGGTAGTGTCCATTATACTGCAATGGTGGCAGAAGGTGGAACACCGAGAAGTCAAGACGGGTTTGTGGGATATAGGGTGTAGAGGGAGTTCCAAATTGTAGATGTCATGGTGTCTATGTAATAAGTGATCATTACGTGCTCACCAATTCACCGGCTGACGATGATTTTTTAATAGATACATCCAGTGCTCTGATCAGCATTCCATGCACCGTTCTATCTTCTCAACGGTATGTCATACACAATGCAAACACTTTTATGCAATACTGCGGCATCGGTTCAGTAAGATGCGGAATTGGTAAAAACAACAACCAGCCCGACCAGTCCAAAAATATAACCTTCTCTGACAGTGCAATGTCTGTCAATGGAGCTCTAGTCATCCTTCACTGACAACGCGGTCATGTCTGAGTTCAGGTCCTTCATGCTTTGCTCTACCGCTCTCCTCTTCTCGGCTTTCTCTGCCTTGGCCGCTCTCCAGTCGTAGATCAGCTTTCCAGCGACCTCCATCTCATCCTTAACCTCGACAACCTCCGCACGCACGTCATCAAGTGACATGGTTGAGAGTACAAGCTCCCAGGACGCAATGCAAGCCATTTTTCTCTCGCGCTCGTCCTGCAGCTCCCGGTTGAGGTCAAGATTTCCAATATCATCTTGGCCCCTATTATCATCCAGATGCTGCTTGGTATATCTAGCTGTCAACCGCTCTCGTACGCCATCCATCACCCACCTCACCGGGACGCTGCGTACGCCTGTCCACTCCTGGACAAGGCTTCCGCTGAAGACCTCGTCCACTTGGCGACGGATCTTGTCTGCATGTAGAATGGCAGCATATGCGGCGTATCGGCCAAAGTGTCGCAGCACCGCAGCTTGGGTGAGCTCCTGCTCATGCAGGTGATCAGACTCGGATGTGGGGGTCGACTCACTCTCTGCACGCTCTCGAGCATACAGCACGAAATTCTGAAACATCGCTCGAGCTTTGCGCCCTCTTTCCTTGCTATTATCCACGGTGGAGAGTTTCTCGTGATGGTTTACGATAGCGCATGGGTCAAAGAGGGTGGACGTCGCCAGCCAGTCAAAGATCTCTAGCTGGCTGGAAAATCCTATAGCCCATCGATCCATGGAGAGACCGAAGTACGCAAGTATCGGTGAGAGTGTGTTACATATGTGAAATGCTATCGGCGGCCTCGTGGGCAAAGGATCCGCAAACTGAATATGCCCAGTTAGCCGCCACTGGGAGACAACACTCGCGATGTACATACCTTCAATCCGTGCACTCCAAACGACAGCCCGATCGTGCGGGTCATCTGGCCCAATATCAGGCCAACATCTCCGTAAGAGCTTGTGAACATCTGGTCCTCCCACTCTGCTTTGTCCGCCATAACGTTGATGTCAACCTGATAAAATACCTGCGCTGCGCCGTTCTTTGCTGACACGTCTTTATCTCCCAGCTGAAATGCGATTGCCGCGAGCGCAAAGTTGGTGACCCGGCCTCCATCTGGAGGAACGCTGCACGTCGCACGCAATGCCTCGGTCACCATCTGGTGTGTCAGTCCAGCGCGCGGATACGCTACCACTAGATCAATGTCTCCATAATCCACCTTTTCAGGCGCCTCGCGGGGGACTGCCACAAGCTCATACAATGGTTGTATGCGCGAGAGAAGCTGAGCTTTCAGCGATCTGTATACATTTGGTGACATTCGAGGAAAGGAGGCTGTAGGAAGTAGGGTTTTGAGAGCATTTCCACCCATGTTGGACACTTGACGACACACGTAAATATAGAGTGCATTCAATGATTCAGGCTCAGTAAGTATTTGAACCTCATGGACTTCGATGGGCCTTAGACCACTATGAATATGAAAAGAGCCGAATTCGTATGGCATTAATGGGGTAGTGGTAACCTGGGTCGTTGCCATTGGTGGTTAAGTTCGACCCGCCGGGGGTTCAATTCCCCCTTAATGCATTCGGGACCAACGTTGAGTTTTTGGCCTCTTGAGGGCAATTATCCTTTGTGTGCACAGTACTTGGTCATTTTCACTTCGACTCGGACTCGAGCGTCGCATCGTATTTTCACCCATGTCGAAATTCGCACCGCATCCTCGAACAGCTAACCAGCCTAGAGCAGACGCCTCCACTGTTTGCCAGAAGTGCCTCGGCACAGGTCAGTTTTGAACGGTACATCTTAGACCTACATAGCTTGACGTTTTGTTCAGGTCATTTCACCTTCGAATGCAAATCCACACGCCCTTACATTTCACGCCCGTCCCGTACACAGCAGCTGGAAAATCCGCGTGTGCTCGCAAAGTTGAAGGTGGATGGGAAGCCGTCTGTTGAGGTCCCGGAGGAGTTCAAGAGCAAGTGAGTTTCTTTCGGTTACATCAAACTTATCATCATGTTGGACTAAACGTTCAGCAGGACTGGTACAGCGAACCGCATCCTAGAGGCAAAAGAGAAGGCACGAGCTCAGGAGACGGAGCACAAGGGCGACGTGTCCTCATCGAAGAAGAAGAGGAAGCAGTGCGCATTCCTTTAGTTCTACATGTCTACCTTTGCTAATGCCTTCTTGCTGCAGTTCGTCGGATTCCGAGTCCAACTCGGACTCAGACTCGAACTCAGAGTCAGAGTCAGACAGAGATTCTGACTCTGATTCCGACTCCACTTCTAGTTCATCTACCTCCTCGCACTCAGGCTCCAACTCAGACTCAGCATCATCCAGGCGTAGGCGGGAAAGGAGCGCGAGTGCTCAGAGAAAAAGCAGAAGCCGGAGTCCCAGCCGCAGCAGGAGACGGTACTACTGATCGTTCCCGGAGTGGAAACAATATTTCTTGGACTCTCAAATTACCTACTGGTAGGAACTCGCTGTATGATTTATCGGGAATCGTCGTCGATTGCAGAATGAGATGATATGTAAATTACAGTCCTGATCATATACAGTGTGGTGCCTCCGTTGCCCGTGAGTTCATGATCAGAGCTACAATGAGGCTGCACGGAACCGTTAGTATTAAACAAGTCCGGCATGCAAGATAATTCAACACACCCGTACAACCCTAACACTTCTCCGAAGATCAGGATGAGCACCATCGTCACGAATACTTTTGACTCGTACACGTATGCGCGTACACACTAGAGATTTTTCAGCGTACCGCTGAAGAAACATACGACACTAGGACATACCGAGTCACCTACGTAACCGATCGCATACCCCGCTGCGAGACCTGTGAATCCGCACGCTAAACCCGCGCCCAGGTGGACAAAGCCCGCGTACAGCGAGTAGTCCGTTGCTTGCACTGAGGGGCGGTCATCGAGAGATCGATTTCAAGGGATAAAACCAAGAAGAATGGCGAATGAAAAGTCATTAGAGACGTTCACGACCACAGAATCGAGACAACGTACGTCCGCCCGCTATGAGCACAGCGACCACGAGCCCGTACACGGCAATGATACCGGACATGACGACAGGAATAAGGGACTGGCAGAAGTACGCGTGTATAAAAATCACCCTGATGCGCGAACGGAGCATCATATCGTACCTTCATGATCAGCTCGGGCTTGAACGTCCCCAGACCCGCGATCCCAATGCCCGCTTTCGACGTACCAAACGCCGCGCCGACAGCTATGGTGCAAGTCACCACCAACAAGTCAGTTCAGTGAGTAATGGCGCTAGGCTCACTCATACGCACTGCTGAGGATCATCTGCGAGGCCACGAGGAGAATTTAAGCCGTCCTCACGCCCTTGTAACGCCGCTGGGAACTTACGGCTGAGGCGACTCCTCCAAATCCGAAGAAGGGCGCGTATGGTGGGCAGAGCGACATGTTGTGTGGGCTTGCAGTTTGTGTAGTACTCTGAACTGAGTCGTGGAGTCGTGGGTACCGTATCACGTGCTATGCGGGGTTTTGCTCTGCTGATTTGCAGTGGACGCTGCTCTTGACGCTGCTTCATGATCAACGCTACTTAGTACTTCGACAAATCTCTATCCGATACCGGAGTCGGAACCGCACTGATACTGAGAAACCATGGTAAAAGTAGAGCCGTATACCAGGACCCCCAGAATTATTTCACAATTGATTGAGGCCTTTGAAAGGCTCTCACTGACTCCCACTGTGATCACTCTAGGGCAACGAATCCGCAGCGGTACCACAATCCCTCTGTCAACGACAGAGCAGATATTTTTGGCTCATCGAAGTTACGGTTCGCACGCCAGAGTCTGCGGAAATTCACGAATTCATCCATGAAACCCGGCGGTAAGCAAGTACTTGCGCTCAATAGCTTTTCTGGGACATCATGATGTCAATGACGGCTTGGTCACAGCACGTCCATGCCGGGACGAGTTGTCTACCAGCGAAACACCCTGACGCATCAATATTAATGTATGAACCAGATATAGCAGAAGCGAATCTCGCCCTGTGGTGATCTGACGCCAGAAGTACAGTATCAAAGCGCCAGAGGTCAAAGGGCGAGCACTCAGTAATAATCGGTACCACTGGCTCGTCGCCCGTGATTGGCGCCATCCTCACAAGTGTGAACGACGCCCGCTTCGCTGCCGGCAAGAGCCCCACCGGGTTCATCAACCCGTCGTACGTTCTACCCATCACGCCACCTTACGATCTTTGCGTTCATGGCGGCTTTCCACGACATCACGAATGGGACCAACCCCAGCTGCAGCGCCGCTGGATTCAGCTCGCAGCCCGGCTGGTACCCCGTCACTGGCGTCGGCACACCCAACTTTGCGGCGCTGCTTGAAAAGTGGCTCGCGCTGTCGTGAACTAGTTTGCTGTTTGCACAACCTGCTATTTTGCTCACGGACTCGGGTGGCAATTTGCTTTCACTCGAACTTCTCCGCATAGACACGTAGACACATATTTAAACGATTCAAGGGTTTTCGGGAACGTCCAACGGTCTTTATTATTGCAATGTGCTTTGACGTGCCGCACTTCGGTCCATACCTCAGCCAATGCACAACTACTTGGTCACTTCTCAAGAAAGGGATGAATGCCTGGCGAGATGAATAACTTTCAGTTATGAGGCACGAAGGAAGATACTTCTTACTCCGTCATTTCAGAGGGATGAGGGGTCACGGTTTGTGCGGAGGATTTCGTACGCAGGCCTTTCACATCAGTTGATCTTCCAAATATTGTTTGTACATGTGCGAGAGAAGTAGCGGCTCTAAGCATACCTATCAGATCCAGAAGAACCCATCCCAGCCTTCGACCATGCAAGAACTTCATCCTTCAAGCGAGTGCTCAAAACGAGCTCGACGAGAGCTCTTCACTCACCGATTCGTTTGCTCACAGTTCACACTACGTCATTCAAAATCATCTCAGATTTGGTCGTAATAAGTCCAGTATGATTCTTACCTACACTCAGCCTAGACAGAAACAATTACATCCGTACAATCTGTCTCAAAACATGTGGATGCTCTGCATGAACACATTCAAGTCCTGATGGTCCATAAGGCACAACTGAGACCCGAACTTGGGCGTGTGGCGCAAAAGCTCCTCCAGCTCCTGCACGGCCTCCTCGGACGGCGCAGGCCGCCCCTCCGCCGTCGCGATGCGCAGGAAACCGCGGACGTCATGGATCTCCCACTCCCTGGGAGGCCAGGGTTGTTCTTGCACTGCTTCTGGGAACCTGCCCGCTCAGTAGCAACACAGGATAATAGGGTCATTTACAGACCTTCCTGGTTGCGTTCCGTCGGCGTGAGGCGCAGGAAGCACCAATTGTTCTTCTCATGGAACATACTCATCTGGAAGAGGAATGCCCAACCAGGCTCCACCGCACGGAGCACATCAACAGAGAGTGCAGGCACTGTGACGAGGCTCCGTGTGCCCCACGGCATACCTGGTTCGCGGGGGCGTGCGGTGGCGGCGGCCTGGAATGGTGTCCCGCTGTTCATATCAAAAACAATGCGTCGCGCACTCCTGAAGCTACGGAGCACGTCGGCTAGTGCACCCACCACACCCATGAGCGTAAAGAGCGCGAGGGAGCACCCACGGATAGACGGCATTATGCTCTCGTAGCTCGTCATGAGCGTAAATGCGATGGGGTATGGAGGCGGTTCCGCAGTGCACAGGAGCGAGGGGTGCATCAGTGCTTCCAATCTGTAGAACAGCTGCGGCTCCTTACGTAGGAGGTCATACAGCTCTTTAGAAGTGACGGACGTGCAGCCCATAAGGACGAGACGTTTCAGCCCGGGGGCTGCGGTGAGAATCTCGCGCACTGTGTCAGCCGTAATCTGTGCATTGAACGAAAGGTTGAGTGACTCGTGCCCCGGTAGCTGGGAGGCGATGCGGACTGCCTGCTCCGAGGAAAGAGCAAAGTCGGTGAGATCAACAGAAGTCGTCTCCTTCATCTCGGTGAGCACCTTGACCAGCAACTGGACAGCATTGTCTGGGAACGGAGACTTGGTGCGCAGTATGGACTTCGTGTCAGCCAGCTTCCCTGGCAGCCAAAGTAGGTTTTCAATCTCGCTCGTGTCGCCCTTCCCGAGAGCATGGTCAAAAGCCTGAGCGAAGGCCAACGTGGCGAGCGACGGGATCGGTGCCTCCTCTGCCGGCTCTGTAGCGGCGCTCGTGGAGGCGGCGATGTCGCCAGCAGGACGTTCTACCGCCTCGCTTTGATACTCATCAGGCCATACTTCAGCCAGCATGTCCAGCGTAACCAACTTTTCGCCGTCAAGTAGGCCTATAGTCTCCAAGACAGTCTTTCCAGTCAGTCTGCTCCTCTCAGGATCTCTAGATTCTTCAGTTGGTACTGGATAATAGTGCCGTACATATTGCTCTGCAGAGAGAGGTGTGTCGGTCGTCACGAAGCAATACGCAGGATTCTCCGGGTCCGTCACATCGATGACAGAGATCCCGTCATTATTATCTGTCCATGTTCAGGTTCCTATTAGTCTAGAGCCTCTACAAGGGGAACAGAACACCCACCGCCGTCCCAGCTGCCCATGCTGGCAGATAGCAGACTGTTCTGGAACGTGACGTCGCTGGAATATGCATCCTCTCCAACGGTAAGATCGGTGTGTAGCGCGCAGGGGAAGGCGGCCGTAGCACCACTGGTGGTGATAGGCCGCGATGCAGCGGTACTTGGGCGGCGAATGTGGAGGACTTCCGTGAGGTCGTACACGGGCGATCAGAAAGGCTTGGTGTCTCTTACCCATGTCCTAGTGAATATTCTTCGAACTTCGGATCTGCTCAGTAGCGAAGAAGATGGATATAGAGAGACGGGGGTAGAGACTTGCAAGTCTGCCCTTTAAATATTTCAGAGAACCTTCAGTTGCAGATTGAAACCCTCGTCTTCCTTGCAATTTGAATGCAAATAAATGTTCTACAGAGGAACCCTAACCTGATTTGACCGATTCCCTGACGTCATGACTACTCGCCTCACCAGAGGCGCCCCTTGAGTCTCCCTCCCCCACTTGCCGCTTGTACTGCTTTTTCCTCCGGGTACTTTGTGGCCACCCGACGCTTTTTAACCCCTTCCGCAACATTCCAGACAGGGAGTTTGGTCTCGCGAGCCCAATTGTGTATTTATCCAGTGAGGTATACTTTCAAGTTGCGAACTTGCCGTCCAGCGCAAAGAGTAGCTTAGACACTTCCTTGTCCTCTGCGTCCAGCTCTGTCCGAAAAATGTCTAACTGAATTCCGCGATGGAAAAAAATGTTATTACACCACGGAAGAAACAGTCTGCATCTTCAACGGGTGGCCTAAGCCATAAACCCGAAATGTCATACAGGGACGTTCCCTCAGGCGTGAAGCTTTGAAGGTGAAATTGATACTCACAATGCCTTTCACTGTGGTGATAATTGGAAGGTTCTTTCTTGTGTTCTCTTGCCGATCGTAAGTGAACCCGAAGCGACCGTCGTGGTCAGGCTCCACATAAATATGGACTTCCCAGCTCGCTGCAGCGGCTGTAATCCGTGAGTGACGAACTCTTCTACAGATGGTTCTCTACTCACCGCCAAGATCGTATCCCGACTTGATTGCGATGGTGTCATACTCACATTCCCGTTTGCTGACGTTGTGACCTGTCTTTAGACTCCACACATCCCCGGGTCACTTCATCATCGTCCTTGATCTCGCGGGACGTGCCGTCGTCAAACTGATACACATAAGTGCCCTCCTGCTGCCACACCTGGTGCAGGGGACAACCTGTATGACCGCATTATTATTTCTATGCGGCGTCATCTGTCCCGCCACTTCCATCATCCTACGAGGCCCTGTTCCTGTCTGGCTCAGGCGGGGGTTTGACGCTGTACTTCTTGATCTGACGAGGGGCACACGCTGCTCGGAGGGATCGGTTTGGACAGCGACGATTTCTGTATATGGAATATTGGCTGCACTCCGCATCGTATTTATTGCATTGAAATGGTTTATTTCTTGCGGCCTTGATCTGTTGAGCGTGTAGTGGATGTACCACTGAGCCTCTCTCGAATACTAAACCCTGGAGCGCTTGAAGTGTCCGGTATCGCACGGCTCCCACTCACCTTCACGTTCGGGAACGTCCACAATTGACTTACGCCGCATTTGCGCCTCGCACTTGATCGACCTTCGTACTTAGCTTCAAGAAGATGAAGGTTGGCCTATACATGGACACAATTCTCATCATAAAATTCAGAGCCAGGTGAGAGAGACGTACGTTGCGCGGACGCTGTACATGTTCGCGATATCATGCGCAAGATCAACATCGTGGCATGTGAGGAAATTTACATTGGCATACTGCCTCGAGGGTGCTTCAAAGGTGGGATCAATTGCCTGAGATGGTGCACCTCTACAAGCAGTGTCAATATAAGTCACGCTAAGTGCCAAGGCAAACGGACCATGTCGCATAAAGTTGATAACCTGCTGAGTCCCAAGAACAGAGTTCAGTAGGTCTATGCGAGTCATTCACACCTAAAACCTCACAGATAACTTCCCTCTCGAGTTCGCCAAAATCGTGTTAAGCTGAGACAGTGAAGTGAGATGTAGATAGTCATGGTCCAAAGAATTTGTCGTGGCATGATTCGTTGCGCAGGCTTTGCAAGTACGATACTTCATCCTCAGGCTCACCTTTGTGCAATTTGGTTGGATCATCTGATGAAGTCAATGTCAAACGCGGCGTACAATATGCCTTGTTCGTTAACCCCGCACATCCCCTCGGTTTCCGTGCCAATACGCAAAACTAGGTTTGAAGCAGGTCTTAATTCGGATTGCGCGCAAGTCCCGCGGGGTTGAGAGCCAGACTCAGCTCAGTGACCACTGAATTAGGGCTGCAAGCTCTAGGCTGGTTGGTCTTCGCATCGCATAAACCGTTTCAATGGGCCCGGTTAGGATTGAGTCAGATCAACGGGAAGCAGCCTAGAAATATGTGTCAGATAGTAGAGACATGAGGCTTGGCCGCCTTTTAGCTGTGCATCGCATCTTCCCTGAAAATATTGTTCGGAGAAGCAACTGCAAGGACAAACGAGACTCGAGATCGGAAGAACCCACTCGTGATGGGTGATGGTGTTGACTCATTGACGTCATGGCGAACCTCAGAAAGATGCAATATTTGGTCAGATTCCAAGGGAAAAGTTCACCGTTCAAAGCTTCAAGCTTCATGACAGGTCAGCGGCCTTTGTTCACTCGTAGTCTTCTTCGTCGTCCTCGTCGCTTTCCTCCCCTCTAGTGCACCTCTCCTCCCTTTCCTTCTCCAGCTGCTTGCGCCGCTCCTCCCTCTCCTTTGCGGCCGCACGCTGCCTTTTGGCCTCTTCTGCGACGTTGTAGACAGCTAATTCCATCTTGCGAGAAGAAGTGCCTATTTCTCCAGCGAGATACTTCGCAAAGCTATTCGGCGCGAAAAGTAGCTTAGACACTTTCTTCTTCTTTGCGTCCAGCTCCTATTAGAAAGACGTCGAACTGAATAATACGAGGGAAACAGACGGTGCTTACCCCAGGAACGTCACCGTGCGTGTCTTCAATAGGAGGCTTGAGTCGAGTGATGCGTCAATGGCATGGATAAATATTTCCGAATGCTGGAAACTCACGGCGCCTTTCGCTGTCACTATAATTGGGACATTCTTTGGCGGATCGTACGTAAAACCGAATGATCCCTCGTGGTTAGGCTCCACTGAAATATGGACTTCCCAGCTCGCTGCAGCAGCGGATGTCCGTCAGTTATGATATCTTCCGCAGACACTCTTCACTCACAGCCAAGGTCGTACAGGAGCTTGACTGCGATCTCGTCATTGGCACACTCTCCTCCGCTCGCATTGTGGTCTCTCTCCAGACTCCACACGTCGCCAACGGTCACTTCATGGTTTTGCTTGATCTCGTAGGATATGGGCTCTTCAAAACCGTACGTCAGCGGCCTCCTGTTGCGCATGCCGCAGGGGACGACCTCCATGACCGGGTTGTTATTCGGATGGTGCCACTTCTGCATCCACGCAAACCACTCTTCGAGGTCCTCGTCCCTGTCTGGCTCTGGCGGCGGGGCTACGCCGTACTTCTTGATTTCGCCCTTGCGCCCGTTGCTGGGGGAGTACATCACGACGTTCGTGCATATCTCAGAGCGATGCGCGTGCTGCCCGGACCACCCGAAGATAAAGAGCACGAAGCGGTAGAGGTGAAGGTGAACGGGAGACGCACGACACGGTAGACGCCTCGGAAGCGAGCAAGCTGGAACCGCAGTTGTATGTATGTTGGGCAAGGGGCCGAGAGGATGGTGTAGGGGTTTGGTGGGGACGTGCTTGCAGCAGATTCTCCTGTCGCATCTGAAGACGCAGCGTCTTCGATTCGTGGTTTCTTGGTCACACCACAGGCTGCGTCGATGTCTTCATGTCCGGTGAATGCGCGTTTGGTAGCGCATGTAGGAGCAGCGTGGGCGCTGTTAGTTGTGGTATCACGAGTGTTTACGACGTCAGTGAACGGCATGTCTGTGACTCGGAAACGGTCAAACTTGGTCAATTTCTTCAGCTCCGAAGAGAACGCATTTTTACTAGTTGAAATTATACCTGTATGAACAGTGTTCCAAGGATTATAGATCCCGTGATGGTTGGCGCGAATACATCGCGTGTGGGTTGGAAATAGCGGTGACCAAACAAGGGAACATAGACGCGTCGCGTCCCATACTATAGCGCTAACAGACGCTTGTGTGACGTGACTGCGTGCACGTGATGGCGTCGCCTCGTGGTAAGTCGAACATCGACCAAGACTAAAACGTTCAGAGCACATCATCATCTATTGTCGTCCATGCTGGCCTCGCTCTCCCCGTCGTCGTCTTCGCTCTCCCCGGCATCGTCTCTCCCATTGTCCTCGCTCGCTTCTCCACCGCTCACCCCGTCGCAGCCCTCGAACGATTCTCGTCGCACGTCCCCCTCCGGTTCAGATGACTCCGCCCTCTTCGAACTCTCCTTCGTATACGAAGAGAACTCCCAGGGCGAATATGTTCGCTTCTCCAAGCGCGAATCGTCACCACCCACCCCGCTCGACCGCTCCCCGGTCGTGCTCAAGCCCCCGTCGCCGGTCGCCCCTCCGCGACCGTCCCCGTTGTCGCGATCGGAGAGCATGCCGTCTGTCGAGCCTACCCCTGCACCGCGGTCTTTTCAGCGTGTCGCTTCCGGCCCTGTGCTGACCCCGGCATCGTCTTCCGCCCGCGCCAGCTTCGCCCCTCTCTCCACCGGCGCAGCTCGCAAGCTCGGCGGCGCCCGCCGCGTCAAGGTCGACGAGTTCCAGCAATCCGATCCACTTTTGCGCTCCCAGACCCAGCCCGGAGACGAAAAGGAGAACCTCCGCACCCGTGCCTCAGCAGCAGCGACCGCCGCCCCCTTTGCCGTCCGCCCCTTGCGCACCCTCCCGAAGAAGAGCGGTATCGAGAAGATCGTCGAGGAGCGTTCAGTCGAGGAAGCGGATGATCCCCTCGATGGGCCATCGCGCGTGAGCAACAGACCCCGCCGCTCTGCCAGTCTCAGCGACGCGTCTGGCGCTGGATATCACGACGAGCAACCACCGTATTCGTACCAGAGACCAGGCACGAGTATGGGCGCGCGACGGGTCACGATCGAGGAGAAGATGCGCAAGGAGCGGGAGATTGCTCTCATAGAAGGTGCGTTTATCATCCGGTGATCGACCACGGCGCGAAGCCATTGTGTCTCTCCAGGCGATACTGACCATGTTCCAGGTTATGCTATGCGAGAAGCAGAAGAGGCCGCCGAAGTGGAACGTAAGTGTCTGCCCGCATCTACCAACACTCGACTTATAGATTTCTCTGCAGGACGGGTCCGCCAGTCCCCTTCCCCAACGCATGTATCTAGCCAGTCCCGGCACCAGCGCAGAGACTCGGACACCCTTCGCTCTCTGGCGAACCCGCTGCCCTCGCCCACTGCCGTCGAGCATCTCGTCCCGCGTACTTCCCCACCCATCCGCGGGGCGTATCCTCCTGTGCGCCACCGCCGCAGTCCCACTGCGCCTGAGCCGCCTACGACGAGCGAGGCCATTACACCAGGCCCTATCGCGGTAGTCGGGCGTACGTGGGCCGCGGGCGACGGACGTGAACGCGAGCGAGAGCGTGAGCACGAAGAGGCGTACGGCGACGCAGTTGCACGCGCGCGCAGCCTCCCTGCAATGTCTGTTCCCGCCCCCGCACCGGCACCTGCACCTGCAGCTAGCCCTCTGTCAACTACGTCCGTCACAGCAAAGCCGCAAGCGAAATCGCACGCGCACCCGCCGACGGCCCAGGTTGTGACACCTGCCCCCGACGTGCGGTCCCGCAACATGGTGGTGCGTACCGCTCGACCTCTTCCTCTTGTACCATGCTCAATGCTCATTGCCCCTCTTTCAGGTGAACAAAAAGGCGTATGCACGGCTCGACCTGATCGGCAAGGGCGGATCGTCGCGCGTTTATCGGGTGATGAACGGGACGAACGAGATCTACGCGATCAAGCGCGTCGCGCTCGACAAGACGGACGCGGAAACGATGAGTGGATACATGAACGAGATCGCGCTTTTGAAGCGCCTCGAAGGCAACAGTAGGATCATTCGGCTCATGGACAGCGAGCTGCGTCCCGGGCCTGGCGGCTCCAAGGGCCATTTATTGCTGGTTATGGAGTGCGGCGAGATCGGTTCGTTGCTCTATTATATTATATTGGTGGTGCGTGGCTCATGGTGTATAGATTTGGCGAGGCTGTTGCAGGAACAACAGAAAGAGCGGTTAGATCTCGTCTGGATATCGTATTACTGGAAACAGGTGAGTCCATGGTAGACTTCCCGCGGAGTGCGACACTCAAGTGTCTCTTTCTAGATGTTGCAAGCCGTGCATGTCATACACGAAGAGAAGATCGTGCATTCGGATCTCAAGCCCGCGAACTTCGTACTCGTCCGGGGGCAGCTCAAGCTGATCGACTTCGGCATCGCCAACGCGATCGCGAACGATACAACCAACATCCAGCGGGACCACCAGGTGCGCATGCTGTCCCGTCGAAGTTCTCATGACATTACTTACTAAGTACGTTCACATAGATCGGCACGGTGAACTACATGTCGCCTGAGGCGATTGAGCTCCCAGACGGGATGCGGCGGTTGAAGGTCGGGCGGCCCAGCGATGTATGGTCTCTGGGCTGCATCCTGTACCAGATGGTGTACGGGCATCCGCCCTTCCAGCACCTCTCGGTGTACCAGAAGATGAAGGCGATTCCAGACGAGAGTCGACCCATTCAATTCCCCGAGTACGCGACGCCGAGCGTGCCCGGGCGCGATGCAAGTCCCCGCCGCCTCGATCACCTGAGCGTGCGCGTGCCCGATAATGTTATCGAGACAATGCGCAGCTGTCTCGTCCGGAATCCCAAACAGCGCGCCACCATCCCCGAGCTACTCGACCAAGACTGGCTGGTGATGCGGACGCGTAAGTTGATGCGTTATATTTTGTTGACGTTCAGACGCTGACCTCTTGTTTTGTCTCGTACTCCTTCATGTTCTTTAGAGCACCCGCCTACGCCCCCGCCCCTGCCAACTCCGCCTGCGCTCAAGGAAGATGAGACGATCATCAACCCACACTTCATGAAGCAGTTGCTCCAGTACGGCATGTTGCTCGGCAAGCAAGACCGCAAGATGGACGACGAAGCGCTTCTGCGTGATGCCGACGTGCGTCCTGATTCTTTCTGCGTATCACTCATCGCTGACCCACGTGCCCGCTTCACAGCGTCTCATCAGGGAGCTGCAGTCCGTGAATCAACAGGGTGGGCCGTAGCAAGCATGGTTATTTCCTACGGCTCGCCCGCCGCCCGTGTTGCTCGCATGGGGCGCGTCCGGCAGTGCGTTGCGCACTCGGTCGTGGTCTTTCCACCGCGCGGGCGTAGCCCGCACGGTCCGTTAAGTGCTGCTGCCTTCGTCGTGCGTCCTGCACTATCTCGTCTCTTCTCAGACAGTCTGGTCCTTCGCTCTTCGCTGTCCTGTTGTTATGCTGTCCACCGTGCTGTTTCGCTTCGGCCGTCGTGTCGATCAATTTCGTTTTCTCATCGCAGCATCCAGTGTTTCGAGTAGGAGTAAGTTTGGACTTGTAGTACCCTAGTCATTCGCAACGCATATTTCCTGTCCTGTCGTCGTCGCTTTCTCGCTACGTATGCATGAACCGTGTATGTACCTCGCAGGCTCCTCGCATTTCCCAAAATCCCTTGCCCAGCATTCAGTCATCGTATGTAGAACTGGCCGTATGCCGACGATCATGGCGTTGTCTGTCATGCAAAGATCACAATATATGTATTGCTTTCGGTTCGATTTTTGAGCCTCCCGTTGATTGACCGGGCAGCACGCCGAATTAGGCATTAGTGCGAGGCTATGCAGCAAATCGTGTTAGCAGTGTAGTCGCGACAACTAGCGAAGTAAACAGTAGCACTCTCTTCATCGACCACAGAAAAAACCGATACAGTACTCAGCAATGGAAGCCACACTCCATACTCTTACATCCTCGCTTTCTCCCCAACACTACCAACCGTCTTCGGCATCTTCTTCTCCCCGGTCGCCAACTGCTCCAGGTCCGCTTCCTTGAAGTAATGTGGTGCGACTGTTCATACTCCGTAAGTATTGCTCAACTATCCAATCCAAAGCGATGTACTCACCCTCGAGCAACCATGATGGCTTGATCTCCATCACTTGCCTGGAAGGACCGGTGAGATCCAGTGGTGTACTTAAAGAAAAAGTTCACATACCGCAGATACGACTTCGATGTCATGACCAGCTCGTAGTACAGGACAGTCTTCACAGGCGGTGTGTGCTGGAACAAACTCGAGGATGGATGGATGTAAACCGTCTGGTTCGTCTTGAGCGTCCGGTACGAGTCACCGCTCTTCTGCAATTGTGCCTGCACGCCACCATTCAGGTAATAATTCACCGCAAAGTTGTGCAGCATACGCACCGTATTGTAGAAGTATCCTGCAGTGATCGCCTTCTGCACTGGCGTGATATCGTTCGTGTTCGGATTGCTCTGCACCACAATCTCTACGCGTTCACAAAGACCCGCTAGTTGGTCCCGAATATCACGCGCGCGGCTCAAGCTCTTGAACTGCAGGAACTGCTCGTAACAAAACTGCTGCGAGTAGTTCGTCTCGGCCCACTGCTCCCACACGTTCAGCAGGGTGAAGTGGTCTCCTCCCCCGCGCACAAAGTTCTGGCGTGCCTGGTCCGCATGGAGCTTCTTGTCCTTCGGCCGGTAGAAGATAGAAGACGACTCCTGCAGCATCGAGATAATCGTGAGCACCTCGTCTGTGCAGTTGTAGTTCTCGCTCGCGATGATCGCCTTGGACAACATCGGGTCCACGGGGAACTCTGCCATCCGCCGCCCGAGCTTGGTGAGTTCGCCCCGATCATTCAGCGCGCCGAGCGCATAGAGCAATTCCAGCGCACGCATAAGCGTCTCGCCGGGTGGTGGGTCCATGAATTCGAACCCGATCAGGTCGTTGATCCCGAGCGACTTCAGGAGTAAGACCACCATCCCGAGATTCGTGCGCTGGATTTCGGGCACCGTGTTCTCCTCGAGCTCATTGGCGAACGCCCACTTCGTGTACAGGCGGAAGGCCTTGCCTGGGCCGACACGGCCTGCGCGACCTGCTCGTTGATTCGCGGACGCTCGAGAACACTACATGAAAATTGTGAGCAACGGTTCAAATGGAAAGTCGTCGCACTCACAGGTACAACAACCAGCGAGGACATCCCCGTACGCGGATTGTACGAATTTTGCTTCACGAAGCCCGGGTCGATCACGAAGACAACACCATCGATGGTGATGGACGTCTCAGCGATGTTCGTCGCAAGCACAACCTTGCGAGCGCCTTCCGGCGTTGGCTCAAAAATCTTCGCTTGCATGTCGCTCGGCAAATTCGCGTAGATCGGGCAGATGATGAGTTCCGCGATCTTGTTCCCCAGTGTACGTGCAGTCTCTTGCAAGTTTTCCTGGGCAGCTTCAATCTCGTCTTGGCCCTGTGTCAAACCATGAGTGAGGATAGACTGATGAATCGAAGAGTGCTTACGGTAAAGAATACAAGAATATCGCCTTTCGGCTGTGTGGTATGAATCTGGAAAACCGTGGTAATCGCAGCATGCAAGTAATTTGCTTCGGGTTGTGGAGTGTAGTGAATATCGACTGGATACCGTCTACCAGGGACTGTGGACAATCACCAGACTGCAAAGAATGTATATAAACAAGGTACTTACCATAGAAGACAGGAGCGTTGTCGAAGTACTCGCTGAACTTTTCCGCATCCATCGTAGCGCTGGAAATAAGCAATCTCAACTCCGGGCGGAAGCGTGCAATATCCTTGAAGCCAAAGCGATCAATGACCCCTGCGATGCATGAGTAGTGAGACGATGGCGCGACGCACCTTCACAAGGGCGAACAGAATATCGGTACTCAACGTTCTCTCATGTGCCTCGTCGATAATGAGGCAGGCGTAGCCTGCCAAGTCAGGCTCTGTCAGGAACTCGCGAAGGAGCATGCCATCTGTCATGTACTTGAGCACAGTCTTGTCGCTTGTGCAGTCCTCGAAACGGATCGAGTATCCGACCTCGTACCCCACCTTCGTACCCATTTCGTCCGCAACACGGGAAGCGACGGACATCGCAGCGACGCGCCGAGGCTGGGTGCATCCAACCTTCTGTCCGCCTGCTGTGTACCCTGCTTCGTGCAGATATTGTGGTAGCTGTGTTGTCTTCCCTGAACCGGTCTCAGCGACAACGATGAGTACTTGGTGTTCCTTGATGGCCTCCAAGAGCTGTTCACGATAGTGATAGATCGGGAGTGACTTCCTCGTCTCGTCAATAGTCTTGGCTACGATGGCGTGTTAGTACCGGTATGATACCACTCAGACTACGGCGACTTACCTCGCGTCTCGGCTTCTTCAATCTGCTGCTGCAACAGCTTGTCGGCAGCACTCAGATTGCCCTCACCACCCATGGTACTCTCCATGACGAATTTGATGGTCTGGCTCTCGTCGAAGACGTACTCATAATCTTCCACAATCTCTGACTTGTCCATCGCGCCCACTTTGAACGTACTGTGTCTCGTTTGCGCGGCCTCCCACTGGTCAACATCCGTGGTGAACTGGTCATCCTTGGGCTTCGCATCCTCGTACCGCTGATACAGGACGCTCTCCTTCTTCTTCTTGTCGATCTTCCCTTGCTCGGTGAGGTAGTCTTCAGGAAGCTGGTAGCCCTCCCACTTGTCGTCAATCTTCAAGCGTTCCTCAACCAGTCTAAGTAGCTCCTTCTTCCGTTCAAGGTCCCGTCGCTCCCGTTTCGTCATCTTCATCCCCCGGAACAACGCCTCATCGTCAGCAATCTCCCTGCGCAAGAGCTCTATCCGCTGGATCTCACGCTTCGTGAGGTACTCCTGGCGGGAGTGTTCTCGCAAGTTAGGCATAGCGCGTTCCCGGGCATATGAGTCGTCCGCCAGTTGTCGTCGCTGCGCCGCTTCCGCCGCAGCGCCAGTGGCCTTAGACGACCTGTCCTCTACGACGCGCTTCGTCTTCTCCCGGTCCCGCCCCTTTACGCGCTCTGCAAACGCGTCCCGCTCCCGCAGGTCCTCCAGTCTCTGCCGCTCCTTGCGCTTCTCCTCGTCCTCGGGTAGCTCGACGTTCATGTCCTCCTCCTCTTCCCGCCTTCTGTCCTCACTGTCGTCCGTCCGAAGCCTCTTCCGCGCCATCTCCTCTTCATCACTCTCCCAATCTCGCGCATCGCTCTCACGCTTGCGTGTATGCCGCTCGTGCTTCCCCTTCCCACTACTCCGCTCGCCCTTCTTCAGCTCGACCGCACTACTCTGCCCCACGTCGTCTTCGAGGATGAGCCCAAACTTTTGCGAGCGAAGCAACTTCGCCTCCTCTTCCGCCTGCCGCCGCGAGTGGTCGGCGTGCTTCTTGTGCTTTGTCTTCCGAGGCGCGCGTGCATACACTTCCTGGGCAAAGCCATGCGCGTCTGGTGTGTCTGGCAAACCGGAAGCGTTGAGTGCGGAGAACAGACTTTCCGGAGATTTTGAAGAAGAAGCTGTCAAATGTTCATACGAATTGGTTAGCCATAGAGCGGTACGAAGCATGAAATGTACGGGCACACCTGACGCTACCACATAGTCAACGATACTCCGATTGGAAAGCCCAAAGAACTGGATGTTCTGATATTAGCGGTGTGCTAGAAGGTTGACACATGTAAGACTCACCCGGAGTGCGTTGTCGCTTATGTACCGCTCGAGGTCGGAAGACATGGCATGGGCAAAGAGTTTCTGGTCCTAGATGATGGTCTGAATGAAGCAGGAAATGCGATTACATAATACGTCAAGATGACCTCCGGAAAACGTATTGGTCCAGTCCATGAGCAGACTCCGCACCTTATTCGCGAGGACCACACACGGGCTTCGCTACATAAGATTCGCTTAGAATGAGCATAAATATGCGGTTGCCCAACGCTACACCAGTTCCTCTTCTTCTTCGCACAGTCGTTTGTCGCACTCAGTAATAACCGCCATGCCCCACCCACTCGTCGGCAAGCCCGCTCCTTCAATCTCTCTCCCTGACGCCAATGGCGAGACGTTCACCCTGACACCGGGCGCAAATGGTGTACCCGTGGCTTTGTTCTTCTACCCCAAGTCAGGTATATGTCTCTGGACCACCACCATGTGGATGTCCCTAACACACGGTCGTATAATCCTCAGGGTCGTGGGGCTGTACGAAGGAAGCTTGTCAGTTCCGAGACAATATCGCAGGTGCGCACTTCGTCAGCTTCCGTATAGACTCGCGGCCAATGCGTGTCATCAGAAAAGGATGTGTACAAGAGCTCTGGTCTGTCGGTCATCGGCATTAGCCCTGATTCCGTTGAGAAACAGAAGGTGTTTGTCGAGAAGCAGAAACTGACGGTATGGTGACAACGAAATCATATTTGAACTCCACTCAGTTGTGTATCTAGTATCCGGTTCTCAGCGACACAAGCGGCGAGGCGCGCAAGGCGTACCATGTTGGCAAAGGTCTCCTAGGCCTCGCCGACTCGGCGCGTGTCACATTCTTCATTGACTCCAAGGGTGTGGTTCGGTATGTCGTGCATGCATGTCAGAGTCTACTCGATAATCTGATATTCGTGCATATCCCTTTTCAGTGATTCCTTGGATTCCACATTGAACTACGGTTCGCACTCGAAGTTTGTGACAAAGTGGCTTGATAAGATCAACACGGAAGAGAAGCGAGCCGCTGAACCTGCTCCCGCTAGCGAGACATCCGCTGACGCTCCTACTACCGATGCGCCTACTACCGATACCGTTCCGGCTGCTGAAGAGAGGGAATAAGTGTCAGCTTCTCTATCCATGGATTGTTCACGGTTGCTTCGTCCTCGGATCATAATGTTTTCTCTTCCTATCTGAAACATTTCACTTCGCTTTGGAGTTACTTAATACATCTGCATAATTGTTTGCATTTCAAGTTTGAGCACGATACGACTGCTTCATGAAGTGTCAAGCATGGAGTTGGGTGAACAGAATGATGTGGCATTGCAGATAAATACGCATTAGCATGAAGATACGATAACGAGTGTATATGCGAAAAAACGGAGAGTCGAACAGCGGCTACTTCATAGGCGCTGAGCCCATTGCCTCTGCATAGGTGCTATCAGTACAAAACGAAATTTCACTGATGCGCAGATGCAGCGCACCGGCATTGTGTTCCGCAAAGCGAGCACCCACCCGCTCCGAGTGCTTCAGAAACTTGTCTGTGCAGTTATTCACGCATTGCTCCTGTGAAATCGGAGGATATGAGCGTCAACTGACACTGCTTTCGACATCCAGACCGCCGGAGAAATGGACACAGATACGCGCCTCTTTTGATGACAGTGCCTTGCTGGTGAAGTCGTTGCAACATGAATTGAAGCATCGCTCCACGAGATTTGAGTACATGCGCAGAAAGTCTTGCATCTGCATCGTGCGTCAAACTAAGCAACGTTCGTGGAATCGTTTCGATGGTCACGAACCTGCTTCTTCTCAATTACCTTGGACATATGGGCCTGCTCGGCCGCGTTCATCTGTGAAAAGTCCATGGCTGAGATGCAAAGAGAGAAGAACGCTGGAGGACAAAGTGACGGTCTTCGGGCAACGCGTCCCACGTGCTCCGAGCGCTCCGGGGAGTGCACGTCCAAATTTGGGCCAAAAATCTTCCTCCAATTCACTGCTTGTGACTCGACTCCCAGGCCGGCTCGTATCGGATTTCGCTTCTGCACGTCCCGACCCCTCGTACGAACACGGAGATTACGAAGATTCAAATACAGCTGTGGTGCAACGAGTGCGTATATAAACTTCTCATCTTCGTCCCGTTCTTCATCTCCGCACACTCACCCTACACACATTCTAGTGTCTACCTCGGACATGGCCATCTCTATCAAAGACGCTCTCACTAAGCTGGATGATCGACGCGTGAAGGCCATCAGGCCGCTGATCCCCCCTCAAATTTTGCAGGAGGACCTTCCGCTGTATGCTGCACCAGTCTCTGCGTTTTATTCTATTGACCGTTCATAATAGGACCCTTGCCGCTGCCCAGACCGTTCTCGAGGGCCGAAAAGCAACCGAGGATATACTGCACTCAAATGATGACCGACTGCTGGTGGTCGTAGGGTGGGTTCCACTCTTGAGACGTCAAGATCATATTCCGAACGGTTTCGCAGACCATGCTCTATCCATAATGTTGAGTCCGCCCTCGAGTATGCTCGCAAGCTCCGTGAGTATGCCGCTGAAGTCAAGGACGACTTGCATATCATCATGCGCGTATACTTTGAGAAGCCTCGGACGACAGTCGGCTGGAAGGGCCTCATCAACGACCCCGACATGAACGGCAGTTTCCAGATCAACCGCGGACTCCGCATTGCACGGACCCTCCTCTTAGATATCGCGAAAATGGGACTCCCTGCGGGTTGCGAATTCCTGGACACTATCAGCCCGCAGTACACCGCTGATCTCGTCTCGTGGGGAGCCATCGGTGCTCGGACGACGGAATCACAGGTTCACCGAGAACTCACGTCTGCGTTGTCCATGCCCACCGGCTTCAAAAACTCGACTGACGGAAGTGTCGGCATTGCCATTGATGCTTGCCGCGCTGCAAGTCGGCCGCATGTTTTCCTAAGCGTCGGCAAGGGCGGTCTGAGCAGTATTGTCGAGACAGAGGTGAGGATAGTTTCGTCATCGTCCTTTCTGGAACTGAACATTTTGTAGGGCAACCCTGACGTTCATGTTATCCTGCGGGGAGGATCGCAGGGGCCGAACTATTCTGCGGAGTACGTGCACGATTGTGGTGAAAAACTGGCGAAGGCAGGCTTTGCCCAGCGAATCATGGTAACTCGTATACTTGTTTGACTTGTCTAAAACCGTGTCAATGTTTCGTCAGATTGATTGCAGCCATGGAAACAGCTCAAAGCAGCACCGAAAACAAATTGAGGTCGCAGATGACATCGTGAGCGTGGTGAATTTAGCGGGTTACCTCATTTTCTCATCTCTGTGTAGGCAAAACAACTGGTATCCGGCGACACATCCCTCATGATCATGGGCGTGATGATTGAGTCGAATCTCGTCGAGGGCCGACAGGACATTCCAGTGTCAGGCCCTTCGGGCCTGAAATATGGCCAATCCGTTACAGGTACGCGCTTCACGCATTCGTTCTGTATTGTCTAACATAGCTGCGCCTAGACGCGTGTCTCTCATGGGAGCAGACGGTGCCGGTGCTGAATCGACTACGGGAAGGTGTACGAGGCAGGAGGGAGCTGATTTATAAAAGAGTAAGAGGCCTCGACGCCACTCCATCCCAGGTCAATGGTGTCAATGGTGCGCAGGCGTGAGGCCAGCCTATTTCCTAAGTATCTTGGTTAGAACAAATGTATCCGTAGATGTTGTACTAACGTAATTTGGATCATTCCCCGCAGTTTGGGCGACATGCAGACTCAATTCTTGCTGACACGTGGGTGAATAACTGCAATATGGCATTGGCGTCGACGCTTCGACTGTTCCTGCTCCGAGAACCGCGGTACGAGGTCATCGGAAGACTCCAACTTACTGTTACCGCATGACTATGAGAATCTAACGGAATTGAACATTTCGAACTTGTGGTTCCACAAGCCTGGGTTCACTGATCTGTATGCTGTCGTGGGGTGCGTGCATGAGTATGGAAGCTGGCCGGCGAAGGCTCAGATATCTAAGAGCAGAAGTTCGGTGGCCGCATGTGTGGGACGGGCGCCGCCTCTGTGATCTTCTGAAAGGCCATGTCACTTCAAGCGAGGTATTCCAGAGTACGATGAGAGAGCTGTGTTCGTTAACTTACGTGCAAGCACTGTGCCTGAAATGCTTCTTCTTCAGCGCTTGAGCTGGGAGAAGATGTCAGGCCAGGGACTCCATCCATCGCGAGCTGATAACGATCTGGCTCGAGGAACGCCGAAGGAGCTGAGGTCCAGTCTCCACTGGCCGAGTTCAGTTGGATGCGCCGGAGTATCTGTGATCAGGAGGTATTCCGGGAACTATATCCGTTGAGCCATCGCTGAGCATTGAACAGGCTGTGTTGTTAGTGTTTGGGAAGCTGGCAAAGATGACAGATGGGGCTACAGAGTTTGACGAAGGTCGACAGTATGTACAGCGGTGGGCGTTCCGTAGCGGAGCACGTGTACTAACCTCCGGAATGCTTCCGGCGGCCCTTTGGTCGCGTTCCATTCGTCGCTAACGACGAGCAGAACGGCGACGACCAGCTTGGACATGCCCGACGGCCCGCTCGGCAAAGCGCAAGGGTTACCTGGAGTCGGAGATGAGGACGGGGTGATGTCCGGACGAGTTCAGGTGAGACAGACGGTGCATCAGAAATGATCATCAATTAGACGCTTTCTACTGCAGCAGCGCCTTATAATTGCTGTTCCTGTCCCATCATCGCCTCTTGCTCGTCGCCTCTCTCTCCTTCCATCTCCCCGCGACGACCATGGCCGACTCCAATCCCTACCAGCTCCCGCCTTCCCTCGATCTACCGACGCACCTCTCCGCTCAGAAGTACTTCTTCGTCTGTACTCTCACAGTCGCGGCCTGGGACACACTCGTTCTTACCCCACGAACATGGCGGCTCTTAAGGACTCGCGAATGGCCTTTGCTCAAGATCTTCTATCACGTCATGCGTGTATACATGCCGATTGAATTTACTGCTGTCGGTGCGTTGCGTAGATTCTCCGCGCTCTGGTCATTTCCTTACCAGTCGCCCAGGTGTCGCGTTCTTCGACACTTCGTTCTCGTTGGCGGTAGGCAGCTCTGTATTTTTATGTGGGCTGAGATCTTATTGTTTGAATAGCGCTGCCAAAGTTTCTACCTCGTCGAGCCCATTCTCACAGCGGTCCTACTCGCTGTATGCTCGCTCGTGCATGTAATTCGTATTCACGCCATCTACGAGAAAAATCGGGCAGTGCTCGGTGGCATGAGTACACTTCTTCTCTTGCAAGTCGTAGTCACCGCTGTTTGCTGTGGATTCTACCAAGGTGTGCTTCTCAAGAATGTCTATTTGGGGCAAGTCTGACTGGGTTCGAAGTCACTCCGCTGCAGGTGGGGCAGGGCTGCATCGCTGAGCCGAAGCACAAGTGGGTGGGCGTGTACTGGCTCTCCGCCACCTTACTCTACACTGCCTCGGTGCGTACGAAGCCAGTGAGAAGACGCTCTACTTCTGACGAATTATTGTTTGCATTAGTTTGCTCTTGCGTTGAACCGGTCGTTCCAGTCGTTGAACATTAAGCCAATTTCGTACTGGAAACTAATGCTCCGCGATGGCCTCAACCTGTATGGAGTAAGTCAACGAGACCGCTTGTGATGGCTGCGTGCTGATACAACGCAGGCCATCTGGCTGGTCAACATGGTTAATATGCCCTTCTGGTTCATCATCACCCCCACCGGTCCAGAAGATCCCATTCGCACCATCGTGACGAGGTGGGTGTTTCATGCAAATGGTATTACTGTTGCAGACCTGACATTTCCCCAGCATGACTGCAGTCCTCACCACCACGATGACCCTCCGCATCATCCTCTCTGTGCGCGGCTCTCTAGCGTCCGGTGGCACCTTCGCCGTCAGCTCCTCGTCGCGCCCGACACGCTCCGGCGGCACGACTCACGTCATCTCCACGAATCGCAACGTCGCCGGCGTCACCTCGAACCCCGTGCTCACGATACACCAGGTGCCCGCGACGTACACTGTGCCGCTCGCCGAGGGCAAGGAGCAAGACTGGGTTGGCGACACGGACGGCCACAGCAGCCTCGTCGAGGGCAAGGAGGGCATCTTCTCCTCGCCCACTGCTCCCATCGACAAGGCGGACATAGGCGTCACGATCACTGTCGATACGGAGACCGACTTTACCCGTCAATATCGGCAGTGAAGCTTTGAAGTCTCTCCGTGGTTTTCTTGACTAGATGTATGATGCGCTGATCTGCTGGCTTGGCCTGTTCGGATTACATTGGATCTGTACTATTTAAGTGTGCTTTCGATCTACTAGTTTGTTTGCTAATGTCTCCCTGAAGCAAGGTTATTGTTATCGGAGCGCAATGTACATTATACGATTATCCGTCGATGCGCTCGTTTATCTGGGTCGACCGTTGAGATCGTGTTTCATATGTCTATAGAGACACCGCGGCAGACGTGTCCACAAAGGAATAAATTCCTGAGCAAAGCCGCGGATGTATCCCCTCGAAGAAATCGCACTCGCTGTACTGTCGTGTTCACCCTTGCCAGTCGTCTTCGCCTCTTCAAGCTTCAACTTCAAGTCCAAACCACTCCGAAGGAATTGTCAATTCAAGTACAGGTAAGAAGCACTCCACCTACAAAGCCAAGAGCTATGGCGAGAGTAGTGTGGAGGCACCAGAAGAACTTCCTTGAGAAGATGCATTGCTAGGCGTTTGATAATATCGATAGCACCCATATTCCTACAAGTTTCCCATGGCCTAACTGGTAGTTCCAGGTAAGCTTTCCAACGCTGTATCGATGGAAGTTCCACCCTTTCCTCTGTACAGACATGTCGTTCACCGACAGTGCACCTGCAGCTCCTATCAGTAGTGCCCCCAGACCCGACTTCACAGGGCATGAAGACATTGCTGCAGCCTGCGGTGTGACTGTCGGGAAGCGTCCGAAGAAGGGGAAATCCAAACGCCCTGTGGACCCGTACACCGTCCTCCCAGCGCCCTCCCCGACATACATACAACTGCACTTCCAGCTCGCCCACTTCGAAGGTGTCTACCGCGTCGCGCGGCTTCCGCTCACCTTCACGTTTGCGAACCTCTACCGCTTCGTGCTCTTCACCTTCGGATGGTCTGGAATGCATCTGCACCGTGCCGACGTCTGCACGAACGTCGTGATGTACTCCCCAAAGGAGGGGCGCAATCGCCAGATCAAGAAGTACGGCGTCAACCCCCCACCTGAGCCAGACAAGAACAAGGACCTCAAAGGGTGGTGGGAGTGGTGGGATATTTGCCGCCATAGGAATAACAGTGCGATCATGCAGGTCGTCGCCTGCAGCAAGCGCAGGAAGAGGGCGATTACGCACGAGTTTGGCGACGGCATATCCTGTGAAATCAAACAGGACGATGAAGTAATCCTTGGCGACGTGTGGGGTCTAGAGACAGGTCGCAACGTCAGCAAGGGAGAGTGTGAGAATGACAAGATCGCAATCAAAATGGATTACGATCTTGGTGGTGAGTGGAAACAGTCTGCAGAAGAGCTTGTTGCTCATGGAGTGCTACCGCTGCAGCGAGCTGGGAAGTCCATATTTCTGTGGAGCCTGACCAGGACGGTCGTTTCGGGTTCACTTACGATCCGCCAAATAACCTTCCGATTATAGTGACCGCAAAAGGCGCTGTGAGTGTTATTTCAGCCTTCAGGATTGGTCTGTGTGACATTTCCGGGTTTTATGACTTCAGCCTCCCGTTGAAGATGAAGATCCAGACTGTTTCTCCCGTGATGTAAGCACATTTTATTTTGATTGTAGAATTCAATTCCACATCTTCGAACAGGAGCTGGACGGAGAGGACAAGGGGGTGTCCAAGCTGCTCTTTGCGCCGGACAGCTTCGCAAAGTACCTCGCCGGAGAGGTAGGCACATGTGCCCGTGAGACAGAACTCGCTGTCTGGAATTTCGCCGAAGAGCATGTAAATCAGGCGGCTGCAAAGGAGAAGGAAGAGCAGCTCAAGCAAGTGAAGGAGGAGAACTGAGGGAGCACAGGTGCGCCAGAGTAAATCAAAGTGTATTACTTTAGATACGACTTACCAGGGTCACCGGTTTATCCATGATGTCAGCGAGTCAAATCATGTATTAAGTTTTCTAAATGGATGCGATGTGTTGTCGTGCTGTCGGGCCGCTGCCTCTCTGGCAGAAAACGTTGCAACATTTATGGATGCACAGGGGTTTTCGATTGAGGGTCCCCTGAGTATAGAAGGCGACGTCCACAAACCTTCACCTATCCCTCTTTGTCACTCGTCTTCCCGATATTGAAGTTCTGAACAGATCCTTCGAAAGTATATTTACTAGGATATGGGTCAGAGACACCAAGCCTTCGCGATCGCTCGTGTACGACCTCACGGAAGTCCTCCACATTCGCCACCCAAGTACCGCTGCATCGCGGCCTATCACCACCAGTGGTGCTACGGCCGCCTTCCCCTGCTCGCTACATACCGCCTTCTCACACTGGTGAGGCAGAAGGAGAACGCAGAGATTGTGCGCGCCGAGATCCGCAACATCGACGGTAAGTATGGTCACTACCAGGAGCAGCCAGAGATCATCAACGTCCCATGTCCCTTCACCGCTTACCTCCTTGGTGTGAGCTGGGATGTCGATCTTACCGTTGCAGAGGATGCATATTCCAGCGGCGTCACGTTCCATCATAGTCTGCTGCGCGCCAGCATGGGTAGCTGGGACGGCGGTGGGTGTTCTGTTCCCTTTTTAGCGGCTCTCGGCTGAACTCAGACAGACAATAATGACGGGATCTCTGTCATCGATGTGACAGACCCGGGGAATCCCGCGTATTGCTTCGCGCTGTCTACTAGCACACCCCTCTCCGGGGAGCAGTATATGCGGGCTTATTATCCTGTACCAACCCAATCAGAGGATCCTGAGTATAGCAGACAGATTGAAGAGATTGTCTTGAAAATCATAGCCCTGCTCGATGGCGAAAAGATGGTCACGTTGGACATGCTGGCCGAAGCATGGCCTGATGAGTATCAAAGCGAGGCGATAGAACGTCCTACTGGCGACATCACCGACTCCACGAGCACCAGTACAGAGCCGGCAGAGGAGGCACCGATCCCGTCGCTCGCCGCATTGACCTTCCCTCAGGCTTTCGACTATGCTCTCGAGAAGGGCGACACGATTGAGAACATACTTTGGCTGCCAGGGAAGCTGGCTGACACAAAGTCCCTACTAATCGCCAAGTCTCCGTTCCCGGACAATGCTGTCCAGTTGCTGGTCAAGGTGCTCACCGAGATGAAGGAGACGACTTCTGTTGATCTCACCGACTTTGCTCTTTCCTCGGAGCAGGCAGTCCGCGTCGCCTCCCAGCTACCGGGGCTCGAGTCACTTAACCTCTCATTCAATGCACAGATTACGACTGACACAGTGCGCGAAATTCTCACCGCCGCTCCGGGGCTGAAACGTCTCGTCCTTATGGGTTGTACATCCGTCACTCCCGAAGACCTATATGACCTCCTGCGCAAGGAGCCGCAGCTGTTCTACAAATTAGAAGCGCTGATGCACCCTGCGCTCCTGTGCGCCGCAGAACCGCCGCCATTCCCCATCGCGTTCACGTTCATGACGAACAACGAAACTATACGATCCATGTGCGGGTGCTCCCTCGCGCTCTTCACGCCCGCTGGCGTGGTAGACGCGCTCGCCGAGGTGCTCCGCAGCATCTGGAGCACCCCGTTTTCCATCTCCTCCGTGGACGCCGGCCTGTTGTTCGAGGCCGTCCCCACCTCTCGCCCCCGAGCGCCAGATGTGCCGTGGGGAGCGCGGAGCGTCGTCGCAGTGCCCGCGCTCTCTGTGAACGTGTTTCGTGCGGCGGAGCCCGGCTGGGCGTTTCTCTTCCAGACGAACATGTTCAAGCAGAATAAAAACTGGTGCTTTCTGCGTCTCGTTCCGACGGCTCGCAAGTCGGAAGGTCAGTAAATGCTTGCTCTGTAGTGTGTTGTAATTGAGTGAACATGCTCCCAGAAGCAGCCCAGGATCTGCCCTGGGTTGCCGGGGGATGGGAGATCCACGACGTCCGCAGCTTCGTGCGCATCACGACCGCAGAGGGGCGCCCTGCGCCGTCCGAGGACGCCGTGCAGGAACTGGAGGAGCTCCTCCGCCATACGCCTGAAAGCGGGCCCCAGCTGCACCTCATGGACCGCGAGGTTTTGAACAGGTTCATGCAGAGCAGGCCCATGTTTTAGATGTTCGAAGATGAGTAGGTCCCCGTGTGCTTTCCCCGTCTCCTTGGGCTAGAAATGGGGTAGGCTGAGGGTTTGTGGGTCTGGCATGGACCAATTCTGAGATAATAATTTGAACGACATGTTGCGCAGCTGTGATCGAACGTAGCTATACGAGCGAAGTGCTCTTCCCGAGCGAGCCTTGAGTTAGGTTACAGCTGAAATCATTGAGTTCTTCTGGATCTGAGTAACCTACCACCTGGCATACGGAAGGTATTTATCACACTCATCCTTTTCCATAGCAGTTACCCAGTGGTCATGCATTGGTCAGGTATATCTACCTAGGCATTATCCGTCACGTTAAAGAACATTGCAATGATAAAGACTGCTGAATATTCCCGAAAGTTCCTTGAATGATTTACATACGTAATTACGTGTCTGCTTCTGTCTCCGGGAATGGTCGAGCGAGAGCAAATGGCCACGAAAGAGCGACAGTGGAACAGCAACTTACGCACAGCAAACTAACTCACGGCAGCGCGAGCCACTCTCCAAGCAATGCAGCAAAATTCGGCGTGCCGACACCGGCGACGGGGTCCCAGCCGGGCTGCGAGTAGAAGCCTACGGTGCCGCAGCCGGGGTTCGTCCCGTTTGTGATGTCGTGGAACGCCGCCATGAACGACGGGGTGTAGATCTACAAAACCAATATCGGTCAACGATGGTCGACAGTGGCGGGTGTAACGTACGACGGGGTTGATGAACCCAATAGAGCTCTTGCCGACCGCAAGGCGAGCGTCGTTCACGCTTGTGAGGATGGAGCCAACAACGGGCGACGCGGCAGAGGTGCCGTACACGAGGAAAAACTCGCCCTGAACTGCGATGACGTAGTTGGCGCTGGAATGCAGCATTAGCAACCATCTTTGGGTGAAAAGGTGTGTATCACCCGTTAGCTGCAAGATCAGGGTATGCTCGCGAGCCCGTGGCGTTCCAAATGTTCGTGGGGTACGGGGGAGGGTACTCTGTGAGGTAGTGGTCCACGGCGGATTTCTGCCAGTCTGGGATGGCGAAGACGTTGGAGAAGCCTCCGCCGGAGTAGATTACATCTTCGCAGGCGCTCTCCGACTCCCACACCGATTTACCAGAAACGACCTGTGTGGCACCGACGGCGGTAACGTATGGGCATGTCGCAGGGAAGTCGGGGTTGAAGATGGGCCCGCCCACAGCTTGGCTGCCATCCGACTCGAGACAAACATCGTTGAAGGTTGCCACACCGTCATCACCCGATGCATAGAGGATAGTCACGCCCATGAGGCCGAGCTGCGTCAGCAGTTAGTATTCAGTCGAGTCGATACAGTGGCTCATAAACACGGAGACTCACCTTGCCGTACTCATAGCACTGTCTTTCCATGTAGGCGGTGGTGTAGTCCGCTTCCGGTCCACCGTAAGAGGTGGAGATAACATAGGCAGGTTTGATAGTGCCGCAATCCTCCTGACCTGAAGAAAGAGGATGAACGGTTTAACAGGAAGTCGAAAGCACTTCAAATGGCCCCAGGTATCGCACCTTCGTATCCTCCGCCGTACGGGTCAGGATAGATACCATCAAAATCTGGGTCGTCACCTCCCTCGTAGGTGCAATAACTGCCGTCGAGGGCGTCGAGGAGATTATTGTATGAACCACCTGACAACACTGGGCTTAGATAAATGATCGATCGACCGAAAATGATGCTCACCCTCAACATCGTCTCCAACCTGGTACAAAGTCAACTGCTGGTTCTTTCCTACGAGCGACATGGAATACTGGAAGTCAAGGTTCGACTCGCCGTTGTAATCAAAGCCCGCATACGTCGTTTGAATGTATCCTAAGGGTCACGTGAGATAACCATAGATGGTATGCGAGAAGCCTTTCCAGGCGAAGAAGGAACGCACCTCCATCGATGCCTTGTACAATCGGACGCTCACCCACTTGGCCTGCAGAATAATTCGTGAAGAACAGGTCGAGATCGCTGTATACCAATGCTTGAGGCGTGTACTCAGCTGCGACAATGTCATCGTCAGAGCCTTGGGCAAGCATGCGTTAAAGAACAAGTAACTCACCGATACCGTACGAATTTTTCTCAGGTGCTATAGGTTCGTACACATATTGATACAAAGCCCGGAGACAATCGGGAACAATTTGCAAGTCACAGTCCGCAAGCTCAGTCCAAATAGTCTTTGATACATTGAGCAAGCGGCCCTGCAACAGCTAGGTAGTGAGAGGTCCCAACCTTGACAATCCCTGTGGTTTTGGGGAAGATCGCCGAAGCACCCGGCTTGCCCATGTTCTTCACGGAATCAGTTCTCTTCTTTGTCGTTCGTTTGGATCGCATTGTTTTATCGAAGTGCAGAGTCGGGGTAACGATCTCGACGTGCTTGGAGACATGTTCCGGAAGGTGGTACTTCTCGTGGCACCCGATGTGCTCCTTCACGTCGTCCTCGTACTGATACACGTAGTATTCGGTGCCCAGGAGGCTTTCCGCTTCTGCGATGGTCACGTTCGCAACGAGCCATCCCCCGCTTCCGCTCAGCTTCACCCTTTGCGCATCAATTCCGCCGTCGACGAGCCAGGCACGAACGGTATCGACAGACTCCTTCGAGGGCCTGAAAGTCTGGGCAATCTTACCTGCGTTCCAGTGTTTCCCGTAGTTCGGAGACTCAGGATGGGACACATCCATGAGGTAGGCGTCCAGAGTCTCCAGGTTGGACTGTGCGAGACCGACGCGGAAAGGAAGCACAACGTCGGGGTTGGCACGGCGGACAGCAGCGAGACCATGGGGGAGTGAGCGACGGGACTCATGAACAACGCGGGGGGAGAACGCAGAGCCACCCCCCACGAAGAACGCCGACGTGACGGCGGTGAGAAAGGGAGCGGCGAACTTCATTCTAGAGGAGACCCGGAGGATAGGAGGGAGGGCATCTCGAAGTACTTTGTCCTTATAATTATTCTGAAAGACTGATCAGATCGCGCGGTGTCCGAGTCCAGTGGGAAGAACTTGGAGCCATATGCTGGAAGTTGATGTTCCGTTGCAGGCCCGCTTAGGCCTGCTTCTCTCCCGTATCCAATCTCGATCTTGTTTCGGCCGTTACGTAGGAGATATGATCATTCTCCCGGATATCGTTTGCTGGAGAACCAACAAATCTCGTGTCCCGGTCATCCTTGTGCTGTCTGCCAGTGTATTTCTTGTGGGGACCATGCGGATGCGGATTAGCCCTGTAGCCCGTGTTTTTGATACTGTATGTCAGACCACCTCAGCCTGAGAACTAGCTCTGCTGCTGCTGTATCTGGTGTCATGGATAGAACTCGTCCCAGCGTGGACGCGCTTGTGATCAAGCCACGACATGCATGACTCAACATGACCCAGAAATGCTATCTCAAATGCGGCCGGGATTCTTCAGACCCTGACATGTGTATGCTGTTATTTGCATGCTTCGGCGAGTTAAGAATATCTGCATTATCAAAGGGTTAATGTGGTTCTTCAGTAAGGAAGTATAAAATCCCAGTACTTTCTGCAACGGCAGCGATCGCCTTTTCACCGTGACTCGATAACGGCTTCAATGGACTCGATGTACTCTTGACCAACCTTGTAATACTACATGCCAGTGGGGAGAATGAGCAATGCTCATGTACGGTTAAAGCAGATTCGCGAGCCGCGGCTTCGACGTTGAAGCTCGCGAATCTGCATTCCATGGAATCTGTTTCTTTCGCTGCCGGAGGTTCTTGCCATCTGTATAGGTACGAGTATCGAGACACCCCGTGGACCGCTTGATATCCCAGCTGTTGGGGGTTGGAATCTGACAGCACCCTTCAGAAGGATTGTGTACTGAGTCATTCGCCCGCATGGTATTCTCAGGCGGCCACGCGGCTATCACCCTTCTCCTTCCACCGCTGTGCCACATATAGCAGCCATTGTGCGGCAGCATCGCTGACAGATAATTGACCACAGCAGCATGTGTACGATAGTGGGCATTATACCACTCATATTGATGAAACGTCGATGCGGTCGCGCCAAGGGCAGGCACATCTGCCTACACCCCGTACGGTGTAGTAAAGTTATATAAGTGATATCTTCGACATCACTCTTGTATTATTCAATCAGGTGGCATGCGACCGTCGCGCACGGTAAGCCACGTATCTGTCGTCCCATCAACACGATCAATGCTGTGATGGTGGTGCATCAAAAGCGTATGTCGGTGGTGGCACATCGCCACGCGTACCCTAGTAACTCCACTACACGTCCACCGTCAGTGTCCTAGCGACCGATACTAGTGATATACTTCAATTACAGGGCGGCGTCCGTCAATTAGTGTTCCATGCTGGGATAAAATTCTGACATAAAAAAGTGGGGGACGACCAACCTCAAAAGGTGGCATAGAGCGCCAGAGGATGCCATAGCGGTGGCAGCGACAGTGTCCAGGTAAGCGACATAACTGCAGGTCTGTGAATAAATCCAGACAAAGTTCGTACGTACTTGAACCACACGCATCCCCACAAACGCTCATGCGAACTGGGGAATCTCCAGACCAGCTGACTTCGCTATCCGGATGATATTCTCCGCCTATGAGTAGCACACCGAGTCAATGGAGAATTCGATGGGGGACGCTGCAATTGCTCACCTGCTTAACCATAGGGGCATCAATCATCTCCTTGCCGCCGCCCTCGAGCTCGAGTCCAATGGCACCCTTCTGTGCACTGTGTGCGCGTTCCATGCGGTGTAGGATTTTGGCGGCACGGAAGATTTCTGGAAAGCATCCATGGAAATAAAATAAGCCAGGAACATGTGAAGAATTATGCGGAAGACATGCCTCTCGGACTAGGAACGAAAGTCGACTGAATTATATCCACCTGTGTGGGGTGGATTGCTTGCTACACAATGCATATTCGTCAGACACTGGAGCTCAATTTGCGCAGACGGGTTCTCGAACCTTGCCGCTGAACCCCAGGCGTCTGCCATCCTCGCATTCCTCTTTCAGATATTCCAAGTCTTTGTAATTCACGCAAACCTTTGAGTGGCAACGTCAATTCAAATATGAACGTCCCACTGGAACGCACCATGTCAATAGCATCTAAACCAAATGCCTTCGCGGTAATCACGATCTGCGACCGAGTGAAGAGGAGTTCTTGGCGAGATGCTGTTCGGATTATGGACGTGTCTGCGCAAACTGCCAACGGAAGACGTAGCATCAATGTTGGGTCACCGTTCTCACCTAGGAAGCGCAGACGTACAATCTTCCGCACCGAACTAAATCGTATGGCGTCAAGGCATGGTATCGCGAGACATAGGAACAGATCAAGCCACGTACGAGAAGCGCAGCCAAACTGCCTCCCAGAGCTGGGCCATACTCTGACTTCCAGCCCGCAATTTCTTCCAATCTAAACAAGGACCGCGCACTTTCGATAGAGGCCACGAGCCGCAAGGGGTGCTGCAGCGGATCGCGCACGGAATTCATCTGCATCGCGGTGTGGATTTCGCGGGAGACGTGGTGTAAGTCCAGCGCCGACTGCACTTTGGGTAAGACAAGAGTCCGAACGGAGGTCCATCTCAGCTGTAACCCAGTAAGTGGCCTTCACGGATACTGAAAGGCCGTTAAACCCACTGCTTCTGCGATGTCATCCTTGAAGAAGGCGGTGTTGATTGCATTGAGCCTCACGGCGATACGTCCGGGACTCGGAAGCTCGGCTTCCGATTTGGCCTGCATATTGGTTGTAGTAGTAGCACAAATACTGAGAACCTAAATTGCCGTACGCACAGAAATGAAGTTCCGTAACCTGTTCCGAGCAGCGTTCTTGTCTGACACAGATGGCGGGACACTGTCCTCCAAGTCGTAGATAATGACATCTGATTTATTGACCAGAGACTTCTCCAACATGCGGTCAGAAGATGAAGGCACTGCGGATTGACATACGTGCTCAGTGAGCAGTTCCCAGGCGGGGGATGAAAAACGCGACCGGGTAAACTAACCGTAGAGGTATGACCTGTGCAATTGGGTATCTCCATTTGCAGCGATTGAGCTTAAGGTCTGCAAAGTTCTGGTAGACCAAGGGTGTCCAGTCTTCACCTTCGATCTGCGCAGGACAGAGATGGGAAGACGCTCATGAAGATATCGGAGGGTAGTCATAGCGTGCTGACCCTAGCGTGACTGGAGCACTCAGGATTTGCTTGTGCAGGCTCGAGAAGGTCGTCGTTCAAGAAAGACAGTCCGTAGCTGGTTAGTCCGACTGTGCCCAGCACACTCGACTACCGTGACTACTCTCGATCGTCTGTCTGATCATGCGGAGTAGATCAATTCGTGTTTGTACGTATGTACTTACTACAAGCTTATAAATTTAGAGATGCGCGTAGATTACACATATAGGTTGGATACAGCTACAAAAGATGAATAATACATGTCCTACGATCTTCCAATCATCCCAGTCCAGTCGAATCTTTCATACTTCTGCTTGAACTTCTGTACCCGCGCCTTGTTTTGGCGGAAGTCGATGCGCCTAGGGTGGCGCCATTGTCTAGGCTCCAGTTCCAAAATGTTGCCAATGATCTCTCCAGCGAAATAACTGAAGAGCGGGAAAACATCAACAGAGCGTCAAGCAGTCCAGATCGAAACCGTACCGAGGGAATTCGCCCCCACCCTTCTCACCCTCATCAATATCTGCTTCGGGATCATCACCGGTCCCTGCTGCCTCCGATGTGCCTTCGATGACATGCCCGTAACCCTTCTCACCTTTGTGGTCAAACTGAACCATGAAATAGGGGAGGTTGGCTACCATGGCTCTGCGGAAGCCTCCAGGCCTAGCAGAGAAATCGATCAACTTCTTGTGCTGCGACCACTCAGTCTCAGACATGAGGATTGATTCCTACACCATAGTACCGTGTCAAAATTCCTCCACGATGTCAGAATAAGGAAGACAATCCACCTTGAAATAGCCGGGAAGTTGCTCAAATTGCGCCCATGGTAGCGGGACACACTCAATGAAGGAGTGTTTCTGCCCTTTCAGAGAAAGTACAGTCTCGTAGAATACTACGCCCTTGTCATCTTCCGCAAACATCCGCATCAAACACTTCATGAAATTCTGTACCACCAGAGAACCATCAGAACCCACAGGTTCCAAAAATGAGGTTACAACGTACCCGGACTTCGTCCCACACATCATCATCACCCTCCAACATCGTCAGATGATGTTGAATGGGGACAATGAGACAGTGTCCTTGGACCAGTTCCTCGTATTGCGTACAGGAGAGGTACACCCGAGTGCCCATGGCGACAACGGGAGCCTTTGGCAGCGAGTCGTCCTCGCCAAAGCAAAACGGACAGGTGGCGAGCACCTTCTGCGTCCGCTTGTAGTCTTCCCGCCATGTCAGTAAGAGTTCCACTTCCAAGTATCCTACTCACCGTTGATAGCAAACTGTCGCTTCATGGCATCAGACCGCATTTTCTTCCTACCAAGTCGCTCCGCATTGTCGTCGATATAATCCAGATCATTCTATGGACAAGAGGGTAAGCCAAATGGGTCACAGAAAGTTCAGTGAATCGACCTTACTTCGTACTTCCCGTCCGACATGATAGCACGAGCGAACTCGGTGTCAAGGTTCTTCTGATCCGCCATGCCTGCGCCAAACCTTTCTTGACGAAGCATCTCGCCCAGTGTGATGGAGTCGTCATCTGCATTGATGCGGATGACATCTCCTGTCTTAGGGTCACGAGTCTCTACCTGTATGCACGATCATGAATAGAGGCTGCGAATACGACGAAGTCGGTGCACATACTATCTCTTTCTTTTTGCGATTGCCTGGCGGTAGTGGCGAATCCTCCTTACCTAGCCCTACGTCGTACAGTCGACCACGGGCATCCAGTGTCGGGAGTAGTTCCACTCTTGTTCTCACCCCATCCTCTCCCTCCCCATGTGCCTTACGCACTTCTTGCTCATATTGTTTCTCCAGTGCCTCGGCATCTGACGCACCCACCAACTTTGCGCGAAGGACCTTCGCTTGCAGCTTGTTCAGAGAAGACGGAGACAAGGCGCGCTTCATGCCAGGTATGGAGGCCGATGAAGTCATGACAGATGGGATAGGTGTGTGTGACTGGGCTCGAGGTGTCCCACCCTGCGAAGGTAAGCGCAACGAATCAAAGCGTCTGCTCGCTGCGCCAGGTCCTTGACCAGAAAGAGTAGGGGTAGAGGGGATGCTGTTTCCGACGTCCGGACGGCGGAACGATGAACTACGGCTCGACGCACCGCTGCCACTGATGTCTGTGAACATGAATCGCCTCTCGCCTTCCGTCTCCCTGCTCTTCCCCTTGCTATCAGTATTTCTGCTCGCACGCCTGCCCGAACGCTCGTCAAGAATCCTCCTCTCTTCCTTCGCTTCCAGGAAGGCTTCCAGCGACTCGAAACGGTCCAGGGCGACCTCCTCAACGGACTTCCCTTCCTCCTCTGCACGCTCATAGACGCGTTTCAACTTCATCATCCGCCATTGCGAACCCGGACCACCTGGAACAAACGCCTTCGGTGCAGTTGCAGGTATATCGCCCAAGCTCCCCCCTTCCTTGAGCGTCGTATTCAGCTCCTTATTGCTAATCTTGGGCTTCACAGCAATAATCAGCAAAACCAGGAGGACACTCATAGGTAACAATTCACCTTGTCAGGATCTGGACGATCAGGCTCAGGCTTCTTTTTCCGAATATCGGTACCAAGGCTAGAGAAGAAGTCCACGCCCCCACTGGTATTGCGTGCATTCTGCGACGGCTCCCCATAATCCTCTGTAAGTGACTCATCTCCTGTCGGCATGCTCATTCGAGAGCTAGGTCTCTCCTTCGGTATTGTCGGTGCAGAAGGCGGCATGAGCATCCACTCGTCTCTCTTCAGGCTGCTCTCCGTCTTTAGCGACGGAGGTAACGGTGGATCGGAGGGCTCAACAAAAGCGCGCGATGTCAGCTTCATGCTCTCCGCTGTAGGGATCGTGGTAGCCAGCGGCTGAGAATTTACGTCGATGAAATGGGACAAAGAGACGAGGTACGTACGACGCACCTCCTCTCCCTCCATATCAATGTTCTTCTCTACCCACATGTCGTCGTCATTCGGGTCATCGTCGACGATGTGGACATGTTCATCGTCCTTGCGGCGCCGCTTTGCTTTGCCCGAATCCTTGTCGGACTTGTGCTTCCGCTTGCTCTTGTGCTCGTGGTGCGGCTTGTCGCGCGGGCTTTCGTGATTGGAGACAAGCTTGGCGTCCTTGTCTTTGTGGCCCATGTTTTCAGCAACGTCTGCGCGTGACGAAGTGATAGATGTGAGCTGGGATGAGTGAGTGCACCGCTGCCAGGGTGTTTGGGAGTCGTGGTCGAGATGAAGTGGATGTCAGTCGTAGAGCGTCACGTGCGCCCATCTCGATCAGGCAACTGTAGTAAATAGTCACTACCTCATCTTGATCTTTTCATGTTTGCGCAACCTTGAGAAAAAGTAGATATACACATCACGAATACATAATCTTACAGGTTTGGATATAACATTGCCACTCAAGCGTCTAACTTCAATATGTCAGCTTTGAGCCTATCGGGCAGATCATTGTCACCGGAGCCCGCGTACGACATAGTCGCAAACATTCCCTTGGTCAGGAATGATGGGTTCATGAAAAGGGTAGAATCGACCATCTAAGGCTTTGGATGTCAGCTTTTATGCTGTCGAACAAACGAGTGAGGAGACGTCACCTTAGAGAAGTGTTTCAATCTGCTAGGAGTGATGAGCACGTCGGGCGCGGAAGCTGCTGAGTCGAGGCCAGCCAGCTTGAGGGCCTCGGAGTGTGTGATGTCGAGGTTCACTTCATGTGATAGGTCGAAAGGAACAGGGAATATTGGGTAGAAACTGGTGCCGCCCTTCAAGTGATGAATCGAGGAAGTCAAGTATATCTGGCTTACCTCCTTTGTTGCAGAAGGTGTCTGCATGTATTCGTCATGGGATCACCGGCCTGGGTGGTATCTCCCTGAGACGAGATTGATTCAACCTCCTGTGCACGCTTAAAGAACTCCTCTTTACGAAGGTGGAAGATCACGTCCACACTGCTGACACCGAAGGACAGATCGTTGAGCGTGAATAGACACGGATTCGGCAAGAGGTGCATGCGCTACAGACGTATGTCAGGGCGAACACAGCGATTTGAGAGAAGTAACGTACCGGGTCTCCGGAGAACTCGAACCCGAGCTCGCTTTGCGGAAATACTGCGTGGTCGCTGATGATGTCGCGTACACTCGGGACGATCAGGACCAGAGCGCCGGGTGCAGAGTCGAGGTATTCACGCAGAGTTGCTGTGAATGTTTGTCGGAACAGTTCTGCAGGTGTTGTATCTATATCACCGCTCTTCACTAAGGGATGAGCATTGTCTATGAAGGGGCCGACCTAAGGGAGCGTTTGTTTGCAATCAGGAGAATGAAGGAAACAGGTAAGTGAAACCTCACGAGAATAGAGACTGCAGGTTTTTCTGTCTTGAGTTTTGAGATCAGTTTGTGCCACGGGTTGAAACTCAAATCAGCATCGGGGCTAAACGGGCCGCAGGCAACGAACGCAGAGAACGAAGAGTCGCTGTCAACATTCATGTTGTTACGAGGCGGCGTCTTCAGCCCTGGTAGCTAGAAAAAGATATCAGCCTCAATCAGGTTGCAACAAAAAAATGCATACCGAGAGTATCTCAGAAACAGAGAACCACCCACCACCACCGTTCTTCCCTCGAAGTGCAACAATCGCCCCTGGGAAGAGCCCGACGCCCCCAGAGCCCTGTGAACCCCCACGCAGTTTGACGTTAGAATCAAACCGCAGCGGTACTCTGGCGCCAGACCCCATCATACGGGACAACTCCAGAGTGAGAGATGCCTCATTTAACTTTACAGATCCGGAAGAAGATTCGGAATCAAGGGCGATCCGGCCGACTGCTGTGACTTCTTCCTGAAGCATGGCTCAGGACTGTGAAAAGAGAGAAATATTAGAAATAGCGCACCTCAGTCGCTGCTGACGGATCACTCAGATCCTCGATGCCATAGTGCTCTTTGACTAGTTCACCAAAGTCGTCGATTCTGTTATCAAGAGCTAAGGACATAGCTCATAAGCCCTATTTGCGAATACCGAAATGGTTGAGACGCACCTTCACTACGTTCGGATATTTTCTCGTACATGTACCAATCTAAGTGCCATGCTTCAATACCCGAACATGAGTTTAGAAAGAGAGATGCTCACATGCACGCTGCTTTCTGGACTCGGCATCATTGCTAGGTCCCACATAGCGAACTTTGCTTGGTACTGCGACGGGTATTTTCCTCCCTTCTGCCATACTGAACCCGTCTTGTCTACGGACAGCGGGACGCGCGGGTGTCCTGATCGGCGGTCCCATCGGCGACCGCATGTTCGGCCTCATCATACCATTCAACATGTTCCTATTCAAGGGTCCTGTAAGCTGCGCTTTCCCTTGCTGCTTCTTCGCCTTCGCGAGATCACTCTGCGCCTGTTCCTTGAGGGCTTGGATGCTGTCCATGGTGAACTGTTGTACGTCATCCGAGTTGAGATGCTTAGGGCCCGAAGACTTGTACTTCAGAGCTTCCCATTTGTACCACAAATTCTCCCCACTGATGTTGTATATCTGGCAGAGTTTGACACCTGGACACGTCGACGAAGGTTAGCCTGAAGGCGGAGTTTGGCGAGCGGCAACTGACACACATTCTGGGACCAGTTTTTCATCCAGACGGTCTCCAAATTTCTCGAGGATCTCCCGACGGAGTCCTGCTTCACTGAGAGAGGCCATGTTGGATAGTTCAGGCTACAATGCAGGAGTCGCGTCGTGCAAGTCGCGGCACGCGTCTGATAGCGCGTGACGTCACACATTGCAAGTCACACCAGAGATCACGACAGAAATTCCGGAATCCAGAACAGACATGAATGGGATAGCGAGAGCACAAGGTGTGGCGTCCGATCGCGCGAGGGGCCGTATACAAATACAGAGGCACCTAGTAGCAGTAGGGAAAAAAATACGATGTATACAGGTCATGGTCTCCCAAACTCTCCCTGCGGAACCGATCGACACCATGGCTGGCCCCCTCTGGGAATGACGGTGGTCAAACACTCAAGCCAAACTACAACCAGAGTCCAGTCAACGTGGCTAATCAGGCTCAGTTGCCTCAGGCTCTGATGCTGGCTCGGCGGGTGCGGCCTCGTCTACGTCTTCGGAGGTGGTCTTGGTGTCCTCCAGCTCGGCGAGCGGGCTCTCTTTAACGGGACTCGAGTTTGTGGGCGAGACGGAGAGTGACTGATGAGCAACATGGGGCGAGGATGCATGCGGGATGCTGAGAGGACATCGACATGGGCAAGTGCCACTACAAGGAGCGAACGACGACTCACTTCTCCGGGTTGGGAATCGCGGTACCAACCGTGTTCTGAGGAGCGACTCCTGCTTTTGAGAGCGCATAATCACCAGAATCGAAGTACTTGCGATCCTGCGTGGTCGCGTGGTGAGATGGCGTCGCCACTAAAGATCGATAGACACACCTTCTGCATCTTCGTCAGGACATTCTTGTGCGTAGGAAGCTTTCCGTACAGGCGGAAGAGCTTCTGCTCCTCTTCCGTGAGTTTCTAAACGCAAAACCGGTGTCAGTGGGTTGGAAAGTAAGAGGTTCATGAAAGGCTCCGCTAGGAGGTTTCAGCTTTGCTGACAAAAACGGGACACTGACACTGATGTCGACCTTGTTCCGCTTGGCCGGCAACATCGTGATGGATTTGGAAACACAAGGGGGCAGGAAGGGGGTGAAGAGGGCCAAAGGCTCTCACGAGCGGGGGTCGAACAGATAGGAAAGCCTTATGGAAAGAGGATATCAGGCGTGGTTAGATGACGGTCTGCAAGCAAAGGTGCACCCGAGGCTGCACCGAGTGGCCACTGCCGCCGAGCGGAGCCTGGCGGAACTTGGAGCTTGCCTGCTTATGACGTAAGCTGATTCGATCGCTGGTCACGCGCTCTGCCTTGCGCCGTCGACAGCGGATGAAAAAAAAATCGCAAATACCGTCCATCGTCCAGCAAATTGCAACGCAGTTGAGAACAAATGAGTCTAATCTACGACAAGAATATCGCCCTCTTCCACCTCTTCCTTATCCTCGAGCTCCTCTGGGTCAATCGCGGATCCTATCACAGCGATGAGGGACGAACTTGAAGGTCTAGAACAGCAGAAGGTAGCCTCATGCGACGTTGCTCTATCAATGCCGGAGAGCACGTAGCAGTCTGTAAGGTGAGATCCGGTATGGGTGTGAGAGGCTTCTCTGAAGTCGTCTGCAGAAGGTTGATGACCATCATCTGAGCTTCTGCTACTAGAATCCAAGTCCGGGATATCCCAATCCAAGTCCAAGATACAGCCGTCTTCAGCGCCGTTAAATACGACATCCGAAGCCTGAGAGTGAGAAGCCCGCGTAGGCGACATGTTCAAGCAGTCCTGGCGAGCGAGAGAATCCGGACAGTCAACGGAGTCAACTTCCCGAGGACCCGCGCAGTTGTTCCTGAATGAGCGGCAGCTTTCTGGAGAGGAAGGACGAGAGTAGAATATGTCTACATCATTTGCAGCTGAAAAGCTCCAGTAATCCGCAGCTGGATCATGAGACAGAGTAAGGCCATCATCAGCGCCGAGGAACCCGAGTCCTAATTCTTCCCCATGAAGGTTGTCATGTGAGAGTGTGTCGGCTGAAGTCGACACCAAGAAGACCTTTTGTGAATGAGATGAACAAAGTTCTGTAGTGCGCAATCCATCGACGCTTGCTGCATGCGTGTGGGGTGTCTGGAATCGAGATCAGTCCAAGGATGATGTAAGAGAAACCCATTTCACGCAGCTGACATTTACATACGTGGGTGTAAATTTCGGACTCTGAGCTTGACGGCATGAAGTCATCATGATCCGGCGACGAGGAAGGCGTTGGGCTATCTTCATCGAATCTGCCGAACAAGAGAGGATCATCGCCAGGAAAGTCCTGCCAGTCATCGATGTCTAATTCAACCTGACTATGGTCCAAGACCTGCTCGGATCCCAGAATATAGTCATCATCTTCGTCGTCATCGTCGTCGTCGTCTTCATCATCGATAATTTCATTCAACGTACCCCCAGCATCGTCGAGCAGGTCTTGCGACAAGTTGAACACGGCGTCATCATTCTCATCCGCGTGTACCACGCCGGACACCGTTCCGCAGCCCTGTAGATCCTAGTTAACGAGAAAAATACGTAATACAAATTGCCAATACTACCTTAAAGCGTGCCGGCCTGATTTCTTGCCTGAAGAGCCTCTCCAGCGATAGAGATAGAACGTCATAGTCTGAGTCAACAGCTGTATCAATGCCGTGTTCGGCCTTATCGCTTTCGTCAGGAGGATGCCCAAGATATCCATGTAACGCGGCGATGGATGACGCGGACGACGAGACGATTTGCGTCTCGAGGGTCTAGAATAAACGTGATGTATGAACGGCACCTATGGTATTTCTGCCTACCGTCATGAGTCGTGTGAATCTCTTCCGGAATAACGGGTTAGAGGATCGTTGTGCCATGTGGGTTATTGAGCGAAGCACAACAGGGAAGAATGAGCATTCCAAGTCAAGCATCTGCATAAAGCACAAATGGTGAGGTCGCGCAAGCATCGCTTTGCGAAGTCATACGTTGCGCCAAGGTCCAAAGATCAAGGGGTACCGTCTAGGAAATGCTCTGCTGAATTTCAAGACGTATAGTCGCTACAAATGCACCTACCTGACAAGATGCCAGCAAACAAAAGTATCTACAAGGCGGTCAAGCGCGGACATGATGGGAAGATAAGCACGAGCGGCGAATGGATCGACGTCATCCGCGCCCTTGGCTGCAACAAAGACAGTCACTCTTGTCGGTAGACCATACAGCAGTGTTGTTGCAAACCTTCGTCTGAAACAGTGGACTTCCATTCAAACACTAGATCTATCGCGACCAAGCGCACAGTGGGAGGTCGTCTACCAGAGGGCATGGGACGAGATGATGCCGCAGTAACTAGCGAGCATTCAGACGACATACGAAAATGCAACTATAAACAGATAAACAGACACTTTGGGAGCCCATCGTCTTCATCAATGTACACGTCAGACACGGTACTCAGGCCGAGCTGGGACGAGTTCTGAAGACGTCTTAGAATTAAAATGTTTTCCTTGCCCCTGCGAGAGGCGTACCGTCTTCAGATGAGACAGAAACTGGTGGACAATAGCCGAGTGCTGTACGCCATTCGCTGCAACTCTAGCAGAACCAAGTACACCAGATAGCGAGAAGACCAGATTCGAGCCAAGGATGATGTCCACGTCCTCTGGAAGCAGCCCTTTCGCGTTGTAGACCTCCTCGGATGGTGACCCAACTGCGAATATGTGACGCGCACCCAGTGATAGAGTAAAATTGCCAGCAGTCTCGCGAATGGTCGAGCGGGAGCTGAACGTGGGCATAACGGAGCACAAGATATTGTAATCGGGATGGTAGATAAGCGCGGGGAATAAGTGGTGGATAAGGGGGTTACCGGACGTTATCGGGGACAAGCAGATGCATACAGATCACTGCCCCTTCAGCACAGTCTTGCTCTGTCTGCTTCAGTGCCAACGTCGAGAAGAGTCCCCCGCGTGTGGGATACCATCTCTCCCTAGTCAGCCATGGTGCGCACAATTTCTGATTAATTCCGGTTCGTCTCGCAGTGCTCACTCCCGCTTAAGGCGCACGAGCTGGACCAGAAGATCCAGGATGTCTACAAGCGCATTCAGACAGAACGCAAGGTCCTTGAAGCATCGCATCTTCTCCGCCAGGCTACCACCAACCCTGATGTCCTCAGACGCAACGATGCGAAGATACGAGAGGCTGAGCGTTCACTCTCCTATTTCGAGGATACCCTCCGCGAGCTGCAGTCTCGCAAGATGATGCAGGCCCAACGCGATGATCATTCACGATCAGGGAGCCCTGTTCTTTCTACAGCGAGCGGTCGCGGAGGACGGTCCTCCGATAGCCCTCGCATGCACCAGCCCACATTATCCGATGTTTCTTCCGGACGTGGCGCACGCAACCCCCAAGGCTCTGCTGGTTCCGCTGACGACATACCGGGGGTTCCCAAGGCCAAGACATATACCAAGCTTGATTTGATCAAAGCAGACACACCCCACACCACAGCCAAAATCTCCCGCATGCTCCATCAGCTTGAGTTCAAGCTGCTGGTTGAGAAGCAGTACAAGAGCGGTATCGACAAGATGGCCAAGCTATATCAGGCGGACGGGGACAAGAAATCTAGGGCAGATGCCGAGAGCAAGAAGGTAGAGAGCGAAAGGAAGATACAGCTTCTGCAATCTGCGTTGAAGCGCTACAAAAATTTGCACATTCTTGACGACGCTGAGGATGACGATGATGATGCAGGTATGTGGTGGTTTGCTCCTCACGTTGATATTGTCTTACAGTAGCATACATACCTATTAGGAGGTGTGCCGGGTGCTCCTGGCATTGATGGCGAACGCAAGGACAATTTGCGCTCGAAGAACCTGTCGGGAAAGCTGCAAGTAACTTTGAAAGGAGCGCGCGAGCTGGACCACGCGCCCATCGTGACTGGCAGGTCCCGTTCGGCGTCGAAACAGGTAGAGACCTACGTATCGCTCAAGGTCGAAGGCACAGAGCGTGCGCGTTCGCACCCTACACGGACTGACCGTTGGCTGGAAGATTTCGAAATCACCATAGAGAAAGCGAATGAAGTCGAGATTGCTGTCTATGACAAGCAGTCAAACGAAACGCATCCTACACCCATCGGGCTCTTGTGGATCAAAATCAGCGACCTGGTCGACGCACAAAGAAGGCAGAAGGTCATGATGGAGAATGGACAAGGAGGTTGGGTGACTGCCGGGGCAATGAATGGCGACGGTTCGGCCATAAGCATGCAAGCACAGACAGGCAATGTCGGTGACATGAATGCCCCCATCGGTTTTGGTGACAATCGAGTTGTGCCGCCCGGCTCTGGTATGCCTCCTGTAGGACAGTCAGAGGGTATCGATGCTTGGTTTGCGGTTGAACCAGCTGGAGCCCTCGCATTACACTTGAATTTCAGTGAGTCTTACACGACATATATCCGTGTACAGTAACTCAGCCGTTCGGGAAAAGTCAAGGAGAATGTGCGCAAACGGCCGCTCGATACCCCTGGCGGTCTTGGGCGTCAAGGTGCCGTCCGCAAGCGGAAGGACGAAGTCCATGAAATGAATGGACACAAGTTCGTCCAGCGACAGTTCTACCAAATCATCTTGTGTGCTTTCTGCAACGAATTCTTACTCAATGCCGTTGGGTACCAGTGTGAAGATTGCAGGTATACATGTCACAGGAAGTGTTACGAAAAAGTCGTGACGAAATGTATATCAAAATCCAATACAGGCGTAAGTACGGGCGCCCTCGCATTGGCTGTATTTGACATATTCGGACTATGGCTGCGCAGGAGGACGATGCGGAGAAGATCAATCACAGAATTCCCCACCGATTCGAGCCTATTACAAACATTGGCGCGAACTGGTGCTGTCATTGCGGTTATATGCTCCCTCTTGGTCGCAAGAATGCGCGCAGGTGTACTGAATGTGATATTACTTGCCACGCCAACTGCGCCCACCTCGTCCCAGACTTCTGTGGCATGTCCATGGAGACCGCGAACCAGCTCCTCCGCGACTGGCGTGATATTAACCGGGCTCGGGGCGCAAAGTCGACTGCGCAGGCGCGTCCAATTGCCCATTACCAACAGCCTCCTCGACCTCCCATGCCGCCTCCAGAGCCGCAAGTGGATCACATCATCACGGATGTGGAACGCGTGAAGCTCGGGGAGCCCGCTGTACCGCCCAAAGGTGCAGACTACCCGTATGGTCGTCAACAGGTCCAAAGTCCTCAAGAGACGACTCCGCCCGATCAACGTATGGTACAGCCCCCACTGCCTGTTACCGGGGCGTACGCTCCGCCCCAGCCGCGTCCGTTGCCCGGTGGGAGAATACCGTTGGTTCCGGCCTTCCCTTCAGAAACGTTACAGCAACAAGTGCCATCAGGACGGCCTGGATCTATGCTCTACGAAGATTCCTATGCCTATCAGGTATGTGAGGTATGATTCATTGCCGGACTTCTGACATATCTACAATGAATAGAAGACAGTCCAGCAAGCCGTTCCACCGAAGGACTATGCCCCACCACCTAGCCCTGGCCGTGCTATTCAGCCGGAGCGGCAAGCGTCCCTGGCTCCTTCAATTCAACAACAATACCGACCACCAGCACACAAGCGGAAAGTTGGTTTGGATGACTTCAACTTTTTGGCTGTGCTCGGGAAGGGTAACTTCGGAAAAGTCATGTTGGCGGAAGAGAAGAAGACGAGTAGCCTGTATGCCATCAAAGTGCTCAAGAAGGAGTTCATCATCGACAATGATGAAGTCGAGAGGTGAATCCCGTTCTCATCTGTTGTTGCCGAGTTGAAAACTCATTCGCGTTCCCCAGTACTCGCTCCGAGAAGCGCGTTTTCTTGGCAGCTGCACGGGAACGCCATCCGTTCCTTCTTGGCTTGCATTCATGTTTCCAAACAGAGACTCGTGTCTATTTCGTCATGGAGTACGTTAGCGGTGGTGACTTGATGTTACATATCCAGCGCAGGCAATTTTCACTTCGTCAAGCCAAGTTCTATGCATGTGAAGTTCTCCTTGCGCTTGAGTACTTCCATGCAAACGGAATCGTTTACCGGTGAGTGCACTACCGTATGCTATTGTGTTATTGAAGCTCACTGTCTGCCCAGTGATCTTAAGTTGGACAACATCCTACTCACTCTGGATGGTCACGTTAAAGTAGCCGACTACGGTTTATGCAAGGAGGATATGTACTACGACAAGACGACCAGTACGTTCTGTGGCACTCCAGAATTCATGGCACCGGAAGTCAGTGTCCACTTTGTGTTGTCATTGTGAACGCGCTTATAAAAGATTGTTAATCAGATTCTTCTGGAACAGCGTTACGGACGCGCAGTTGACTGGTGGGCCTTCGGTGTACTGATGTACGAGATGTTGCTCGGGCAGTCACCTTTCCGTGGCGACGACGAAGACGAAATCTTTGATGCCATCTTGGAGGATGAGCCGCTGTATCCAATCACAATGCCCAGAGATGCCGTCTCGATTCTGCAGAAGGTAATGACTATCACAGAAATGGTGTTCTTTTTCTGACACATGCTTAGCTGTTGACTCGGGATCCGAAGAGACGACTTGGTTCAACCGAGGCGGACGCGGAGGAGATCAAGAGACATGCTTTCTTCAAGGATGTCAGTTTTGACGACGTGGTGAACAAGCGCATACCCCCTCCTTACTTCCCCACAGTCGTGAGTGTCGTCCAGACATTAATAGTAGACATCCACTTACATCTCACAGAATGGGACGGCCGATACGAGCAATTTCGATGAGGAATTCACCAAGGAGCAACCCACGTTGACACCGGTACACGCGCAACTATCCAGTCGCGATCAGGCGGAGTTCAACGGGTTCTCATGGGTATGTTTTCCTCGAATATCTCGATTCAGGATATTGATTTCCTCCAGGTCGCAACATGGGCGGAAATCTGAGGACCGCGACTCTTTTGACGATCATTATTACGTTTTGTCCGTTTTGCTGCATCCCTCATTTTGTACTTGGATACCTGTTGTGGTTCATGACAAATCAATATCATGCGTTCGATCATATCATCGATTTTCCTGTCCTACGATACCCTGCTTTCCTGGCAAAACATGTCCCCCAGTGCCCGGTAAACCTTGCGGTTGTTCTGCGGTAGATTCGTCAGGATCATCTCTCTGCCCTCGCATCAGTTCGTGGAAACTTTGCCAAAGTGTGGCAATGGTCTCGTATTCTCTCGTCATCCCGAGTACTTCCTCAAGTCCACGGTTCAGATTGTTACTCGACGAGAGCAACTCTTCGAAACCCTGTGAGGAGCATGAGTGCAATAACTTCCAGTACTTTAATATTCATGCTGACACTGGTAATTTCTGCGGTCAAGCGATCTCGCTCTCGCTCGAAGAATGTTCCTTCTTCCTCCATGTGGGGCGGTAGGTGGAGGAATTATCTGAACCTGTCACGATCTCGCGATACAACAAATTCCCACGCCACTTGCAGACGGAGCATGGCATCATATAATCAAGCATACGGTATGAATGATAATACAGAATAGAACGGTATAAGTCAGCTGAGATATCAGAAATACATAGCAATGTGTAAAGTAATCGCCCGTCCACCAGGAGCCATCCAAATCCCAAAATGCACTAGAGGAAGCCACTCTCCTGCAACAGCCTCGCCATCTTCTCGTCTTCTCGCTCACGAGGTTCCCGCTCCAAGCTGAGGTTCCAGAATTGGTCGCCGTAGTCTATCCCATCGGCGTATTGTCTGAAGCTGTCCTCGAGATAGGAAACCACCAAAGGGAGTGTTTGCAAGTTGTAAGGTTTTGACTGCCATCGCTTGATGTCTTGTATCACTTCGGCAGCTTTCTGTCGTTTACGAAAGTTGATCATGTTGCCCCCCAACTTATCTTCCGCTCCATCATTAATGAAAGTCAATGTTGTCAGATAAACGCCTACAAATGTTGTTAAAACGTGCACGCATACGAATCGAGCGAACTCGCCAATGAATGGGACACAAGGAGGGGTGATTCTTGCCAGCAAGGAACGATAATTGTTAAAATTCTTAGCGGAGTCAATGGTTGTTTCGCAACTCCTGAGTTGCGACATTGCACGGGCTTGAACATGTTCCCATGTCCTCTTCAATCTACGGATTGGTGGGGTATTCAAACCAGATATGATAGCAGTCATGGTTGAAAAGTTCTGCATTGCGCGACATCGCTGTGAAGGTGAGAGTGAATTTTCAAATCGCGAAACAAGCGAAGCTCAAGACTACTGACGTCAGCGACGCTGATGAAGTGCTTTACGACAGCAGCTCGTCTTTTCGAGTCTTCTCTACTCAGCACAGACTCAGCAACCCAATTCGCCATCTGTGAAACCTCTAGAGCCATTTAACCATGGATGATACTCAGCACGCACTCGGTTAGCCAACTGGATCATGGAGGTGATGTTGTCGGGATTTTTGCCAGGTTTTGACTCGCGCGAACGCTGGAGGCACTCCATCGGTCTGATCTTCTTATACAGAGCCGCCTCCATAAGCGTAAGCTGTCGTGCAAGTTCCAATGGATCGATGTCTAGCAATTCAATCCTCTTGGAATTCCTGGGCATGATAGGTGCTGGAGGTGCCAAAGGGACATGAGTAGTCTTGATAGGGCCATCACCTCCCCTTTGCTGCAGAGGAACTACATCAGCACTTTTGGAAGAATTGTCCAACTGAGAGTTTACGCACAGCACGTTCAATCAAAATCAACAGTTGCCGTGCGGCAGCGAAATTGACCACTTCCTCATCAGATGCAAACTCCTTCATGCGGGTAAGGATGTACATGTCCTCCTTCTCAAGGATACCATCGTCGGTAACCATGGTTTTGAACGTGTTCAAGACCCTGAAAAGCGAATCAATACAATATTTAGTAACATCCACTTGTACTGCGTACCGCACGCGGATGACATGTTGCTTCAGCTTCGTCCACTCTTCTAGCTCCGGAGGGGCGAGACCAGGAGGTGCCTGGATCCAGAATCGTTGAACGAGCAAATCGAAGAGTTCGTCGATAGTTATGAATGACTTGAACGTCATGAGGAAATTCTGATTGAAGGTAGGATCTGGAAGTGTTTGTTATTGCCAATCGCGTCAACGGAAAGACAACGTAGAGACTCCCGAACCTCCAAGTTCATGTGCGGTCAAGCGTTCCACCAAAGCTGAAGGTGTTCCGGCCCTGACACCACCTTCAGGATCCACCAAGATCTCTGACTGGTCGTAAGTTGGCCGTAAGTACCAAGGCTTGGCGTCTGCATTCATCTTGTCGACGTAATGCTGCGGAGTTTCAGGCCCAAGAACCTTTATGATCTTTGACCCTCCCGTCCTAGGTGGAGACTTAGTGGACGACGCTGCTGAGTGAGAGTCAGTCAGACGACAAAGAGCATATCTCGGAGACTACTTACGATCCTCGTCGATAAAGCGTACAGGATCATCGTCCATCGAGGATATGGGTTTTCCTGCTGGAGGATACTGGACCAGCGTGCTGGACTCGGACGGCTCATGCCAGGTTGGCGTAACAGGCTCGCCGGTGTCATCCGATCGTGACCTGTCGGACGAATCCAAGGACGTCTCTGACGGCTGCGACGCATTGTAGAAGGTCCTCTGCTCAGTTTGGGTGGTACTGAGGGGACCCACACTCCTGAATCCTATCTTGCTGAGCGCCAACCCCACGCCTACGATATCCTCTTCCGATACATCATCAGTTGGTTTGATGCACGACCTTCTCCTTCGCCACTCGATGGAGGTATTATAGTCGCCCTGCCCAATGTTAGATTGGTCGAATCCAACTGCCAACAGGGCGTCCAGGCTCTGGATAACGACGTTGGCGTTCATCATGAGAGCGGCTGTGAGTGCGTCAAGGTAATCCAAGTAGGCGGATGGATTCTGTGAGTAATGAGGTGCATGACCGCTCTGGGCAGCCATCAAAAACGAAGCCCCGTCGTCATACAGAGACTGCACGGATGCTTCCATCGTACGAACGAGCAACCGGGCTCTCTCGACGGTCTGCATGTACTGTATCTGGACGGGTGACTGGGCCAATTCCATGCGAACGCCATCAATGTCGACATGATGTGCGACATTGAGACTCCCGACCACGTCGAGAGTCGAGGACAGGTGTGCAATTATATACTGGCTCTCCCGTCTGCATCCGTCTAACCTCGACAGTCAGCTACGCATCTTGGTATCTGCGATTGGCGCACCTCGATCAAGCTCAGAGCGCTTGAGTGCCGTAGGGATAGATCCGAGCCTCTCACTAATGAATCTGACGGCACTCTTCATTTCTAAGACAGATTCTGCCGTGAAGTTCAACAGCTGCAGCTCTTCTCCTTCTCCAGGCGGAACGTAACCGAACCCCTTCCAGCTGGCAGCCGTACCAGCTCCTGGCAAACCCAAACCAACATTGGCAGTGGAGAAAACGCCATATAAGCGCTTGGTGATAGGTTTCGAATGCTTCTGTTCCACGGTAATCTGATCCTGGAAATACTGCACCTCGACCACAAACGCTACAACTGCGCGTTCTAGTTCGGCTACATCGGCCTCCATGCGATTCGGTCTATCGCTCGTGGACACACCAGGGTCATACTGCATTGCTAGTGCAGACAGAACGAGCTTCGACAACGTGCCTGCAACTTTTCGGTGCGCCGCCTTGAGGTGTGTCTGCAATGTCTGACCTCCAATGGTGGGCTTGTTGTCATGTCCATCTCGAGGGTAAAGATGAGTGGGAATGTGACCGGAGGGAGTCGCGGTAACATAGAGCAGGTTACGGACAGTAGTGACGACCTTTAATACGCGCTCGTCGATCTGTCTGAATTGTTGCGTTCGGCGTGGTGCTACAACAGACTGAAGGTACTCCATGACAGCAGCGGTCGCTTCCCGGACTTGGTTCGACAACTCGGGGGGGGATTCGGGTGACGGCGGCGTCAGCGCCTGCTGCAATGACCTTGCGAACTGCTCAGGTGGGGTGAGCTCCAACTGATTCGGTGGTTGTTGTATACCTGTACTAGGATTCGAAAGGCTCAAGCCGTTCGCATCATTCTTCGCACTTGCTGAAGATTCCGACCTATCGCGCCATGCCGGCTGGACCTCCGAGTCATCGGAATGTATGCTGAACCCTGCGGCGCTATTACTGCGGTCTCTCGTCCGCGACAGAGAGGAGTCAGAGCGCATTCGACCAGCATTGACTAGCATGTCATAGCGGTTTGAGTTACTATTGTAAACCGGTGAACAGGCTGCCGCACCTTGGCTGTTCGGAGTGCCGTCATTGTAAGCTGGAGGAGCGTTTGACACTGGAAGCGTCCACGATACCTGCCCATCCAGCTTGTTCACGTAGAAATATGAGATTCCATCGTCCGCCAAACGTCTGACCCACGGTTCAGGTGTCCGAGAACGTCCGGGAATACCAAAAACCAGCGGGAACACGGTTTACTGGGTCCGTCCCATTGACAGCGTTCATACCCGTACTTGTGCCTGCCCTAGACGAAGGCTGTGCTGTCAAGCCAGCCAAATCGCCATCAGGATCCTCTTCAGCTTCCTGTGGCAAGTCCCTGGCATGTTGTCCCGTCTGGGTATTCACGTAAAATATCTGGCAACCGAGATTATGAGTAGAGCACTGTACAGGCGACAGACCAATCGTACTCGACCATCTTGGGATACTTGTGGTACCCAGAAATCACTCGGCTGTGTAGGATTGCCGTTTGAATGACCGTTCGCAGTGTGACCCTGAGTCGAGTACTCAAACTCATCATGCAGCCAATCCCCGTCACGGTCGGATTGAGATAACGCCTGAGACATGCTGTGCGCCATGTCCACTGTTGATTCGTCTGCGAGAGCCGGTTGAGCGGTCGAGAACTCGGATCCATTGAGCGCAGCTTCGGCCTCTTGATCTGAGATAACTGTCACATAGTTGGACGGAAACCAACCACGCTCGTCGCCTAATAAGCCGTCCCACCACCCCGACTCCAGACGGGTGAGGACCTCTATGATATCGTTCTTTCGGAAAGAGAGAGAGGATGCATCTGAGGTCTGGTAGTCGTAGAGAGCGCGGCAGAAGAAGGTGGAGATGTATTGTTCTTCAGCAGCAGGTTGCTGCTCAGTAGTGGATGCTAGCACTGTCTGCCGGCCGCCGTATGCGGCGGATATCATGATACAAGCTCCAGGCTGGCAGAGACGTGCAACGGAATGAAGACGGTAAGACTTAAAGAGCGACCGGGACGATAGATGTGGGAGAAGCTCCCTCGTCGCTGTGCTAGCGCTGACGCCACGTGGTATAACAGTACTCGTTCTCGTTCTAGTCGCCTCGCGACTCTCACTTCACATGCTGGAGCCTTCATTCGAGGTCTGCGCAGAGTGTACTCCTAGAGGCCGTAATCACAGATCACCGCTTTCATATTTGTGTACTACACGAGAATTTGGACAGTACAGCCCAGCGGTCTTGAGTCAGGTAAGTCCGACCCGCACATCACTGAAAATTGCTCAACGAGACGACTAAGTAGGAAGAGCTAAGATCACGTCTAATGTTTCAGTGTTCTCTGCTTCTCTGCAAACTCGACAATCTTGCGATCCACGAACATGCCTTTTCGTTCTCGCACGGCGTCCATGTACCCCTTCGCCACATTAGATCGATCGGCTTTCTCCCCAAGGTCTTCCAGCTCTTCTTCTGTACTCGGTACCCAGAAGGGATCTTGATCGAGCATCTCGTACCTAGGGTGTTCTGAGAAAGAAGTCCATGCGACACTAGCACCGTACTTACCCGCTAAAGATGAGTTGCGGGCTCGCTGCACCTGATGTGCGCTTTCGTATGTCTGCCGAAGGTATCATCGGTGAGTACAGTTCCAACCATAAGAGTTAGATGTGTACCGTCCGCAAAGCCGAAACTCTCCACCACAGGCAGAAGGGCACGGACAGTGAAGAATCCTGTACCCTCCTTCATCTCTTCTGCGACGATCCTCCCGCGTCTTTTGGCGACGACACCGTACATTTTGCCTAGGACATCAGCTGTGGAGACCATCTGAGCGACACGAGAGATGGAACAGGTGAAACGTACTTGAAGCTTGGATATCACATGTATACATGGCCAACAACAATCGCGGTGACCAATCTAGCAATCCATTTCTGCAAGCGTCTTTCACCGAGGAGATGAACGCCCCGGTGACTTGGGGCATCCGGTTGTGAGCTGGGACAGGGTCAGAATTTAGCATCCCTTGAAACCAAATGCTTACTTCTCTCTTGTTCAATGCCTTCCCTATCAATTTCAACAGATTCAACGAAGTAGGCAAGCCCTTGTACGGGTTCTGCGCAGAGAGGTCCCTGGAAAGTTGCCAGCTGGAAACCGGCTTCCAAACTGTTGTCGAACCCCCGCTTCGAATGCTCCCTCGAATCGTCGCCTTTTTGACGGTTGAGAGCCTTCTTGAGCCTAAGGCAACGATAGTCAGGACAGTGGCGCTGTGTGATGAATGTAACACTCACGAGTTAGGACTGCTGTCACATCTAGCATCTATGAGCACACAGCTTCCCGCTTTCTGTGGTCCAAATGCCCAGAGCTTATCCACAACGTCAATCCATTCGCCGCCAGCTTCACGGCATTTCCCTTCTAGAGCTCGCCAGAAGTCTTCAGGGGGAATGCTGGATTTCTCGATGATCTCGCCATACACCTCCTCGAGATCCTCTTCGGTATCTGCATTCGCTTTGGCATCTGTGCCAGTCACGTCATCGATCTTCACTTGCTCCGTATGCAACCGTTTCAAGGTCGCGAGATTGTCTAGCAGGAAGTCCACTAATAACTTCGGCAGTGGAGAAGCTCGGATAGTGAACTTGACCAGATTGTTGGAGATGCTTCCGTAAATTGTCCCTCGCTTGGCATGAGCTGTCTTCGGCGGTGCCATATCTACAAGCAGATGAGAAACGACCAAACGTGCAGGGAGATGCTACTTACCGGCAGCTCTCATAGCAGTTTCCCTGAATGGAACAATCGGCTTCGAAGCGTGGATCTCGACCTGGGCAAAACGCTCCCGGAGATCTTTCAGGCATCTCTAAACAATATCCGTTGGTACGAAAAATCGTATGCAAGGGAAGGACCTACTTCGAGATGAAGTTCTCCTGCAGCCAAAATGACATGTTCGCCGGTCTGCTGCTGGTAAGTCTCGACACATGGGTCCGCCTGACTGAGCAACTTGAGGCCGTGGATGAGTTTTGGCATATCAACAGGCATTTTTGGCTCGAGAGCAACACGGACGATGGGAGCAGCCTAGGGTAACCCGTCACTAGGAAACTAGAGCAAATAGACAGGGAACATACATAGCGATTGACAGCTCCCAAATTGAGCAGACACTCCTTATACTGGGTGACATCTGGGCTGCCTCCAACGCCGTTGTGACTGGGCGAGCACAAGGTCGCACTGCGCCAAACTTTCCCGTTCAACCCTTGAATGGCGAAGACGTTCCCCGCTTGCACGCTCTCTACTGGGACGAGTTCCCGACCCATCATGACATACAGAGCCTCCACATGTGCAAAGACTACATGTGGCACATTCCGAGGATGAGTTGCTTCGAGGCTGTTATCAAATTTCGGCAGCACACAGCAGATGGTGATTCCAGTTCGGATGGTCCCGGAGTAGATCCGTGCGAACCCAAGCAGAGTTTCGTTCTCTACAACCAGCGGCTCGTCTTTAACCTCGAGCTCCTCCGATGTTGTCTCTAGTGGGATCGGTGGAATACCTGCGTCTGCGTCACCATCTGTGGCATGCGAGGCTGCTCTAGCTTCCCGACCGTTTCGGGCTTTGCTCCGCATTTCTTCAGCGGTCATTGGCTTCTTCTTGTTCTTTGGTAACTCCTTCGCTGGAACGGCGAACATCTTGCTCACGAACGCTTCTACGTATGCGTCTTCTCCTGCGTTGCAAGCGTAGAGGTCCCTTTCAATTTTGTTCTTCGCGACAGTGACTTCGTACGCATCGGGGTAGAGCATCTTTGGGATTCGAGTACTCTGGGCCACAGGTGGAGGGGGGACGATGTCGACAATGGTTTGGATGATGCAAGTAGAGAGGGAGAGCCATTGGGAAAAAACCGTGGAGAGTAATTGTCGACTGTCTTTCGACTTCAGATCGCGAGGCGGGATCTTCAAGTTAAGTGCATCAACAATTTTGGTTATCTTGTCGGGGTTTCTGTAACATATCTCAACACTATATTTTCCTCCAAGAAATATATTGGGACATACGGGTTTAGAATTACAGCATCGTACACTGCCCAGATGTTTTCCAGCACGAACTGTACAAACAACGGCTTCAAGACGCGGCCGCGAAGGTGCTTGTAACTGATCACCCTCTTCGTCTTGGGATCTAGGTAGAAGTCGCCCCACAATACAGTGCGCAGATTCGCCTCCTTCATTCCCAGCTTGACGGCATATAGGTGGGCGAACTTGCCGATGCGGAAACCCCATCCGTCGATTGCAGAAGCAAAAACAACATTTCCACGCTCGGGGGCAAAATAGATATCCTCGTCGTCCTTCTCCTGGAATTCATCAGCATCATTGACCGTTGCAACTACCTCGGCGGCATGCGATTCATTTTTTGCTGTTAAACGACGTTCTCTTTCTTCTCGCCACCGGAGATCGTCTTCCATACGATCTCCAGCAAAGAACCCTCCCATAACCGCGTTTACTTGCTCAATCAACCGCGAAAGGTGAAAATATGCCTCAGTCGGAGAAAGTTTCAGTTCGGTGATGAGACGGTCGAATTTGTTAATGACAAGAATGGGTCGTAGCCGATCTTGCCACGCTTGTCTCAAAACAGTGATTGTCTAAAAAGATAATTAACTCACGGGAATTCGAGTAGATCTCTTAAGAACACCGGACCTGTGTGCAAACGCCTTCCACTACATCGACCAGGACCAAAGCGCCGTCACACAGGCGAGACGCGGTAGAGACTTCACTCGAGAAATCGACATGGCCCGGTGTATCGATCATATTAACAACATATGTTTTAGGAGAGCTTCCTAGACGAATTAGTCACGCAACTGGGTAGCCCCCGCCGCAGTGTAGACGCACCTCCGTCGGTAGTCCTATCCATGACCTTGAACCTCAAGGAAACTGCACTACTTTCCATAGTAATGCCCCTTTGTTGTTCATCCTCTCGGCTGTCCATGTATCTGATTTTTCCCGCCATTCGAGAAGATATGATGTTGTTCGCCGCGAGGAGAGCATCCATCAATGTCGTTTTACCGTGGTCTACATGTCCGATGGTCGTCACATTCCGCACGTCCACAGCTTCAGAAGACATAGCGCCGAGAGTGGACGAGATCAGCTAATGTCAACTGGTGCTAGTAAGGTCAGAAACCTGAGGACCAAGATGAGTGTCGCGGAGAGACGCACGGCCCGGTAAAATCTGGATCTAATCAGAAGCCGATCCGTGATCTCACTCGAAAGGCCGCCAGGCGGCGGCGGAACTTGCTCGGAGACGAGGGTGGACAGTGCCACAAAACAAATAGCGCACAACAACTGTGTAAAAAGGACACTTTCACTTTTGGGTCGGGAGAGCTTGCTCTCCGAGCAAGAATGCCTTTCGCCTCATTGTGATCTACTGCAATAAGTTTGTTTAATCGACAGGATTTACGTTATCACCCTAAATCCCAGTAAAACGGTCGCTCGCACGGCGGAAAGGTAAGTCCATCATGTATTACTGCGGCAGGCTGGCGGTTTGCGCTTGGTTTGCACTGCAGATGCTACTGCAGGATATCTTCTAAGTTCTGGCGTACTCTATCGTCTAAGCCCCTTCCAATGAACACCAGCTTGCCCGCATCTGGAATACCTGATGCGTCTGCTTCCTCTTCTGTATCTACCTCGGCGAACTCGTACAGGTTCCGCACTCCTTGTAGCACGGACATCTTTCCGGAGTCAAGAAAAACCATACCCTTGCAGCGCAGAATTTCCAGTTTCTTTGAGTCATCGGAGGATTGTCCAGGGAGCCGGTTCTCCCAGAGGACCGCGCGGATCCACTCATCGAGTTTCGCCATCTGAAATGGGCTAAGTGACGGGCACGACACCTGCATGCTAGATATTCCACGGATCTCGTAGTGTGTGCGGCTGTGATCGTGGTCGAGCGCTGAACCATCGTGACGATGGTCATGCTCACAGACCGGCGGTTCGGTTTGCGACGACTTCTGCAGAACGGAACGCGATGTGTACGCGTCAATTCCTATGATGTGCTTTAGGTTGATTTCTCCCTTCACCGTCCTGTAAAATGCTGCCACGGGATTGATGCTACCAATAATGTCTTCTACGGCTTGAAGTTCCTCGGTAGGAACAAGGTCGACTTTGTTCAACAGTACCACATCGGCGCAAGCAATTTGTCTTCAAAGATCCGTCAGGAATATTGCGTTGCATATATGGCGAGTATTCGCGTACCGTAGACTTTCGCCAATGCTATCTGCCGCATGATCTTCTTTCATTTGCTATCTGGATGTGAATAATAGATCCTATCGTTAATTGAACGCACGTACCTTGCGTCCGAAGACAGCATCAACCACACATACCACTCCGTCAAGATGTATGTCCTTACCCAACCCCATGGCGAACTCTTCATTTTGCCAGAATACAGAGGCGATAGGACCTGTGACAGGTGTATGCTCGTGAGCTTATAGGCCACATTTTGAAAAACAAAACTCTACCTGGATCCGCTAGCCCTGTAGTTTCCAGAAGGATGTGGTCGAAGGAACCCTTCCGCTGCATGAGCCTCTCAATCGCCGCTATGCCAGTATCCTTGATACTGCAACATAAGCACCCGTTTGCGAGCTCCAGGAACTCCTGCGACTGCTGGGTGGGGTCCTCCGTAGAAGACACATTGATGGTTTTGGCTGATTAACGGTGAGCATGAGAGCTTGATGTGACCTATAATACTACCTGCGAACCTTCAATGTCCTGGTTAGAGTTCAGTCAGCATTTCGGTGGGTACACGGAGACAACGTTCACTCACGGCGGTGTCGCCAAACTCATTCATAATCACTGCTATCCGGTAACCATGGCGTTCGGTCAATATTCTCCTATCCGACGCAATTGTCCAACAAGAGTAATCGAGATGAAGACTTGGGAAGAGCATACCTAACGAGGGTGGATTTACCCGCACCCAAGAAGCCTGTGATGATCGTGAGAGGCACCGTCCGAGCCGCTGCATCAGCTGGGCCATTCGTACTGGACTGAGTCTCAATGAGAGTGCTACAACCCTATCAGTCGTTTTGCCAGAACATAAGTGCGAAAACATACGGTATGTCGTCGAGCTCGTCGCCGTCCGACATGAGATCTAATCAGTTCGAATCTCCGATCAGAGCTGCTGAAGGCCACACAGAGTTGACGCGCACGCATCAGTCCTTTTCCCAAATCACCCATTTAGAGTCCCAACGTCGACGCTCATTCCTTCCCATCTTCTTTTTACTTTCAAACTGCCTGTAGCGAGTCTCATCGTCGACCGTGAATATGAACGAGGAGCAACTGCGGGAGATGATCCAGGGGCCTGCGGATGTCGAGTGGTCGTACGTTACCTATGCTTTTGTCCTGCCACAGATCTTCAATAGTATTGTCCATGTACAGTTATGAAATGCGGCGGCAATGTCAAGAGATCCTGCCAAATCTCCTCCTAGGTCCTCTGCAAGCCTCCAAATCGCTGGAGACACTCCAATCACTCGGAATCACCCACATGTCTGTCTCTCCATATCACATGCATTGTATACTCTAACGTTGCTCCCGCATCTTCTGTTTCTGCTATTGTTATGTGACAGAGTCTGCATTCGTGACGCCCAGGAGGCGTTTTCCGTACGCCCTCGATTTCCGGACCATTTCCAGTACATGGTGCTCGACGTTAAGGACAGCGAAGAGCAGAACCTCATCCGACTCTTCCCCCAGTCAGCGGCCACCATCTTCTTTGTCCGCTGTTGCATTGATTGTTGCCCAGAGCGAAGCAGTTTATTGACAACGCTGTGGCCCAGGGCGGACGCGTACTGGTCCACTGTAACGGTAACCTTTTCCAATCCTGAATCCGACACACGTACTCACGTCAGTCCGGCAGGTGGTATCAGCCTGTCGCCTGCCTTCGTTGTGATGTATGTCATGCAACACTTCCAGCTGTCTTGGGAGGACGCGCTGCATATGGTCCAGAATAGGAGGTATTGCATCTCTCCGAACGGCGGGTTCATGGCCCAGATCAAAGTAAGAGATTGCTTAGTCTTTACAGTACCTCTTACCATTTTGCTGTGGCAGGAATATGAATCTATTTACAAAGCCGGTATTGCTGTCGCCGCTTTCCCGCCTCAGGCGCGCACTGTTAGCAGACGTAAGCGTGAGGACGAGGATGACGAGGATGATGAGAAACGGTATTGCCCTATTCCCTTTTCTGAAAGGAATCATTGTCTAACTGAACCATTCCCGTCATCCAGTGACATAGAGCGTAAGCGCTTAATGGTAGAGGATGAGGACGAGGATGAGGATGCTGAAGATGATGCTATGCAGACCTAATTTCCTCCATTCCTATTACTGTCGGTGATCTCACATTTTTCGGGAGTCTCTAAAGTACGTGTGCCCTCTACATCTAATCTCTGCATTGTACTCTACTTGTCACTGTCTCTGCTGTACCGTCCCTCGTTGGTAGTAAATGCACTATACTGTTGTCATATGCGAGCAGGAGGTCGTGCGATAAATGGAATAAATAGGATGTGCATGACTGCCTTGTTATAGTGTCTTGATTCGCGCCTTCTCCTTTTCCTGTATTACTCGTTTGGTATGGAAGTCTAAGGAGTGGAGGCTCAGATTGACGAGGAAAGAGCCAGGTTTTCTGCCATACCTTTCCTCTTCACCCAAGCCTCTACAGAGATGCCTGCGAATACGACTGCTGCACCAAGCCATTGTCCCTTTGTCAACTTATGGTTATAGACAACGACCGAGAGAAGCATCGTGAACAACTTCCGCGTTAATGTGATGGTTCTGGCAGCCCGCGTGAGTATCTTCGAACCATACTACGACTTCGTCACTTACACCAGTGTCAAAGAACCAAAGTGCTGCAGAGTCTCGAAGATGAACAGCTGGCCTAACGCGCCAGTCAATGCGAATTGTGTCAATGGGGTCACCACAGACGGGTGTTGACGAATGAAGTCAAGAGCACCCTGCAACTCGGTCCCGCTGGATGATGGGTGGAGGACGGGAATATACGGCAGGGGCAGTATCGAGATGAGCGACGTGAGGGCGGTACAGAAGAGGTTGATCCAAAACATCATCTGCTGGCCAGTTATCTTGTACCGGTGGAAAATCTCATCCTGGGTTGAGTTAGTCGCGCCGTCTATGGCAAGGTTGATGAGAAGGTATGTAATGCCGGTGAGCTGAGCATAAGCTGACAGGTCCCCGTTGGCCTTGGCCCTCGACGGCTTCTCATTCCCAAAGCCCATAAACATTGTGATACCTAGTGTGACCATCGCGACGACCAGATACTTGTAGGGGGCGAAGCGGCGTCGGTATAGTAGCACATTCATGAGCATGACAGGAACGAGTTTACAGGACTTCCCCAGCACCATAGCAGGGTATGTGATGTAAGAGAGGGCAGCGAAGCCAAACGGAGAGCCAGAGGTGATGAGGAAGGCGCATTGGAAGTAACGGATGAGAAGCCATTTGGTGGGGAATATTCGTTCATGGTGGGCCACTCCATTAGTCTTGGGAACACCGTTGTGTGTTATCGATGTTCCGTTTGATTTCGAGGGCTCACCATTCGATGTCGCCTTAGCAGCAGGTTTCTCGGGGTACGCAAGGCCGAACATGTGGTTTACGGTTTGGGATGGTCTCCTCCGTATGAGGAGGTAGAGCAAGGCGGAGATGGCACTGAGAGCACTTTGACATGTGCCCATGAAGAGAGGCGAGCGGAATTTATCGGAAGAGCTGCCATCTAGAGTCTGGAAGGGAACGGACACTGTGAGGTATGAGTGTGGTTCATAGCACAATATAGACTTGAGCCGCACGTCTTTCCTGAGCTACTGCCCACAGCTACAAGGAGATCATGAGCATATGCGCAAAATAAGACTGAGTGATACTCACCAGAAACATCGAGTAAACACCGGCTACGCATAGCCCAAGTCTATAAAACCAGTGAGCTGCCGTCACATTGGACCCCCGCTGAGACGTACCGCAGTATTGGCATGTTTCACGTCCAACAATAACAATCCTGATAAAATATCGTGTCTAGAGCAGGATGGGAGATTACACAGAGCAGATAACGAAACAAACGTGAATGGAGGTCGCTGAGACAAATAAGGACAGAGTCTACGTGTCCGATTCACTAGGCTCACAGGTATGTATAACCCTAACCCTAAATCAGGGCAAGACCGAATTCTATACACGGGAAAGCAGATACGTGAAGGCACGAGAACGTCAATGGTACTCAAAGTACCTGGATAGCCGTCATCGGTACAAACGTGTTATGCTTCTCGTCCGTTGTGTGACTTCGCAGCTGCAATTAACAGAACAACTGAGCTAAAGACGGTCAATTCAGAAAAGTGAAGGCATAGTACTGACCACAATTTGACAAGCCGGACAAGTATGATTGTGAGGGCAATCCTGTGCAATGTTCGAGGATGCCCACACTGAGTACTATGTCCCAGGGATGCTCTACGTTCAACAGTATACAGTCAATCTTTGAGCCATGTCCATGCATAGATGGAATATATACTCACCGACTCTCCACAGCGCAGTGCGTAACGGCCCAGCACGTTAGCCAACCCTAGAACTTGCAATCGCAAACCATTTCAACTCCATTGCACTGGAATTCCGAGCTCATCGCACAAGTTCCTCAACTGCTCCTTCAGGCGCTGCACATCTTCCCTGGTCGGTCGTGCAGCCCCAGCGCTGACCTGCGCCATCATATCCTCAAGCCTCTCAATATCTCGCTTATCCTTCAACTCCTCGTTGAGCTCGAGATCAAGCTCGCCCTCGTCTTCTCCATCCATGTCCAGATGTTCGCGCGCATGACGCTCTGCCTCTAGATCCAGCGGGACGATGTCAGAGAAACGTACACTCCCCAGCTGAGACACCATCTCTTGCAGTTCCGTTAGGTCGTCCGGACGCTCTTGCGAGTTGCTTGTAAGGAAAGCCAGCAGCGCTGATGCTAGCCCGCGCAAGCTCCCTAGCTCCCGTCCAAGGGGTGCTCCAACTTCCGCAAATCCTTCGTCAAAACCTTGCTGCAGAGCGGACTCCTTTCCCGCGGTGATACCCTCGCGGTATCCTGCCTGCGCACGTGCATGTCAGTTGGGCTTGTCCGGGTGGGAAAACACATAAAAGATGGACATTGGTGAAATCAGACGACAATTTGGACCACTCAGTGTCTTCCAGAGCTTTGGGGTCGTCGAGCCAGATGTTATCGTCGTCCATTTCGTCGCTGTTCATATGATCGAGCGCTCGCCGCTCAGCCTCGCTCGATAAGTAATCGATTGCCCAAACTGTCATCGATTTTGCCCACTTGCATTTGTCAGTGCTTGCAGTTGTACCACTCGCAAGTCTATGTGCACATGGGCCGAATTCTGAGGAGGATTCCATCCTTCTTGTGCACAATATCACACCTGGTCAAAAGCCTTGAACAATTCGGAAGGGCCCGATAGTCGAAACGTGAGGCTCGCTGAGCGTCGCTGGCATCTCCCGGAAGCACTCGGATCCATAATCACAAAGCCATTATAATCAACGGAAGGATAATTCGCATCCGGACGTAAAAGGGGCAGCCAGGCGGAGAGTGTAGGTTATTCAGGTAGTGAACAGATGCACACTTAGATTTCAGTTTGGTGACTACTATAGCCTTTGCCGAGTCCAATAGTACTCGCTCTGGTACGCCAATCTGCAGCTGCGTAAAAGATTAGGATTTCGATTTGACTGGTATGAGTTCCCCGAGTCGAGTACAAAAAGGACGGTTGATTTCCTATGCCAGCGGGAGACTCGGAAGTAGAACTTGGATACATGAAAAACGCGGCTCCACAGAAAAGATACTTGACAAGCGAAAGCGGGTGAGAATGTAGAGAAAACAAGCAGGAGTGAGAATCGTAATTGGATTAAAAGTGAGATAGCAGGGTAGAACTTATTATGCATTACGACATGAGCTCGCATGTTTCACTGTAACAAGGAACGACTTTCTTGTCTAGAGGCTGGTCCATGAGCCTATTTCACCACCATCTTGCCAGAGATCTGCTCGACGCTTGACGCGGACGGCTCTTGTTCCGCACTCAACATTATCAGGCATGTACCTCCACCCCGATCGTCACTCCGTCGACGTTGAGGCCTCTGTCGTCTTCATTACTCACGTCGCTTGGGGTAGGTGTCTCCTCGCTATAGTTGATCGTTGTCTTACTTCCGCTGCTGACTGTGTTAAGAAGAGCGGTCGTTGCATTTGTTACGACACTCAAGGTGTTGGGATTTGAGCGGGCAAATGCGGCGTCAACGCGACGGACATCGAGTAAAGCTGGCGTGCCTGGTCCTGAAAATGAGCTCGGATCAGAAATGCCGCCCGAGACATAAATATCTGACGCACTCGATCCGAAAGGGGATCTCGCCGAGGGGGAGCGTAGAGGGGAGATCGGAGGAGTTCTACGACCCCCAAGCCCAACCCCACTTATACGAGACTGTCGGGCCGCAGGGTTAGATGGTGCAAGCAGGCCTATAGGTCGAGTCTCGAACAGAATATCACCACGTTGGTTAAAGCCCGGATTAGCGAAGGCGTAACTGTACGTCCCAGGGTAACAGTATTGCCACGGGCCTTCAAAGGCGCGGAGTTCACCCAGGACCTCGGTCAGATCGATACGAGAGGGAAGGTTGGCTTTGAGCAAAGCTCTGGGATCTGTGTACTCTGCGGCCATGGCGGTGTACTGTCCATCCACTTCGGTCCTGTCGAGCACTGGCGTGGGACGCCCGGACTCCTTGATCTTCAAGCCACTGCTCTCACTTGCAATAGCTAGGACAGCATCCCACTTGGCAGAGCATTTAGCGCTATATAACGAGACGCAGTCAGCAGGAAGTCGCGATCTTTGTCAAATAGACCTCGCACGTACGCCCAAAGCTGAGTGCCGGACTTGAATGACAATTCCAATTTGACCTCGCCATTGAGCCTGATCTCGAACGTCCGGCTTCTGTTCACCGTCGGAATCTCCAAGTAGTTCTGGGTGAAACCTGGAGGGACGTCAGCAACGAAAAATCTACTAGTAGCACGACAAAAACGCACAAGACACATTGTAGCTACCGTTCGTGGCCTCTCTGTTGGATTCGTGGTCGTAGCTCCATCCCTCTCGGTGCTGCCATTTGTACACTGCGAAGCCTTCTCGTCCGTACTCCCGCTTCCACTCGCACGTGGCATTCTTCCTGGTGTCGTGTTGATCCCATCGCGTGAACTGCAAATTCCAGACGTTGTCCTCGACACCGGAGAAGACCGGAATGAGAGTAGTGGCTCCATTGATTCGCGTAAGCCGGTGAAGCAGACGCGCCTTCATGAAGACGCAGTTCGCGATGCTGATCGTACCGTAAGAGAGGCTGGTCTTCGTGCGGATCAGCCAAGAACTGGAATACTCCAGCTGAGTGGAAGGAGGCTTTCGGAACTCAGTCATACCGAGCAAGACAATGACTGGCTCCACAGCGGCGGTAGTCTGGCTCCAGTTGTGACGGGTGATGACCTCCTGGGAGTATACATGGAACATGATGCTAGTCAAACCATACGCAGGAGGACAACTTCCGCACTTCCACACCGGGACAGTGTAGAGGATATTGAGGCCATCCTCGGCGAGTGCGCGAAAGTAGAAAGACTTGATGTAGTAGATCGCAGATTTGAGCCTTTCTATGGGCTTGCTAGTACCTTTCTGGAAAAGCCCCTTCAGCGTTGAATATTCGTGGATGAAGTCCGCATCTAGGAGGATTCAGGAATTGGATATACAGCCAACTCAAGAAGACGTACGTTCAAAATCAAGGCAGAGGTGAGTGAAGGAGCAATCGGCATCACAGGAATGATGCTTGAATGCCTGCGAACTTTCGAACCTACAACGCCACCTCTCGGAGACGTCCTGGAAGTCAGTATGAGGACACATCTTCAGATCCACTTCGAATGCAAGTCGCCATCCTCCTATATCACATTTTTCATCGCTGAAGGACGGATTAGCATTACGGCGCATATGAGTAGAGCATTTGTGCACTGACCCAACCTGATCCGAAGTCTTCAATGTGCTACAGTCGTCGAAGTGAATCCAGATGATGGCTTTGTTATTGCTCAAGAAGCGCAAGGACAACGGTTTGAATGTCGCCGAGAAACTCTCCTGGTAAGCCCATGTCACTAAGGAGAGCGTGTTGGACGTTTTGCCGATATACAACAGACTGCTGTAGTATTCGTTGATAGCAGTTTGCGAGAGAGCAACAATTTGGTCGAAGCCAAACATATTGGAGTTTGATACGATGTCCTTCCAGGTCGAAATCTCCGAAGAGGCAGCGCGGTCACCAAGTGCTGCCCAAGCACCGACGGTGAGTTGCTGATCGATGCGCTTGTCCTGGTGGTAGATGATGTGGTAACTGGCGCTTTCCAAGAGTTCGGAGTATTCAGTTTTGAAGAACTCCGTGACTGTGGACCAGCAAATAAATTCTTCTTCAGTCGCATACTCTTCGTCAAAGCCAGCAAAAATACACTGGCTTTCACAAAAACGCGCCGCTAAAATAATGTCACATTTGATATCATCAAGCCTAAGGATAAGAAGACATACTCTGAGTGTCAAGTGCGCAATCACGGACGTTTCCATCAGCCTGTGTCTCGTAGCGAATGTCAAACAGAATCGCAATCGTCCAGTCATGGTACCGGGCCATAGGCGTACTGTGAGGCTCGGTTAGAAAATCATGTTTTAACCTATAGGTAAGACAGACGAACGATGTGAAGTCAATGCTGGAGAAGAAGGCCACCTCGTCAATCTTAAAATACATGATACCTTCCCGATTGCAGACCGCTTTGACGTAGGGAGTGCCAAAGTTGATACGGAAATGCACGTTTGAATCCTCGGGATGAATCCAATAACTACGCAGTTCCGCGAGGCACTGTGTTCGCCAGTCGACGTTTTCTTCAGAGGCAGACATAGCAGCTCTGAGCCACACTGATACCAGATGGTGGTTGATTTCTTTCAGAGAGATGCCGTGGATGCCGTCGAGAGTGAGATCTGTAGATTGCGTGAGGGAGAAATCGATGGAGAGCTGAGGCCGATGGCTGTCGAAGTTTGGCAAAGAAAACAGGACATGGTTGCCAGCTTTGTGGAGAAACTCGAGGTACTGAGAGAGATAAGAGGTCAAGACGCCTTGGTTAGTCAGTAGAGGCGGTGTGATCGAAACAAGGCGAGCTTCTGGAGGTGTAACCAAGTGTCAGTACTGTGAGCCTTCATGTTGCTCGAATGTATTACGTACTACGCAGATCAAGAACAACGAGCTGAATGATATTCTGGCCACTACCGATTTGAGAATCTGTGCCGATAATCTTGGTGCATACAAAGCTGACCCGGAACACGACTTCCAGGTTGCACACACTAATGATATAAAGATCACTGTAAGCTGACTACAGAGGCATATCGCGAAATCGCACATACGATGAGGAAGGCATACCCGCGCTATGGTCGACAACATAATCTGCGCGGTCAATTTTCAGGTAAAGGAGGGCATCATGATTACAGATGAACTTGATTTGCGGCGTTCCGAAGTCAGCATCAAACACCGCGTCATCTTGATCGTCGTGGTCCGCGATATCATACTTGCTGTGCGAAAAGTGAGCCAGTGCATGAGAGTATCCTGAACGATATCGGCACAATCATCTAAGCCATAAATCACTGAATTTAGAGCCGACCAGACTGACGGTATATATCGTCCCTTTTCTGGGCATTCTCATGATCCCGCATGCAGGAGATGGCGTTGGCATGCAGTGCCGCAAGTTGGGCATTCATGTAGTGCGCCGCCTGTGGGGCACAGTTTTCACCTATACACATCTTGGAGCGAATAAACTGCGGAATGTTCAATTCCCAGACATATGGCAAGAGGTAAAGCGACTCACTGGCAGGAAGGAGAGGGTAAAATAGGCTTGATCACAGCGGGGAGAACTATCGGGAGGGACACAGAGGCTCTGGTGCTTTTATAGACCGCGTAGACCTGCCACGAGTTCGACTGAGGTACGGGCCAGCAAGAATGCGAGAAAAATTGATAACTATCGGTTAACTTGAAGGAAATAGACCGCACCGATGAGAAAGATCTTCGGAAGGACAATAGATCATTGAAAACGTGTACGGAGCAAGCAGCGCGAGCCAAGTCATGGGACCTTAGACACCGCCAGCCTCGATAGAAGATATACAAGCCAGAGTCACCCGTACTCCCAACCTTTCCTGCAACTGGCGGTTCGTCTTCAGCTGCTCAGAAGGAAACAACTAATACGTGAACGCACAAGTTTACTGTAGAACAATATTCTCTTCGGTCGCAGCGACAGAGAGCCACTGCCAGGGAGTAGGCAATGCACACGCCGCCTCCCATCATGAACGACTTCAAGGGCAGACGGGATGACGATATAACAACGTATGTCGAAAGTAGGTAATATTTGAGGTCACTTTTACACGCGGTCTTGGCGAACTGTCGTAACGGTCAACTCTTTCTCTTAGCAGGAGCTTTCAAATATCAGCTTTTCGCCAGCTCTTCATACGTCAGTAGCTTAACTCACCGTAAATGGTACTGGCAAATCCTCAATCCAAGGATAGACCACAGCAAACCGCGCGGCGTAGACTACGCCACTGTGGATCATGACATTAATATTTCCGATATCGGAACTTGCAGCCTATCATGTCAGCGTATGCGTGTTTTCGACCGTAAACGGCTCCGCACATAGCTGCTGCGCACCGCGTCGCGCCACCAGGCGTGTCCCAGTGTCAGATGGTACTGTCCAGTAAGGTATTCTAAGTGCAATAGAGCTTGTCGAGGCTGTTATCGCATCTCCGTCCTGGCATCGAGAGCAGCGATACCCTAGATTAGACATAGCCCTCGAAGCTGGGTAGCGGCAGTTCCACAGACAATGAGCCTCAAGGGAGGAACCGGTCCCAGACCGGGTTGTAGCAGTGAATATCAAGTGTCATCGGCGTCCTGCGATATCGTGTATGGAGTGTCGTTATGCGGATACGTTCAGCGCACTCATATTCGCAGCAAATATTCAGCCACAAGACGCGTGATAGGCTCGAAGGTGTTCGACAGAGGATCTGCGCATGCAAAGACTCTGTATTAGGGTTTACGTAGGGGGACAAACAGCCAACCTCATGGGAGTACGAACCTCACACTCCACATAAATTCCAGCACCTAAATAGACTGATCCGCAATCGTTGAAGTAGTATCGTCTCGTCCAACAGACTGACATCGATAGCCGCCGGATGCAGGTCTCCTGGCCTGCCACGCCACTGACCGTACCCTAATTCAAGTGCGAAGATATCTTCGAGAACCTACCAATCATTGATGTACCTCATGTCATGCTCGTGTTCCGCTGGATCTTGCTCACTTCTGTTTCCACCACCATTAGGATGAACGTGCATATGATCATGTAAAGAATGCTACTCACGACGTCCTGAGGATCGGTGGGGCTGGCGACGTGCATCCGACGATGTCGCGAAGCCTGTGCGTGTGTACATGCCACATGCTGCCCCGTGCAAGAAGGTGGAGCAGTGAGTTGAAGTCTTGGTCTGCGGAATCAACCGTTACGTTGACGTTGTACATATTCGTATTCAGCGTCAACCAATTCAAATGGACCCTCACTCCTGGTCGGGGCACCGATAGTCGCACAGCTTTGACGCCGAACGACAGCGGGCCGAAGGGTGCGTTGCACTTCCAGCTTGATGACTGAGCAGTGTCGTCCGTAAGCGAGATTGTACTATACGGACAGCGAAGGGCACGAATATTATATTGGGCTACACGAAGAGCATGACGCATACCAACGCAGGTTACCGCATAATGTTTTCTCGCATTGCAGCGGGTCGACGGATCGAAACTTAGTGAGGACCGGCAATCTGACGAACCACCCGACAAACAAAGTTAGCTGAGAGGACATTTAGCAAATTCAAACAAGTTCTGTAAAAGGATCAAGTCTCAGTAGAAATTGTCGTCACTCCCACCCTGGACATGTCCCAGGCGGGTTGGACTCATTAAATCATTTTGAATCATAGACTGTACTCCCACATTAAGATCAAAAGGTTAGTACTCACTTTATACAACTTGAGGCATATCCATGGTGATTCTCGCTGCGACTACAGCGTGTGTGCCGAAATGCATGTATCATAACTTGACGTGGAGCCTTTTCATTGGCATCTCCACAAATACCCAGACTAAAGTAGAGCAGAACAGTGGTGGAAGGACGAGAGGAAGAATATTCAAGAGGTTGACTGGCACAAAATTTGTCGAAGGCGCCGGGCTTTGCCGTGAAGTGCCTTGAGACGCGGGCACGTGATGATACGCGGCGCACGCGTTCTTTCCACGGTTGGGATCAATTCAAGACATTATACGGGACCCAGGGACACCACAGTCAAGTATAGGTCTAACTACTATGACAACTTCCACGAAATCTACGCCAGCGAGCAAGCTCATACGACCCATTCCATTCACGCCCAAACGAACGGTATCTTCAACCGACAGCCTCAGTAGCATCGCACGCCCCTCACGCTCGACCACCCCTAGCCTCCTTGGCTCAGCCAAGAAATTCAAGGCAGCACTCTCGTCTGAGTCTCGTACACGGCTCATCACACGGCCCAAGTCTGCGCTCGCTTCTGTTCCCGGATCGCCGACCAAGTCAGATGGCGGGAGACCAAAGACTCCCAGCACCCCGCGGAAGGATGCAGACAGTCCTTACTTGCATCCTCAAATGAGCGAGATGGATGTTAGTAGAATAGACCCAGAAGAGGCTCTTGTTGACTTCCAAAAGCTCGAACCTGGCGACATTTCCGGCGAGATTGACGAGGCAGCCTTGGTCGAGGCAAACTACGGCAAGGAGGACAAAGTTTTAGTCTCTATCAGGTTAGCTGAAGCTGCAATTTTGTCTCAAGTGGTAGTAACAATGTCATTTGTAGGATCAGACCAACTGAGAGCACTTCAGCATGGCAAGCGGCCGACACGATACCCAAGACCATCAAGTTGGACCAACAATGTGCCAAGTCGAGCGCTACACCACCGCAAGAATTCCGTTTTGATGAAATTCTCACTGGCTCAGAAAACAAGCCCGTATACAATGCAGTCGCTCGGAGCCATGTCTGCGCCGCCATGGACGGCTACAATGCTGTCATTTTCGCGTACGGACAAACTGCAAGTGGCAAGACCTTCACTCTCGTGTGTACTTGTGTTTCCCGTGGTACATGCGAGGTCATATACCGACGCTCGTACCCTGCAGACTGGAGACGAAGATCAGCCAGGAATTATACCCCGAGCAATGAAGGACGTTTTCGGGTACATCCGCCGCACGCCCACCCGCGAATATCTGCTGCGCTGCTCTTACCTCGAGATTTATAACGAAACCATCCATGATCTTCTCGCACCACCGACCTCCAGCGTTTCACAGCCCGTGCAAATACAGGGTACAGGTTCGAACATTGTCCTCACACCGCTTCGTGAGGAGGTCGTTACAAGCTTGAAGAGTGTGCGAGAGGTGTTGCACAGAGGCGAAGGTAATCGTCGGACAGCCAGTACCGACTGGAACGAAAGAAGTAGTAGAAGTCATAGTGTATTCCGAGTCGTCATAGAGAGTAGGGAGAGGGGCTCAACGGACGATTCCAATACTCCGAGCGGAAGAACTACTCCAGGGTTCAGACCTCCGACTCCTGGCGGACCACGGTTGCAGGCTAAGGGAGACAGGAGTGTGCAGACGTCTGTTCTGGTGCGTCGCAATATTTGCATATGGTTGCGATGAAATGGTTATCGAACTACATCGCTCCAGAGTTTGATAGATCTCGCCGGTTCAGAGAAGGCTACTTCAGACAAGGAAAGAACTAGAGAAGGCAAGTACATCAACACCAGGTCCGTACCAACTATAATGCCCGAATTCAATCGCTAACCAACGCAAACGCAGTTTATTGACCCTTGGTACCGTCATCGGCACACTCGCAGAGAATTCGGCTAAGAACAAGAAGTAATGCGACCTCACCTTGAAGGACGACAATTCACTGACAATTAATTACAGCGATCATGTCCCCTTCCGCAACTCGAAGCTGACGCGGATGCTTCAGCCATCATTATCTGGCGATGCACGTATTTCTGTCATTTGTACTATAAACCCGACGACACAAGCAATTGGTGAGTCAACAAGCACGCTATTATTTGCACAGAGAATCAAGAAGGTTCAGGTGAGCACTTACCAGTGCATTTCGCATGAAACACGGACTCAATACTGCTGACTCTCCAGTTACACGCACAGAAGAAGGAGGTCGTTGATACCGAGGCACTCCTTGAGCGCTATAGGAAGGAAATCGAAGAGCTCAAGAAACGGCTTGCTGAACGCGAGGCTGAAGCTCCGGTGCGAACACGCCGACTCTCCGCGCGCGAGGTTTGTGCACCATTGTAATTTTCGCCGTTGGGGATAGCTGAAACAACGATGGGTCGTGCAGCAATTGGATGAATCCAGGGCAATGAACGACCTCAACGCCAGGATTAAACAGCTCACGAAGCTGATCCTGACGAGTCAGACAGTCGATGAGACCAAAGGGGACGAATCTCGTCCAGCAAGTCCTGCTAAGATCGACTTCGACATGTCTCCTTATCAGGTACGTCATTATCGGTATGTGAGCGCGCACACTGTTCCTCACCGCTGCGCAGTTGCAACAAGAGCTCTTGGCTGCGCGCCGAGAAATGGAGACACAGGCTACACAGATCCTGTCGCTGGAGGCGGCGCTCTTGGCGAGGCCGCAGCTACCTCCGGATGCACCGGACAGCGAGAAGGACAAGCTGCTTGGAGAGCAAGCGAAGACCATTCGCGAATTGGAGATTGTCGTCAAAGGGTACGAGGATAACCTAGGAGAGCCACTACGAGCGGTGCGCGAGGATGTCGAGAAAGAGTGGATCGAGAAGCTCGAGAGGGAAGTCAGACGACGGGAGGAGAAGGATGCATGGGCAGACGAGCTCGTGAAGCAGCTAGAGAAGGAGAAGAAGGTAACAGCATGTCATACACATCTGTGACCAGAGTCTGATGATTGTGCACAGACGCGGATGAAATTGGAAGAGGAGCGGCAAGCATTGGCCGCTTTCGTGCGGAAATTTGATGCGTTGGGTGGACTGCCTCTCCCAAGCACGAAGCTAAATCCGCCAATGCCCACCCCTGGAGGCGCAGCTGCCTTGTTCGCTCAGCGGCAGAAGAGTCGCATGCACTCCTTGGAGCTCGAGACACCGATGTCGACGGTCGCAGAGACGGACTCGCCACTGCGATTCAGTGCAGTGCAGCCCAGTCTGCTGGAGGAGCAGTGGGACCTGGTGGAGGATCTGAGTTTTGATAACGACAGACCCATCGCTCTCCCCTCCTCCAAGAGCTCCAGCGCGATGAAAAGCTCGAGAAGCCATATCTTTGAGGAGAAGGAGAATGTACTGCCTGCATAATCATGTTGATCACTTGTTATCGTGTCGTCATCGCTGTCATAGTTGTTGACCGTTATGTATCGTCGTCTTTCCGATGACCATGTATGCACTTCCTCCATTACCCCGGTACCTCCATCAGGCTGCTGCGGCGGTCATGTTGTGGAGAACCCGAGGTCAGTAAGTCCGACAGGACCGAAAACCCGAAGGCGTAACACTGTCCCATACATAGCTCTGCCGCTCTGCGGGGCCTGGGCACCGTGAACAAAACAGTTGCTTACGTGAGGTCGATCCACGTCATCGGAGGGTCTGTCCGCCAGGTAGCCCATCGCTCTGTTTGTGCGAATGAGTCCCGGACATGCAAAAGAAAAAGTAAGGCGCCGCTACAAAATCATCACACTGACGGTCTGCCAGATCCATGCGATAAAGCAACCGCTGCTTTTCTACGCCAGCCACGGTGTTTGGTTTGTGACTGCAACCAGGTCTGTCTGCATCCACATCGGCTTGCGGGCGGCACACGCGGCATGTCGGCTGATCAGGTAAGGTGTACAAACTTCGGCTTGCCACCACGGCAAAAATGGTGGGACCTGCAGTATATGAATCGCACATGCGGCGTTGCGATGTCGGTAGAAATCGCACCTCCTCTCTTTTATTTTTCTGCGATAGCACGCAGCATTTGCTAGAATGAGCTCTTTCTTCATCAATCCATCGCTGCGGGTCGAGCCGGGCGCAACTTCGGAGACGCCCACATTACACGGAGATGAGGACGTGGAACTCTCACCAAGCGATGTCCCACCCAGGTCAGAAGAGGCTCAGCATAAATCTAAAGTTGATGGCGGTGATGCGCGCAGAGAGAGCGTCGAATCTCCGGACGACGACCAGGATGTCCTGATCATTGACTGGGATGGTCCAGATGATCCACAAAATCCAAAAAAGTGAGTGTAGTACTTCCGCCCAGTCAATTTGATCCTCACATGCGTGCGATCATTACCACACCAGCTGGAGTTACAAACGGAAGTGGGCAGCGACAGCCATTGTGTCGGCGTTCACTTTTATTAGTCCGGTTTCCTCTTCTATGACGGCACCAGCCAGCAACCAGTTGGCTGCGCAGTTCCATGTGACGAATTCCGCCCAGATTGCTTTAATGACTTCAATCTTTATCTTGGCTTATGGTGATTCCTTGGCCTTTTCCTCTAATAAATGATCAGCCTAAGCCTGCAATGGTATAGCGTTTGGTCCATTATTTTTGGGACCTCTCAGTGAGATATATGGACGGTCGCGAGTGCTACAAGCAGCAAACATGTGGTATCTAGGTGGGACGTAATGTATTCTTCTGATTGCAAGTGATTAACTGTTCTGTGATATCCTTAGCATGGAACCTGGGTTGCGGTTTTGCTCAGTCAAAGGGCCAGCTCTACGCCTTCCGTCTTCTTGCAGGATTTGGTGGGAGTGCACCATTATCAGTAGGTTCCTACTCTCGCCGTGGGATTTGCCTCTCACTGACTTTCCATCATAGATCGGTGGAGGTGTGCTCGGAGACTGTTGGCGGACGGAAGAAAGAGGTCAGGCGATCGCTCTGTACTCACTTGCTCCACTACTTGGTCCAGCCATTGGGCCAATCTGTGGTGCGTGGGTTGCACAGCGGTCAACCTGGCGATGGGTTGTGAGTGTGATTTCGTTATCGCGTTCTGGCCTCCAACATGAACTCGGCTGACTCGATTATCTAGTTCTGGTCCACCTCAATTGTAGACGGTGCCATACAGATACTGGGTTTGTTCTTTCTACGAGAAAGTATGTGTGAATTCACCTTCAGTACTATCTGCCCTCACGTAACGCATCTTTCTAGCATATGCTCCTCTTCTACTGCACCGAAAGGCGGAGAAGATACGGCTTAGTATGGATCCAGAGAAAGCCCAAGCGCGAGAGATACGTACAGTGTTCGACAGTGCTGACCGAAAGTATGTTCCATCTACCACTGGTCGCATGCAGTAACTCATTTCTCCCATCAGCTGGAAGCACATCATGAGGAAGGCGCTAGTTCGTCCCTTCGCCTTGTTCTTCCGAGAGCCGATCATCCAGCTCTTTGGTATTTACATGGCATTCGTGTACGGCGTGATGTATTGTACGTTCCTGCGTCACATCATCATTTTGTCAGTACTAATCATTGCATGTCTGATGCAGTATTCTTGACGACTATACCCGATATTTTCGCTAATGTCTACCACGAACCTGTCGGAATCTCTGGGTTGCACTATATAGCACTTGGCATAGGTTTCACCGGCGCATCACAAGTAAATGCACGGATGTTGGACAGAGTATACAAGTACTACCAGAAAAAGAACGGTGGAATAGGTCGACCAGAATTTCGACTACGTTCGTACTACATCTGGTTCCATCACCGAGATTTCTGACGTTCGAACATGCAGCCTCAATGATACCTGCCTGCATCGCGCTCCCTGTTGGTCTTCTTATCACCGGATGGGCAGCTGAAGCCCATGTTCATTGGGCTGTTGTTGACCTCGTAAGTTCGCAGCCCAGTGCCGTTGCCAGTGAAGTCTCACGTGCTGTCAGGGTATCGTGTTTGTTGGAATGGGCATTATCTTGAACTTTCAGTCCATTCAAACTTACGTCATCGATGCATTTACTTTGCATGCTGCCTCAGGTGCGTAATCTTCTGCATGTGCGCCACACGTGAGCTCTATATTTATTTTTCCGAATATCGTTAGCTCTTGCTGCGGTGACGTTCTTGCGCTCACTGGCAGGCTTTGGCTTTCCACTGTTCGCTCCTGCAATGTATCACGCGCTCGGATACGGAAAGGGTGACACCATCCTCGCCGCATTCGCTATCGCGGTAGGATGCCCTGCGTATGTCTTCCACGTTTCTCATGGCTCCATCGCTCACCCAGTTTCCTTCAGTCCTTTCCTGTTCTGGCACTTCGGCGAGCGAATAAGGAAAGCGAGTAAATATGCCAGTTAACGCCACGACGACTTAGAACTTGAACACGACCTGGATTGGACGTAGAGCTTGCTCTTCGTACATAAAGATGTTACCCATTGCTTGTCATACCACTTAGACGTACTTCAATAATGAATACAAGAAATCGGATGTACTTGCAGTACTATGTAATGATTTGTTGTGTTACCTCGAACTGGTGAATACTGACCCTAAGGGCGTGAAGTAAATGGTAAATGGTGGATCGAGGCTTAGATCGCAGATCTCAGATCGCATAGCGCCACGATCCATGTTTAGCGCCCGTTCTTGAAGTTGGTAAGAAGTCACTGCCATTGCTCTGAACTGTTGCGCCTTGGAGATAAGGAAACCCCCCTGCACTCTCTCGTGAGTAGGAACATTCTTCGACGAGCAGGATGATGAAATTGCTGTATGCCCCCAGATACGAGACGACTGCGTAAACGTGAGCTCTTGTCTATGATTCCGGCTGTGAAGTAGTAATGAGCCTAATCGGCCACGAACTTCTGATAGAGCGGTGGATCAAACTTCAAGTGAAAATTAACTCAGGAGTGAACACCAAATTGAGCCTCTACGCTTTGAAGACCTTCAGGCCCTGTTCGGGATCCCGATACTATCGTGGACCCGGATATGCCAAATGTCCCAGAAGTGCCAAATTTTTTCCTGCGGCTCTATTCTCTTATCTGATCACTTCAAAATTGCAGAGGTAGAAGCCTGTGTGCCTACTCTTGATGCTCTAAATTTTTGGTAAGTATGTGTGGCCCGCTCGGATCCCAAAAAATTCGCAATCACAGGACTGTACTTGGCTAGTGCCACACAGCGGCATCTCTCTACGATGGTCAACATTGCTCTAAAAAATACAGAAAAACCACCTGTTGTATTCTACGTGCCATATCAACATCATATGGGGTGCCGGAGACTATCGCGCCAGGTGTTGCGCGGCGGGACCAGAAGTGCCAAACTTTTGGCATATCCGGGTCAACGATAGTAATCATTATAGACCCGCTCTAGCAATGTCCCAAAACAGCGCAGAGATTATCGCACACCTGTCATGTGATGAAAAGACCGTTGGCCCAGGGCCTCTAACCCTAGCTTAGGTGCCCAAGCCTCACCCGAACCCTGCCCGACCGTCTTCATTGGCGTGACTTGTGGAGCAACCGATTGGCTAAGTCCACATCAGTCTCGGTCTGTCTTGGCCAGTCTCGACTTTAGCACGTGAGCGGCACATCCCCGGCAACATGGGATCTCATCTTATCTGTAGCCATATTGGGCATTCTGCAGTCCATTTAACTTTTGGCGGGCAGAGCATTCTACAGCGGCCGGATTATCGGGATCCCGAACAGGGCCTCAGCTCTTACCGTACATCGAGGCCGTCTTCAGCTTCCGTTTCTCGCTGCGCTCGGCTTTGGTCTACCTCGCGTCGTAATCGTGGGGAGCATTACATCCTCGGACGCACCTATCCTGAAATCACGGGGCTCAACGGCTACGTTTAGGCTGCATAAATGCGGCTGGATGTCTCGAACGGCCTGGCGTAGAGCACGTTCGTACATATATTCAGTTCTCAATCCGTGGAGAGAACGCATACGCAAGGCAGGATATATGAATCGTTGACAGATGTACGACAGCGCCGTCCTCGTCCAACAGTATAAGCGCTTCCGAGGCGACAGCGAGCCCGCTGCGCAATTCGTTGCAGGAGCCATCACTACCCATCGCTATTTTTCAACTCAACGACTCTTTGAGGAGAGACTCGGGACCGGCACCCTGGTACAACAGGTCAGCATTTACGCTGAACACTTTCGTGGGGATTCACTAGGGACTCAACCAGGTCACGCCCTGCATCTTTACCGTCGGAACGCACCCGTTCTTCTTCAAGATTCCCGTCACCGTTAAGCTTTCCGATGCTGTCTCGTTTCGTCAGTACCCTAGCACACTGACTGAGGTCACTTACCATTTTCCTGACCTGCCAAGACCCGATCAACGATGGAGCGAGGGTATGCGGCCTTTGGATAACCTGCGTATTATCTTTGGATGCCTCGAAGCATTCGAGGAATTTCTGACTTAAGCTTTGGGCCCACTCCATGCATTCGATATTAAGAACTGATTTCTCTGACATTCAAGTGCAAATGCCTCCCATTCTTTCCGTCCCGAGGTCACAGAAGTCCGCAAGTTCAACCGATCCATTTCGTCTAGTCTCTATAACTCGCGATAATCCACGGCAAGCATTCACCAAACCCGAAGTAGATATTCGCCTGTGCAGCTACTTCAAATTATTCTGCGACCTACAGCTCGAGAAGGGTGGAGATGAACGCCATGATAAGCATCTCCTACGACCATTTGGACTTTCGGTTGACACGTTCGGGGCAGAGACACTTCTCCATGTATGCATATATACGAGGCGTGATCCTGAAAAGGCACCGGTTGGGAGTTTATCAACCCGGCGTGGCACACCGGCTTACACATTGAAGCCAACGGTCTATACTACACCGCCAACTTGCGCACACATGGAAACCATGTGACACGCTTACGCCACACAGCTATTCTTCTGGTGTTCCTTTGTGCTCCAAACGATGTTGCGTCCAGATGTCATCGTGTCTCAGCTCACAGTGGGTACAGTTCTATATCCCCACAATGTGGGCCTGCTATGTTGGATCTGGCTGGTAGTCCACATCTTGTTAAGGCATTATTCTGCGTGTATACGATCTTTCCTGCAGGCTTATTCTGGCTCGTAAAATTGTATAAAATCGAAAATATATTCAATTGATAGTAGCTCCTAATAACACTTCAAGTGAGATGTATACAGTCCTACAGCTCTCCATCCAGCACTCCATCCAGCACTCCATCCAGCACTCCAGGGATGTCTTGGTCCCAAAAGGAATTACCTACACCTCTAGCTTCCTCCGCAGTTGTGGCCCAATTGCCATGGTCCACACCGCAGACACTGACGAAGAGTCCTGTCTAGGTATCGAGTGGTTCCCCACAGGACACAACCACTCCTACAGGATATCGTGTCTCTTGAAGCACATGGCTTAGCTGGAGAGTGCCTGTGCCAAACACGTAAAACACAAAGAATCAGTGACAACGTCTAATTGCAAATTCGAGCAACCGTACCTTGATATCCTTCGAATCTTACCATGCGTAGCCTTACTCCAAGAACATCTGAAAGAATAGCATGTCAGGAGAAAACATTGTGTCACAAGACACAGCAGCTCACCGAGAAACGTGGCCTGTGTGACCATTTGTTTCGAAGGACACACCACCATGTTGACCATGATCTGCATGTGTCAGATGATGCCTCATTTTGATATCTAGAGCGCAGGATGTCAGTAATACAGGCGGTACATTGGCAGACATATGAATTGACTTACATCTAGCAACCATGGCCACATATGACACACCGGGCACCCAGAGCAAACACTTTCCAATCTTTTTGGAATATTCGCAGTAATGTTCCACGGCAAGCAATGGTTACGAGCCACGCACCAAATTGTTCAGATTGTTAAGAGCAGAGAGACTGTTGAGTATGACCTCAAACAGAAGTCAACAGTTTTGTGCTTGCCGGTGGCAAAGAGGCAAGCGACAAGTGGTGGAACGAGTGTCTTAGGCAAGTTGAAGTGCAACTCAGGTCGGCGCGGCGGCTTGAAGTGGCTCGAGCTGTGACCACGTGACAGTTGAAAGACTTCGAGTGCGAAGTGTCTTGTCGGCTGTGGACATGTCGTTGCCAGAGAGCATCAGATATCAGTGCCAGCTGGAGCCAGGTCATAGTGACATGAGCAGTATAAAATCCTGATATTGTCTTTTATGTGAACAATGGATGGTTTCTACACAAGGTCGATGTGATTGATCATCTCAGCCCATATTTGGGCCTCGATCTCGATTTGACCTCTGCGCACGTTGGCGGTGTAGTACAAGAAGCAACTGTGAAGGATGTCGACGGAAGCCACGAGGTTCTCATGGCCAAACTGTCCGCTCATTAAAGGGATGTATATTACTCGTCGTGTAGTAAGTACATTGTCCAAGACGAACGTCCACCGAGCAACGATGCTAGTACGATATGCTACAATGATTAAGTCCAAGCGCTAGGCGCAAAGCTGAGTCCGCGGATTCCCGTTCGCCGATGCAGACACAGCGGAACGAGGTGTGCGTCCATTCATTGATGTGAGGCATCTATGACTACTTAGTCTGTGATCGTGAAGTTTGGACTGTTGTTGCCAGAGTCACCGAACACTACAGGGCAGAGTTAAGATGATGTCTAGGCCAACTAGGAGTAGGTACTCACAGACGATGGAGTAGTCAGTGGCCGGGGTGACGTCGGGTGCGGTGACGGTGACCCAGCCATCGAGGATAGAGAAGTTGTTGGCCAATGGGTTTTCTGCCAACACTTCAGTACGTAGGACAAGGACAATAATCCTACGAAGGGAGCTCACCAAGGTCCAACAGCCCATTCTCTACCAAGACAACCATCCCGTACTTGTTCGTGATGTTGACTGGCGCATCGGTGGTGTTCCTGAGTCAAGCAGACGTGTCAGTACTCCAGAACCTCAGGACTCTTTACTCGCGTACCATGTCACATTGTATTGCTGACCGATCTCCCAAACGGTGGAAGCATTGGGAGTGATGATGGGTGGCACGAAGACATCCCGGATGCGGATGGGCAGAGCGTAGACGAGTGCGCAGAGGGACAGCAGGAAGAACATTACGATGTGGGTTATCCTTGTCATGAACATGGCGTTAATTGGGTCGTGAAGTGTGTGAATACGATTTTTTTGTGTGATTTGGATGAGCGTCGAGCTAACGAAAACATGGCGCGGGAGGGCAGCTTATATATGCGAGCGGATCATGAGAGCGCCCGCGGATGGAGCTGTGTCGGCACGACCATGATGGGCCTCCACTCCACGCCTTAGTACCGCGGTCAATCGCCTGGGCACTCGACATAGCATTCGTCACCAACCCTTCTTTCCTGCTCATGCTCTGGCCAACTTCCCTACCCGGGCGTACATTTCCGAGACCGGACACCACGCCGCCGACAGAACCAAGAGCCTGTCTGAAGGTTCTAGCTTTTGCTCGAACCAGCACGTTGCTGCGCACGTCACTTTTTTCACCGGTCACCAATAGATTGAACGATGGACAACGTCGCGAAAGCGCTGCCCGCGGTGGAACCTGCAATAACGAGTACAGCTCGTCCATGAAGTTCGGCCACTTGTCCGACCGTCATTTGCATTTATCGTACAGTACGTATGTATATGGGTCAAAACAAAACAAGTGATAGCTACGTGACATGTGCAGGACATTTCAACCTCAAAACGACACATTACGCCCGCCAACGCCGCATCAATAGATGTAAGGTATTATCCTGTAGGGCACTAATTTGGTGTATTTGTGCCAGTCCTTGCCATACCTGTTAACGATGTGGGCTTAGCGAGGAATGATCGTCATGACTAGCTGCGATCGCTCACTTTTTCTCGCAGTTCTCGTCGTCGCGGAGCTGTCTGTGGACCAGGAGGACCGCAAAATACATGACGTAGAAGTATGTGATGGGTGTATCGAAGCCCGTCGGCAGCGACCAAGCAAACGCCATCACAATGTCCCCGCTGCCAAGAAATAATCAGATAAACTGTTGATCTCGTCTCGACAAGAAAAGACAGACAGGTAATTCGGGTGACGCGAACGTCCCCACCAGCCGGAAATCAGCAGCTTGGACCCGCTCTCTGTCGTCATGAACTTCAGGTCTGCCAACGCTGACGTCAGGGGCAATGCTACTGTTGCAACAGGCGGGACATACTCTTCGGGTTACGGCCATTCCTGAAGTCATTCTTCTCTCCGTTCGCCGCGCGGAATATGTAGTAGCCCAGCAGATTGAGCCCCGCGATCGCCGCCGTCCATAGCCACCCCAGCTCTACCTGCCTGAAGACCAGATAGCGCGCCTGGAGCGAGTAGGCGAACGGCACCCACGCCAGATCGCCGACGGCGAGCATGAACCCGAATCCGTCGGAGATGATGTCCATTGTGGTAAAGATGGCAGGCTGCGCGCCATCAGTCATCTGGCCAGACATGGGAATAGGGTACAGACTGCGCACCTCGTTGTACAGCCCATCTACAACGTACCAGAATTGAAAGAGCAACACCAACACCATCGAGTCCGTGATGTTGCCCCCGCGGCGCACTGCCTGCTCGCATGCCAAGCTAATGTCGACGAGCGCCCACAGGATGAGACCAGGTCGAAGCTCGTTGAACGACTTGACGTCGAACGATCCAATTGCAGGGTTCAGCTCCCTACCGATGAAGAACTGCGCTGCATGTCAGAACGTGGCGAGGTGCACTTCGCAGAACGTCACGTACGTCGTAAATCACATTCCCAGAGTTCCCGCCAAGTGCAAGCAGGGCGCCTTCGCGGAAAGAGGCGGCGTAGCAGGCGATGCCTTGCACTACCGACATTAATATCGCAGCTGTCACGAGTCCGACCCACTTGTCGTAGACAAAGGTGAAAGACTGTGGTCCATATTGCCAAATGTACCCCGAGGTGAGGCCCAGCGCGAGCAACAACGTCGAGAAAGCTGAAACGCGTCTATGAAGTGTCAACAAGCAGTACAGCTACACAGAAACACGCACCATTAATTTTGTACTGGACCTTTTTGCCATTCCGCAGCTGGGTGCCATCGACCCAGTCTCCTGGCAATATGAACCACGCTGCAACGCAGAACGCGTACCAGCCCAGGTACAGCAGAGTCGCCTCGGTATCCCAAAGACTCGCCCACCAAGACAAGCTACTCAAATTATCGATGATTACGGAGGTGGAAATAGGAGGTGGGCATCCCCCAGTTGCTTCAGAGCAACCAAAGTACAGAGCATACGTTGTGATGGGCACGGAAAGCGTGACAAGGAGCGCGCCCGGAGGGCCAAAGAACTCGTAACTTTTCGTGCGAGGGTTCAGTGTGTCTGAAGAGGCGGACATGGCTGGTTGCGTGTCGCAACGTTGACGACGACGGTGGGTATAACAGAAATGGTCTGACAGGGTCACTGTGGGTGGCAAATGTGTTGCGCATCACGTGATTGGGGGCAGGTTTTACAAATAGTTACTTTCGACAAGTGGTCATCCGCAATTAGAAACTCTGGGCAAACCCTATGGTTGTGTGCATGCAGCCATTATGAAGTGAGAGTGATGGGCTTTTTCTCTTCGAGGAGAGCCGAGCTATCAGAGACTCCCCTTCATGACGACAAGAGCGTCGTACGGATCATTCGCTCTCGATTTGTGCGCCATTTTCCCTTCTCTTATTCGTCTCTAATCCGTTCGTGCAGTATGGCAAGGCAAAAGGCAAAGAGCGCGATACCGACTCCGAGTCCTATACTCGGTCACCACAGTCTCTCTCTTCACCTACGCTCTTTCATTCCGGGGACAGGAATTCGTTTGTCTCGACCTATGATTCGGGAACTGGCGGTCCTTCCCGGAGCACTCATTGGAACGGTAGTTCCGCCCCCTCCACCCCATCTTCTCTGTCGAGGCGCGGGGACCATGTTGGCAACACGCCCACACCCCGCGCCTCCACAGACGCTGTAACGTGAGTGGCTTGCGCTCGTTCTCGTGGCAAGTGCGATAAGGGGGTGTTAGGATGACACTCGCTCAGCGGTTGAATGAGCTCGCGACGGCGAACTCTGAGGGCCTGCTCAGGTGAGTGCTCTATTAACGTGCTTCTGGACGCGTGTCTTACACCCCCCCAGTGACGAGGAGTATCGTCTTCTTCGTCAGAATCTCTTCGAGCGCTTTGCTAGTGGCTCGGCGGTGCCTACAGAGACCCCCCTTGTCCGCATGTCCGGCAGTCACATGGCTGGCGACGGAAGAAGTGAGTTTTATTGATTAATTGTACGAAGGCACTGCACTCATATTTCCTGTTAACGATCAAAGCCTCCTTGCATGACCGACGTCCATCTTCTAATTTTCAAATTCCATCCTCACGAACCCACTCAGTCCGCAGTAACAAGTCTTTAGCCTCTACTGTGACCAGCCTATTACGACGCGCAACCAGCAAACGAGTTATTTCCATGTCTCCCAGGGGCGGCGCCGATGCGATCAGCGTCTTCTCCATATCATCTTCTATGGCTTCCTCAGCGGTAGATGGAGGCAGTTCATTTCCGCGGACATTATCGAAGCACACCAGCGACGGGTCGATACGCACGAGCATGCAGCAGTCGCGGCGGCATGCACTGTCTTCCGAGCACACTCCACACGTCCCGGACAGCGTCACCCCTTCGCGCTCCAGCACTCGGACGAGGCAGCGGTCAGGCTCCTCAGTCCCCCCTTCCTCGTTCCCAGGAGCAGCCGCCGCTGCGCTTGACACGAAGTACACCCATCTCAGCGACGACAACCTTCCCAGTGATGACCAGGCCGAGACCGTCAAGGATATACGCACCCAAATTGAGCTTGTAGAGGCGGAGGGCCGGCGGCTCCTTGATGCCTTCAATGGGTTGGAGCTGAGCACGCTTACACGCCGCCAGAGACGCCCGCCCGTCATTCCCCCACTTTCGCTCGGCAATCCCATCGATGTGACAGGCCTGAATGCAGACCGACGATCGCTTCGTGCGGGCAAGGACATTGACTCGCTATCGTTCAAATCGAGCGGCTCGATCCGCACGACGCGGTCCATGAAACGGTCGCCGTCGAGCCGGAAGATGCGTACCGCGACATCCACCGCCACCCTCGTGTCCCAACCGAGTCATCTGGTGCACAGAGGGTCGATGTCTTCGATGTCGTCCCGCAGCAAGGCTGGCGGAAGTGTACTGCAGCCGCATGTCGGACTCGCGAGCAGTTCTAGCGTAAACTTGGCCCGGAGTACCGGGCATTTACCGCTGGCGACTGTTGCGGAAACTGAAGGGAAAGCATCCAATTCTTCGCGGACGTCTGGGACCGGCAAGAATTGGTTGGACGCTTCAGCGGACGGCTTGCCAGCCTCTGCGAGCGGGCAGAGTACAGCAGGAAAGGCTACTGGCGCTGAGGAAGACGAGGAGATCCAGGCGATGGAGGCGGAGTTGACTGATATTCGGAAGCGGCGAGCAGGAGTGACTGCACGGTACGAGGCACGGCTGGAGTATCTCCGTGCGCGGCTAAAGGGAGCTGAACTCCGCGAGAAGATCTTGCGGAAATGACAGTCCAGCACGATCGTACTAATTTTCTGCTCATCTTCGACGCTGCTTGCGTCCTGTCGCTACGATGGTTTTATGGCTTGGGCTCTGTTCGAGGATTGTTACAAGTTGCTACAAGTTCTGCGCTGGATGGATGTACATTACGACTGCGTACATTACGACTGCCTAATCCGTGTTCGCCTGCTGCTGCACCTCGACAAGCTCGGCCGCGTCGCCATTTTCCCTCAGTCTTCTCTTTTGCACCGTGACAATCATGTCCGATGCGCCATTTTCGCCAGATGAAGAGTCTGACACTAACGGCTCTCCCAGCATGACGCCTGTAGCGTCCCCGACCACATCCAACTTCGGGGCGCGGCTTCCGCTACAGCGCAGCGTCAGTCGCAGCTCGCAGTGGTCGGTCCCAGAGACTCCTCAGCACCATCATCAGGGTACTTCTTATTTCTCCCAAACCTCCAGGGCCGTCTCGCCTACTCCGCGGCGCCCACACCGCCCGAGTCAGAGCAGGAACCACTCAATGAAGCGCCGCGGGGTGAGGAGCACAAGTGTCACCAGCTCGCGTGCAACCTCCAGGGGCGTTCCCGAGGACGCGGGCTTGTTGAGCGAGGAGAACGAAGACAGCGACGACGAAGGAGATACCCCGCCCGAGGAGGGCGTTGTCGAGGAGCAGGCAGAGGAACAAGAGGAAGCGGAAAACGAAGAGGGGGCCGGCGAGGAGGACCCTATCACCCTCAAGGACCGCCAGTCTCTAATCAACGTCGAGCATCCGTTCGGTCTCCCCATCTGGAAGCCAGCACTCTACAAGAAGTCCAGATCTGTCACTCGCTATGCGGACCAGGAGCTGCATTCCGTGCCTTCCGCGCAGGCGGAGCGGCACCTGCTTCCTGGCAACATCGTCTGGGTACTGGTGTTCGGGTGGTGGCTCGCCGTGTGCTGTTTCTGCGTCTCAGCACTCCTGTACCTCGTCCCGAAGGGAGGACGGCGCTACTCTACCCTGTTGTTCGGTCTTGGCTGGTACATTGCGTGGCCGTTCGGGAAATACGTCGAAGGAGACCATGGTCCACCCCATGCCTCAGAAGATGACGACAACGTACCGAACGGCGCACCGGATGCCGAGGGCATTAACGATTTCTCTCAGTCTTCCTCTTCGTTGAGCGAAGACACGGATGCTACCCCTCGTCGGGATGTGTCCAGTCGTGACACAGCCACTTCGCGTGGAGGCGTGCCATTGTCTAGCCATGACACTATCACGCCTCGCACGGTCGCACATCTATCATCAAGTTCTTGGAACGACGTGGCGACTGCGACTACCCCACTGCTCGGGACAGCCAATCCGGCCATGCCCCGTTTCAGGCCTTCAAAATCTTATGGTGCAATGTCCTCCCCCATCTCACCCCCACTGTCTTATTCCACCGGTGCAATGGAAGGGAAGACAGACGATTGGCTTGGAAAAGCATGCTTCCGTCTTGCATTCCTTTGCATTATCGCCCCTCTGATGCTCATTGTATGCATAGCATGCTGGGGTCTGATATTCGCCGTTCCCATGGCTAAGCTCAATTGGGCATTAATCAAGTTACTCATCTCGGAGCCCACTCGTATTCGATTCTGCGCAGCCCCTGTAGTTGCAGTGGCAGATGAAAGCGCCGCAGAGGAGGGGGCTGCCGTCTCCGGCGAAACTCCGGTTTCATTCAAGCCTGCTAGGCTAGCAGCAGGCCAGGCTGCACCTTCCGGATCACCTACATCTACGGTACTCCTGTGCACATACAGGGCATTTGGCCTGAAGTACTACAAGTATACCGTCGGCGGCGTGAACATCCTAATCGTCAATCTCAGTCCGATCGTGTTCTTTGTCATTTTCGATGGTATGGTGCTGATGCCCATTGTAGAGAGATGGGAGTCGGCGGGTGACTACGTGCCTGCTTTCCTGGCCTTTCTTACAGACCGTGCCCTCATTTTCGTCCTGAGCCTGCTCAGTGTCATTCCACTCTCGTATTTCATCGGCATGGCGGTTGCGTCTATCTCAGCGCAGTCGTCGATCGGCATGGGCGCAGTGATCAACGCCACCTTCGGCTCCCTGATTGAGGTTCTGCTATATGCGATCTCGTTGACGCAGGGAAAAGGTCACCTCGTCGAAGGTTCCATCGTTGGCAGTCTTCTGGCAGGAGTCCTGCTGATGCCCGGTATGAGCATGTGCAGCGGTGCCATTATGAAGAAGGAGCAGAAGTTCAACGCCAAGAGTGCCGGGGTCACCAGTATGATGTTGATCATGGCTTTTATTGGAACGCTCGCACCGACGTTGTTTTACCAGACGTATGGGAGCGTACGTACATGAAGTCGCCATCTTCCACCCTGTCTAATTTTCTGTACCATAGTTCCAACTGATATGCGACGGCTGCCCCCCACCAGGGTCAGACACGCCTTGGGCTTGCCAGCATTGCTACTACAAACATCCAGACCCGGTGGATGACCCGTTCTACCAATCTACCGTAAAGAATCTCATGTTCTTCTGCGCTGCCGTGTTATTACTAGTCAGTCTCTGTGCCACAGTATTTTCCTCCCGCTGACACCTCGCCAGTCTTACCTCATAGGCCTTTGGTTCTCCTTGCGCACCCACGCCTCGCAGATCTGGCAGAACCCCCAGCCGCTTCTGCAACCTCTCGAGATTACAGGTTCCAACCGTTTCTCTATCTACCCTCGTCTAGCCCCTGGCGTCAACCCGCAGGCTTCTCAGACCCAGCTCTCCACGCTGCATCACAGACCCAGCACAATCACTCCCATCGCAGAGAGCCCTGGGCCTTCGCGCAGCCAGACGCCGCGGGACTCCCGCTCGAGCTCGCTTCTGAATCAACAGCGACAGGCGATCGGAGTGCAAGGGCAGCCGCCACAGCCTCCTACCGCGAAGCGCATATCCTACGCGAGTCCGCCAGTCGTGCAGGCCCAAGTATACGGCCCGATTCTGGAGACCGTCGACCACACCATGAAGGACACGGGCCTGCAGCCGATGCGTTTACCAGAGAATATGACGACGGACGACTTCACTCGTGCTGTGGCTGTCGCCACCGTGAGCGCACTCAGGCATCAACAAAACGATTCGCGTTCCCCGGCCATGCGTGGGTCCGCTGCGGTGGAAATGGACGCTGGAAGTGGTCATGATGCACCTTCATGGAGCCGAACCACCAGCGCGAGTGTCCTGCTGGGTTGCACGGCACTGTATGCCGTCATAGCAGGTACGTTGAGGCCAGAACTAAGGCATCTATGTATTCACTCACGATTCGCTCAGAAATCTTGGTGGACGTTGTCGATGTAGTCTTGCAAGGCTCAGGAATCGACGAAAAGTTCTTGGGTATCACACTTTTTGCATTGGTACCGAACACAACAGAATTTATGAACGCAATTTCTTTCGCCATGCATGGCAACATTGCATTGAGGTACGTGCTCTAAGCTTTGTCGTATACACGGCCTCTGATTGTTGTTTGCAGTATGGAGATTGGTTCAGCATATGCCTTGCAAGTATGTCTACTTCAGATCCCTGCAATGGTTGCATTTTCCGCTTGGTATGCTCCCGACAAGATGGGCTCCGTCGCGGATACATTCACGTACGTCACTTGTAATGTAGGGCTGGTGTTCATATACTCACGAATGGCATAACGCCCACAGACTGATTTTCCCGCGATGGGACGTCGTCGTCATAATCCTATCCGTTTTCCTCATGACCTACACTTATATTGAAGCCAAGAGTAACTACCACCGTGGAAGCATCCTTATCTTGAGGTGAGACGTTCTGTTGTGTATACTGCAGTATCTTTGTCTTACATTGTACGATTCTCATAGTTATCTTGTCCTTATATCTGGTTTCTTCTTCGCACCCAAACGATCAGACCAAGAGGAAGACCGCCTCGCGATCCCTTTGGCCACCATTCTCTCATACTTCGGCCTCCACTGAGAGGACGATACCCTCGACCGGACTATTTATACCAGCTTCGTTATTCATACAGAGATACATGTACATTCATTACAACATCGTCCATCTGAAAATGTATCATCACGGATTCAACTCAGAGGATCCCGATAGCAAAGTCAATGTAGACTTTGTAGTTTCTCCAATACATCTCGGATCTCAGGTTGGGGTAGGGTGATGCGCTCGGCTTCCATCTTCCCCTCCAGGAGTTCTGAAGGGTTTGGGTGGGTGAGGAATTGTTCTATGAAATCACCATCGAGGAAGCCGAAGGACGATTCGGCATCGGAAGCCCCTCTCAAGTTGGCAGGTGCTCTCCATCTACAAAATTGCGGACGTTAGTGTTGTATACGCCAGCTTGCAGAGCATGGTCGGACGCTCACTTCGTATGATGCATTTCACCTGGACCAATTATGGCTGTCGCCATGTTGCGCTGCAAGGCGGTCATATGCAAGGAGATCTCGTCACTTAACTCGAGAATGACACCGATGCGACCACTCGACGCGAAGAACAGCTGCTCTGGCTTAAGTACTTGATTTCCAGACCACTCTCCTGAAGTCAGACCACCTATCGCACGTCATCCTGGCTCAGAAACGTATTCGCGACTGGTTGTATGTCGACACTCACCAGGTAGGAACTTGTTGATGACATCGTCGACGTGATAACTGCCATCTCTTTCCAACATGAACCGATTCCCGTTGCGTTGCAAGGAAAACGTGAACAGGTTGCAATCGCTCTGGAAAGAAAAACTTGGACGTAAGTGCGGCACTCCTCAAAGAACATCCACTTACGTTCGCTCCGATGACACCACTATTGCCGATAGCCTCTACGGCGACAGGCCAAAGGGGACCGTAGTCTCTTGCGATACTTTGCAGACCTTCGCCTACAACGTTCAGGATCGACACAGAACTAATTGCGTCTCCAACGATAAGAGTAGTGTCATGCGCCACCAAACTGGTCACGAAATAGTTATGGTTCCACTCCGTTAACTTCCTCAGACTCGCAGAGCCATCCGTATTATCGATCTTGTACAGGACGACCTGCCCAACGACTCTGAGTTTAGTCGAACAGCACTCGAAAATGCACATACTGATGTGTTGACGGCAGCAACAATCTTGTCCTCCACGCTGACCAACTGGTAGACACAACCACGAGTGTGCTCACTGGAAATGAGACGAAGAGCAGGGTTGGCAGACGATATGCCGCCATCACGCGATCCCAGAGAGAACATAACTATTCGGCCTTTGGATGGCTCTCGCTCCCCCATCTCAAGTTCCACGATGCCGACACAGAAGCACGGGAAACTCTGATTCTCCCTCCTAGGGAGCGCTAATACAGCAGTGACCTCTTCGCCCAGTTCACATACGAATTGACTTAGCTCTATATAGCAGAATTACGGTCTGTTCAACGCCTTGGTCATTATGACAACTGAAGGAACCCTCACGATCGAACGAGACATCATCAAGAATTTTGAAGCAGCTGACGGTACCTTCAAAGTCGCCGATACGCGGAGGATTCGTTCTGTTGCAAGCTACCCCAAAGACCTTTAGAGAAGGGTGGTGTGCGATCCGACGGGGATTCTCTACTCCTAACGGTATCTTTACGCCAAGGACGAACATGAGCGAGGGCGACTTAAAGGAATTAAATGGCTCACAGATCTTATTTGCATCTTGTCGACACCCCTCACGTTTCCTATCAATAGCGAGGATGACGTTGCCAATACAACACAAGAAGGGAAGAACGTGGAGTTCAGACTGGTGCCTCTAACAGCGTCCTGAGCAGGTTCATACGATGAACATCAGCAGAGCCTCCGACGATACAGGGACGCACCTTGAGCATGACAGGCGAATGATGCAGTCTCTGTCGCTCCCAGAAAAGAACGGATGCTCTGCTGCCGCTGGCAAAGACCGCCATCCGTCCATCGACCACACAAGTCGACAATGAGACAGGTGCTGCCCCAAGTGGAAACACTTTCCTATCCTTCAGTTCATTGACCTTCAGACTGAACGACATCACTGTGCCATCGGACAATCCAGCAACTATATGAGGATGGTAATCTGCGTCTTTCCGACCACGTCCAGAGCCGAAATTGTACAGCAAGAGAGAGCGTGGAAGGGCTGTGAGAGTAGAGGTCTCGCAGATGGTTGTCATATAGGTCTGGGAAGACTCGAGAGAGAGGATGGCTATTTTGTTCGTGCCCCAGAAAGATACCGCGATATGCAACGAATACTTCCTTGCAGGATCAAACGGCGCACAGGATATTGCGGAAATCTCGGTAATGCCGTAGGTAGCGTCTGTGAAGTCTCGATACCTGGCGAATCCAACAATGTGAGCTCCGTGCTTGGGAAGAACAGTAAGGTGAAATAGACTGACTTGAGTTCTTGGAACTGATCACTTTCACCAAGGTTAAGCAGGACCAATCTGCCACCACTCAGACCTACTACGAACTGGCTGGCATTCAGATCCGCAGCGACAATGGACCGCTGCCTATGGGCCGGATGCGCATTGTTTGGATCCCATCCGGTTCCGACAACTGAGAACAAACCTAGTGCCTGGTCATAATTTACGAGGTGCACCTTCTCTGGTGTTACCTGCACGACTAGTGAGGAATCGACATAAGAAGAAGTCGAACGGCCAGTGTTCGTCGTTGTCACTCGTCGAGGGATGTTGCGTACAGCAAGTGTGGGCGAGGTCCCAACGAAACCATCGGCGGACGGATCCAGGCGGATTATGGCATCGTGCGCATCAAGACGGAACACGTATGTTTCTCGCAGAGTAGATGCTACTATGTGTGTGTCTGAGCTAAAGACGCAAGCGAGTAAGCGAAAATGCGGTGAAATGCCAAACATACACACGTACGTGGCTTCAAATTGTGTACGCAAAGGCCACAAGTTAGTGACGTGCGGAACGTCCTTGACGATACCGAGCTCCTGGAAGTCAGCACCTGTTCTGACGACCTTGATTGCGCCAGTACTAAGTCCTCCCGAGCAGGTGACAATCTGGGGCTACATACCACGCAGTCATCAATGGTGAGACCATATCGAAGAATACATGGGAAAACCCTACGTACCTGTCCACTCCCATCCAGATCTGCGAGTACAGCATCCATGATAGGCGCAATATTCTGGAAGTTCTCCAGCACTTCAACGAAAGTGCCCTTAGTAGATACGACCCTTCCACCTTTCACTGCTCGCTCATCGTCCCTACATAGGTACGCCTTCTCCTTACCCTTCGATGACATTAGAGATGATGATGAGACAGTTGTAATACCCGATGGAATGGGAAGCGTCTCGGTATCCGCATTCGCGAAGGGGGACGAATGAATGCGTAGGAGCTGCGATTCGCCGAAGTGCGAACCCAGATACACGACTTGCGAACTCAGGTACGTCAGAGATACTGCAGGAGATGTCTGTACAACGCATAAACCATTAAGAATACGATCAGCGCTTGGTCAAAGACATACCTCTCCCAGAGGTACGAGAATGAGACCAGGCGTATCGTCAAACGCCACCATTGCCAGACGACCGTAAGCGTCTCCTATGAGGAACCTCCTCCCTTCTTCATCAATTGGAGACCAGCTAGACGCGTACTTAATTCGGTTACACGCATCCTTTTGAAGGTAGACTACTCACGCGGTAACTTCGCTCCAGGGCCATTTAACGCTAATCTTGGGCTTCAATTTCCTTCCTTCCCTTTCCTTGTCCTTCTCGGTGGCCTTCTGAGCCTCCGCCTGCACCGCACTGGCTTTCCGTTTCGCAGATCTGCGCTGCTTGTCCCTCTTGATGTCTCGCCTTTCCTGCGATGCATGTTCGTAGAATATGATCTTCCGCCCTCCGACCACCAGCACGCCGCCGAGATGGGTGCCGAAATCATCTTCTGTCCCCTCCTGGGTATATGGAGGGACAGGGATCAGTAGCGGAGGCGTATCCATTGACGGGAATGTGGACGCGGACAGCACAGTAATCGGAAGAATGGTGGATGGTGCAGCAGAGAGCTCTAAGTTCTCGAGGTCGAGGTCGCGCGACAAAAGCTGCAGGCGTTGTTCGTGGTCGTAGTGTAAGATACCAATAGCATACGTTCCTGGGGAGGTGTGCAAGAAAGTCAAAGCAAGAATATAGAACTCGGGAACACTGCGATGGCACAGAAGCGCACGTCAGGACCATGGCAATCATGTATGAGTATCAACTCACGATACATCGAACTGGTTGGAGATTCCTCCGTCGTCGAACTGGACGACTTTCAACTTCCCAACATAGCAGCTGATCACGGCAACCTGTCCGGTAGGGTCCACCAGTACATCGGTGACGAATTCCGACTGGCGGCCATAGCGATCGTGCACGGAAAGGTCACCCGTCGTGACCAGACTCGCACCCGCGGGATCGGCGACATATTTCAGTACAATGAGCTTCGGCTCAGGATGGTCGGTCAGAACCAAGATGTTTGAGATTCCTGAGTCCTGATACAAACATAAACTCGATGATTAATATACATCTATCGGGCCCACTAACCTCTACAGGCACAGATCGGAGCGCAACCACACGACCCCATATCTCGAGGACACACTCGCGGCGAATGCCTTCTGGTTGGAGAGAGAAGACCTCAAGCCTGTTAACCTTGGCGACGACGAGATGCTCGACGCTGTCGTCGGATGTCAGGCGACATTTGAGCGACTGGACAACAGAAGAAGGCTGATGGAATGTCGCGACAACCCGCATTGCTATGTCAAGATACGCAGCAGATTTTGGAGAAAGTCAGGGATAAAGACGGTCTTACTCCCTCTGGTCGAGCATGCCAGGTGGCTTGACGTCTGCAGCGGCAACGGGAGATATCACCCCCGAGATTCCTCCGAGGCAGTCACGTGTGTCTCCGACGAGAACATACAAACAACATACAAAGCTTTGTAAAACATGCATTTACCCACACTAGTATGCGGACACACAAGCAGTGCGTACGCAGAAAGAGAGTGAATGAAAAAACCTCGGAGAGGTAGTGTATCCTTCTACTTGAAATCAAAACCTTGGAGTCCACATGTTCTACGACCAGATACGGCCGAAATACATACACGTACGGTACCGGTTCCAGAGATAGTATTAATGTCACTAAGGATCAACCGACATGGTGCCATCCTCGTTCATGGTGATGATGCCATTTGACGTGGACTCTTCTGCTGGTTCTACATCTCCTGGCTTTGACTTTTTCTCAGCATTCACGAAACGATCCAGCAATGTCAGTTCTCTGGCTATGTCCTCCTGACCCTCTAGCGCTGCCTTGGGCTTGCGAGCAGCTCGTGCATTAGGGTCTGGCCAAGGAATGATATCTGTGAACCACGTCATACCAATGAGTTCCGTTTGGATGGTCCCAGTCGGACAATCATTACCGTCGAGAAAGGTGAATTCGTTAACTCGTCGTACGAGAGCGGCTATAACGTCTGGATGAGAACGGATGAGCAGGCATGACTTGAACCACACACCAATGTCTTTCTGCTGCATTGTAGTCCGTCCTTCTCTCTCTGCCGCCCGATAAGTGGCCTCAGTTATCCGTTTGACGAACTCTTCCGCTGCCACAGAGATTAAAAATGCTGCTTCCCTCTGTACCATCGGTAGCTCCTGTAAAGAACGTCAGCTTGAGGACTAGGTTTGGGTTTGCAGGATATACTCTATCCGCCTTCAATATCTTCTGCACTCTCGAGAATGGTAAAAGCGATTTCCCAGGTTCCCGTACCAGAGCTGGCCTTGGTCTGGTCTTATCCTGACTGTCTCCTTCCGTTGAGTTCTTTTGTGCATCATCAACGGCGTGAACCTGAGACACGTCTTCAACATCCGACAACTGAGAGTCATCGACTGGAGTAGGCTCCTCATCGGATACTGGAAACCTTTGTGCGCTATTGCTTTCCGGCATGTCGTTGTTCAAAAGTCGCACTTCTTGGTAGACGGGGCGTAGTGTGAACGTTGGCAAGAGCTGCACCAAGAATTGGACTTGGCAATATCACACTGTCACGATCACGTGACAAGTGACAAGCGTGGAAGACGTTACTCGGCGACGATTGCGGTTTCCTCTGAATCAGGTACAAGTAGTATCTAGGACCTTGGGATTAATGTCTCATCGGTGCCTCACAGATTCCTCTAGTAACGGTCAAACTGCCGAAGAGAGAAACGTGTCTTCCCTTCGTAGCAAGCCTTTCTGTGAGACGTTAACAAACTTAACACTCTGGATATCAAGACGCTCTGTGTTCTGGGGCAGCGGTCCTCAGCTGACCTTTCGAGTGAGATGTTGGACTCTCATCCTGGTTTGCAAGATGACAAACAAACTATGATCACTGCCATGATCCATACTCGAACTAATCTCACGTCTGTATAGGCAGGAATTTTCAACAGGACAGCTCCATATGGAATATTATGCACACACATTTTCCGTCGGACTTGATCTGAGGCAGTAATCGTGGAGGTCGTACCACAAAATGAATGGCTAAATGATAGATTCATAGATGTGCACGAATCAGCTGGGCCAATCTCTGTCCATCCTCGTAATCCAGTTCCTCTCTCGAACGGAACTCCTCCTTATGCATCTCCTTCTCGGTCAGTGGCTTCGCGATACGATCTACCTTGATTGCATCGCCAGTCGTGGCTGGTGGTGATACGGAAGAAGCTACTAGTACTGGGGCGGGGATGACATGATAGTGGACCTAGAAATGGAACTGGGTGAATGGACTGCACCAGAGTCATAAACTTGCGCTAACATGCGGAACTGCCTGAGCGTACTCTTGGTTGCATACCACATTTAATGCAGTATTCCGCATAGCTGCGTGACTCGTGAGATCAGTCTGAAACATCACGGGCACTAAGCGTACCATGCGTCAAAGCATTGGAGACCTTCGAGATAGCCTCTCCTGTGGCTGCCGCGAACTCTGCTGGTAGCTCGGACACGCGGGAATAGTGGGCCTTCGGGATAACCAGAACATGCCCAGGACGTAGGGGAAGGATATCTTCAATCAGACATGATTTTCGCGTGAGCAACACACAGTACAGCAGCAGGGTGCGGTGGAATAGGACCTAAGATTGCGATAACCTTGTCGTTCTCGAAGACAAGCGCGGCCGGTGACTCTCCTCGGATGATGCGGCAGAAGGCACAGTCAGGTGGGTCCCTCCAGGCTGCCGGCACGGAGCGGCCTTCGTGCGCCTTGATGAGGAACGAGGTCATCAGCGTGAGCAGGCGCTTTGAGCGCTTATTTTCGTCCGCCCCGCGGCCGCGACCATGTCCCGAGGTGATCGGGAAACGACGTCAGGCAACCTCAAACGTTCCATGAGAGACAATTACTCTGACTATGGGGTGGACGAGGTAAGTTGCATGCGCCACTTTACTAGTTGCTCATTGCGGAACATTGACCTGACATACAGTAGTATTACAGAAAAGTCGGTGCTACGTACCGCAATCCACATTTTTCAGGTGTCCGAAACTGTCTCTTTCTATGGCTGAACAGGTTGGAACTTTCACGCTACTTGTTGTGCAGGATTGACGTGTCTCCAGATGGTGGCAAATGAGTAGACCAAGTATGAGCTCGGATAACCTGGTGTTGTTCGATATGGCCTGTGGTATGTTTAATCTCTGCAACCTCTGTGTACATTATTAACTTCGGTACAGGCAGGTAATGACTTTTGCATTGTTGTCGGTAGCCCCTCAGCCCTTATAAGCTGTGTACTGACATCAACAGTGGAGAAGTAACATTGGCCGTGATGGAATGGTGGACTTCAGGTCGACTCGCGTATGATGCGTCGCAAGCCCCCGTCTCGAACAGTGGAGAGCCTGCTAAGATCCATCCAGGGGGATTAGCGATTGCGCCCATTGCGCAGAGACGCGCTGCGAGAGTATCCTTGGCCCCTCCCATAGGGACTGATATGTCCAAACCCACTATCCTAGCGGCGGATCCAGTGAGTTTCGTATGCAATCATAATGATTTCTCCTTGACTGTGTGCCTTGCAGTATACATCAGAAGCATTCCGTTCACGAACATCTCTGACTTGCGCACCACTATCTTTCCGAGATATTGCGGAAGGTGCAATACCCAGTAGATCACCCAAAATATCGGTCATTGATCATGAGAATAAGGGTTCAAACATCAATATAGAGAGTGATTTAGCCCCTGGCGAGGTTCTGATTGAGATGGTGATATGTTCCTTCGCGTTACATCTCATCGAGACGCCTTCAGAACTGTTCGCTCTACTCTGGGAGCTCAGGTGTGTGCTCATCCGTTCCCTCGAATGCCCAACCGAGAGTCTGATATATGGTCTTAGTACGAAGGCACGATGGCTCATTATCTTAGCTCCCCACAAGAAACCCGACGTAAGTGATCATGTATCTGCCCCGCTCCTTTGAGCACGTTTACGCATGGTTTTTCGGAATAGATAAAAGATGGATGGGGTTGGTGCAAGTGGGACGTTGAAGCCTGGTCGGAAGCTCGCGTCGGAGAATCAAAAGGAGAATATCTACAAGACAGGTTCGCCGTCGTCGTTCTTCTGCAAATGCGTCAGGCTCACTTTCACCCAGAGTACATTGTCGCGTATACAGGAGCCTGAATGTATGATCGTTCCACTATCGATGAAACTCAAGCCACCCCGCGACTCGTCCGATCATCCGATGCTAGAGCTGGAGTGGCTATTATTAAGACTGATTCTACCGGTAGATACACTGCGTCATCCAAACCAACTCCGAGCCAACCACCCCAAGATGCCTGCAGCCGCCGCGCTGGTGGTAATTGCCAAGGCGAACTCTCGGTTCACCACTATCGTTGACTTCAGCTGAGGTTGTGGCGGTATAATATTGGGGTTATCCTCTGCTAGCTGCCCAACCTGTGCAGGTTGTGAAGAGTAGTACACTGTCTCCACGATCTGCGCCAACATCTGGTCCTGTCCGTCTAGCCGCTCACTCAACTGCTGCGTCTTGCTCTCAAGGAGAGCCGTACTCTCTGCAGAGAGCTGATCGACCTTCCTTCCGAAGGTCTGCGCAAGCTTCCGCCGCTTCCACGGCTCGACAAACAGTATCGCGAGGATGAACACGGCCATGTTGACGCCTAGCACAGCCAAGGAGCCATAAGTTGATGCGCTCCGGATTTTGTCCGACCACGCCTGCTCTTCGTGGTACCGATTCAGTATGACGCGCATGAGCTCGCTGAACTCGCGCTCCACCGCGTCCTCGGACTGCGTGGCGGATGCTTTTGCGCGGGATTCGTCTTGTTCGCGGAGGTGGTCTTGGCGCACGAGCGAGGTGAATCGGCCGACATCCTCGTCTGTCCATGTAGACTTGCGCTGCAGCAGGTCATTGACCTCGCGCTGCGACGCCGCGCGCTGGAGGACCGCCCTGTCATAGGCTCCCTTCGCTTCTCTAGATGCCTGCCGAGCAGCATTTATCCGTCCCTCTGCGTCGAAGTGTATATCAGGTTGCAGAGATGGCGATCTGGCAGACGTTAGGATGCTCACCTTGTTCGACAACTCTTTTCTTGAGTACTTCTATCTCGCCATAGCCAGTCACTCTATTAAGCTCTCCCCCGAGCTGAGAAAACGTAGATGCGAGGTCGGCGGTGAACTTGTCTACGCGCTCCCGTAGCCGTGCAGACGCGGTCTCTGTCCACCCCCGTAATTGTTCCTTCATCTCCGCCAAACGATCGGCCTCTGCATTCGTAGTAGATTGCGCCTCGGGAGTGCGCAGAGGCTCTGGCTGCGTGTTATCGGTCGGATTGGGTGGGGATGAGTGAGATGAAGCGCATCGGAGACGGAGGTGACGTGTCAAAGCAGGTAATCTCGCGGAAGAATTGCATGGGCAAAATCGTGGAACAGAACGCAGCGTAGATGTGAATGGCAGAGCTACTAACCTGAACATCCCCGCTGAGAGACGCTCAGGCAGCCCGCGCTGCTTCGGGTGCTCGGATTCGAATTCAAGCACAGAGCACATGACTTCTGAAAACACCAAGGCTAGGAGGAAAGATCATGTATCTCATTTCCGACCAATCTGTAGATGGTTGCGTGCATGTGTAGAGGTACAATCTATGGTAAAGTGATGATGAACATTGAAAACAATGAGACACAGCAGCGGGTAGAAATTATTTCTATGATATAATCGTCAGCACTCATCGCCGTGATCATCTTACAGGAGGACATCGAGGAAAGCAGTGGCGACAAAGTGCGAGAACATAGTGCGTGCAGCACCTAACTCCACACGTCAGATAGCATGCGGCTCCTCTCCTTCAGAAGCTTGACTTCGGCAGCGCCCTCAACCTCCGCGCGTCCACCCTTCGCCTCACCCAAGATCTTGCAGAGCGTCTCCTCGACAGCCTTGCTCATGCTCTTCGCATCGCCGCAGACGTAAATGTAGCCCTTGCCATTCAGGATCGCATCGGCGATCTGCTCGTGATCCTCCCATAGCAGGTCCTGCACGTAGATCTTGCTGCCGTCGGGCTTGTAGACCTCCCGCGAGAAGGCGCAGCGCATCGTGAACTTGCCGTGCAGCTCCTTGCTGTAATCGGACCATTCGTCCTTGTACAAGAAATCCTGGTCCGAGCGGCGGCAGCCGAAGTACAGACGGATGCTGCCCCAGTCTGCCAGTCCCTCGACACCGTTCTTCTCGATGGTACGACGAGCCATGGCGACACGCTCCTGCACGAAACCGCGGAAAGGCGCGACACCCTACAACATCGTTGGTAACTTGATATAGCACACGAAAATCAGTAGGACTTACAGTACCAGGCCCAATCATAATCACCGGGCTCTTGGGGTTTGTGGGCAGTCTAAACGTGGACCGTCTAACATGGATAGGTGCCTTGTACAAAGTCTCCAGCTTGTAAGCACCACGAGGTCCCTCAACCGCATATTGGGGGGTTGTGACAACTGCTGGCTTGGGGCCATCGGGATCAGTGATCGCGAGGAATTCCTCACCGGTCGCAGCGAACTTGAGGTTCAGCAGGAAGTTGGAACCGACGCCATATACCCACTTGCTTTTCACCTTCTCGCTAGCAACTGATTCGTAAGTGAGGACAACGACAGTGACGTGGATAGAGTTGGAGTGTAGCTTCGGGCTCGAAGAGATGGAGTAGTACCGAGGTTGCAAGCGGGGGATGGAGGAAACGATGATGTCGAAGGGGATTTTCCATGCTGTGGTGTTCTCGGGTGTAGGGACGGCACCGAGATCGTTATCTGCTGCGAGCTGCAGGACTTCACCAAGTTTAAGGCAGCCGTCGCCGACAATCTTCGAGTACGCCTCCTTGTTTGTGTTGAGAGTCTTCAAGAAAGACTCAGCCTCGGGAGTAGGTGCGAACTTGGACAAGACACCAAGAATCTGACGACCGGCAACTGCACTGATATCGATGTAGTGACGAAGAACCGTGATATATGTGGTAGGGACAGGGAATGGCACCTTCGCAAGGGCAGGATCGAGTGAGTCTATGTTGATGACCTTGTCCTTTTTCTCGTAGAGGCCGAGAGCGCAAAGCAACCGCTGAACTTCGCTTTCAGAGTTGGATGGCCAGATCCCTACATGGTCACCGTGCTGGTAGGTGATACCAGAACCCTCTGTGTTGAACTCCACATGAATGCAGTTACGGTCGGCCTGGTTTTCGAAGAGTTCGCGCGCAATGATGATAGGGGCAGGGTACGGGTTCTTCGCATCATGGATACCCTTCGACCTGGTGAGAGCACGTGCGGACAATTCACCTAAATAACGACATAAGACCCGTCGGAAGATGGACACTATAGGATGACTGCTCACCGAGGTAGACCTTCTCTGGCGGGTGATCCTCAACTTCAGTGACGGCGAAATCTGGGGTGTCACCACCCTGTCCCTCCTCGACGTTCATCTCCTTGGCAAAAGCCTCCCACATGCCGTCCTTCCACTCAAGGTAGTCCTCTTCCATGCTCTTGTCATCGTCACCCTCACCTCGTTCGCCAATCCGCGTTGCCCCCAACTTCTGCAAATCCCTGTCGACGTTCCTAGCAATAAGGTTATAGTGCTCGTAAGTCCTGTTACCGAGACCAAACACGACATATTTAAGTCCGGGTAATTTACGTTCGCCGTTGCTGAACTCAAAGGATTCGTCCGACAGGTTTTCGCAAAGCTGGACGGCGTTATCGGTCGGCTCTCCTTCACCATACGTAGCCATAACAAAGAAGGCGCAACAATCCTCGGGGATCTGGTCGAGTTTCTCGAAGTCATACTCCTCTGGGTCACAGACGAGCGAGGCAAGACCGAACTTCGTCTTCGCTTCCTTAGCGAGACGGATAGCGTATTCCTCAGCCGTACCTGTCTGTGAACCGTAGAAAATGACTATGCGCTTTTTCTGAGCGTAAAGGGGTCAGTTTCACGCAACGGAATCAGAAGCACATATACTTACCCCTTGCTTCATCTTCTCCACAAAATCCCGAGGGTTACCTGAGCCATTGGAAGTAGCTTTAGAGGTAATAGGAACTGCCTTTGGCTTCGACACAGCAAAAAGCTGGTCTCGGAAAAGATACACCGCAGCAAGGACAAGACCGATCGCAAGAACGACTGCGTCCGAGGACGAAGTGAACGCCATGGCAGGACAAGAAGAATCAGCAGCCAAATAAGGTCAAGAAAGTCGAAATAAAGAGCGACACTGCTGGAAGAGAATTCCTGTCGAGCCCGGTATCGACGTGGCGGGGGAGGAGTACAGAATGGCATGACGCTGGATCAGAGTTATACAGGATGCTTAGTAAGCATGCCAATTAAGGCTCCATGGGTTACGCTCTAGACTCCGCGGCTTTCGTGCTTACGAGCCTGCTATTTCTCTACGTTGAGAAGAAGCTCAGCCATAGCTGGAAGACGCACCGTAGAATCGTAGGCGCATCGTCATTCGCCGCTACAAATATCCTGACACCTCCTCCTGCAGCTAACACTGTGACACACTGCCACTTACCCTTTTGAATGCGGGCGGAGAAATCCAGTTGCTTCGCCTCATCTCAGCTTGTCAAAGTACTTCTCGCCGTACGTAGAACCACCGTAGAACTCTGTAGAACTCCACAGGTATGCGTCATAGATGCTCGTATCGTGGCAAAGTCGTGGGAGCGCGTCCGATGCATACGGGTGTCACGTGACGTGTGTGAGAGACTTCCGAATCCTATGGGTTTGCTATGGGTCGCGGTTTGTGCAAGAATGACTCTTCAAGCTTCATTGGTGGGAGGCTGAAAAAGATAAGTGTCAGCGTTCAAAAAGTCTAACATGATAGTGTGGCAGTCAAGGTTGAGCCGGGAGGTCTGGGTAGCTCTTTGAGCACTCTCCTCCGCGCTCTTTTTTCTCCAACCAACGTCTTTTGCAACCACGACGTGCAGACGTCACCCCTTCTCTACGCACGCAGCGCTACTCTACCTTCCGAATGTTTTCTCGCGCTGCCAGAGGCTGGCCGCGGGGTGGCAGCCACTCCGATACGGTCTGTCGGGTGTATCCCTCCCCGGGGACTGGGGGAACTTAGGAAGTTACTGTTTCCTATTCATCCTACGTATGATGGTTTAGATCGTTCGGCGATTTGGGCGGCTTGAGGTAGCGGTCCTGAGGCAGCCCAGGACGGACGTGCAGTAGCATGCGCAACCACTGGCATCTGTTGTGTGTTGTCGAGTCCATTGCGGAGCTTTGGGTGTCTGGTCTGCGTTCGACCGCAGAATATACGGAACGCAGTTGGATTGAAACACACCTTTTCACCACCATAAACCTATCAAAGCCGATTTAATGGACCATCGCTGGTCTGTCATTGAGGTTCCTGGTTTTGCCACCCTACGCCTTTCGGATGTTGCATTATTTTGGGCGATAGGAAGGGAGGTAAGTAGAGCATGACGTCAGCGAGTTGGTTCCCGCAAGTAGCAGTGTGCAGTTGCATTTGTTTCTGGTTATAACGTGAGTACTCATGCAAGTCAGCGAACGAGACCGTTCTCCACCATCTTCCAGTACGTGGCTCTACTAGCTAGACAGCGTGCGACCCTCACGCATCTCTTTCTCCTCACTATCCGAACCTTCTTATCCCACCGAGGTGGACTCGCACACGATCTGCCCTAGCTAGGCCTCCCGATACATTAAGTCCGCTATATGCATCATTTCCACCGCACCCTCAACACCAGTACTATCCCTAAACTATCCTCTGAATGGCCATATCATACAACTTTACCATCTCCACCCATATTCTCCTCTGCCTTGATTATATGTACACCCTCACATGTTACCTGCCCAATGGTTGTAATTCGGGCTGTAGTTACCCCATCATTTTCATAAACCCACTTTGCTAGTGTACTTGTCTTCTCATTCGGGCACCCTCCGCCAGTCATTTGTATCGGCCAACCATGCGTATATCCCATCCCAGCTTTCATGCCTAGTATGTCCGCCTTCCGTATCTTTAACAAGTTTTCAGCCACGCTGTTTCGCTCTCACCCACTGCTTTGCTACCAGGCGTGATTTATGTGACATAGAGCGCCGCCTCGTACCAGACATGAGGCTAGAGAAAGGGAATGTGCGTACTCTTGTCAGTGTTGTATATATTGACTTTATTGCAGGGCCTTGCATGTTTCAGAATCTAATTTTCTCCCGCACAATTGTGGACTGCGAACTTCCCTTGCAGCAAGGAAGATGAATTACTGGATCGGCGTCCTTGGCCCTTGACAAAACTTCTAGTCTAGTTGCTCATGCCTTAACCGTGCAAGATAGGAAGCATTCTCTGTCAACGGTGGGGACGACGGGCAGGCAGGGTCTTAGAAGGAGTGGTCAAGACACACTTCTTCAATGCGCAGTAGTCTGGACGCGGTTGCGAAGTACCTATGTCTACCGTTGCCCAGCAGGGTCAGGTTAGAAAAAGGAAATGCACCTGGGGTCTCTGACGCGTGTGGCACTGCGTGATGCTCGCATGTGACTGCGCGCCTCGTAGACAGGCTTTCTGGCGTGTCACCTTAGTAGTATGTCACTGTGGACTGATACCATATTATAGTGACTTGGAGCGGGAAGTTTCTGATGCCTACAATGCTCATAGGCACCGACTGAAGGAGATATGTGAGTTATGTATATGTGGTTTGCTAGGCTCTGTGCATCATAGTAAGCCCTTGAACAATCCATTGCAGATGCTCTGATTTGAAGGATTTAGTCATGTTATTCAGAATATGCACTGAACCGTTTTGAAGTCTTGTTTGTTTTTACTTTACTTGCTGAAATCTTGTCTTCCGAATAACTCGGTTTAGTGCACTTTCCGTGACACTAAGAACACCAACATGCCACAAAAGCCTTATACACATCTTCTGTCAGCAACTTTAACCCTACAGTATTGGTGCTTTGTGAATAGCTGAGTTCCTTAGGCATAATGCAGGCTTTGCCTCTCGGCTCAAGCTTTAACCAGGTATGTTCTTACATGACATCTATGGGTTGTATGGCTACTTTGGCCTCCCTTGTCAAAAAGCCCGAGTACTTGAATGCCTTGTAACTCTTCCATAGTGTCAAACCTCAGTCAAGCATTCAGATTGAGGAAGGATGCAGCTCTCTGCTGAGTCTCTGCCAACAAGGCAAGATATTGCACACCTCCTGGCTTCGGAATGGCACCGAGGAATCCGTGGATACTTCAAGTTCAGCACTCAGTGCTCAGCATCCAATCCCCCACTGTACCATCATGCCTGTCACGGGGGCCAGTCATGCCACCGTACATCCGGTTCGTCGTCGTCAGTGACTGGGCCTTCGCAAGGGCTCAAGTCAATCGTGAGGGGTCCGACCTCCAGTCATAGCGATGACCAGAGGTCGGCCCAGTGGAGTAGTCTTATGAACGCTTGGCCGCTGTCTGTGGACCAGGGTCGATCTGTCGCACAGATGTAGATGGTAAAACCGGTTGATGTGTAACCAGGACAAGATGGGGACTCCAGCTTGTCCTCTCGGTCTTATATACGAGTACAGGCGTCTGTCTACCTGTAATACTAGAACTACGATTGGTCCATCGGTATCAATACAAGGGCACAGGGTTCGTATACCTGTCCCACGGTCGTGAGAATGCTGAGTCAGTCATGACTCTGCGTGAGAGACAATCTGTCCATATGGAGATAAGGTCGTGCTGCAAAGACAAGGCAGCAGCGGGGTCGTCGTGCGTCTAGCGCATGTATCAGGGTCTAGGGCCATGCCCATGAGGTTCGGTATCTGTATCGTAAGGGTAAGGCAAAGGTGAGGCAAACATGCCTTTGTCGTGTGTGTGATAGGAAGTGCGTCCTAGGTCTGGATCTCGCACATGAGGTAAACATGCCTTGAGCACAAGGCACATATCATCAGATGATCAGGTAGATCCGTGCCGGATAGATAAGGGCAATGACCATGATGACATCATGGTCATGTGGTCAGTGATGTCATTGTCACATGGTCAGTCTAGGCTCTGTGATGTCATTGTCACATGATCGGTAAAGGTAGAGGCGGAAGTCGTCCGCATGTTCCTCAGAGAGGAGCTTTGTAACATCAGCTCCCATTCAGGTCTTCAATTCCCTGGATTGAAGTCGTCAAGAAAGTCGGTCGGGAAATGGAATGGAGAAATTCCATGTATCGTTGTTCATCGTGTCATGTCATCGCATGATTCTGGGTAAATCAGAGGCGGAAAATGAAAAAATTGACCTGGGTGTTAATCCAGCTTCGCAAACTTCGTTTTGCTTGTCGCTCGCATCCCTTTAGGATTGCTCGCTCCAACTGCAAGTCTTCTGTTCGTCTTCTTCTCATAAGCTATTCAGCTATGTTCATCGTCTTCCATTAGTCTTGTTTCTCTGTGCTTTCGCACAGTGACCGGTCAACTCGTGTTGCCCGTCGTCTTCCATTAGTCTTGTTTCTTTGTGCTTTCGCACAGTGAATGGTTAACTCGCATTGCCCATTCTTCCCTACTACTACCCCGGCCTAAAAATCAGGAGGGCTCATAGTGTAGCGATGTCTTCAAAAATTCGCAAGATGGAAAGAGAGTGTGGTGGAAGGGAGGAGGGGGGGAAAAAATTTGCCCTTGTGGGAGGGTTCCTCGTCCTCAATTACTCTTGTCGTTCCTCGACTCCGCTCGTCACTCCTCGATTCCATTCGTTCCTCGTCACCCGGGCACTCGGGCTCATTCCTTTGGCTCGGATATGCATCCTCGCCTACTATCCCCTATCAGCTCCCATTCAAAAAAACCAGATACCCTGGATCTGAAACCGATAAAAACAGGTAACAAATCGTAAAGGGAAAAAGAGGGTGGGCAGCAAGGGTCTTCTAGTTTCGAGTCATTGCGGACAAATATCGTCTTCTAGTTTTAAGTCATTGCGGACAAGTATCGTCTTCTAGTTTCAAGTCATTGCGGACAAGTATCATCTAGTTTTAAGTTGTTATGGACAAATGTCGTCTTCTAGTTTTAAGTCATTGCGGACATGTATCGTGGTTGGCTGGTCATCGTCAATGCCAGCATGGTTAATCGTCTTCTGGTGAGCGATAGCTCCCATTCAGGTTTCATGTCCAGTTTCATGTCTTTATCATTAAAGTACCCCGGCCTAGGTTTGAACTACCCCGGCCTAGCGTGATACTTCATCGAATATTTCATTTCGG